ACGCCCGCCGTAGGACCGACAATTGGTAGGATGCTTTTGACGACCGTCGGGTAGTACTTCACGTCACCGAGGACGAGCTTCCTGGCGTCGTTTAGTTGGCGAATCTGGTCGCTGACGGACACCTGCGGGGAGGGAGCCGCCATGATTGCAGCGAGCGATGGCGAAGACGCTCCTAGTCTAAATGATGTCGGGCAGACAAGAAAGTAATGTTAAAATCGATGGAACGTAAGTGTGTTGTCGGATATCGAATCTCGGGCAGGTTGGAAGATAACTTGGGTATCACGAGGGCAGCAGCTGTCGCGACTTGTCGAAATATGGAGAGCTCAAGCTTTTCCAGATCACCATTCTCCCACGCGCCGATAAACACACAGTCGCAATCGTGAAGAGTCGTGTAATTAGTCGAGATGAATGGTGAAAGCGAGATGGGCGATGAAGGAAATTTCCTGGCGGTTCGTATCGGCTACCCGTCGATGCGATTCCTCGTTTGCCCTGCTCCAAAAGTCTGATGTATTTCTTGCGGTGCAAGAAGAGGCAGCAAGCACCTGCCGACGTTGAGGGACTGCGTGACAAGCGACGCGGATTATGACGGGGCGTGTCGACGGCTGCTGGCTGTTTTGGGTTAGCGCATCGGCCGCCCTAGAGCCTTCAGGGAGACGTGGGGCCTCACCAGGCACGGAACTTGGAAGGCACGGTACCTTTCAGTCTCATGGACGGAATACTGGGCTCTGGATCGCTTGCTTAGACTCTAGAGATGTTCTCAAGTAATGGTGCGTTCTCAATTGAATGATGAAAAATCAGAAACGTCTGCCGTGATGTAATGATCAAGGATGTTTTCAATGCATCTTGATAACCTAAATACTGAATGTGTCGACTTCTTGGAGCTTTGAGCTTGAGGTCGCAGAGCCAGAAAGCTACTTCGTACCTAAGTAAGGGAATAAAGACGCAGCTTCCCCTGCTCAGGTACCTTGAATGTAAAGATGTCTCTCCTGCAAAGGCGGCGACGCAGTTTTCAGGCCCTCCAAATGCACCCCAAGAGACCCCTGCCCAAGGTTATCGGACAAGTCTACGTCACTATCAGTTCTGCCGCACTTTCTCCGTCTTATCGATACCAATAAGCGTCAAGGCAATCAATGCCGGGCTGACTGCGCCTGTTGGAATTTACACTGGGAAGTTCGAACCACGGCGTTTGCGACAAGGGCCCCGACCGACCGACATTGAATTTCCCGAACCCGCGCGGCGCAAACCCACGATCGATCACCCCTCCCCTCCCCCCGGGCCTGAACCTCACGAACTTTCGATACCGGACCTTACGAAAACGCGAGCCTTGGTATTCAGTCACAATGGCGATGTACGTTTACCCCGTCCTCCTCCCCGTCCGTCGCCCCCCACCGGGATGAAGCAAGTGGTCTGACAAGCAGGAAACCGACAACCTCTACAGCCCCCAAAAGTCCTCCTACTACGATCGCAACCTCCGTCAAGGGCCCGCCCTGATCAGAGCGCGCAAGCCGTACCTCACCAAGAACCTCGCTGTCGGTGCTGGACTGTGGTGCTTCGTCGGTGCAGTGTGTATGTGGCGATACATTTCCTCCCGTGGCACCTTCTGGTCCCGCACACCGGCCCCAGCAAATCAGTCAACTAATCATTCTTTTCAATATAGACTGGTACACGATTAAGGCGGTTGGCCAAGATGAGTTCGAAGACGTCAAGGTTCCCGATGCTCCGAGGCAGCCAGCAAAGTCCAACTAGGCCGATGGAGAGACATGGCGGAAGAAATGCGTGATGTACGAGTTTAGCGCGGGATGGGATCAAAAAGTCCCGAGGAATATAAAAATGTGAGAGTATCTCAGTATGCGTGGGAGCATATGCCATTGTACTATATATATCTGCGAGTTCTCATCTCGCTCTTTTCGCCGGTTGCACCAATATCAAAGAAAAACAAATCCCCAATCAGTAACTCTTGTGCATCTCTCATTACAGGATTAGACCCGTCCCGTTCAATGCAAATGCAGCTCCATAAAAACCTGTCCATTTCCTCCTCATCTTGTAGATACCATAAGTTTTTGTCACCCTCTATGGGAGGCCGCAAAAAATAAACATGCCCGTTGGAATAAACGCGCCGGTGCGAGCGTAACTAGTTAAAGGAAAGAAAAAGGGGCGAGCTGCCCAAGCCGTCGTGGGGTATCATAACAGAGCAGTAAGCCTCGAAAACGCCGTTGGCCGTCCACTGATGCCGTCCTAACTTGCCATCGCCGACACTGGTTCTTGTTTAGGAGCCGTGTTTTTCGCCGCTTTTGATGTGCGGCTACCTGCGCGCTTCATCTGGGCACTCTGAGTCAAAACGTTGGCTGTTCTCACCATCTCAGGAGAGGCAGAAATAAATCGGTTCATCTGCGGCGACGCCTGCGGCACGACATGACCGTTTGTTACGGCTGGTATCGGTTGTGGGTTGGACGGGCCTGCTGCTGCTTTTCCTCCCTGCATGGGACTGCTCAACCGAGCACCGGCTGCTGCAGGTCCTGTGCTGATTTTGTGCGCAATGTGGTTCGGGTTGGCCCAAGGAGTATCTTTGATGAATTGTTCGCCGGCGGGGCCGAGGTTGGACCCGAACGCGACTGCTTGATAATCCTCAATGGGCTGCATTATTGAACGCTGACGAGGTTTCGTATTACGCTGGAGAGGGTCAGTGACGTGTTTTCGGCCGCGAGAATCCTGCGGTTCACCAACCTTCATTTGCTCCAGGTCGTCTTCGATCTCTGAGCCGCTGGCGCCCCTCATGGCGGGCACCGCGGGGAAGCCCTCATGCTTGGCAAGGCCGGCCAAAAATGAGACCTCCGAGTTGTATGCCACAGCGTTTCTCGTGCGCTGTGCAGGGTTCGTCGGGAAGAGGAGACCGTAATCCGGAATGCTGTGTGCGCTTCGCCTAGCATTCTGGGTTTCGTACCACTCCTGATTGAGGTCTTCGAGCATCTTTGAGCGCTTTTCCCGAGAGCCCTGGTAGAATTGATTCCAAATCTGAGCTCGGCGCGCCACTGCTAATCTCTCGAGGGCCTCAACCGAGAGCTCGTATTCTTTTTCAATGTTCCGAAGCTTCTTCTCGAGCCTTTCGTCTAGACATTGCTTCATGTTTAAGTATTCGGGATGTGACGGCGGCTCGGCTTGCAGTGATTGTTCTTCATGCTCGAGGCGCTCGAGGCGATCCTTGTACAAACTGTGAACACTACGTTAGTCGCTGAGGGAAGCAATGCTGCTCGGGAAGACTCACCGCTCGCGGAAGACGACAAATTTCTCCTCGAGATCGGTCCATTCCTCAACCGCAGCACGTTTTCTCTCGACTGTTGTATTCTGTCAGCAAGCTTTGAAAGACAGGTGGATCGGAAGTCACCCACATTCTTCGTCGTTCCTCGTCGCTTCCGCCTCCTCGTCGCCTTCGTGGTCAGCTTGGTCGTCGCCATGAGGCCCCGAGTCATCGTCGCCGCGACTATCGTCTCGAGCGTCAACATCGTGCCCTTCGTTCTCATGGGCCCCAGCAGCGTGGCCTTTCCTTCTGCTACCGTTGCGGGTAACCTTTTTTGTGATTTGTGAATCCTTGATCGGGCTGTGACCATCGCGCGAAGGGCCGCGCTTGCTATGGGGAAGTCCCAAAACACTGTCCTCGGTCGCAGAGTGATCACCAGTATGTGAATTTGTGGACGGGACCTCGTCGTCGTGCATGTCCACGTCATTCTTGTGCTGATCCTGCTCCTGGGGCACGACCGAGCCGGTGCGCTTCCTGGCGGGCTGGCCTGGTTCGGATGATTCCGCGACCGGAGACCGCTTCCTTTTCTTGCTATCGGTATTCTCAGGGTCGTCTTCGGTGGATGGGAGCTCGGTGGACTTCTTGGGCTTGCTGGGCGAGCCCAAGTCACCGTGACTAGAGTTCATTGATACGTCGTCGCGGTCGGAAAGACTGTCGTCGTCGCCATCGTCGTGGGCGTCGACCGAAAACGTCTTTTGGAGCTTGTTAGGGGTCCGCTCGTAGACCTGGCCGTCGTTGAACTGATTGACAACGACGTCCTTGTGGCGCTGTGCCTGCGGGGTGTCGTAGAGACGCTCAGTCTCCGCTTCGGTATCATTTGCCTCTGACAGATTGCTGTCAGAGTCGAGCGCCTCGTCATGGTCTGGCCGAGTGTGGTCGAGCTGCATCCCATCGAGAGATTCGCCGCCGTCCTTGTCCTCGACGTCGCTCAGCGGGCTGGAGATGTTGCTATCGTCATGATCGAGCGTCGCCTGCCCTGGGGAGAGAGCAGGCGGCGCGGACGCCGTAGCTGCCATTGAAAAATTAAGTTGATACCGCGCTGTGGGATATCAAATCGGGTGGTTTGGAGGTTGGTTGCGTCGTGGAGCAGTGCAATTCGGGTAGACGAGTTTTCGTGGGAACGAAGACGGGGCGCGGAGGGACAAGCACCAGCGGCAGCGACAGCGGCGGGTTGGAGGAGCGGGCGGGTCGCTGTTGTGAAGAGGAAAGCGAGGGCGTGCTAAAATCAAGGTTTGAAAAAAGGGAGTTCGAGAGAAGCATCAACGCGTGTGAGTGTCTGGTCCCCGAATGCAGACGTGGGCGAGCGCAAAGTGGTGGTGTTGTGGTGGGTTTTCGGAGAAGAGAGAGAGAGAAGCGTAGCGTAAGTGACCTGCCGCTCCATGAGAGATGCGCTCACCTGCTCCCTCTCTGGGCTCTGTGCCTTTCTCCGGCCCCCCCAGCGGAACCAGCATCGGTCGGCAGAACCACGTCTTGGCCCAGAGCGAAAGCGGTGAGAGCTGGCACAACAGCGGGCACGGGGCACTTGTTCTCGGCAAATAGCGGTCTTCTGACGTTTTGCACCAATCTACGGTTGTTCCGCTTCTTATCGGCACACTGAACCTCCGAAATCTCTTATCGCATTGGGAGCGCAGGCCAGGTCGTACAGAGAGCTTGATTTTTTTCTGCTTCGGCAGCGATCTGGGGGGGTTCGGTGCATCTACCTTACAGCAGACAGACCCGTTGAAGAACATAGATACTCAACAAAACAAGTCATATATCTTTCGCAACAATGGCGAAAGGGTGAGCTCGGTCCGAATGTCATGGTACAACTTCAAACACTAATTGTGTTTAAATTAGTTCAAAACTTGCGGCCTCGAGCAAGGCCATTGACCCCACCCTCAATGCCCTCTTCGCATCCAGTGTAAGTCTTTTTGCGAAAAAGTCGACCAATTAGGCCAAGAAAATTCTAACAAAATTCAGTCCGGACCTGTGAAGGCCCTAGAAAAGTCAAGATACTCCGAAGCGCCTCAATCAAAGGCGAAGCCCGCGCCTGAGGCTTCCGACGACGATGAGGAGTTATCCGAGCTTGGTAGCGATGAGGAGATTGACCTCGAAGATGTCGCCGAGTCAGAGGAGGAGGAAGTGTCAGAACCAGCCGTGAAGCCAAAGAAGGAGCGCAAGCGGAAGAGGGTGGAGGACGACATCGAGGGCAAATACCTGAGCAAGCTCGCCGAGGCGGAGGAGAAGGAGAAGCCTGCTGAGAAGCGCACCAAGAAGGAGACCAAGGATGCGGAAGAGGGAGAGGAGGCCGCTTCAGAAACGACATCCGAGGGCGAGAGCGCGGGCGAAGGCGAAGAAGAGGAAGAGGCAGAAGAAGAGGACTCTGACGAGGAAGCCATCCCCGTCCACGAATCCGTCGCGGCCGACAGCAAGGCCAAGACAAAGGACACGGAACTCGAAAAGGCAAACCGCACAGTCTTCCTCTCCAACGTCGCCTCGGACGCCGTCGACAATAAGGCAGCCAAGCGCACCCTCGAAGCCCACCTCACGAGCGTCCTCGACAAGGACGCCACCCCCGCGCAAAAGATCGAGTCCATCCGCTTCCGCTCCATCGCCTTCTCCGGCGGCGGCCTCCCCAAGCGCGCAGCCTACATCACAAAGTCCCTCATGAACGAGACGACAAAGTCCGCAAACGCCTACGTCGTCTTCTCCACGCCCGCCGCCGCCCGAAAAGTCTGCGCCGAGCTCAACGGCACCATCGTCCTCGACCGCCACCTGCGCGTCGACAGCGTCGCCCACCCGGCGCCGACGGACCACCGCCGCTGCGTGTTTGTCGGCAACCTCGGCTTCATCGACGACGAGACCATCATCGCCACCAACGAGGAGGGCGAGACGGTGCAGAAGAAGCGCACAAAGGTGCCCGCCGACATTGAGGAGGGTCTCTGGAGGACGTTTGGCAAGCACGCCGGCAAGGTCGAGAACGTGCGCGTCGTTCGCGATCCCAAGACGAGAGTGGGCAAGGGTTTCGCCTACGTCCAATTCTATGTAAGTCGCCCTCAAAATATGCAACCTGAACCCTACAAGGTAGTGAGAGAAGCACTTGCTAAAATAAAATAAAACTCACACAGGATGGCAACCACGTAGAATCGGCCCTCCTCCTAAACGGCAAAAAATACCCTCCCATGCTCCCCCGCATCATGCGCGTAACCCGCGCAAAGGCCCCTCAAAAGACCGCCCTCGCCATGGAGCGCACCAACAAGGCCAGAGCCGCCCAGGCAGGCGCCTCACGCGGCGGAGCCCCCGGCAGCACAAAGTACAAGGCCAAGATCACGCCCGAGCAGCAGTCCCTCGCCGGCCGCGCCAGCCGTCTCCTAGGTCGCCAGGGAGCCCGTCGCGAGCGCGACGACAACAGGAAGCCGCGCGCCCACGCCCCGGCCAACGGCTCCGGCGCCATCCCCAAGGACGAGATGAAGAAGCCCGAAGACTTTATTTTCGAGGGCCGTCGCGCCAGTGCCAAGGACGGCAGGCCAAAGGATCTCAAGTTCAACAAGCGGAGTAAGCCCAAGGGCGGCGGCGGCGTCAAGAAGACGAAGCCTACGGGCCGTGGTGCCAAGAGAGCCGCGGAGTGGAAGAATAAGCAAAAATGAGGTTGAGATTTGCGGGGGGTGGGTGACCTGCTTGTATTGAGGTAGTTTGCATGGAATACCAAAAGAAGACAGATAGAAGCGTCGGGAAAAGGGCGTCCAAAATAATGAGCATTGTACAAAGCACACTTATACATCATTGACTTGCAAAGCGTCCCTCGATTTCCACGTTAAACATCGCGCTACTACCAACAGCGGATGTATGCGATTCACTCTAGTCACAGCATTAAGTGACACACGAAGCAAGTTGAAGAATACGTCCATTTACAAGTGACTACTTTCAATCCCCCAAGAGGCTCTCGTCAGACAAGTCAGGAGGTACCACGTATATACTGGTGAAAGAAGAAAGTGACTTGGTCTCATCTATTATCAACTCGAGCTTGACGCCGAAATATCCATTCGTTGGGTTATGGGTTAATCCAGTGCCTTGTGCGCGTCCATGTCCGTCTGGCGAGAACGAGAAACAGAAGTCTACCGAACCGACACCCCGACGGCCGCCAAAAGAACAAACTTTTTTCATGCAATTCGTTTTTCGTCCAAGGCTGCCGGGTTCGTCATTGTTCGTTGCAGCAACCGATATACCGCGAAACAAAAAAACGGGACGGTCTCCGATGTCGGCTTAGTACTCGGCATCGTCCTCCTCGCCCTCGTACGAGTCGGCAGCAACCTCCTCGTAATCCTTCTCGAGCGCGGCAAGATCCTCACGGGCCTCGCTGAACTCACCCTCTTCCATACCCTCACCGACGTACCAGTGGACGAAGGCGCGCTTGCTGTACATGAGATCGAACTTGTGGTCGAGTCTCGACCAGGCCTCGGCAATGGCGGTGGTGTTGGACAGCATAGAGACGGAGCGGTCGACGGAGGCGAGACCACCGTCGCCGGCGGCGGCGGGAACAGCCATGGGCTTCTGGTAGTTGATTCCGAGCTTGAAACCAGTGGGGCACCACTCGACCAGGTTGAAGGAGGACTTGGCCTTGAGGGCAGCAATGGCGGCGTTGCAGTCGCGGGGGACGACGTCGCCACGGTACAAAAGGGCGACGGCCATGTACTTGCCGTTGCGGGGGTCGCAGACGACCATCTGGTTGTTGGGCTCGAAACCTGTATTTGATTAGCACACGTTCGTATTAACAAGTTGACACACGGTCTAAACATACACTGGAAGGTGAGCTCCTGGACCTTGAAGCTCTCGTGGGAGCTCTTGTTGGCGGAAATGACGGGAGCGTAGCTGATCAAGGGGTAGTGGATACGAGGGTAGGGGACCAAGTTGGTCTGGAACTCGTTGAGATCGACGTTGAGGGCACCATCGAAACGGAGGGACGAGGTGATGGAGCTGACAACCTGGGCGATCAGGCGGTTGAGATGCTCGTAACCGGGACGGGGAATGTCGAGGTTGCGGCGGCAGATGTCGTAGACAGCCTCGTTGTCGACGAGGAAAGTGCAGTCCGAGTTCTCAATGGTGCTGTGGGTGGACAGAACGGCGTTGTAGGGCTCAACAACGGCAGTCGAGACACGGGGGGCGGGGTAGACGGCGAACTCAAGCTTCGACTTCTTGCCGTACTCGGTGGAGAGGCGCTCGAGAAGAAGGGCACCGAAGCCAGAGCCGGTACCACCACCGAAGGAGTGGAAGATCAGGAAGCCCTGGAGGGAGTGGCAGTTGTCTATGGGAGGAATTGGTCAGTTTCGACATGGCCAACGTGTCGAAAGGCGGCACACGGGGAACTAACCAGCGACGCGGCGAACGCGGTCAATGACATTGTCGACCATCTCCTTGCCGATGGTGTAGTGACCACGAGCATAATTGTTGGCAGCATCCTCCTTGCCGCTGATCAACAGCTCAGGGTGGAAGAGCTGACGGTAGCCGCCAGTTCGGATCTCGTCAATGGGAGAGGGGTCGAGGTCGACGAAGAGGGAGCGAGGGACGTATTTTCCACCGCTCGTCTCGGTGAAGAAGGTCTCGTAGGAGCCGCCGTCAACGACATCCTTGGTGCTGGGGTCAGGACGACCGTCGGAGCCGAGGCCGTGCTCGAGGAGGTAGCTGCGCGTTGGGCGGTCAGTTCCATGGGATTTCGCATTCGGATCAGGAGGATATGAGATTGGGGGTCAACGTACAGCTCCCAAGCAGAGTTACCCAGCTGGGTACCGGCCTGACCGAGATGAAGGTGAAGAATCTGGAGACATCGCCGTCAGTATTGGGGCTGCACACCGAGGTCAAGATGAATGGGACAGCTAGGTAGGCTGGATTTCAGGGGTCGCCTCAGTACGGGAAAATGGGGGAGCAGGAGCAGCAAAGCAGCCAGCCCACGATCCGTTGCAAGCTGTGATGTGGAGGACTGGAGTATAGATGAAAAGAAAAAGGGAATGGCATTGTGCTTACCTCGCCCTTCATTGTGTAATGTGGCTCAACGGAACTTGGGAATAGCTGCGACGCAAAGTAGAATGGGGAAGGGGAATATTTTCACGCGCGCAGCGCAGAGTTGAGGTTCGGAAGAGCTAGGGGGAAGGAAGGTGTTGGTGATGGTTTCCAGAGGTTTGGAGTGGAGGGTCACTTGTTGTGGGCAAGGCGGGGCACAATCAACAAGGCCGACCAGTGGCGCGATAGGCTTCAAGGCAAAGGGTATTCCCCCCCTCTTCTTCACTGGGTTTAGCGCCTGTCTTTCAGTGCTAGCTTTACAGCTGTTGGCGTTTTGGGTCTCCAGTACTAAGATGATTGCGGGGGTCAATACAGCCAATCAAGTACCGGTGACACTCTCACCGCTACATGGCCCAAGCGTTTTTCCCTTTTGTCTATTGGATGGCCTTCAGGGGTGCATGAAGATACCCGCACACTGCCACCTGCCATCACCACTCACCAACCAGTCTTTCACACGGCAGCAGGTGCGATATACGACGGGATATCAAGCTCAAATATGTTGTTTTTTTCCTTCTTCACCTGGCTATCAAGGCAGAAACAGACAGCTTTCAGGCTTCAATTGCGTCAAGTATCTTCACCGCTCACTCATCAGCTGCCAGATCTTCTCTTTCTCAACATGAATGGTCCGTGCGGATAATCCGGGGTCCAAGGCATTGACTTTCGGGAACAGCAGACGAAGATCTTGCCAGATTCGTACTGATAGTGCTTTTGATGAACAGAAGCTCTGAGAGCACTTTGTTCTGCTAGTCTTTTAACAAACTTGAGACTCTTGCGATGGCCTATACCTGAACAATTCCACTCAATCCAACAGGCCAATTCGACTTGACGTCTTTTAAAGGTACATCCTCGTAGTCGGTGACATCCGAGTGATCTTCAGAGGGGCCGAGCCAGATCCGGCCCCACTCTCTGCTTCCGTTTGTCGTCCGACGTCAATAGCTTCTCCTTGTCTAGCCCTACAACGGTCCCAGACAACAAGCCGGATCAAAGGACTCAAGCCTCGAGTGATTCAGAACTTGTCAAGGAAACACACAGATACCAGCGCTCAAACAAAAAGGCCTTCTGGTTAGAACGAGCTGATTCTTTAGTTGCAGACTCCCAGACAGAGACTACCTTAGCCCCGAACAAGGATAGGCAGTTGAGGGCAGTATTACCTTATAGTTCATGGGTTAGGTATCAGCACTGCTTGGAACTAGCTGCAATCGGGCTTCGTCCATCCAGCTCTGTAGTATTTCCTAGGCTATGAGTATTTAGAGGGCGGTTAATTATAGTCGACCTGTTTCCACTTCCAAGAACGCGGCAAAGACATGGGAGTTTTCATAGATACCTCTTCAAGGCAATTTTAGCAGAATTTCCTTTCCACATAGTTCCGCTCAATCCTGTAGTTTGAATCATGCCCAGTTTCCTCTAGTACTGCGTCACTGCTTCCACTCAGCGGCCACAGCTGGTCCTGTCATCCATTCCTGGCCCTCTGGAAACGTACATCTTGTTTCTCGGCACCCAGTGCAGATAGGGAGGAGCGGAAGATATCCGGCGATTGAGAAACAACTTCTGACGCTTCTGGGGCCGCCTATATGTCTGCCACCAGCGAGTCGGAGCAAGGCTGGACTCCACGTCTCTCAGCAACTGTGAGCTGGGGACTCATTATAACTTATTCCGTTGACTGGAGCAAAGCTTCTGCCAGCAACTTTGGCCCTTTAGTGTTAGACACCACGCCCAGGCTCGATCTTGATAGGTACAAAATCTCTCATGACTTCTACCCAAATACCTCATACGACTTGATCCGCCGGAAAAAAAGAGGCTAGCCCTCATTCCTCGTACCTCAGCCGATACAATGTTCACAGCTAGAGTCGCCAGGGTGAGATGTCATCAAAGAACCCTCAAAGCACGAGAGCTATGTCATCGTATGTCATACACCTTAGTTGCGTAGGAACATCCTTCGGATGGTTTAAACGCAAAGGAAACTCAGAGTCGGCAAAGGCTTGATATCTCAAAGATCATTCCTGCTAAATTTTAGGGAAGGCTGACCGGCCTATGTAGGAAACTAGGTCAAAGCAGTAAATGCGAAGAGCAAGAATCAGTAGGTAGCGTCTCATTGCCTTCCTAGAACGGTAGTAATGACAGGTTCTAGCATCTATTTGAGACAAAGTCCATCATCTAGCTGCAATAGCTGAAATACAACCATCTTACATCCCGCATCGCAATATCCGTCATTGGCGACTAAACTCACTCGAAATCCTGGCTCTCAAATCACCCTCTTTGCATGCGACGCAAAGATTTTCCGAACCGGATCATTTTTGACTTTGCCATTTCTTAGGTCTTACATGCCGCGATGCCGTATCCCCTCACTGTTGTGTAAATGCATGTGACTCTCACCACCTATTCAAAAAAAAATACTACATACAACGGGCGCTAAGTGGCGGGCAAGCGGGGCCGACAAATTCCGACACTGCATGCTGTAGTAGTCGAGCGAATGGTGTAAAAGGCATTTTGAATCACATCTCAGACCTAGCCAACGACAGTTGAAAACCCTGGGAGATCGACGTCTTGAAGGCTGCCATGGGTAACTGCGGTGCGACGTGGTGCTGACATCTCCATATAAGCGTGATAATCACGTCTGAATTCTGAATATCTGAAGTATACAGCAAAGAGCAAAAATGGTACAAAAGTCCCCTCTTCTCTCGTGAGATAGCGACTTCATGGCTGCTTGGGTAACATCTCTCGACGAGCATTAGCTCAACATCCAACTCCAGCACCACAACCACCCACCATGGCTCTCCCAAACCTCCCATCCCCCTCCCTCTCCCCCCTCCAATGGCTCTCCCTCACCCTCACCCTCCTAACCCTCACCTACGCCCTCACCTCCCTCCGCACCTACACCCGCCTCCGCCACATCCCCTCGTCCTCCCCCCTCTCCAACATCTCCTACGTGCCTCTCTTCCTCCTCGCCCGCTCCGCCCGCCAAGAAGAGCTCTACCGCACCCTCAACACCCGCCTCGCCTCTCGCCTCGTCCGCGTCGGCCCCAACGAGCTCCTCACCGACGACCCCTCCGTCCTGCGCCGCATCAACGCCGTCCGCAGCGACTACGGCAAGGACTCGTGGTACTTTTCGAGCCGGTTCAACCCCTACCAGGAAACCATGTTCACCACGCTCGACAAGGAGGGACACGATCGGATGAAGGCCAAGACGGCGGCGGCGTATGCGGGGCGGGAGGTGCATTTGTTGGAGCCGAGTGTTGATGTGCAGGTTGTGGGTTTGGTGAGGCTTTTGAGGGAGAGGTATGCGTATCCGGCGGGAGGTGGTGGTGGGGGAGGAGGAGGGAAGTTGGTGGATATGGGGGTTTTGCCGGCGTATCTTACCATGGATGTGATTACCACCGCGGCGTTTGGGAGGCCGTTTGGGCATTTGGAGGCTGATGCGGATGTGTTTGGGTTTATAAGGCAGATGAGGGACAATTGGCCGTTGATTGCGATTACGTTGGACACACCGTGGATCCGGACAGTTCGGTTCTCAAAGTTGTTTTTGCGGTGGCTCGGACCAAGGACGACGGATAAGATTGGGCTAGGGCAGATGATGGGGTGAGTATTTTGATATTGCGGGAGTGTAGTCTTTGGGAGATCTCTAACTGGTGGTGTTTAGGATTGCTGAGAAGTACGTCGGGGAGAGATTCAAGTCAACCTCGAAGCCTCAGAAGGACATGTTGGTACGTCTACGTTGACGGATCTGGTTTCCCTTGGAGCTGTCACTGATGGATTTGACTAGGGATCTTGGATCAAGAACGGCATGACGCAGCAAGAATGCGAAGCCGAAGGCCTCTTCGCCCTCGTTGCCGGCTCCGACACCACCGCATCCGTAATCCGCATCACCATGCTCCATCTCATGTGCAACCCCAGAATCTACCACAAGTTCAAAGGCGTTATCCGGGACGCTGTCGCCTCCGGAGTCTCGACCCCAATCACCTTTGACCAAGGCAGCAAGATCCCATTCCTACGGGTACGTTCTTCAAATCCCAAGCTGATCCCAAGCTTGGATGCCTGCCATACGCTGATGCTGAAAGCTCACAGGCACTAATCTACGAGGGCATCCGCATTCGCGCCCCAGCAACAGGCCTCTACCCCAAAACCGTCCCTCCCCAAGGCGACACCATCGACGGCAAGTTCATCCCCGGCGGCACCGCCATCGGCATGAACGCCCCCGGGCTTTTGAAGTCGCCCGCGCTCTTCGGCGAGGACGCGGAGCTCTTTCGGCCGGAGCGGTTTCTCGAGGTCGACGACGCGGCTAGGATGAGCATGGAGCGCGACGTGGAGATGGCGTTTGGGTATGGGCGGTACATGTGTGCAGGTAAACCGGTGGCGTTTATGGAGCTGTATAAGGCTTTCTTTGAGGTAAATGTTGATCAAGTTTTCCTTACTTAGTATTCTGCGAGAGTTGTCTTGTGATTGCCTTGGGGATGCGGATGCTAATGTGGTGTAGCTGATGCGTAACTTTGATTTTGAGCTTGCGGATCCGGTTCGACCGTGGGATTCGTTTAGTTATAACATCTTTGTGGAGGAGAACATGTGGACCAAGGTGACGATTTCGGATACCAGTTAGGACTTCACCGCTGCGTCAGTCGTCTGACAGATGAGAGTTGCGTTCTCCTTAGAAGAATGGCTTCGATGATTGAGTTTCCCTTCTCGACAAATGTAAGCATTGAGATGCTACGATTTGATGGGGTTAGTAGGCCTGGTTTGGTTACAAGAATCGAGTCTCTAGAATAAAACTGATCTGCGTACGCTCCACGGTAGCTTCGTACTGTCAGTCATCCCCATGTAAATATGTCAACCGACAGATAAGGTCGTCTTAAATCTCACTCTCAATGGACAGCTTCGCTTGTTCCATCAAATTTGCATGAGGCTTGTGATACTTATGAATCCAAGATGCCAAGCCTCACACAACTGGCGAAGCAGAGTCCTTCTTACCTCCACGTCCCGTTCCTCCTTCCTTCACCTTCACCTTCACCTTCACCTTCACCTAGGTAGGTATCTACCTCAGGCACCCAAGGGTATATACCCCCCCTTCAATCCCATTTCCGTCACCAGCACAGCAGTGTCCGTCTAGGTCGGCGGGTCAGGTCAAGCTGTGTGCGAGGTGGTCGAGTGGTTGAAATCAAAACAAATACTCCCATGAAGTCAGAGTCCGGGTTGACTGAGGGGCGCGCTGTTCGATCCTGGGCAGGGGCGTGAATTATATGGTCAGTATTCCCCCTCTATTCCTTTCCTTTTTCTTTTTTTTTCTTTTTTTCGTTTACATATTTTTTATGGGAATATCTCCAAGCAGTAATACACCTAGATGATCATCCTGAGCTTCGGGCTCCGGCCGGAGTAATCGACTTCGATCATCGTTATCCCAAAAGAGCCCTTGATCTAACTTCCCATGTAGGCGGAGAAATCGTCCAATCTGTCGTGCACACATGACCTAAATAGGCCCTAGCATCAATGACGAACATGAACTCATGGCATGGATCGTCAACAAGGCACGATAAGGTTCTGACAAAGCGCCTAATCCCGTGCGCCGCGCGCACGTTATGCTGCATGTCTTTCGCGTAGCACGAAGTCGTCTATGCGGCGAAAAAAAGGAAAAGCTGACTGAGGAAGACGAAATGTACGGGGTACCTGGAACCAATTAGCGTCCATGTCGCTCATCAACCAAAAGATAGCAACGAGATCTCGTGGAGAGCTTCCCCACGATTCTCAGCTGGGACTTGGGAGCATAGGTTGAACCACACGGGACCGCGCGACGCCGGTGCACCCCACGTTCGGTTTCGGGTCGCACCGGACGAAAGTCTACATGCCGGACGGTAGCTTCAGCCCACCCAACCCTCTCCCTTTGAGTTGGAGTAGCAGCGGGTGCCGGGATTCTTTCTGAACGGGGACCACTTAGTAAACGCCTACACAGCTCGGTTAGAATATGAATAAGAGCCATCTAAATTCGGACCCTTGAGGAATCCCGATGACTTTTTCGTGCCGTTGCAGAGCCATTGGCTGGTAAAGGGCGTCTTCTCAAGACTGACCGGCGGCCACTGACCCTCGCGATCTTCTTGCACCTGATGGGGCCATCGGCTGCTGCTCTCTCCAGCTCCGAGGAGTTCAGACTAATAAACCCGGTGCTGTAAAATGCCATTTCGGCGCAAGGACCGGCGAGGTGGGGAAGCTCTGGGACTCCATGGGAAAAGCGCTTAGCGCATTGATCGGCTCGAATTTCAGATGCGACGGGCAAGGAGCGCGTCTTGAAAAAGGGAATCCGGCATAAAAAGCCTCCCGGCTCCCCCCCTCCTTTAGCATTGTGTCATGGAAAAACAAGCTTCTTTCTCAAACTGCACCAAAAATCATCGCCTGTGTCGTTCAGGAAGTCGCAGTGCGCCGACTTCACAGCAGTCGTTCGACACGGGAGCTCCAAGTCCAAGACGGAGGGGTGGATATCGACCAACATGGTGCTGGAATCATGGACCGCGAGGGTCGCCCTCGGCTTGCTGGCGGCTTTGCTGGCATATCTCTGGAAAATCAACCGCGCCATGTCGACGATCTATCCTGAGGCTCTGCGGGTGTCGCCGGATCGATGGACGCCAGAGAAAATCAAGCGTACATTTGAGCGCATGGAGAAACAGCCCATTGACTGGACGCCGCACTTGCCGCCGAAATTGGATCGACGATACATCATTGTTGGAGGCTCTGGCAAGTATTCTGCGTAGAATCCTCACGTATTGCTGCTGACACTTGTATGAAATAGGCCTGGTTGGAGGACAGCTGGCCATTCAGCTCATTGCGCGTGGCCATCCACCAGAGGCTATCCGAATCATTGACTTCCGTAACCCTGGCCGTGACGACATGAGTGAGGGACCGATATCTAGAGTTGATTTTGCTCAAGCCGACATATCTTCCGAATCGGCAACCTCTGCCGCATTCGGCAGATCGTGGCCACAGTCGGTAGCACAACTTCCGTTGACCGTATTCCATACCGCCGCCGTCATTCGTCCTTCGGAGCGTAGCCAGCTAGTCTACGACCGTTGCTCCCTCGTCAACACCAAAGGAACCGCACATGTGCTTGCCGCAGCCAAGGCTGCAGGAGCAGATGTTCTCGTCTTTACATCGTCTTGCAGTGTGGCGTTGAAACCCACCAAATTCTTCAATGCTCCGTGGAGTCGGTGGCCGACAAACTTTTTCCAAGTCCTCGATGAAGTAGACTTCAAGAAGCCGCTGCGTTCTCACGAAGAGTTCTTTGCCAACTATGCAAGGAGCAAGGCTGAAGCTGAGCGGATCGTCTGCAGCGCGAATAAGGTGCCGCAAGATCCCACACAGGCAGGGGGCTTCCGCACCGGAGCCATCCGGCCGGGGAATGCCATTTACGGCCACAAAGACGATTACCTGGTTGGAGCGACGGTACGCATGGCCAGTTTCCCTACCTTCACTGCGCCCTTTATGCAGAATTGGGTCCATGGAGCCAACGTGGCTCTGGCACATCTGCAGTATGAAGCAGCTCTGCTCGGCCCCCACGCGCACAAAGTGGCTGCCCGCCCATTTCTTGTCACAGATGGAGGGCCGCCTCCGGTATTCAAGGACTTCTACACACTTGTGCAGTCGGCCAGCGTGACACCCTTTCACGTGCAGTACCCGCCGCCACTGATATTGCTGCTCTTGGCCCATTGTATCGAGGCTTATTGCTTGTTACTTTGGCGTGTGCCAGCGTTACAGAAGATCTTCTCGGAACCCGGATTGCCGTTGTACATGTTGCAACCTGCCTCCGTGGCTGGTGCCATCAATGCCATTATCAACGATGCTGACGCTCGTCGACGACCGGAGGAGGGTGGTTTGGGATATCAGGCGAAGTGCACGACCATGGAGGGACTGTGTATGCAGCTTGGCGCATGGAATCGGTGGGTAAAGAGCGACGGCGAGAAAGTCAGAAGCGAAAAGGGCATCGTCAAGGATGTGCTCGAGATTGGAGTCGAGCCTGTCGCGAGGAGAGCATGAGATCATAGAACACCAGCTGTGCGGTCGACTGCTGGAGATCGCTATTCGTGTATGTCGATGGAAGTCGGAATATAGCTTCGACGACGAATTCCACAGTGGGGAATGACCGAGTTTTGCAGGCGCCGTGCTTAGGAAAAACATGTACTCCGTAGCTCTTCTAAGAGAATCATGCGGCTTCCCGTCGTTGACAATCGCTTGGCAGTGTCTTGTTCCAAGCTTCAGATGTTGACCATGTAAGTGCCACAGTCTTGTCTACAGGATGACAGGCGACGTCTTGACGCGGCACGGAGATCCGGAACCTGGATCCTCGCCCGGCCCCCACAACCCCGGCTTGCCAAGTTGGCGGCGCTGGGGCTGGCTGCATGGCGCTTCGAAGATCACTTCTTGGGGTTTCTGTGATGGAATTTCCGAAATCCCCATGCTGAGGCATGATATCGTGTTTCGATTCAGTCCGTCACAAGCTTTGACGCAAGCTAAGAAAGGCCTCGCGAATCGATCCATTGACTTTCTGGACGGAGGAAAACCTTGCTGAGGCAGCTCAACAAGCCAAGCCACTCAACAGATGATGAAGCCACAGACCAAAGGCTGGTGGCAAGGTGCTGGCTGGGTGATGTATTCGTCAGCTTGGTGGCGGGGTCGTGCCAGCGGATACAGCTAGAAGAGGCGGAGAATCTGCATGGCCGAACAGACGCTGCAGAGGGTCCGATGTAAGTGACAGTCGGCTGGTCAAAGCAGGTGCGACAGACACGTGCAGAATGTTTGCGGTTGGCTGGAAGACAACATGGTGTTGGTCATGAGTGAACCACCAATGTACTCTGTACTGGATAAGAGACCGTTTCTGTTGCCCAACCGTCGCCTGTTGGAAACTGGAACATATGGAAAGCGGATGACCGTTGCCGTGAGTGACCAAACTCGAGTTCTGCATCCGATATCAAGCTCTGCTTCAGGCAGTTTGGGACCAGCCCCTCCCGCATACCCCAGGCGTTTGGTGCAGATGGCTAGTGTAGATAACTAGTGTCGCTGTTGATGACGATCACTAGAAAGCTGGGCATGCAATTGAGTGCGATGATTGGACGGCAGGCTCGTGGCAGCTCAGCGCCCAAGACCGTGGGAGGCAGCTCACCGTGGTGTGCCAGTGCCACAGGTGCCAGGTGTTATTTCGGGCTAGTGTTACTGCAAGAAGATGCGTGGACTGGCCGCGTTGCCGATTTGAGAGACTTACCTATTGTCTTTGTGACAGGCCAAAATCGACATTGGAGTTGGGAGGCGGCATCTTTGTGCCGTAATTGTTGGCTGGCGTCCAACGGCGTTGGAGCTTTGGGCACGAACATCCGCAGGCGCCGGGCTGCTCCATAGGCTGCTCCACGAAAAGATGCAGCGACCAGCAGGTATTTGTAAGGCCAGCAGGACAGGGTTCTCGATATGGGGCCGGGCTCAACCGGACACTAAGGTAAGTACGAATAGGTAGTGAGGCGTTAGTTGACCAAGTTGATCCTGAGATGTCGGCTTGGTAAGGCTCATGGCATCTGCTGTACCACCATTCGATACTTTGCGGTAGTCAGTGTGTGCGAAGTACATAGATAAAAAGGGGTGTTTGGAAGGCAAGGGGATTCGCAAACAGAAACAGAACATGGTACAAGAGTGAGGCAGGGAACCAGTGAGTAGGGCGGTGATCCAGTGACGCCAAGAAGAAGACGACGCGATGCGATGTGAGAAGGGGCGGGTAAGGTCATGTTCGTTTTGGAAGATGAGACGTCTTGACGGGAGCTGATGATTTAAGGTACACCATCACAGCTGCTTCTTTGATGAACCGGCGGTCGACGGTGCGTTTGGTGTAATAGAGAGTCGTGGAGATACTGCCATGAAGTATTTCAAGTCTGCCGGCATTGAATGAATCATCGGGGAATCAATGAATCTGAGGCATCGGTAGCAGATGGCAGTAACGCGGAGAAGCCAGAGACCGAGGGGGAAAAAAGAAGCAGCAAATGGGACGGCGCCCGGAGCAAAGTGCGTTGCGTTGAATTGATTGGCAATAGATACCCTTGCCTCCACACAACCTGCGGTGCCTGCGAGTCTCCCGGACCACGGCAACAGCCAAGCTGCATATCTGTGGCTAGTGTTCCTGCCGTTCTAGTATCGTTTGGGAATGGTGCTGTTTCTGCAGACCGAGGAGCGGAGGAACTCGAAGAGTCTGTACTATGTAGGAAAGAACACCATTGACCGCTCTTGCCACAAACCACACTCACTCAGAGCACTAGAAGAGCGGAAGGTGGAGCTGTGTTGGGTAACGTTAGACCGAGATGAAAAGCCCGGGCCCTGCGAAATCTGAAATCTGAAGGAGACGCCGGCGGAGGGGAGGGGCAATGTGCAATGACTGCCAATGGGGCGCGAACTTTTTTTTTTCCCCTCTCTACCTAGTCTCGCTATCTCAATTTGCTTCTCTCTGTTTTGTTATGAGACAGGCACCGCAAGGAATGCGACTGTAATAGCACTTGGCGCTGCGACCATCGCCTGGTCAATGAGATCTCGCGTGCGGCGTGCGGTCTACCATGCCAATCCCATCCCATCGCGACTGGCAGCAGCCACTCCCAAAGAATTGTAATGAGAGACTCACCAGCCAAAGGTTCGACGGGAAGACTTCTGTCGTTCCCGGCGAATCCTTGAGTGTCGTGTGCATGTGTGGATGAACACTCAGCCTGGCCGGTGGCATGGCATAAGCCGCGGTGGCACAGGCAAGCCGCAAAGTGCCGGGCCATGTCTGGATTAATTATGGAATGAAAGCGGAAAAGATGCGACGACGCGGATGAGGCCATCACGAGGGTCGACGAAAGTTTCAGTCTCCAAAGTCTGAAGCGACAGGGACCAGGTGGTACTGACAGGGCCGCCCTATGCCTGCTTAACTACCTCCCTTATATGAGCATCCACCGCCACAGCACTTGACAATTGACTATGTTATTATGAAATTGGGTTCAAGTGTATCACCTCAGAGATTGCGCAGCGCTGTGGGAGCGAAGAAGAAGAAGAATTAAACCATTACAACTTTGCGGGATGGCGCTGTCTTAGCTTCTGCTTGTAAAGATGCACTCTAATGACTTGAAGATACGTACACATCCAATTCCCGCCATGTGCAACCTTGTAGCGTTCCTATCTTGATTAAGGCCATGTACGGTACGTACCTCCCCGGCCAGTCGGTTGACGACTTGCCCCTGCCGATAACAGCAAAGTCGCGGACTGTCTGTGCGAATTAGCTGGCGCTCACGCCTCCCGGTGACGGTATTGCTTCTCAGTTCTGACCTCGCCGCGAGAAATCCATCATCAAACCTCGAGTCCGCAACGGCAACCTCAATGGAGTTTTCTTGACGGAGATACGGCGGCTGCACTGGAGGAGGAGGTGCATATGCTCCTGGTTGGGTTTCCCCTCTCCCCCACTGTGACCCGACATTTGCGATGTGTGGACCCCAGCCACACGTCTGTATCCGCCAGTACGTATCTTTGCAGGCCTTGTTTGTGTGGGAACGGGCCAAGCCCGGCGACTTGCGACTGCCATGTAAGTTGTACCCTTGTACCTACCCGACGTGGACGCGCCGGTGCAATTGCTGCTGTGCGGACGCGGGCATCGTGGTCCAGTAGAAAGAGAAGGGAAAGCGAGGGCAAACCCGCACGTGTGAGGTACGGTAATGGAAGAGAGGGAAGGAGAAAGAAAGAAGAAGAAAAAAAAAACCGCGGTCGGCCGGACAGGTACCGCGCAATCAAACCATGCGTTCGTTGCCTGTCTTTCTGATGTTCGCAAGAGGGAAGGTGCGGTTTCTGCTGTTCCACCAGCCACCCTTGCAACTGTCCACTGGCACCTGCACTCATACCAGGACTCCTCACACTTTTTTTTTCCCGCTCCCCCCATTGAGCTTACCGCATTCAAGGCAAGTGCGACCGGGGAGACAAGCGTGGGAAAGAACCACTCACACGCCCCGAGGTACCTGCCGCTCTTGTTGCTGTTGCTGCTGTTGCTGCACTCTTGCCTCATAATAAAACCACATCGTTGCCCGCGTCTCCCATCTGTTTTGACCTCACCTCTTCTCTTTTCCCGCCCACTCTCCGTCAAACATCACCATCAAGCACATCCAGGCAAAACATCTTCACGCTGCCGACGATACTTTGGAACTGAATATCGCTTGATTGATTGTCAGACGTCTCTCCCCGTCTCCATTCAACAACTTCAACGAACCACAATTTCCACTACCTCTACACATCACCAACAGACAACATGCGTACTTCTCTCGCCATCGTGGCCCTCTCGGCCCTCTCTGCTGTCTCTGCCCAGCGCAAGGTCTACACCGCTGCCGACATCAACGTTGATACTGTCTCCGTGAACCAGAGAGGTAAGTCAATTGGGAGAAATGATGCTACCATCTGCGTCAATCCGGCTTTGCCGCCCCGACTACTACCAGGGAGCATTGACTAATTATTTTTCTTCCACAGCCAGCTGGTGTGTCGCCGAGCGCAACACTTGCAAGGTCCTTTGCGAGCCTAACCCCAGCACCAACGACTGCGATTCTGTAAGTTCTCCTCTTTTTTTTCTATGCTAGAGCAGGTGCACTAGTTGCTTGTTGATCACCCCGGTCCGATTCGAAAGAGCCCGACGCTCGTGTACAGCATGGCTAACTCTTACTGAATAGACCACCCTTGTCTACTCTTGCCTCTGCCCCAACGGCTCGGCCCCCGGCCTTGAGTACTACGAGCAGACCTTGCCCACCTTCATCTGCGAAAAGGCTTTCGAGGACTGCATCACGGCCAACGTTGGTGACGCTCGCGGCCAGACCAACTGCACCGACACCATCAAGACCCAGTGCGGTACTGTCAACGCCCAGGCTGACCAGGCTTCCGGTGTTTCCACCACCACCACCGCGTCTGCTACCAGCGCTCCCAGTGGAACTGGTACCGCCGCCACTACCACTGGTGCCTCCAGCTCCAGCTCTTCCGCCTGGGCTGCTCCTACTGCGAACCCCGCTCACCTCGGCAACGCTGCTGCTGTCGCTGCCATTGGTCTCCTCGCCTACATGCTCTAGATTGCTGCTACACTCTAGGCTGTGGTAAGCTGTGAGTCTCGATTGCTTCATGCGGCGACATGATTGACAATCGCGGGCTCTAGGCGGTCTTTCACTTCTCTGTAATCACCTTCCCTACTATCCGGTCTGCGTGCTTACCACGCGGCTCCCTAATCTTTTTTGACGAGGAATACGTGGAATTATGCGATGGAGACGATGGATATTCCCACCCGTATGGCATTTTGAAGTTCTAGGAGGAGTCAGTGCGTTACAGGGGACGGGTGATGTCACCCCATGTTGCTTTTGCTCTGCATTTCGCGTTTTAGGCATGATTGAAGACAGTCCAGACGACGTCAAAGAAATGAAGAATTGATTCCCCCCCCATTCCCTGTCCCGTCTGCTTGGAGCCTTGGCCATTGGCCTATGAGACTGACAATGGGCTTGTGACAGTCCTCCACCCGCCTTCTTAGAGGTATGCTAAATCCTCCCAAGCCTGCGAATCTTCACTAACTGATGCCTTTGTCAACGCCAATAGCGAAGGCCAAGAAAGCGGTCAAACATACTTTGTTGTCATTGTTTCATCAACCTTCATTCTACAGAAACTGCTAAAGACAATTCTTTGAGTCTTTGGATCGGGACAGTTTCATGATGCTTACTGCTATTGAGGGAGGCTATGATATATTTGAACTCGCTGCCGCCCGTATGGCACCAGTCCAGCTCTTCGCAACACATACCTACTTCCTATCAACATTCAACCGTCCAAATTTGCATCATTGACTGATCGCAGACATAAGCACCACATCGTACATTTCATCAACCAAGTCGCACCATACATCCAAACCTACCATGACCGAACGACAAACACAAACCACACCCCCGCGAGTCTCCTTTGGCGTAGAACTCGAATTCTTCGTCGCCTTCGTTCGCGAGGGGGAGAGAGACCCTGACTATGCCATCAAGCACGAGCTGCAGCCTCTTGTCGTAGTTCCACCGGATGATGGGGTCGAGAAGTACGGCATTCCGCATACGGCGTACAATTGGGACGAGGACTTTGTTTTCCACAGCATTGGAGACGCCTTGGCTAAAGCTGGATTGCCGGTATATGGCCAGGGACAATGTGGTGTGCCCGGCTCCGTTCAGAGCATGCAGAGCAAGAAGGCCATCAACGCGTTCCAGCTCAAGACAGACATCTCTCTCAAACCAGATCACGTCGACGGGTACCGCTGGCAACGCGTCGAAATGATATCACCAGCCATGTACAACATGAATCTCTCTTTCGATATGATTCGTTTAGCGGTAAGTGTCATCACTACTAACTTCCGATGCCGAGTGAACCCTAGTTGTGGGTTCCACGTTCATGTAGGTGTAGGACCGACGCAAAGAATCGACCCCAGGACATTGCGGCATTTTGCTGCCCTTCTATGGGCCGCTGACCCTCTCCTCAGTCGACTTCATCCTCCTTGGCGTGCTATCCTCGCCTACAGCCAGTCTGCTCGAGTGAATGAAGCTACACCTCTGGGACAAGGCAAATGTCCCGCAGATGCCATTATTGACACAGACGATGCCCTACAGAATTTGAAGAAGGCAAAGTTCCTGGGAAGAGACCGTTGGCTTGGCGACTCGGTGGAGGTGGACGCGAGCTCAGAGACGATGAATCGCGAGATAAACTTGGATCAAGAGGATGACGAGGCTCTTCTCAAGGGCCACGAACCATGGCAGCATCGGCGGATCATTGCCGACGTCAGAGACCCAAAGACACCCGAAGTTCGCTCAACCTCGCCGTTTGGGTTTCCTCCACATATCTACGAGGCTCCTGTATCGATGCCGAAGAACTACCGCAGTTCTACACCCAACGGTGCAAAACCACCACGACCCCGGCCTCCCCCGATCAGCAGACGCTACGCCCGTGTTCCGGGAACCATGCGAAGAGACTTGCGTGGAGACCCCGGCTTCCTGGAAGGTTACATCCTAGGCCAGGGAGGAGACATCGAATGTGTGGAAGCCAACCAGCCGGCTCGATGGGACGTCATGTCTGGTGTCAGGGATCTCCTAGGTGCTGACATGACGGTCGCACAGGTCGGGCAACTGATGACGCCTGCTTTTCTTCCCAAGCATATCAACTACAAGTTCAAAGCGTATGACTTTTACTCTGTGGAGCATCTTGGCCCGCAGGACGAAAATGCGACGCGAACGACATTCCCTACGAAAGACCACACGATTGAGTTCCGCGAGGCGGCAGGTTCCCTGGATGTGGAGTGGATTGCGACCTGGGCTCGCATCTGCTGTCGACTACTCGAATGGAGCCGTGACGCGGAGCCGACGGAGTTCATGTGTGTGATGAGGCTGCTGGCGTGGGCCCAGGAAGAGCAGGGAGCCCAATACGACGTGGTTGATTTGTTGATCGATTTGGGATTGATCACGGAAGCAAGATTCTGCGAGGACAGGCTGCAGCAAGGGGATGCTGCGTGGTGGGAGTGCGCAAATCTTGGCTCTCTCGAAGGATCCGAGGACACTTTCGGAGGCGGAATGTGTTACCCAGTGCCTGAGTTTGACGACCACGAGATGCCTGATGTAGAGAAAGGGGATGGGCAGCGATACCTGGGAGTCGCATTCGGGGGCTGGGATGATGCTTATGGTGGTGAGTATAGGGGAAGAGAGGGTTGGGACTCGTCAAGTGGCAGTGATGCTGTCGAGCTCGAGGGCAATTCGCCCGAGGCTGGTAAGGAAACCAAGACGAGCAAAACAGGGACAGCCAGGGCGACCACACCCGACACACCTGCAAAGAAGGGAGGCGAAGATGTGCCTACGGCCGGTAAGACAAACGCAGCAGGCACATCTGAGAAGAAGACAGGTGATGATGTGAAGGAGCAAGGTGAGTCGGCGGCGCGGGCGTCCCATAGTTCGAGCACTGGCACACCTCGCCCAATAATTACGATTGAGTGAGAGGGCGTGAGAGACTGATTGCAAGGTAGGTGTCGTCGATGTTTTGGAAACGTTGTCGGAGTATGCTTGGGTTGACCATGCCGAATACCCTGACGAGAAGAAGAGGGCCGAGTCGGAGGACGGCTTTGAGATGGTGGAACGTGAGGGATGAGGCATCACCCCTTCAAAGATCTGATTTTGGGAGTTTCTAGGTAGACAAAATTTGGGTTCATCATGGACAACGTTATTGAGTGTTTGATGTGACACAGGAGCTTGGCCTGATGTGAGATTGTGTCCTCTGATCAACAAAGTGTTTCCGAGCTAGAGACATTGCACTCCAGCCTTGGTACCTTCCCACAACGAACGTCTGGATTTTCGCGTGTTGTTTGCTGCTGGCAATGGCAATATCTGTGACATCCCGTTTGATCAAGAATAGTCTATAAGCAGCCACGAGACGAAGGAAAGGGATCATTCGTGATGGAACACGGTGGTGGGCTATTCAAAGTGGCCTAGATGCTCAACGATCAAAGACTCCATGCTGCGTGGAACCGGTCCCTAGATCTCAACTCTGTGTCAAACTAAATCTAGAAGTCAGGATAATGGATGAGGGTGCTGTAGTAGGGAGGAGCAAACCGCCATGTCCAACCTTCTATTCAGATCATCTCAAGATGGTAAGTTTGGGGTGGAGATATGTATAATAACGACAAACATCACCGCTGTGATTTCATTCCTGGTTTTGATGGATTTGTCATATTAGTTTCTCGAACTTTGAGCTCAACTTCAACTGGATGTTTCTATCTGCTGTTTTGCTAGTGGACTCGGCATTTACTTGGCTGGCTCCAAGAATCGAAGCCAACATGTTTTCTTATTACTGAAGAGTCCGATAGTCTAGCCTTCAGAGCTCGAGGCAGAAGAAGTAGCTGGCAGCTTTCATCTTTGTGGATTGAATCAACGTCGTCGAGGAAGTTTTTTCTTAAATCTAGGACATCGTCGCTAGTTCGGATATCATTTGTAGGCCCCGAGCTGCTTGGACAACTCAAATCAAGATATCGGTGAGGTGGAACGGCTACCTTGGAACAGTATCTACAAGTCTTCAACCAATGGAACCCCTGTTTGGACTCTAGAATTTGTGACCTCGTATCTACTACAATGTTCCGGGTCTCGAGGACTGGCCGGCCCCGGTACATCAATGGCATTGTTTACAGCTTGGAGCCTAGAGTACCCGACCAGGATCGTTGTCGAGAACTCTGACGAAGACAAAGGAAAAACAGATTGCGGCCCGAGGTCCCGCTGCACAAAGTCGGGGTTTATCTATTAAAAGACATTCTTCAGCCAGCCAAAACCTTGCAGATTCAAGTTCTCGGTAAGCATATCGGGCGCGACATTCCGATTTCCCTGGTAGTAGCAACACTAAAGCATCATAACAGAACCTCGACTAGTACGAACTCCCACGACACATCCCCGTATCCTCCTTTGCATGCAACGATGGATCATCAACAAGCACCGTACGACGGTCCTTCAACCATCTTCGACCGCCTTGCGTTCCTCCCACTCGAGCTCCAAAAGCACATCCTCTACGACTACCGCACAGTAAGTAGCCCCTGCCTCTTATCCCTCTTCGTCCCCGACTGGGCCGTCTGCACCCGCGCCTCGGATCCCGTGAATGAGATTTACGACCTCCAGCGGATCGACGTCTATACCAAGGGCGGCGGCAGCGTTCGAGGTAAGTACGAGTGTGGTGTGAGGCACGGGGATGGGGATCACGCTTCGTTTCCGTTGATGAGGCAGGTAGACGACGACTTGAACGATCAGCAGCAGCATGGGTCATTGTTATTGGAGGAGCTGGGGAAGAGGTTTCCTGCTGCGATGGACTGGGCTCTACGCGACCTCGGACGGAACGGGCTGAGAGTCTTTGAGCAGGTTTGGCCTCGGGGGTGTGATGATGGGATAGGTAGGTGCATGGCTAGCGGAGCGCTCGTCTTTCGTGAGGACAGCGGCGGCCGCGGTCAAGATGCCGACCATCCTCACCCTACAGGAAAAGTCCCGACGAAGTTAGAGATGTCGTTGTCGTTGCCCCGCCACCTACTGTTCAACAGCTTCCCCTCCGACCCCTGGCTCCAGCTCCGGCTGCGACGTAACGCCGTGACCGACTTCCGATGCGAGATGGCGCTCCTCATCGAACGGGGGCCGGACGAGTTTATCGCGGTGGACTGGGCTGCTATGACGCAGCTCGAGACGCTGTTCCTCGATTTGCGAACGTATGCTGCTCAGGGCGGCGCGTTCCTCCGGGACGGGATCCGGCGCGCCGCGGTGAAGATGGGGTGTCTTCGGCTTCGGTGTCTTGTTGTTGCGGGGTTGAAGACGGGGGAGAGGTACGGTAGGTCGCGGGGTGGTGCGTGGGAGACTGACGAGGAGGTTGATGGGGAGGAGGTGAATTGGGTCCAAGTTTTTGCGCCGGCGTTGGGGGAGGGCGGGAGGTTGGTGTTTGTTGATCGGAGGGTTGTGGATGTTGATTGGGATGCGTGGAGGGTTCGGGCTGAGGCGGAGGGGTTGTTGGTTCCTGAGGGTGAGCGGGAGGAGGGGGGTTGTGTGACTGAGAAGTATTTGAGGCATGTGGACAGGGTGAGGGGTGATGGTAAGTGAAGTCTCTTTTGCCTAGGTAGGCGGAAGAGTTACATTACATGAACAGCCAGTAACATCAAGTGATTTGTGAGAGGTCGCTGGCGGAGACCAAATATATATAGTTGGTGTTTTGCCGCCTCACGATGTTCGCTTCTTCACCCTTCAATGTCATCAAATACACCGCCACCTACTCTCGCTTGTGAGACGACGCTCTTCCATCAGAGTCGCACTACGTTTCTCTTCGCTCCTGATATGCTACATAACAGTTTCCACTACCTAGCTCTCATGTCTCCATCCAACACGGCGCGAGGTGGTCCATCTCTCCGCTGTAGGCGACCACACAGCTCCGTGGTAAGGGAGCGTGCCGCCTTGCGCGTCACCGTCTGTTGCGGCAGGTTGCTGACCGGAAACGCCACATCTTTGGTAGACTTTGAGCGATACCCTCCTTTGGAACGCCTGTTGACGAAAGCCAGAGTGAGGGCGCATGTTTACCAAGCCGATGCTTCTCTCCAGCCTCCTTGGACGATCCCCGTCCGCCTGGGCGAGGCTGTGATTCCGTGGTCTCATTCCCATGAGAAATGAGCTCCTTGCTTGCCTCCTCCTCAGACTATGACCGTCGTCGTCTATCAAGTCAGCACTGGTGTAGAACCTAGGACGAGAAGAAACTTACAGATAAGTCAATCTGTTAAGAGACGAGTAACGGTGATTGCAAGCCTGCGGGGTTGATTCGTCCACAGGCTGGGCATGCTTGAAATTTCTCCGCGATGAAGTATCACGATGAGGTGGAAGAAAATCATCTCACACCTCCTCCCCCTCCCCCTCCTCAGCCAAGACCCGCATCCTCTCCGCCTCCTCCTCCGAATCCCCCGCAGGCGGCTTATTCGGCTTGATCCCCTCCATCTGGAGATACCGCACCAGCGTCTTGGTCGCGCACGTCACTCCCGCATCGCGCTTCAGCTCGGCGTACGAGCACGCCGGCTTCTCCTGGAGCACGCGCAGGAGCGTCTTGACGTCCCTGTCCGACAGGATGCGGGGGCGGCCCGGACGGGGCCGGTCGCGGCCGGCCTGCTGGAGGCGGTAGCGCGTGACGATGCCCTTGATGGAGGAGACGGGGACTTCCTCCTTGATGGAGATTTCTTTGAGGGACATGCCGAGTTCCGAGAGGACGGCGATGCGGGCGCGCTTTTCGGGGGAGTATTGCGGTTTGCGGGGCTTTGGTTCTAGGGCGGCGCGGCGAGGCATTGTGCTGGTTGGGTTTTTTGTGTGAGAGGTTTCTTCCGTCTGAGAGGGGTGAAGTGATGTAAGAAGTAGAGGATGGAGGGATGAGCGCGGCGATATCGCTGAAGAGTAGATGAGCGAGTTGAGAATTAAAGGGGGATTACGGATACGTTTGTGAGACGAGGCTGGAGATGAGAAGGAGGAGGATGCGATGAGCCATGTCGAAATTTTCGTTTTTTATTTTTTCTTTTGGTGAACCCCGGTGGCTGGGTCCACTTTCTCGGGGTGGATCAGGGGTGTTGCATTCGGGGTAGTGGATACCTCAGGTACCTCGATCAGGCGGGGGGCAAGGGCCCCCATCCGTACAGCTACGGCTAGTGGGGGTTTATCTCGATAGCTGGAGGCATTGGATTTGATGTCTTTTCGTCACAGACTCTGCTTGATTTCCATCACCCCTTCATTGAGCTCCGGCGCTCCGATGGCCGTTTGTTAGTACTTTAGCATGTTCCGGCCGTGAGGGCTCCGGAATACTTCTTACTCCGTTCCACCTGCGAGAGAAGGTACCCGAGCTCGGGTCTCGGACAGGACCCTTCAAGTATTGCCAACACATCGATGCTTGTTTGTAGTCACTTGAAGAGAATTTGGCTTGGATAGCCGCACTGAAAGTTGAAGTACACCTTGGAACAAACATGCGAGTTGCATCAGCAATGTCTCGATATCCACTCATCTTTTTCTTTTTCTTCTTCTTCTCTTTAGGATAGAGTAAGAAGAAAGCGCAAGTCTGGCAAGAAGAAACCATGTCCCATCACGGACCGCCGACGATGTTTCCTGACGATGGCACAAGCCAGCCACACGCACGTCCCTGAGCACACATCATCTTTGCTCCGTGGCGCCATAGGCGTAAGCTGCGTTTTCGAGAAGTACGTGGCCTTGCAAGAGCTAGCTTCAATCAAACCCGACACTAAGAAACGGTATATAGTGACTCTTTGAGTTTAAGACGATCTAGTCTTGTGAAGTGTTTCGTAAAAGACAGGCGGGCACACCAATTAGCGGCTGCCGGCATCACTTACACGGGTGCAGGGGTCCTCACTCTCAGAATCCCACTCAGTTATCAGACGGGATCCTCAACATTCAGATATTCAGCCTAGATAGACAAGACTCTTCTCGACAAGTTTATAAGACTTCCACGCTCATTATAGGAATCGTCCAAAAAGAATTAGAAAAAAAAGACAAGCTCTTCTTCCCAACTACAAAAAGCTCGGCCCCTCTCTGTGAGTAACCCTTTGAGAGAGGGACCTACGAAAATTCCTTAGGATGAAGCAAGGAATTTTACTAGAGGCACACGGGACTCGAACCCGGGACCCATGGTAGCGGGGCTATTAAAACGAGGACATTCCCCGCTACGTCATGGGCCTTGGTGATAGTATTAAACAAATTTGTTCCTCATGTAGGGTATCGCGGGCTGGTGACCAGTGACGGTGGGGGTTGTAGGGCTGAGACTGTGGGTTGACACTGTGTGGTGAATCACCGGGCACCAGTTTGATGGCAGATGACCTCCATGAAAGAATGAATCATAATATAATTCTGGTACTAGTAGGTACACTGGGTACGGCAATCATCTCTCACCCTTCAATGAGACGTGAAGCGTAACTCATGATCCTTCCAAATGTGCTGCGACTGCCATACAATGATCCCATTGCTTCGTAAGATATATCACACCTCTCTTCCCTAAGCCATGATCCCCTCCAACCACCAACAACACCTCAAAACTTCCCCTCAGACGCCTTCTTCGCAGCCTGCTCCGCCATAAACTTTTCATAATCCGCCTGCCTCTCCGGCGAAACCTTGATAAACGGAATATCATCCTCCATCACCTTCCCCGCAACCCTCACCGGCTCCGCCGGCTGCAGACAGAAAATCACGCGCGCCCACTGATCCGTCGCATTCTTCCACCCGTGCATCGTGCCCCTCTGAACCATAATCTCCCCTTCCTTCAGAGTGCGCTTCGCCCCGTCGTCCAGGTAACACTCCACCTCGCCCTTGAGCACGATGCCGTAGTCGCACGACTCGGTGCGGTGCATCATCGGCCCCGTCTGCGGACCGAAGTCGACAACCCTCAAAACGGAGCCCGAGGGGAGGTGGAGGGAGGGCATGTGTGGGTGGTTGGGCGCGTAGGCTTCGAGATCCTTTTCGTCGTCCATTTTGACGGGAGACTCGGAGGTTGTGTAGCAGGTGTGGAAGTACATGTTTGTCAGCGGGTCGGGGGTGACTTGTACGGGGAAGGCGTCGGAGAAGACGGCGCGGCCGTTGGCGTCATGGGTTGTGATGTGCCGGGACACGGGGCCGAAGGGGCAGTCTTCGGGTGCGGGGGCGGCGGGGGGAGCTCCGGAAGACGACATTTTTGGCTAAGGTGGGCGGTTGCGTAAGGTAGTACGTGCGGTAATAGTGCGGGCAGACGGTTGAAGTGTCAAGGTTTGATGAAGGGACTTGACAAGTTTGACAGATGAGAGGGGGCGAGCAACGAAGTATAAGGTAGCTAGCTGGTGAGAGTATCCGTAGGTAAGTAGTCGGCTCTCCTTTGATCGAAGGTCTTGCCTCTTTTCTTCTCCGTCAAACAAAACAAGTGTGGGCGGGGAGTCGTCCGATGGATTGTATTTTCTGTTTCTGTCAAAGCACGATTCGTTCTTGGAGAGATGCGATTGGGGGGGTAGAAGAGGGGATGAAAGGTCCCTTTAAGAAGGTGTGCTGTCACGGCCGTTGGCCTCGGCGCACAGACTGGGGGGCTGTCTCACGGCTCGCCGAGGGAAGAGACGAAAAAGCCACTTGCTACGTAAGTAAGGTTGGCAAGTACCTAGCAGAACGATAGGCACAGAACTTCCCGCCGCGACCGTTACAAAGTGCGGCAAAAAGTGCCGCCATAACAGGTAGACATGTATCTATCTCAACAAACACGGGTAAGCGACAAGGATGAGCTCACCAGTGAAGAGGGGGAGCTCGCAGTGAAACGAAGCTTGGCTTGCGATTGCTCACTGCATCCTTCTGACTCGGCACTGTGACGAAGATCACTAAGCACTGCTGTTACAAGCCTCGGGAGCTGACCACTTGCACCTGCGTGGCTGTGTGGATCGATTCTGGGGGCATTTGTTGAAGATAGTACTCAATTCAGTTTGGATTTATATTGCCTATGCTTGGCGTTGAGCAAGAATGGAACTCCCGTGGTATCCGACCGATTGCGGATAGCCAGAAAAAAAAAAAGTGCACTGCCTGCTCAACATTAACAAGCCTCGCCGAACCTGTGGCGATCTCTGCATAGACTCGAGCCAGTGTACGGCTTCTAGGTGAGACCTCGATGATGCGGAGGCCCTCGGTCAAGAATTATTGATCATGTAAACACCAATTCATCCCTCGCAATCGCTCAAAATCCGAGGTTGTCGGGCATCTCGTACTCTAATACATGCAGCTTGTAAGTTTGCGCTGGCGTTTCGGGTCCTGCGGTCACACGCACGCCGGTCCGACGTTGATCTGAAAGACGGGGAGGTGTCCGCTTTGGCGCTCCGTGTTCCAGAAAAGTCTTCGCAACGGCTCCGCGACAAGCGGGGATGTCGGACTCGGAATCAACTCCGGTAAGGCCGAATGTATGCATGCATACACGCTGGCGGAGGACAGGATGAGCTTTTTCAACCTTGGTGAATCAAGTTTCGGGCATTCCCCGATTGTGCCGGACAGATCACTGTCGTTGTGACAGGGACGTTGACCGCCGGGGAGATTATAGGATATCGAGAGGTCGACTTTGATTAGTCTGGCAGTGATAGACCGCGCCACTAACGTCTCAGCCGGTGGCTAGAGACCGCCGGTGGGACGAGCATACCAATATTGGCTATCGGGGAAATTGACCGCCGGGGAGAGCAGCTGTGATCGGGCAATCGACTTTGACGGGTCTTGTCGTGGAAAACCGCGATGTGGGCGTTGCGGTCAAGAGTACGCGATCGCCGCAAGGGTGTCGGTTCACGAATGTGGCGAGCAATGTCAAAAGCCGCCGGGGAGCGGTTTCCTCGTGAGCGGTAGACAGGCATTTGCGGAGAGGCGGCTAGGAGCTTGCTGATCTTTACTTCAGGTTTCAATGGCAGCATTCGCTAGTGTTCTCATCTTGTGCGAAGTCAAAAGAAGCTCCTACCAAAAAGCTTGTCGTGGATTGGCGAGGTGTAGGACGAAGTTGGCCAGTGCCAGTAGACAGAATAGCAACGTGAGCGAAGTCTAGCGCGGACTGTACCGCCGGGAAGAGTACGACAGACTTAATCCACTTCTTCATCTTCGAAGGAGAAACACGGGGAGCTCCCGCCGGGCTGGCTCGCCGACTTTGCAGAAAGTGTAGGATCCGTGAGGTAGTCTCGTTGATTGCGGCTCTTGTCTGTCAAGATGCGTCTCAAAGACCGCTCAAGCCAATAGCAGGTCAGTGGCTGTAGCCGTTCCAAAGATCAGTACGATGTCGTTGGTCAGATCGGATCGGACAACGTGGAAATTCGACGCTACCACACTATCTCAATATCAGACGAGATGAGTTTGGTGGAAAGACGATGGAGGCTTGGAGCTTAAGAGCAAGGGACTGCCTTGGCTGTCTCGGCGAACAATACCGTCTAGATCGCAGCACTGCTCACTTTGAGGCGTAGCTCACGAGGCTAGCAATTGTAATCAAAATGGCTTCGCAAGCTAAGCAAAGCGGGGAGACTCCGGCGGCATTGTGTCCCCGAGAATGACGAGGCAATATGAAGACCGAGAATCCAACGACCAAGGATCGGAGTTGACCCCGAATGCCTTGGATCTGATAACATCCGTGGCTGCGACCGACCGACCGACCTCCTCCGGATGCGTCCCCGGCCGTCGACTGACGCGCCGAGCAAGGCAAGCGTGCGTTGCCATTAACCGCTTGTCGTGTTGGCAACCTTTTGTGACCACCATTCCTGCCAGTCGACTACCTTCTTCCCTGTCCGCGCTTCCTCTGCCGCGAATACCATCGCATGTGAGCGAATGACCTCTTCGAGCGAGCAGCCGATGAACTCATTCTGCGCTTTCTCCGGCATCCAGCCGTGATTCTTGACGTTGTCCACCGCCAGTATAAATTGACGCGCAAGGCCTTTGTCCCCACCGCCGTGGCCGGCGTCTTCGAGGGTTGGGTGGAATGATTGGGTGGTACCTGTGTTGAAGTCCTCTATGGTGATCGTCCGGGCGTCAGCATAGATTTCGCCATCGATACCATAAATGTGCGTATATCTTTCGCAAATCTTCTTCGTTTGTGCGACCATGTGCAGAGTTGCTGATTTGGATTGCTTGGTTGACTCTGGAGTACCGTCCGTAGCATCATCCCAGGTGATGGTAACAGTCTGGTCATCACATACGTTGTTGTCTGCGTCGAAAACACAACGACCGAACCAGTTCCGCGATGCGACGACGTCTTTCGGGGTGGAGTCATCGTAATCTTCAGCAAGCTTTGATGCCAAGACTTTGTTTCGCTCGGCTACCGGGAAGTCTTCTATCTCCGGCATTACGATGCTGACTGGCCAGTCGGTGTTGCCGGAGGCGAGACCTTTCAGATCCTGGCCGAGATAGATGTTCTTGGCGGAGAACTTGCAGCCTCCATCACCCAGAGGGCATGACATACAGTTCGTTGCGCTCCCAGCCGCGGCGGGTTTGCGTCCTTTTCTGAAGAGGTGAAGCGAACCACTTGACGATACAGTGGATGGCAGATGAGGGGTGCCTGTCCCAGCCTTTACTGGTGCGCTCAGGAGCCAGAGGAGGAGATCAATGTCGTGGCAGCTTTTTGTCAGTAGACTTGGTGCTGTGGTCTTTTCATTTCGCCAGTTGCCGCGCACATATGAATGCGTGAAATGCCACCATCCAACGGGCTCAGTGTGCACAATCTTGAGGATATCGCCAATGACACGGTCTTCGAGCAGTAGCTTGCGGAGGAGCATATTGTGTGGGCTGTAGCGGAGTACATGGCCGATAGAGAAGACGTTCTTGGGCTCCTGACCAGCAGGAGGCTTCATAGCCTGATACATGTCGAGGCAATCGGTGAGAGACGTAGCGAGGGGTTTCTCGCACATGACATGCAGACCTAGGGGAGCAAGCCCGACGAGAACATTGCGATGCATTTCGTCGAGAACACAGATAAAGGCGGCATCGACACCAGGCGGTACACCTTCGCCGGCAGCTTCTCTCTCGCGACGCCGTGTCTCGTACGCTACGAACTCGGTCCAGTCGGTAAATTCCTGCCCTTCTTGCGGGGTGTTGGAGCCCCAAATGAAGGTTCGCCCGAAGCTTTGACGTTTGTAGGCGATAGGCTCAGCAACGGCAGCCACGATACCGTTACAGGACGTCTCATTAGCATCAGCATATGCTTGTCCGCGAGATCCAGCACCGATGACTAGAATGCGAGGTGGTGAAGCAGACATGGGAGGTTTCTGAGGTGGCACTGGAGTTGCATCTGGATGGACTGCGACGGGCGAACCCGACTTCTTGACGGACGACATGTCGTGGTCGTTATCGTTGAAGTGTGATCTTTTGAATTCAGGAGAGCCTGGTGATGATTTGTTTCGATGAGCTTGGACCTTTTTGGGATCTCGAGGACCGTTCCGTCTCTTGGAAATAGAAATCTAGAATGGCGTCATTGAATAGAGGTCTGGTGGATGAAAGAAGGAGGTTGATGTTAATGGGGGCTTTGGCTCTAAGATGGGAAGCGGGGCACTTGGAGAAGGCCAGGGCCAATGAATGACGGTCTATTTGAATCGTGGTCCGGGGTACCTGCCATGGTTCTTGGCAATTTCCTTATCTTATCAGCAGCTGTCGGTTGAATCTTATCGTCTGCCGATGTGGGGCACCTTCCATTCATTTCTGGCGGTGAGATGTCAATGGGTACCTTAGGTAGGGGGGTAGCAACAATGCCGCTGATGTATCCGGAATATTTTCTGGTTTTCATCACACAAAAAGTGTTCTGCATGGTTTGTGTACCAATTGCAGCCCAAATTATAGCGGCATTGATTGGTAAGAGTAGGAAGAAGAAATTAGGAACTGAGGATGTTTTCGTAGGACTTGATGGGCTGGCATAGGATCGCATGGTACTCCGTGCATCTTGCTCCTTCTTCCGTGCAAGAATTGGAAGCCACAGCCGGAATACTGCAGCTTGCACCCCACCTTGGAACTCCAGCTCTGATGAAGTTGTGGCTCAGTCAAGCTTAGCACGCCGAAAAGAAAGATCCTGCTGTTCGCCAAGTGCAACCCAAATCACCAAAGGTTCGAATCGATATCAGGAGCCTACTCGCCTTAACCATGGACCTTCTCAACTCTCTGAAACCCAAGGCTCCCGCCCCGAAGATGAAGTCTGCATCTGATGGCCCTTTGGTTTGGGTCGACTGTGAGGTGTGCACTTTACCTACGCTACATTACACTCCTAACTTAAGATTGACTAACACACCCCAAGATGACTGGACTGGACCCGGACAAGGAGGAAATCATTGAAATCTTCTGCATCATCACCACCGGAAACCTGCAAGTCATTGACCCCGAGGGCTGGGGCTGCGTGGTGCACCAGACGGAGCAACGCATGGCACAGATGGACGACTGGTGCACCAAGACACACGGCGACAGTGGCCTCACGGCAGCGGTCATCAAGTCGACGACGACGCCCGAGCAGGCTGCTGGCGATTTGCTGGCTTACATCAAGAAGCACATCCCGGAGAAGAAGACGGCGCTGCTGGCGGGCAACAGTGTGCACGCGGACCGGTCGTTCCTCAACAAGCCGCCCTACCGGAAGCTGGTTGACCATTTACACCATCGTATTCTGGATGTCAGCTCGCTCAAGGAGGCAGCGAGACGGTGGTGCCCGCCGCAGGTCGTGGACGGTGCCCCCTCCAAGCAGGGACTTCACCAGGCCAAGGAGGATATTCTCGAGAGCATTGCGGAAGCCAAGTACTATAGAGAAGCCATTTTTGGCAAGACGTGGAGAGGAGAGGCCAGCGCGCAGGACACGCCGGTCAGTGAGCGGGATGAGGACGAGGCTTGGGCGGACAATCTGCTGTAAATTGTGGCAATTCAAAATCCAAAACCAGCTCTTCTCATCTCCTGAGGCGTTGGGGTGAGTGCGATGCCATCTTCACCTGCCTTACCTAAGATTGCCTGGTACCTTACCTAGGGAATAGCTGAATCGATAGTTCACCGCAAAGGTAGCGGGGTCTTGACCGGCAGTGCATAGTCTTATGCACACTGTTAAAATGCAATCAATTACGCACCTAAAAACAGTGTGGGTTAGGACCACACTCATCAGCACCTCACGATGATTCGCCGGGAGGATCCCCTGTGTTGGGCCCCTGGAAGTGAGGGGCTCTCCCAGTTTGTCCCAGAGCTGCCCCTCCTTCATTGTGCGGTGACCCCGCCCACGTCGAGGCTCAGGATGATATCACTGGCCAAGCAAACCCCCACCATGAGGTGGCCACAGCTCTGGCCAAAGGTACGCGGTTGGAGGGGCGCTATTCACTAAAAGTTGCCATTTGAGCCTATCGTGTGCCATTTCCCATTCACTGAGGTGTCCCAGTGCGTCGTATTCTCGCCCACATTGGCTATTTACAGTGGCCTAGCCTCTCACCGCACTACCTCAAGTCCCATTCCTTTGCAAGCTTTCTTGTAGGCCCCTTCCCTTGCCTGCCCCCCGGTCCCACCTCCCGTACCTACGCCAACGCCGGTTCGCATGGGAGAGACGAAAGAGAGAGCCCAGGCAAGGCAAGACAGAGACACTAATAATTGCAGCTCCATTCCCAACATTCTCCTTTTCCCTCTCCTACAACCTAGACAACTCCTCCTAAACATCGTCAATACTCGAACTATACAGCATCATGGACGTCCAGACTGTCGAGTTCAAGCCCTTCCAGGACCAGAAGCCCGGCACGTACGTCATTTCCCCCCCTAACCTAACAAAACAAACCCCTCGCTGTTATCGTCCCCAATCATGTCGAGTCCAACTTTTTGTTGCTACCCCGCCATAGCTGCCAACCGCACGATGCACCCTCACCCAGCAACCCATCACTGACCAGCCATTCTTCAGTTCTGGTCTTCGCAAGAAGGTCACCGTCTTCCAGCAAGCTCACTACAGTGAGGCTTTCGTCACAAGCATTCTCCTGTCCATCCCCGAGGGCGTCAAGGGTAAATAACTGTCCATCCCAGCTTCGTCCTTGGCAATCCCCCCAGGAAACTGACAGACCGCCTCTCTAGATTCTTTCCTCGTCATCGGCGGTGATGGTCGTTTCTGGAACCCCGAGGTTGTCCAATTGATTGCCAAGATTGGTGCCGCCTACGGTGTCAAGAAGCTGCTCATCGGCCAGGACGGCATTCTGTCCACTCCCGCTGCCAGCCATGTCATCCGCAAGCGCAAGGCCACTGGTGGTATCCTCCTGACTGCCAGCCACAACCCCGGCGGTAAGATCCCTACGCAAACTCCCAGTACCTTCTCCACAAGCTAATCAATGAGCTCAATTCAGGTCCCAAGAACGACTTCGGTATCAAGTACAACCTGGCCAACGGTGGCCCCGCCCCCGAGTCCGTCACCAACAAGATCTACGAGGCCTCCAAGACCCTCACCTCCTACAAGATCGCCAACATCCCCGACGTCGACATCTCCACCATCGGCACGAAGACCTACGGCTCCCTCGAGGTCGAGGTCATCGACAGCACTGTCGACTACATCGAGATGCTCAAGGACATCTTCGATTTCGACCTGATCAAGAAGTTCTTCCAGTCCAACCCCGACTTCAAGGTCCTCTTTGACGGTCTCCACGGTGTCACTGGTCCTTACGGAACCGCCATCTTCGAGAAGGAGCTCGGTCTCAAGGGCGCCACCCAGAACTGCGTCCCCAGCCCCGACTTCAACGGCGGCCACCCCGACCCGAACCTGACCTACGCCCACTCCCTCGTCGAGGTCGTTGATAAGAACAACATCCCCTTCGGTGCCGCCTCTGACGGCGATGGTGACCGTAACATGATCTACGGCGCCAACGCCTTCGTCTCCCCCGGCGACTCCCTGGCCATTATCGCCCACCACGCCAACCTCATCCCCTACTTCAAGAAGCAGGGCGTCTACGGTCTGGCCCGCTCCATGCCCACCTCCGGCGCCGTTGACCTGGTCGCCAAGAAGCAGGGCCTGAACTGCTACGAGGTCCCCACCGGCTGGAAGTTCTTCTGCGCCCTCTTCGACGCCGACAAGCTGTCCATCTGCGGTGAGGAGTCCTTCGGCACTGGCAGCAACCACATCCGCGAGAAGGATGGTCTCTGGGCCGTTGTCGCCTGGTTGAACATCATCGCCGGTATCGGCGAGCAGAACCCCGGCGTCACTCCCTCCATCAAGAAGATCCAGCAGGACTTCTGGACCGAGTACGGCCGTACCTTCTTCACCCGCTACGACTACGAGGATGTCGACAGCGAGGGTGCCAACAAGGTTGTTGGCGTCCTCAAGGGCCTCGTCGCCGACTCCAACTTCATCGGCAGCAAGGTTGGAGGTAAGTTTATTCATGATACACCCAAAACAATTCTCGAGCAACAAGCTGACTTTAGTAGACCGCACCGTCACCGGCGCCGGTAACTTCTCCTACACCGATCTCGACGGCTCTGTCTCCTCCAACCAGGGTCTGTACGCCACCTTCTCCTCGGGCAGCCGTATCATTGTCCGTCTCTCCGGCACTGGCTCTTCCGGTGCCACCATCCGTCTGTACCTCGAGCAGCACAGCTCCGACCCCAAGACGTACGACCTGGACGCCCAGGACTTCCTCAAGCCCGAGATCCAGATGGCCACCGAGCTTCTCAAGTTCAAGGAGTTCATTGGCCGTGACGAGCCCGATGTCAAGACCTAAGTGCATTTCTGCATGATTGGGTTGCACTTGGACAAGGGGGATACGGTGGAGTTTTTCAAAAAAAAAAAAAGTAACGCTTCAGTATAGAGAAGTAGAAGAAAGGCCAGCACCAACCAGGTTTGCTGTGGACGATGTCACGATGGTACACGATTGCATAAATTGAATCAATTGACCTAATCATACAATAGTCTTTGTCGTTACTTGACAGTGCTTCCTCCCTTTTTCTCTGGGATGTTTTCAGCTTGTGAATCTGTGCGTGCGTAATCATCAATCTTGATCATTAAGGTCGTCAAGTCGTTAAATAAAGGGAAGAAGAAAGGAAAACGCATGGACAATCGATCAATCTGGGCAACAAAAATACCCCTCGTTCGGACAAAACATGAATCAATCTTCCCGGGGTATTTCCTCCGAGATACAAAAGCTCGTTTGACATTGTCCAAGACAAAGGAAACAAACAGACGGCCGTAGGAATCCGAGGAAAGTATTAGTCGCTATCGTGTTCGGGCTCATTAGAGTGGTTCTTCGTTGGGAAACGTGAAGGGGAGAGAGTTGGCCTGAGAGTAGGTGGATGCCTCTGCTCACCTACTCTTCGAGTCCCGCAAATTTCTCGAGATATGCCCCGCAAAACGGTGAGTGGCAGCATCCTGGGGTGAAAGGTGACGGTGAAGGGGGGGACCCATATTGGGGCGGAGTCGGAGTCGGAGTGGATATACACTTGCCTTGAGGAAGCTCATCACCGGTTGTAAGTTATTTGGAGTCCTCAATGGCGTCCATGCTGTCAGTAGATGCCTCGGAGGGGTCTGGCCGCGGCTGTAATTCTTCAATGAACCGCGACGCGCCCATCTCGGAGAAAAAGTCAATCTCAAAAGCGCCGGCCTTGCCTTTTCTCTGATGCTGCTGGTGATACACCTCGCAAAAGACGTAAAGCTGGACGTCTTTGAGCCAGACGCGGTGGTCTGATTTGCGTACGAGCCAGGTCGGAGAGGCGGATTGGTGGGTGACTGAGAGTATCGTCTTCGTTAGTCACGACTCACAGACCCGAAAGCAGCGCGTGAGGAAAGGATGGGAATGTGGGTGGAAGAGATGGATCATATGGAAGGCATACCAAAGGCGGTCCAGACTGGACAATGCTTGAGTTCACCATCCCACACTGAAGCTTGGAGACGAACGCCTCCGGTGGCAATGTCGCGGTAGACCATGAGCGAATGCTTGAAGCCATCGTCGTGTATTTGCCTGTGGCCAGAGTTGTTAGCTACGGTGCTGAACACGGAAGTGGCTGGGTGAATCACGCACGCTTGGAACGACCGTTCTTCTCCCAATAGTTTGAACTCCCTTGGGTCCATTTGGCGTGTCAAGATATTCCGACCCTTGAGAGAGACGAATGTGCAATGGAATAAGACCAACTCTGGGATGGGTTAGTGGAATATCAAACGATAAAGTCAGACAAGGATTCACAAACCCTCCCAGGTCTTGAAGTAGAGAGACGCCCACAACTTCGGGCCCATTAGGGAGGCACTGTATCGGTCCAGTAGCAAGGCGCTGCCTTCGCGCCTTATGTAGAGTTCGTGGGTACCAAGTAGCGAGAACCACTGGCCCCCTTGGTGATATGTCCTAAGAAGGAAGTAGGGAGTCTGGTTGACATAATTTAGGTAGGCCATCAACGCAAGGCGATCTTCGTCAAATGGTCTTGGTTCTGGCGTCAGCAAGACTCTGGTCAGGTAAAAGTTGCGATCATGTGTACCTTCTGAACAGCATCTTGACCTGTTTGGGAATGTTTAATTGTCCCCACGTTTGGGAAGGACCGTAAGCTATCGATGGCCTGACGTGCTTCAAAGCCGTTCGGGAGGTGAGCGGAAGCGAGAAAATCTGCTCTGCCCAGTGCAATGTCTTGAAAAAAAGAGCGCATCAGTCAAGCAGCCTACTTCCTATGGAAAGAGCACATACCGGATCTTGGACCATTGGTCTGAGCATAGTCTCTGGTCGAAGGACAGGTCTGATTTGGGTTGTTGGCGAAGCTTCATAGTATTTGTCAGTTAACCTGCTGCTGCTTAGGCTCTGAAGGGACATACGGAGTCCTCTTGCTTCTCTCAACTTGATTATTCTAGTCCGAAGCGTCTCTAGGCCGTTCAGGTCGAAGAGTGTCGACCTATGTAGCTGTTAGTACGCCATCCCAAGAACGAAGGAGAGTTGCTAGCGCGCCTCATGAGAAGGTGTCGTAGGGACTCTAAAAAGGAGTTGTAGAGCATGAACCGCTGAGGCAATGGCAGGCCACTGGCCTCCTGCGTCATTTTGTGATACATCTTTCGCCATCGCATGTCCTTGCTCACGGTCCGATCTTCGTAAAATTTGTTGATGTCGCGGAGTGTCCTGTGATAACATGGAAGAACAACGTCGAGGTAGTTGAGCAAAATTGGCACCCTGGTGAAATGCATCTGCGATCGATCCGCCAAGTCTCTCAACTTCCTTCCAGATCTCCGTATCTCTTCAACGAGACTAGTAATGGTGCCCCCATATGCCTCGGGTAGAGCCATGCGGAGCCCTTCCAGGCTCACCGATATAATGTCGGCGCGCTCAGCTTCGAGGCAGCAGCCTTGAAGCAGGCGGTAGTCGATTCTCTGGAGACTTTGCTCCATTTTCCAGAGCTACACTGACGGATCGAGCCGAACTGGCGATGTCTGCGTCTCAGGATTTCATCGTCCAACGTGCCAAACCGGATCGTTAGAGTCGTCGGGTTCCCACGGTGCCCTCACCTCCTCAATCCTAGAGAATCTCGATGTGTAGTCCTCGACTTTGCAGGGGGTATGTTGAACTCCGGTGACCGGGTTGAAAAAAGATCGAGACCGCTGCGAATGCCTCATACGGCTTTCGACGATATATCAACCAATATTGACCGCAGTCACTTGTGCCGATAAGAGAAAGGGAGAAGGAGATGGCTTGCTTCGTGGGCTCGGCATCATCACCCCAGGTATGCAGCGGTAACGTGGTCGCTACACCCGCAGCCACTTACTGGACGGGAAGCGGCTGCAACAGCGATTTGGAGCTGCAGGTCTCGATTTTGACGGCCAGCCCGGAAACACACGCCACCACCCCGCCAGACTTCAAATCCAACGATCCAGGTCGCTGTGTTGGCAGCACACGCCCAGACACCAGATGCTCGCTTCTGACGTGTCCAGGTTTCGATGTCTTTGTGCACTGATCGGCTTTGATACCTAGGAGGACGAGAGCGTGCGCAATTGGTTGGACAGCGACTGTGTTATTTTCTTTTCTTCGTGGAGGTAGGTCAAGTCTGGCCTTGGTGGCCTGTCTCCAGCAAAGCGCAACACTTGTCAGTAATAGGTACACATTAATCGTCTCGACCCTCGAACTACTAAGTCAAATGAACGATTCCTGTTACGACAGGTTCAGGCCAAACGATGCAATCTGGTCGATTCTAACCATCACTTTCCAGGAAATCGCAATGAGGACCGTGGCGTATTGGAGAAGAGGAGCGTATGTAGGTCAGATTGCTGTCAGAGAAGAGAGTGTGGGTTCAATACATATTGACCCGGCCACCGACTAGCCAGAGCATGCCACGACTGCTGGGGATGGCCCCATGGGCATGTATGCTTCCCTCTGCATGCATTAGGAACCCTCGACTTGGATCAACGGACGAATGAGGCCGGGCCGGGGCCGGTGGGGTGGAGGTCCAGGTTGTGAGCACTTGCATTAGTAATGCAGACGAACTCTCCTCATAAGTCTTCCCGTCAAAGGCCCGGGGAAACATAAGAGAACACTGGCGTCGAGATACTGAATACGACGACTGGATGAACAGTCCGGCAAGGTAAGCGTACGAAGTACACAGTAGAGGCAATTGATCGAGCGTGTAATGTAAGGTAGCTAGGCCATATGGGAGAAGTCTCCCAAAATGCGTAATCGGACTAATTCGATGAACGGAATATGTCTGACGCTTGAACGGACAAGACCGTGATAGATACACAGGATGCCGGGCGATGATGGTAGCGAACGAAATTTGCAAAGAGGCATTCCGAGGCAATAGAACTGACGGGTGTCAGCTATGTAGAACTGCGAAGTGATGTGATGCATCGAAAATTTGAGTAGACCTTCCGCATCGCCGAACCATATGCCTAGCCAAGATTAATCTTCGGCACACATATCTGCGGTGCGTGAGATGGCGGCTGAAAATGGACGCGATCGCTTCGTTTCTGCACAATGTAGGCAGGCTGCAAAGGCCCCGGGCGATGGGTAAGGTAGTTGTACCTGATGGGCAGGATAAGATGACGAACCAAGTCCGAAGAGATCCTGGGACGAGCAGCTGCAGGACATTCGTCGGTTCATCTCATGCGACGAACGGCCACTGGGCCGGTATGCGACTTGTTGTTACATGACATTGGTGTTCGATGGGCTCATCTGGCTACCAAGGCAAGGGATCCATGGTGGTCATCGATGTAGTCGCCTGTCTTTGACTGCGGCCCGTGATGATGAGAGTAGCTGTCCTTGGTTTCTGGAACGGCGAAAAGTCATACTTTTGTGCCAAAGTACGGACGAGCAGTGGATAGCAGCGGTGCAGGCAAGGCCGGCAGAGTGTGGTGGATGAGTAAAGATGTTGCTTTAGCATGGCTGGTTGGCATTCGAGGTTCGAAGAGCTGGCGCTCGAAGTGTTTGCTGCGAGCATGGGCGGGCTCCTTTTATGAATTTCTAGCACCGCGAACACATTCGGGCGGAAGAGAGAAGCAGCCTTGTTTCATCCTGCTGAGGCATCTAACTTCAACTTCCCAGGCCCGCACCTGCATGCCGTGTCTGATCATCGGGAAGGAAACAATGGCCTGGCTTGACGGATAAGGTAGGAGGAGGTGCTGAGACTAGGAAATCCTTCTGTGCTGAATGGAGTCTGTGATTGGGGGCAGACAACTCGAGGCAAGGTACGTCCCCAGCACGGGATACGTAACCCCTTACGTGCCCCTTCACTTGCCAGACACCGAGAGCAGAAGGGCCGGGATGAAATGGAAATATTCCCCTGCGCTTGAATCCGATGTTCTGCCGTAGCCCATTTTCCCCGGCTCACCGAGTCGCCTTAGGTTCACCGACTCACCTCCAATCGCAATCCAGGAAGCGGCTTCAGCTCGGAAGGGAAAGGTCTCGAAGGCCACGGGCCACTCAAGCTGGTCATCCTTTGGCCGTCGCGTCTGAATGATCCCCAACCGGCTTCAGGCAATCTGCATTAGTGGAATATGGCGATCTAGTCGCTGTGCCTTACCAATTCCATGACACGACGGGGTCGCAGTGATCAAGACCCTTGAGTGGCTGGACAAAAATAAGGCCCCATCAACCCAGATCCCTGGACCCGGGGAAGGACCCTTGAGAACAAGGGCAGATACAGCAGAGCGCCATGATTGGCGCATCTTTCGGTACAATAACTTCACGATAGACATTCACGCACACCACGGTGGGACGAGTAGGTAGTTATGTATGTTTGTCAATGTGTGAGCCGTCATGTCATTGTGTCCCAATCGTGGACATTTTCGTTCCGCGACCGACGGCATGACCAGCTCTGCTATTGACGCGGGGCGGCGTGAGAGCTTCGCCTGCCTCATATCGCCCTTCCTGCCGATCCTGAATAACTGAGAAAAGCAACCCATTTCAATACCATCATACACCGCCGAGCCCAAAGTTACAAGGAAAGTCCGAATGATGTGCGCAGAAACTAACTCGACGCCACCCGTTCGGACCGAGAAGCAGCAGAAATACATCAAGAGGACTCATCCTCCTCTTGTTCGGCCTTTAGAGGGACTAATTAGCTTCAGCACAACACGGCCGGAGGGAGGGGTATGGGGGTGTCTTACGTTGTATGCCTGCTTCTCATCCTCGTAGCGCTTCTTGTCGGTGGCAGCCTTGGCCTCGTAGGGACCGCGCTGCTTCTCGTTGAGGGCCTTCCAGCGCTCACCGAGGAGCTTGCCGACCTGGCCGAAAGAGATACCGGGGTTCTCCTCACGGACGTTCTCGCGCTGCTCGTTGGCGAAGAACATGTAGGCGGAAAGGCCACGCTTGGGGGCGTTGGGGTCTGAACGACATGTTAGCTGTCTGATGATGACGAGGTAACCAGTCTGGACAGGCGCAGCGCAAAGCGGGCAAGCTGCGAATCATACGAAGCGTGGCCCAGAAGATTCTTGTCAAACAAGAGTCCCCTTAGGCTCAAACTTTGCAGTTCGGACTTGCTCGCCTATCGCAGCGTCCTGGGACAAGGTCGGGAGCAATGTAGCAACGTACCCTTCTTCGCGCGCTTCTTGGTGTCCTTAGCGGCACCTCGCTTGGTTGCGGCCTTAGGCATTTTGGGTATCTGGAGTAAGGTGTTAGTCCAAATGCTTCCTTGTCAAGATGAATGAGGGTCATGGTGTGAGGAAGAGCGAAGGGTCAAGAATGTGGTGAAATCGGCGCTCCATCACTGCGTGACGGCAAAACCGCCGCGCCGTGGTGTGGGAAAGCCAAGGTGTAAGAGGACCGCAGTAAAGCGGGAGCCAGGGTGTGTAGATGGTTGAGTCGCAAGTGCAATTGCACTCCGCAACGCGAGGTAATTGCGATTTGAAGCTCAAAGTCGTCCAAGAGAGATCGTAAAGCATACCTGAAGAGGGTTTTGAGAGGTAGAAAAAGAGGTGTTGATGTGGTGATCTGGACGCGTCAAGCTCTTGTTAGCTGAAAAGCTCTTTGGTTGAAGCTGGATGATGGACGAGCGTGTAATAGACGAAGAGGTGCACGCCAAAGTTCGAAGCTCAGCAACGCATCGCACCCACGATATCGACTTGTATAAAAGCGATTTCTGGGTTGCAAATCGAGGCAGAGTGATCGAAATTGTAGCGGCGGTGAAAATAGAAGAGGATGATGTTGCGCGTGTATATTGCGGTAGTTGCTGGTGCAAGTGGGCAATGGGATATGGGCAGCAGGTACTCACGGGGTTGAGTGCTCAAAGGCAGTAAAGTGTGGTATTGTGAGAGTGCGGATTGTAAGAGAGGAGGATTTGGGTGGGAGATTTGTATGGGAGAAGAAGAGGGAGGGAAATGTATGGGGGGAGGGCCAAGCAGCCTTTTTACTATGGGGGGAGTGATTGTGCGGGAGCAACGCGCCTGGGACCTGGGTGCACTTGTTTTTGCTGGGAAGTCTGGGACGGGGCCAGGACTGAGTGCGACTGGCGACTGGGCGAGTTGACTGGGGGTGTACTTCGTACTGTGTGGAAGACAGAGTGAGAGACTGGGAGACTGAGAAGGGAAGGGGGGTCACCTTGGACGGGCTTTCCTCCTCTTTCTCCTTGGATCACTCCAGGTCACTTTTTTTTTGGTCTGCGCAGGTGCGGACGCTTGTCACTTTGCTTTCCCTTCCGTCGCTTTCTCGCCTGTGCCTGGGCTTGCTGCTGCGCGCTGAATGGCTAGGAGGGGAAGGGTGTCTGGGTAGGCTGGGCAGGTATCCGTACCAAACCAGGCGACGGGCCAAAAAAAAAAAAAAAAAAAGAGGTCTGCGCACTGGCATTGGCAACACTTGTCACTGGGTGGTAACTGGCCTGGCACTGGGCACACTGGGCACCCGCACACCAGGCAAAGGGCAAAAAAGAGGAGAGAGGCAAGAGAGGGGGAGGCGCAATGGGAGGGAAAGGGTGTGGGCGCGCCTTCCCTCCCTGACAGTCGACGTGCGCCCCTTCCCTCCTCTTGCCTTTTGCTCCAGAGTCCAGCTTGACCCTTCTTTCCCCATCCTTCTCCTCCCATCATCCCCCTCCTACATGGAAGTCCAAGTCCTCCTAGTCACAGTCCGCGCCCACCTACCCACAAGGTAAAGGTACGGTGTAAGTACCTTGCACTATAGACTGCCGTGCAAAGTACCTCACGTTCCTTTGACGCCTTCCGCCTACCCCCTTCCTGCTCGTCGCATCTGCCAGGGGACAACGACTACACACCTTGAAGCGGCCAGCTACGGATACATTCTCCCAAGTACCCCAGTACCTTGATCAGTACGGAAAGATACCTCCCTACCTTAAGGATACCTCACCTTAGCATGCAAGTGCGTCCGCAGGCAACCAATTCGCCTGGTCATTTAATTCCACGGCAATAGACCAAGCTGCGGAACCAGACCAGACCAAGTCAGGCGTGGACAATGGGCGACCAGATGTTACGAATGCGCCGGCAATGCGATGGAGAAGGAAGGAGCGACATATCATCAAGCAACAACTTGCAACATGTGGTTGTAGCCGTGGCCAAAACCGTACCTGGCCAGGTAACGGAAGCAGGATCTGGCTCATCCATGTGGTTCCTGCCCTCCTTTACTCTTCTCTTGCCTTCCGTCGTTTTGTTCCGTCGGGACTGGTCTGCTTGTCGCCCGCTTCCCATCCTCCTTCCTCGGACAGTCCTTGCTCGTGGTGGTGCCGCTGCTATTATTGTGCGGTACTGTACAGGTACAAAGCGCACGCAAAACTCCGCACCGAAGTACTGTACTTCCGCTTTGTACCTTGGTTTGATATCTTGTTTTCGTACTGTATACCTTACAGTCGTCGCGCCTTCCTTCTCCGCTTGCTACAGTCTACTTCGTACGGCTACGTGCCGGTTTTTTCGCCAATGTCTGAGAGGTGCGGTTGAGTCCTGGTCCTGAGTCCTGCCTCCTCTTCCAGTCTTCTTTTTGAAGAATCTCGTGCTTTCCGTCTACCCCACCTTCCCTTCCTCCTGTCACCATCCACACGGACCATCTCTCGCCCATCAACCAGCTCCAGTCCAAGACTCCCGTCTAAGTTGCAACTCCCACTCCCACTCCCTTCCCCTCCACTTCTGGCTGCTGATGTTGCCCTTCGTGCTTCACCATTTCTACGAATCCCAGGTCACCATCCACATACACCACCATACCATCGACAAGTATCATCTGGACCCACGACCTCTTTCTTCCATCTTCAACACCAGTCCTTGCCCATTCATTTGGGGATAGTTCTGCGCATGCACCATTAGCCTGGCATACCCTGCTACTTATACCATCCTTCATACGACAGTGATGCGATACCACTAGGCACTGACAGCATAAGGGAGACGACCTCGTGTGTTCGTACAGTCGTACTTCCAGATGGCAAAGACGTGCAGTGGCACACCTGCTTCGTCCGACTGCACTTGGCCTGGACCAGGCAGTTCTTCGTCATCTTCATGAGCGCTAAGATACTTACGATACTCACTACCGCCTGTAGGCTGGCAAGGGCCCGTTCGCTAGACATGCCGTAGGTACATCGGTCAGACATCAAAGACCGACCGCGCCGTACGGGGAAGACGGAAGTCCAGTAGCCAGCGTTGCCTCGCCATCTTCAATTCAAGGTAGGTAGTTATTTTCCATCCACCTTGGCTGCTCTTCAATCAGGTAGTCGTCTTTTCTCGGCACAGCATGCTGGGTGGTCGACCACAACAGTTGAAGCTTTTTCTCCCCAACTCTCCGCGGAATTCGATATTTGCACGACCTGACTTAGGTCTACCATGAGACGACATCACTTCCCACGCCATGAAAGTAAACCTTCGCCATGGCAGACAACCTATACCTCGGACACACTAACATGTCCATCACTTGCACTTTGCTGGGGCTGTGGGTGTTAGTGACCTCATGTTCGCGACGTTGCCTCCCTAGCGTCTTCCGCTGACAAGCCTTCGCAACTTTCGGCTGTTTACCAAGACAACAAGGCTCGGCCGGCTGGATTATGGATGTTGGGAAACCGATGGAGCACCTTTGGTGTGGAGGATTCAATGTTTGGAGAATGGGGGAACAAGCTGACTTACACGCTCACACACTGTGTAAGTGATTGTGCTTCCTGGACGTTGCTGCGCAATTTCATCCACACTAAAACACCACTCGACACACTTTGCGGCATTCCCCCTCTTCAAAGTGGTTTGTCCTATCAACACCCAAGGACATCGCCTCCAGAGAGCACCAAAGTCTACAGGTACCGTCGGCTCAGAGTTCTCTACAAACGCTCCGTGTCCGGCTCGCCCTGGGTTGCTGGTCCACGCGGTTAGACGAGATACATACGGCAGACCCAATGGTGGTTTTCATATGCGGCACAGATTACCACACCATTTAGCTGAGTTCCGGCGCGAAGCCACCCACCAGCTTTGACGCGACTTGGAGAGCTCTTGAGCCCGAGGGAAGCTTACAGCAACACGCGTCTAGTAGACAACTCGCTATCGAAGTATCCACGCAAGAGTCGTCCTCGTCCACGAAACTGAGGCAGAAGCTTGCGATTTCCTGGCAGTCAGGGGCATCCACTTTCGGCTGGTGTGCACAGAGGCGTAGACTCAGCATCGGCTGACGAGGCGTGATGTGAAGCAGCACCTCACGCTGTTGATCAGGGAGATGTGACATTGGAACGACCGGAAGTCATGATGACTGATGGGGATAGCATTCAGGCTGGCCGAAACGGAATCTGGGTACTTGATTCATGCATACGCCCCATGTACCGTCATACGAGATTGCCTTGTACCGCTACTTAGCTCAAGGTACCTCAAACGCGGTCCACCAACTCCGGAATCAGCTTGGGCGAATGCGCCCAATCGCCCCTCACGCGCAGCTCACGGTACACTTGGGACCTCCCCAGCCTCCCCTCTGCCGTCGATTCCTACATCCTCTTTCCGTTGTGTCTGTTGTTGCACACCCCGAGAACAGTCTGCTCTCTGCAGCGAATGTGGGATTTGCTCAGCTTACTAACAACATCCGTAGTTGGCATACCTATACGGATACTGTGTATGTTACTCCTCGTCTCGAGGATCGACTGAGAGCTGAGCCAGTACGGAGAAATACCCAGCGACCAGCTTTGTCACTGGGTCCTACGCCCATATCAAGTCTACGATAGCCGGTCTGCTCAACTATGATACCTACCAGCAAGCTTCACCACATGAAATAGCGGAGAAAGAGCCGCGTTACTATTTGCGGAGCTTGACGATTGCACGGCGACCGAAGACCGACGGCGAGCGGCGTGTCTATCTCGTCTCTGTTCTCTGTTCTACATCTTCTAACACCGACACACCACGAAGCGGGCAGCAGCCAGGCGGTGCAACGCTCCCGGCGTCAAAGAAGGGTGGGATACTTCGTCATGCGCACAAAGTGTGCGGGCGTCTCGTGTACCTCGAGGCATAAGACTGGGTAATGCCTGCAACGACAGTCGAGACGGTCCCCCGCTCCAATGCACCCAACGCGCACCCAAGACGCCCAATGCAGGTCTCCTCTGCAAATTGGCAAGCCGGCAGCGAGTTTTGCCCATGGGCCAGACGAGCCGTGTCTGCCCAGCGCTCTAGTAGGAGGGCGTTGCCGCACCATTTTACCATTCCAGTCAGAGCCGCCGGGCCCAGCCATTTTGCTTTTGCCCGCTTGTTCCCTGTTTGGCTGGGCTGGCACTGGGAAGGCGGTGGCAATGGGCTGGCGAACAAAGTGCGCAAAGTACCGACGACTTGCAGCGGATACACGGAGCCAGGCAAATTCGCTGGTCTGGTTGCCTTTGCTTTGCTGATACTGTGCTGTACCTGATGGTCCCCCGGCAAAAATTTGGCCCTCCCTGACTGAAGACTCCCACTTTCTCACTCAATCACTCTCTCCCACACACCAAACACACCCCCTCCCAAGCCAAACACTCTTGCTGCTCACGCCTAGGACCTGCACGCGAGAGGTACATGGAGAGTCGGAGACTGAGGTGTAGTGCAGACTGTGTAGCTCAACGCGAGCCCATGCTCCACTCCTCCTGGGCCTCCTGGCTGATCCGTCGCAGCAGACACAGAGCTTGACTGACGGGGAGTGCAAAGCTCCCCCCTACTTTCAGTCCCATTTTCCCTCCTTCTCTTCTCTCATCTTCTTGAGGGACTTTGAGAAACGTTGATTATCTAATCCAGAAAGACATGATTCTTCCACGGTCACAGGGCATGAAATGGAAACGCGAAACGCGTTGTTTAGCTCAACGCTCAAGTTGTCCAACGTACGGGACCTCTTGAATCTTGACACTTTGCGCGTGAAAGTCACCATAAACGAAGAAACTGAGCTCACTGCAACGACCTTAGACCCCCGTGACCCTTATCGGCTCCTCTCCAAAGTATTGAAACGCGTTTCATCAAACAAATGTCAATCTTTGATATCTCAGAGTTTCTACCGATACGGATACAGAGAGCAGCTGATGGAGCTCAAGCATTGGCCACAGAAGCACATCTCGGAGCCAAGCTTACCCACGTGATTCGACATCACCGTGGTCATAGCGTCCGACTTGCGCTAAGCCCTGTCCAGTTTCGTGAGCCTTCGTGAGTGGTGAAGATCGTGTGGAGGCAGCAGGGGCCGAAGGTGAGCTTGGAAACCAAAAGTGCCCTCATGTGCCGATGCCGTGCCGTGCTATGAGCAACAGTAACTCGATCGTGCGCAGGGCAGGGCGAGCACCGTGATCTGGTAAGGCCAACCGTCAGGCCAGCCAACCCGAGCTGCGGTCACGACTTGACTGAGCCTCTGAGGGTCCGTACCTGCATACGTCTGGCGTAGGGCTGATTGAAGCGAATATTTCGAGGTACTGAGGACTTGGTTCCGGTCCACTCCATTTGAAGAGCCCCTAAAATCGTCGGTAGTACGCCGTTGTAATCGGCACCATCTCAGAGCCTTGATTCCCGACATAATGTGGCAAGGGTCAGATAGGCCCATGAGTGCTCCCTACGGACATGTCCATACCTGAACCATAGGCATCTGCCTGGAGCTTCTCGCGGTATCAGGTGCCTATGCCCGCCGTTCCCCTTGTGCATCGTGGCCAACGTAAGCCTCTCGCCTCCAAGTCTAGCAAGTCTTCATTATTCGTCATCTTCGGGATCTAACACCACGTCGCGCAGCGCTTCGTCTCTGGACCAGTCCACGCCGCTGCCGACGACGACAGCGCTAGCCGTGCCTTTCATGACTTTCCACCGCTGTCTGCTCGCCTTCAAATCGGCTTGGAGTCTGGCCATCTCCGCCTGTACGGCGGGGTCGTCGGTCTCGCCCGCTCTTCTCTTCTCCGCGTCCTCGGTGAGCTTGAGGATCTCGGCCGTGAGCTCGACGTTTTTCCGGCCGACCCGCAGACTCTCGGCTTCTACCTCGGTCAGCTGGTTGATGAGGCTGCGGAGATCGTCTGATTTATTAGCGAGAGCGACGGAGACGTTGTCGCGGGACCGGATGTGTGGTAGGAGGTCACTGATCCGTGTTAGTACTCAAATGCTAAGTTCATAAGTAGACTTATCAAGGGTATAATCATGGGAATATTGTGAGCATCGAGTTGATGATGAGCTTACGTTTCAATGGGCGTTGACTGTGTACTCCCATGAACGGCTTTGAGCATGGGGTTGGCAGTCATGACGCTGTCTGTGATGTTGTTCCGTAGAAGCCATCCCGCACGCGCCGTTGACGCGTCCTGCTGGGCCTTTCTCACGTTTTCTTCTGTGCTTCGCGTTGTTGAGTCTATTCTTACATGTTAGCAATGCGCACTTGATACTGTCGATGGCCTTGAGAAGGGATGTGTACCTGAGACATGGCTCTGTTGCGCCTTCACCAGGGCGACCTTGATCTCGAGGTCGCGAAGCTCATCGTAGAGAGCTAGGACGCGCTGCTCGTCCTTTGACAGCAAGAGAGGGGGCACTTCGTCGGCTTTGTTTGCTTTCGAGATGCTTCGATTTGGTGGCTCATCCATGGTCGAAAATGGCTTCTACCATCAGATGGCAGAATTGTATGGGATGAATGATTCCGGTATCCGAAATGTCACCGCCCCGCCTTCCGGACGCGACGCGCGACTCTCACTTAAAATCGCATTCAAAACCCCCGAACTCACGGAAATCCGGCGGGCCTTGGGTTTCGGATCCGGACGGTGGAGCAAGGCAGGAGCTGAGAATTGAAGGACGGGGAAGGTTGTGGCGGTTGTGCCTGTCATTGCCAGCCCCATCCTGGCAGCCGTTATCTTATCAGTGGCTGGTGCCCCATGAATGTCCAATCAAATGACTCAAGACATCATGAGGCGGCGTCACGCTATGCCTCCCAAAGGTTTTTAGCGGGTTTGCAGCCTGCACGAGCTCCGGAGGGCGCCTCAGCGGTCACGTCTTGGAACCTGGCGAACGAACCCTTTGCGCTTTTGCAACAACCGCTGTTCGTGCATACCTCTGTCTTTCTCCCCGATCCTTCGCCAACGACGACGACGACAAGACTACGATCCGAACGACAACAGCGAGTCTTTTGCGCGCGCATCATACGATTTACCAGGCGACGGACGGCCTTTGTCGACTCTACCATATAGCTACGCCGAACCTCTAAACTACTGTTGCAAAGACCGGACCGCAGGCTAGCTGTCGCAGCTCTTCTTCTCTTCGGAAATGTTCCGGGGATGGCGACGCAGGTGTTGATAGCCCATACGGGCCAGCGCCTGGGGATGGACACGACACAGTTTTCTGCGTATGTCAGGCTCTTGCCTCTCGTGAGACCGGGAGAAGCAGGCTGACAGTTTCATTCGCAGGCTCGATGACCTCAAAGCCTGGATCGCAAGGCAGACGTCGATTCCGGCGCACCAGGTTGTTGCTTTAACTGCCCAAGGTCGGAGTGTCAAGCTGCAGACTCTTCACCAGGAGGTACGGTGCCCTTCTATCTACTGGTAGGGGGAACGTTTTTGCTGACCTTTTGGGCGCAGACAGAGATCTACATTTACGACATTCGAATATCGCAACCGAACTCCCCCAACGCCGCCTCGTCCCCAAAGTCCGAGCTCCCACTTCCGAAGCGCTACGCTGTCCCGAACGCCCCCAACTACATCGGCAATATTCGTGTTCTATCAGAATGGCAGGCACTCTACAAGGAACGCCAGGCATGGGCCCGTGGCATCGTCGACGACTCGGCACGTATGGCGGCCGAGATTCAGGAGCGGTATAGCGAAATGGACGTCATGGTCAAATGCCTCGATGCGGCCGTCGCCAATCTGGAGATTAGTGTGAAACAGATTGAGCCTAAGTACGCCGAGCTGAAGAAATGGGTAGAGCCTGCGCTGGGCGAGTACGAGCAGCTCGCCGAGAACTGGGAGAACTACCTCACTGTGGCACGCAGTGTGCCCATCTCTGCTGCCATGGTGCGCTTCATGACCTCCAGGGACCTCAAGAAGAAACCGACCACGCTGGAAGACCTGATTGACAACGACACTGCAAAGAAGTCCGGACGGCTGGCGCCGACGTCCTTGAAGAAGTTCACGACCAAGGCAACGGATCTGGAGAAGGCTGCGAACAAGATGTATGGCGGACTTGAGCAGCTGATAGGAGACTTTGACAACCTCGTTGGTCGTTCAGCGCTGTCGCATAGTGGCGAGGCGCAGGAGCTGCTCCAGGATGTCGAAGCCGTGGCCAAGAAGATAGATACTGATTACCACATCGTCTTGGAGTACCAGGATACGCAGCCCAACGTCCTTCAAGCCTCGCGGACGGCGGAGAACCACACGTCACGCCTCATTCCAAGCTTGAAGAAACGTTCCGTGGAGATGGATGATATGCTGCTGTACGTCACGCAGGCGCGGAACACGATATCGGCCGATTCAACTAGTTTTATGCGCAACATCACCGAGATCACCACATTACACAGCAGCGTTAAAAATCAGATTAATGTCTTGAACCAAGCCGAGGACGACATGACGACTTTTGACTACCTGCGTCTCATCCACCAGCTCCCGTACATGTACGCCTCTTTCGTCTCCGAAGCCGTTCGTCGCCGAGAGTGGTCCGACAAGATCAAGACGGATTCGTCGACACTAGCCAACGAGATGGCGCTGTTCCAGGATGAAGAGTCAAAGAGACGGAGGAAGTGGCACAAGATGGTCGGCAGCATGTACGGATCGGACAAGACCGAAGCAAACGTACTTGGGCTCGAGGTCAACTTGCTCGGCGAAGAGGAAATCTGGCCCAGCATGGTCAAGCGCGATCTGGAGGAGTTCCTGGAGCACCTTCAGAAGCAACAAGCCGAAGTGGATATCATCGAGGATGTGATGAAGCTTGTGAATGAGTTGAGCAGCCCCACGAAGCAACAGTCGAAGAGGTTGAAGGCCTTCAAGAATGGTAGTGTCCATGAAGCCGCCCTTGGACGGAGTGGCTTGATGATCCGTGGAGACGACGAGTTACTGCGCAGCCTCCAAGACGACAAGTCGAAGCTCGAGAATAAGCTCAAGACGGCGGAGAGCCGTGTGCGAAGATTGGAGGACTTGCTTCATAGGCAAAGCGCGGCATCTCGGCCCGGTATCGGTGGCTTGTTCGGACACGAGAGGAATGGGTCGACCAACTCGATCAAGTCGACAGCGACTGTAGAAGACCATCGCCGCTCTACAGGAAACTCAGAAGCGCTTATGCAAAGGATACAGCAGCTCGAAGGTGAACTGAATACTCGTCGAGCATCTGATCAATCAGAGGCTCTAGCGAAGAGAGTGCAGCAATTGGAGAGCGAGTTGGAGAAGCGTCAAGCATCCGACGATACCGAGATCCAGCAAAGGATACAGCATCTCGAAAGCGAGCTCAATGCCGAGAAGGAGAAATCGGCGGCGTTCGAAAAGGACCTCAGCGTCCGGGCTACCGCGCACGACGACGTCAAGGACCGGATGGAGGAGGCCAACTCTACAAAGAAGGAGCTTCTCGAGAACATGGAGGCCCTGCAGCGGGAATTTGTCGAGGAGCGCAAGTCACTGGAGAACGATATCAAGGGACTCAAGGCCCGCATCGAAGACACTGAAGATGAGATTGAGAACTTTGGCGAGTCGAGAGAAAACGAGAAGGCTACCTACATTGAGCGAATGCATGAGCTGGAGGCCGAGGTTGAGAAGCTACAGAAGGAGCAAAAGGACGAGGCTCTCAAGGCCCAGGGCCAAGTCGATTTCCTGCGCAACGAGGCACGACTCCAAAGGGAGCAGAACGAGTCTCTCGACAAGCAACTGCAGACCGCCAATGATGATGCGAAGAAACTGGCCAAGGTTCTGGGCGTCACACAGGAGACGGCTGACACACAAATGAAGGCGCTCCGTGATGTTCACGATCAGCTGTCACCAAATGACGACACTACCGAGGACCTCAACGATCTCATTGACGCACTCATTTACCGGGCTACCGATGTCGCCGCCAACATGAAGACTTTGGACAGCGATCGATCGATTCTCAAGGCCGATCTGGAACAAGCTGATGAGCAGATCAAGAACCTGAAGGCCGCGATATCCGAAACGAAGAGCAAGCTCGCTACCGAAGAGGACAAGTCTCGGCACCTGAAGGAAAATCTGGACGGAGAAAAGGCACGTGTGGCTGCTCTTGAGCAGGAGGCCGCTGAGGGCCGAGAGCAGCTTGATCAGCTTCGTGCTAAGATTGCCGATGGCGAGACGGGCTCGGAGGGTCTAAGGAAGAAGCTCGATGAGGAGGAAGGACGAATCAGTTCTATCACCGAGGAGCTTGCCTCGAGGCAATCCCAAGTCGGTAGTCTCGAGGAGGAGTTGCGACTCTACAAGGAGAAGATGGAGAAGTCTCAGTCCAAGCTTTCGGCTGTTCTCGGTCACTTTGAGTCTCGATCTGAAAAAACTAAGGATCTGACGCAGCGTCTTTACTCTCAGAACGACAGGCTATGCCGTCTTTTGGAGCGATTGGGCTTCTCCGTCACCCGACAGGACGCGACAATGACGATCCAGAAGGTTCCGAGGTCCGAGAGAGGCACCATGAGCCAATACCACACTGCAAACGATTCATCTGACCCCAGTCAGTCTACGATTCGCCGCTCTGGCATGCTCGCCAGTCGCACTCTGGCCGATAGCACCGACCTGGGGTTGTTGTACTGGATGAACAGCAATGATGCCGATGCAGAGACCGAGAAATATGAGGCTTTCATGACACGGCTGGGCACCTTCGATATGGATCTGTTTGCTGAGACGGTCTACAAGCGCGTCAAGGACGTCGAGCACCTTGCCCGGAAACTCCAGCGAGACGCGCGCGCGTACAGGGAGAAGGCGCACACCCTTCAGCGGGACTCACATGAGAAGATTGCCTTTAAGCACTTCAAAGAGGGCGACCTCGCTTTGTTCCTGCCCACCCGAAACCAGACGGCTGGCGCATGGGCTGCTTTCAACGTTGGCTTTCCTCACTACTTTTTGCGGGAGACTGATGCCCATCGTCTGCGATCCCGCGAGTGGCTCGTGGCTCGCATTACAAGGGTACAGGAGCGCGTCGTGGATCTCTCAAAGAGCATGCACAAACAACTCCCCGATACCGACTCGGTCAATGGCGAAGAGGATGATAACCCCTTCCAGCTTTCCGATGGCCTGCGGTGGTACCTAATTGACGCGCACGAGGACAAGCCCGGCGCGCCAGCCACGCCTGGCCTGGGCAAGTCCACGATCGCGACGAACAATGTCGAGGCCATGGCGGACATGCACACACATGCGCAGACGAATGGCAAGGACAAGCAGCGTGCCAACACCCACAGCATCGAAGGTGTCAGCAAGGCGCTCAGCAAGAGCCTCGAGAGCCGCCGGAGCAGCTCCAACTCGAAACGGGCTCTTCCCTTTGCCGTAGGCGGCGGCGGTGCGGCACTTCTCAAGGGTAACGCGTTGGGCAGCGAGACGAACTCTCTTCGCGCAGTCGCACTGGACACGCCGACCGAGACGAGCCATCCCGAGGATGGACAGTTGGGACCATCGACGAACGGACACGAGCAGTCGGGACACGTGGGGCAGGCATCGAGCCCGCTTGCGGAAGAGGGTCAGGCCGATAGACCCAGGTCGCCCGAGGTACGAAATATGATCGATTCTCTCGTTGGCCCCTAGACCAGCAAAAAGCATCCCCTATTTCTCCCTATCTCTCCCTCCGAGGTTTAGCCCCTTCTCACTGATTCCGGTCAGAAAGCTCGATCGCCCTTGAGGCTGCAGCGTCAGAGGAGCGGGGTCAGCGTTGAGAGCCCGACGAAGAAGAGCGTGGTTTGGGATTCGCTTTGGAGCGTTGACCTGAGCTATGAGACTGGCGGCGGTGGGGGAGGTGCGAAGAGGAAGTGGGAGGGTCCGGAGCGCCGGTAGAGAGAGAGAGAGCATGTTTGGTGTGGTGGGTTGTGGAGGAGTATTGTACGAGCATTACACAATACCCGAAGCCTCCTTTGTGAAGAAGGGAGGGTGTCTTTGAGGAGTTTTTGTGCTTTTGTCACCCTTGACCTCTTGTCGACTTGGCATTTATTCGGATGCTGGTTGTGACGACTGGTCCTTTGTATTGGTATTTTTTACAGTTGTGGTCAAAGGCAGATGAACGGGGACTGGGGGAACCGTGGAGAAGGGATGTCGATTGTCACCACCTGGTATGCATGAGACTCCGAGGGAATGGCGACGATGATGGTGACGGCAAAGCGGGCTTGGGGGGGGGGTTTCTTTACATCTTTTGGGTTACTCTTGGGATAAGGAGCGAACAAGATGGGGTTTGCAAAGGGTTTTCCATGCATGGCGTGTTTGGGATAGAGGCACCTTAGAGGTATCTTCTTTTGAACACATATGGTGCTCAGTTTATTTTTGATTACTTTACTTTGCAAAGTGTGTCATGGGTCTTGGACTAACTTGCGAATTTCTCATGACTGTTATTGTGCCGGTCTTCAAGCTTGGAAATCTTTGAGCACTTCGCAACGAATCGTCCTTTATTTACATTCATTTGCAAAATTTGTCGTGGGCGTCATGAAAATCTTTGGCTACCTTGTGATTGAGCCTTCTGCTTACCTAGTATGCTAATTATTGTAAAAGGTATTGTGAAGTGTTTGAATACTCAAGGCTCATTGTCCCCAACTCTTGATGGCATTGCTGACCGAGGAAGCAATAAGGAGCGAGCCTAGCCATACTTGAATGTGATCTCCTTGTGTCTATCGCCTTGTTGTTCTTGAAGTCTTTGAGAATTTTACGACGGCTCTCATTATTGGCATAATGCTCACAAGCCCTCATTATTAGCTTCACCTTTGTGTCTTCTTTGCCTCGATATACAGCACATTCTTTCATGTTTCTGCGAGGTCTCTTTTGGCCCTGGGCCACGCAAAGATGTGCTTGAGGTATGAGCCGGCTGTGTGATTCCTACTTGAACGAGAGCAAGAACGACGACAACACACCAGAACACCCAGATTATTACACAATTCCAAGCTAGAAACTCGATTGCTGGCAACTAAGAAGACTGTACCGAGAAACACGGTCAACGCTAGACGTTACGACCAAAATCTAGACAACTCATATCGCCAGTTCGACCAACTCCCACCAAGTTCTCTCGGCCGATCATACCATACTTTACGGGAACGTTGCACCACCAGACGAGATAGACAAAAATGGCTGCCGCCGCTCAAGCTCCCCAACAGTGGGTCGCGCCGACAGGAGAAAAAGCGTATCCCACGATTCAGGTGATCCTCGGGTGTGCCCCAGAGGACGGGAACGCGGATCTAGCGTACAAGATTTTGGGCCTACACAGCAGAACAGCCGCTGCACCAGTAACCAGACCGCCAGCCCACGAGTTCGTGGCTTGGTGCAACCGTTTGATCAAGAAAGTATGCCAAGAGGGGATGATGGCAGACCCGGGGTCCGTCGCCAACCGGCGGTACCTCGAGGCCGGCAGACGGGTCCGGTCGGCCATCCGAACCATTGCTGGGATCCGACGGCCAGGACACGAGGAATGGCAGCCTTTTCGATATACGCGGATTAGCCACTGGGGGCCCAACGGCACTTGTGACGATGCGCCTGTCGATTTGACGATTGCCAACTGGGATCAGCATGTGCCTACTCCTGCGACTTACCAGGTTTTTCAGGCGACGTATGGGTCTGATAGGCAGGCGGACAAGGATAAGCGGAAGCAGGATCATCGGATGATGGGGAAGACGTGGATGGCGACGAGGAATATGCTTCGGGACGCAAGAGAGCGGGAGGCGGAGGAGTGGATGGATCTTGAGGCTTGTTATGGGTTTCGGGCCAGGCCGGTTTTCAGGTTCACGGGCAATGATCCTGACTATTGGGACGCTGACTTGGAGGAAGAGGATAGCAGGGAAGAAAGTAGTGAGGAGCAGGAAGAAGACGACGAGGAGCTGGAAGAAAATGACGAGGCGCAGGAAAACGACGACGAGGAGCCAGAGGAGAACAACGATACGCAGGGCAAGGGCAGAAGTCCGAAGGGAAAGGGTAAAGATCCACTGTTGTACGGCGTTGATCGGGATGAGGAAGACAGCGAGGAGGAGCCCATTGAGAAGCCTCTCCCCTATACCTTCTTCGCGAGCCCTGTACCGAAGGGCGAGGATAGTTTGTGGTATTCTCTCTCGTAAGTCCCCCCCCCTTCATTTGCCTTTTCCGTTTCGCCCCAGACTGTCATGATTGAGAACACTTTCTAACTTTCTAACTCTTACAGTCTCCTTGTTCATAACCGGTATGATCTCGCAAAGAAAATCAAGTTTAGGATGGCCAACTGGTTTCATTACCAGCTGTCGAACCCCGGCTCACGCCGCTTCCGGATGTATTGTCAACTCCTCGTGGACTCGGGTGCATCTGTGTCCAGTGACGACATCGAGGACTGGGGCCCTCAAGACCTTATACGTTGCCTCAACAGGAACGATCGGGACGCTGGCCAACCTAAAGGGCCCGGGTATCACGAGATGCTCTATCTCATCGCGGATTTCTTCGGGACCGAGGTGATCACTTTCACTCGTCCCGACGAACCCCGCGAGCCGTGGTCTCGTCCAGGGACTCCGGTCACAGTGGTGCCAGAGCCGCGCTATGGGGAGGGTAGCCCGTCGGAACTGCTTACCTCGTGGTCTTCCAGTCCCGAGGCCTCTCCAGAGCGAGACGGACAGGCAGGTCCTTCTGGTGCCCAGCCCAACAGCGAGGGAGTTGCGCCGGGGAAGACATCCAACGAAGGTGCACCTTCAACAACACCTACGTATGCAGAAGACCGTTGGATGGCGGAAGGAAGATAAGTCTTCGAGATGAGAGTGTATGGGAACGTCCCCCAAGAGGGGTTTGTCCTAGACCCCAAGAACCAAAAGAGAGAGCAGATTCTCCTCGTCACTGACTCCAAACTAAGTTACTTCCAGCCTGTCACGCGTGTAAGTCCCGACCTAGATGGAGCGACAAAAGGCGGTCGTTACATCGGAACGAGTCCCTACCAAGTCTGGGAACGCTGGCCGCCGATGCCGTGGTGGCCGGGGGCTAAATACAACAAGAGCAGTAAGAAGTGGGTGGGCGACTGGTCCAGGACTCTTGGGCGTGAGAGCCTCACCGAAGCGGAGCGGTTGGTGATGAAGCCAACATATATCTGCAGAGGTGTTGAGGACCTTGCAAGCGGGAGGACGATTCAGGGTCGGTACTTCGAAGCGGAGCCACCGCGTGATAACCCGCAGAATCAGTCATACTATGACCAGCTGCTCACCTACGAAGCCGACACGGATACAGACAGGTATGGGTACGAATATCCCACCCTAGCCGTCAGGAAAACCTGGACGACCGAGAATGCCCTAGCCGGCCAGGCGGACTCGCCGCTTGTTCGGGAACAGTGGAGGGCCCGAACGGGTGGGACCGAAGAGCAGACGTACCGGTCCAAGGCGCACTCTGAGAGCCGGAAGCGTACGCGCGAGGAGTACGCTGAGAACGAGGGGCTAGGGTATGACGAAGATTATGGGTGGTTGAGGATCGAGGCGACGGAGAAGGAGAACAAGGTGAGGGCTTGGTATGATAATTCTAAAAAGAGGAGGAAGGGCATGTATTACTGAGAGGGACTCGATAGGTGCATTTCTGCGGATATTGGTGCTTTTGCTTACACTTCTTGTGCGTATTAGCGTGGATTTGAAGCATTCTGCGCAGCGTGTTTTGTTGGATTTCTATTTTCAGCGAGATAATTTATTTGACGACGAACAGAGTATCGTTGCAATGATTAAGGCTACAAGAATTTCCACAATAATAATACTTCCAACTGCGACTTGGTAGCTTGCCGTTCGATACCCTAGTATGCCACGTAACTTGTCACCCCTGAAGTCGGCAAGATGCTTCTTGACCGGCTCCGGGGTGGGACCACCTAGCTGCTTTCATCCTGATGCGGCATTGCGACTCCTTTGCCGCGCGATACCGGTCATCGAGAACATAATACTGGCAGGGGGCCAACGCCTTATAAACGGCCGTGCCGCGAAAAGGTCACAAGAAGTGAACTCCGTTACATTCGACAAAACCAGAGTGGTATTCAATATATCCTACCTAGGTAGTTCCTGTCCTCCTTGTCTACTTCTTACACGCAAATTACTCAGACGCGCTCGTCATTGTGCCTAATTTCTTCCTCAACCACCTCAGAGCCATCGACCGGATCTGTGATTCCGGTCATCTTAGAAACAATCACAGCAGCGAACAGATCACCGCTGACATTGGTAGCAGTGCGAAATCGATCAATGAACCAGTCGATGGCAACGACGACACCGTACATTCCGCTTGGGGGGATGCCGACGCTCGAAGAGATCATGACAGTCAGGACGAGGGATGAGCTGGGGATGGGGGTGGTGCCGATGGAAGCGAGAGTCGAAAGCAAAAGGATGATGATATAGTCGGCCGCGTTGAGAACATGGCCCTGGGTCTGAGCGAGGAAGACGACGACAATCGGGAAGTAGATGGCGGTTCCGTCCATGTTGATGAGACAGCCCAGGGGCACGGAGAATTTGGTGACCGTCTCGGGGACCTTGAGCGTCTGACGGCAACACTTCATGGTGACGGCCAGGGTCGCGGCAGAGGAGGCGGTTCCCCATGCTGTCAACCAGGCGGGCGAGCAACTGAACCAGAGGGTGTATGGGTTCTGGCGGGTGAAGGCGTAGAAGATGATGGGGAGGATGATGAATAGGTGCAAGAACATGGAGCTGATGGCGCCGCCCATCAAGATGCCCAGGTTCACGCCGATGTCGTTGATGTCGAGCTTGAACATGTTTGGCAGAATCAAGAAGAACACACCAATGGGGGCGAGCTTGATGAGGAAGGTGATGATGATCATGATGAGGGCCTCGACTTCACGCGCCGCTTTGATGAGGGAAGATTGGCCGTCTCGGTTGTCGATGAGGTAGCCGATCACGACGGCGCTGACGAGCACGGCCAACAGGTGATCCGAGGCGAGGGCATCGATGACGTTGGCGGGAATGAGGGAGTTGAAGAGCTCGGTGACGGTGGCGGGGATATCTTGGTCTTTCCTCTCCTCGTAGGACTCTTGGTCCTTCTCGGACATGCTGCCTGTCGCGATGGACTCTGCCGAGGCGACTGTCATGAGACGGGCCCAGACCTGGGAGGTCATGATGATGGAGTGGACGATGGCTACGATGGTTGTGATGACATAGTAGCCGATTGTCCACTTGGCGAGCTTGGCGCCACCGTGGGAGATTTCTTTGAGTTTTTGGACGGCGAGGACCATTGCTGTCACGATGAGGGGCAGGACTGGGAGTCATTGTTAGCTCGGGATGGGCTGATGCTCAAGGAACGAGGTTCAACGTACCGACGGCTTTCAGAGACCGCAACCAAAGGTTACCGGGGATGATGAGGATGGTTGTCGCGGCTTCGGGAATATCTGGGTGGGCAGTCTTGACGCCCAAACCGATACCGACCGCGATGGCAGCGGCGATGATGATCTGGACGGCGGAACCAGGCTCGATGACCGGATGCCACCACGGCTTCTTCTCGTGGACCGAGATCTCCGATGTGACGGAGGTCTGGCGCTGGACCTGGTCCATGGAGGAGTTCGAGTTCTCTCGCACGGCCTTGTCGGCAGTGCCATACTCCGACTTCTCCATCTTGGGCTTCTGGACGGGGGTGAGGTTGTCTAGATGTTGACGAAACAATGGAGGTGCCTGGAGACAGTGTCACAAGCCACAGAAGATCGAGCCTAACCAGGATTGCTGCAACGCTGAGAGAAGGAAGAAGAAGGAAACAGAGGTCCCTCGACCCCGATCGGCGACTCGAGCGAGGGATATATACGTGAAGAACACCCGGCTCGTGGGTCAAGCTGATTATGGGTTGCACCGAGAGTCTTGTCTATCAGTGTGGCGAGCAGGGGCCAGGTTAGCCTGCGATGCCAAACCCAGAGTTCCGATACGTCTATGGGATGGGGGCAGGTGAGAAGGTGCTCGCGTGGGAGGTTTGCAAAGGATTAGCAGGATGGGATTTCACCGAGAAACGAGATAGGGCATGCCTATCTCTCACTCGCCAAGAAGGATATCGAAGCTGGGAGAGGGCACGGCGGTTGGCATCTTTCACGCGAAAGGAAGGTGTAAGAGGATCCATTCCATCCCCGCGTTACCCACAAGTCGTGGTCGATGAAGGGCGGGCGACTTAGGGGGATGGATAGTGTCTTGGTCGACCCACGAGTCTGGATTGAGACTGCAAGTATCGTACTCCATACACACGAACGAGCAAGGGACTGGAAGGGTCACCGGCCGCCGGCGTGGGACCTTGAGGAACTAGAAGGAAGTTAGGAAGCGCAGGCGCGTGTGTGACTGGGATGCGATGGGGTGGAACACTTCGACGCGGCATTGGCAGAGGCAAGGTTGAGAATAAGAGTGGGCTGGACAGGAGAACTTTTCTGGATTTGCCAAAGGGAGGATACCGGACGACAAGAGATAGGACAATGAAGCTTGACTGGCCGAGTCAGTTTGTCATGTCGGAATGGTGGTCTGGGTATTGGCCTTGGCTGGAAATACAACTTGGCGGTGACGACGGGGCTTCGATGGTGTTGTTCATCAAACGGTAAGCAGGTCCTTTGCGTTGGTATCAGATGCCTTTGGTAGTCAGGTGCAAAGAGCCTCGCATTTGGCTCGCAACGTTGCAACTTCAACAGACCACTTATTGCGTTGTCGAAGCCAAGTTGATCGAGGATGAGTCTCTCCCTCGAGCTTCCACTCCAGATTCACCCCACAAACCGTGGGTCTCATCGTCTCCCCATCTTGACATTTGACAATGACAGTTCTGTCAGAGGCCCAAACTCGGTCTCCAGTTGAAATCGCGTTGCCAGCCAGCAAGAAGCTCCACGGAGAGCAAAAGGATTCGGCGCGTCCAAGAAGACCAAGGCTCGTTACCAAGATGCCCAGGGTGATTGCGCCCCAGTTGGCATCCGTCAGACATGACTCTCGGGCGACGTTGGTACGACCGCGGCTTCCGCCCATTGGTCCGCCACGGCGAATGCCGTGCCGCGCCGAGCATTGCCGAGAGGCTCGGCGGGGAGCGCGAGGACGAGGGTCGGGCATGGGGCTCCGAGAAATTTGAGTTGGGGGTGGGGAAGAGAGGGATTATCGATTGAAAAACCAGCAAGAAAAAAAGTCTTGGCCGTGGCGCCGGAGGTCTTTCGCTTTCGACATTCCACCCACTCCCGCTCAGGAGTTCCGCCGAAAGCCACGCATAGCCGTGGAAAAGCGTCGACTTTCACCGGCGGTCGGCAGGTCACCGTCGCGCGCTCCCTTTTGCTACTGTAGGGCGTGAAGTGATGCTTGGCCGCTCCACGCCGTTCCGGAGACAGACACCCCGGTTAAGGTCTGTTTATTACGTACAGTGTGACGGAGTGCAGGGTACCAATGTGGGTAGCCGAGTCCTGAAGGCCGTCGGGAAGAACAGGAAGCCAGTCGGAAGTCTTGGATGTAGCCGGGGACTGCAATGTCTGACCACTGACATTCGAGGTGTTCAGTTTGTCACCCTAATATCTAGAATTTGACAGATATTGGTCGCTCTTGGAAGTTGGGGTATCGATTGCCGGTTTCTTGTCCTTTAGGAAAGTCTTGTCTATCTACTGAAGAGCATTCAGGAGGCGATGAACTCACACGGGCCGGGTTCTGGCGTATGCAGGTTGAACACGCGGGTCTGGGTCTGGGGGGGGGGGGGGGGGGGGGGGCGAGCGATGGAGAGCCGGGGTCGTTTGCTGCTGCCGGGGAGCTTTTCATGGCCCCATCTTCCATTGCCACACTGTCCTTATATGAAGGGGGTTCAATAAATTTCCCAGGATTAAGGTATCGCCCCGAATATTTCACAAAAGAAGGTGAGGTTAACGGCGGGTTCTTAATAGGTTTGGATACAGGGCTCGAAGCGGTGTAATCCATGCTGGCGTACTAGAGAGCAAAGGGGCCCACGACAAACAAGCAAGAGACTCAGCGAGAATCCCTCGGTAGTTTAAAGTCTTTGAACCTTCCATCGTGTTGGTATAGATCAAAGACACCGGCTCAGGTTGTGATAGAAAGTAGCAACCCTGCGGAAGGCAATGGAAGGTGGATGGCATAGTAACCTCGCCATGCTCTATCTCAACACGGCGACTAGTCACGCGTTCCTGAAATCCAGCTGCTTTGTCAGGTTGAGTCGCATCGAAACCTTTCGATCATACGAGAATAGATTGAGCAAAGTACGACTCGCAGATTGCTGCTACGCCTCCATGTTCCGATGAGAGAATGGCACGAGAAGGCGGTGGGAGACAGAATAACATCCATGCCACCAAGTCACCAAGTACTAGAGAAGAAAGCCCCAGCAAGACAACACGAAGGCCCAGCGCCGTGATCCGAAACGTAACATGTGAACAGGTAAACAACTTAAGATTTGAAGTGTACGTTAAGCTGTCTGTAGACTTTGCATCAGATTCATCTCTAAATAGCCGGAAGAGAAAGAAACCCAAACAACAGTCCAAGTGAGAAATTTCAGCGCAGACGCCGTTCCAAACATGAGCTAACCTGGTAAGCACTGCAATTCAAGAAGACTGCTCCGCAAGCCTTGAGCAGACGCCTCGAGCCTCTGCCGTCGAGCGATTTCCTTCTCCGGCTCCGACCCAATGCGCAGTAGCTCATCGTCAGAGAACTGCGAGACTGTCGTGGGGTAGAAAATCTCTGGCAGCGGAGCCAATATGTGACGTTCAATGACTTGTCTACACACGTTGTCCACGAAAGTTTTCATTGCAACCTGCGAGATGTCATCAGCGTCCCGAGCAGAAACAAGATCAGGGGGTTATGGGCGTGTAAAGTACCTTGTAGTAGGCATTGAGGCCTGCGAGGGCCTCTTCACATGCTTGCTGATCCATATCGACACATAGCTTGGGCTGCAAATCATTTACGAGAAGCTTTCTATCGTCACTGTCGCCGGTGTTGAGTCTGCGCACATCGATTGTGGCGAGTGAGTCCTCTAGCAGTGATTTCTGCGTTTTGTTGCGCGCCTTTTGGATGTTGTCAGTGTAATAGTGATTGTACGTGATAGGATGACGGTCCTCATCCAAGAAAATTTGCTCAAGCTCCTTAAACGCAGTCTTTCTAGCAAGCTCTAGCTGCTCTAGACAGAAGGTGGTAATTTCTCTGCGCAGGCGATCCTCGTGAAATAGCGTAGATACCGCTTCACGGATCCATTTCGAGACACAATCCAGAACAGTGGAAACGTGCTCTTGTGCGAGATTGCGCCACGGACTGGAGTGCTCGTGGAAGAGTTCAGCGAGTAAGATGTGATTATAGTTACCAGGAAGCTCACGTCCTCTGGTCTCGACATAAGTCTGATCTCTGTTAGCCGTCTTGACTCTGCTACAGGCGAATAAACAAAGAAGCAAATCAATAGCTTACCTGACGAATCCAGGATACCATCTCAGTTCGTGTCACAAGAAGCTGGCCGCTGTTGCCGCTAGAGCCATCCTCTGACCGCGGCGTAGGTGGACTGTCAGTGATTTTGCGTTTGTGACCTTGCTCACGGACTTTCGCCGCGAAAGTACCATTCCGCTGATGGACCAAGGAGCGGAGTCTGCTTCCATTCTTTTTCTCGAAGAAGGCCGCTTCCGAGCAGTGATAGTTCCCGTCTAAAGCCGCCTGAGCTAGCTGATAGTAGCGCATGCTGAGGTTGGTCATGAAAGATCGAATATCGCCGAGGGACCGTCGTTCAGGACCTATAGCTTCAAGATCATTTTCAAAGGAATCAAGTTTGCGTCTGATTTCGTCCTTCAGTTTGGGCAGCTCCCCCTCGAGGTGCTCGTCCAGAAGCTCTTGTAAGAATACTTTCAAATTCTCAATGCCGACCCGGCTCATGTCAAGGTTCTGGGCCTTCCAGGCTGGCGAAGAGAAGAAGTTCATCTCACGCTCTGCGCGATTGTTGTTGCGGCTGTAATCCTTCATCTCAGATGGACTAGGGTTCTTGAGAAGGAAGAAGCCGAGTTTAAGCTTAATTGCGTCCTTGTTCTTAGCGATGTTGGCGAGCTTGGCCTCGGCTCCGGCATTGATGAGATCGGGTTTGGTGATGATACCGACAGTCCGCTGTCCGTCTGGGTCATACTCGCGGGCGATTTTGATAATGCCTTGGTTGGCAAAGTCGTTACTGGCCTGTACGACAGCAAGAATAATGGTACGGGTGCTCTTGAGGTAGCTCCTCACCATAGCATGGACAGCCTCCACGTCGGCTTGGGACTGTTCCTCGTTGGAGACCGAAATAAGGCCAGGTAGGTCAACAATGCTCAGTTGTAGTCCTGTGGGACCCGAAATTTCAATGCGTAGAGCATCAGATGCAAATGCGGCATCATCGGGAGAATCGGTAAAACCGCGTATTCCCATAAGCTTAGAGACCTCCTCAATGGCGACGGGAAGGTCGGAGAGATCTTCCTTCATCTCACGCTCATAGTTGCTGAGGGTTTGCGCAACACCGGGCGGGCGAGAGAAGTGTGGTCGAATAGTGGCCTTCGCTTTGAATGGCTCATTGGAGTGCCGGAGAATAATCTCCGTGGGGAATCGGGTACAGAGGCCCTCTTGACGAGGAAAAGGTATGCCTGTGATGCCCTCCAATACGGAGCTTTTGCCAGCGGACTGATCACCACAGACGACAAGTTGAGGCAAGTCAACCAGATCGCCAATACCATTGGCACGGAGTTTTTCGATCTGATTGAGGCGATGGGTGGATCTCTGAGATCGCAGCCCAAGTGATGGAGCTCCGGTTTTATTCAGACTGGATACGACCATTGTCGTTGTGTCAACGGGGTTGTAATTTGTAAAGAGAAGATTTGGATTGGGGATTCAACTAGGTGGGCACATTCAAATCGATTGACATGGACTTGGCTTTCAAAAAGAGAGAAACGCCTGGAATTTGGCGATTAAGTATTCATATGGCCCTCAACGTGTATGATTGTTTTCTGATCTGAATGTCACATGCGTTCAAGTGCGAGCAGCATTGTAGGCCTCAACCAACAAATGACGGGAACCGATGATGAATCCATGGATTTGTCTAGACTGGAAAGAGAGTTTACTTTCGGGAGCGGACCTGATTATGCAGTTGCAAGGTAACGTCGACCGCACCCATCTTGTCTGTTGTAATTATCTTGCTCAGCATGGCGGTAAAAACGTTTAATCAGCAATAGCCGATACGTTCCTGGAACTGATGGAGCAAAATTGGATTTCGGATTTGCTCTAAGGCATGAAGCTACTTGTACCTAGATGACGCAATTCCCAACGAACTACAATTTTGCATGTGATGACTTGCTGACAGATGTAGGACGAGAGATTCAAGCTGATCGGTCAAAGTTTATGTCTTGTTGTTCGTCACATGTTTGCTTGTCCGATTTTGTTTTAGCAGGAAGCAGTTCCTTGATCGCCTCTCAAACATGAGCAACCTGGAACGTTGATCTCTACCTAGACCAAGACGAGAAGAGAATAGCTTTCAGCCATTAAAGCCTGCTTTCATACAAGATATATACATGCAAGACACGTACTGCCGGAGCCTGGTATAAGAAATGGCCTCTGAAGCAAGTCCACGATGACGGCTTGCGGTTGCTGGAATGATAAGACTCAAATTTTGAGAGTTGCTTGATAATGGGGCATAATGAAAGATGCCTCAACAAACTGAAAACAGCCTCTGCAAGGCTTAAGAAATGGAATCAAAAAGTAAAAGACTGGAAGTTCGGGAATGCGATGAACCGCACCATGAGGCTGCTTCTGAATTCCACTATCACAGGTTTGCCATCCCGCAACATGTCCGAAAGAACGTTATATGTTGATAAGCTCCTCTATCGTGAATTGCGAAGGGATCATCCGATGAACAAGGTTCTTGCTGTTTAACTTCGGAGGCCTACCTGAGTTAGCTTCCAGTCGAAATTTTATCTCATCCGTGCAATCGGCTTGAACCTTGAATCCCATCACGTGGTTAAGGGACTTCCGTAGTGGTAATACTTCAGGTCCGAAACGACCCTATCACGGACTCAGTCCCAAGAACGGCTATCCGCATTTCCCCGTCACCTGATTCCCCATCACCAGTCATTCGCTTTATGCCGAAGCGGAGTTTAACGTCTTCCGACTCTTCAGAGAAATTCTCATTCCCTCCAACACTGCAAGATTCTCCCGGTCTATGCAGCCTGCTTCTCGTGCTAGTTGTTTCATGAACCGAAGGAAGCTATTCCCAGCTAAACAGCCATTTCGGTACAATGCCAGCCAATCAAGGATGTATACTATCAATGTGACAACAAGACACGAAACATACGGTGCATAGAACTGCCACGGCTCGCTGAAGCTATAGATTTTTTCACCAGCGAGTGCTTCAACAAGCTGAGTGTTGACCCATAGAGGTCTAGCTGATATTTGATTCAGTGATACGGCGGATATCACACTCAACGTTGTAATAGTACACGAGCTGAATATGTATATCTGATTCGCTACTTCGGGTACAACGGTGTTGTAACAACTGTTTATGCCATGCAATCAAGCATTTCGGGCAGTTGCAGTGCCATGAACTTTTTCCTTCACTTGAGCATTAATCCTCTTCATCTCTCTTGCCAGCGGGAGAAAATCGCTTTCCTGCTGCGTCGCAGTCTCAATCCCCTGAGCGACGCGATCCAGCAAATGCAGATCCTCAATCATATCGCCAGGCCTGGGTGCGTTCATGGCGTTGCTGGCGAGATGAGCGTATGCGGTGTGCGCTCGGAAGGCGCCGAGAATGTACGATATTGTCTCCGCCGCAGGGAACTTCCAGACGTGCAGCATGTTGTACGTCAGGTCGAGGATGCGACGCGAAGCCCGGGTTGAGAAGTCTGTTCTGGGCACGTTGTTGTCGGTGCAAACTGGTACGGGGGAGTTTGATTTCAGGAGCGTCGCCTTTCGCAGCATAAAGATGATGGAGGTATAGCCTGTCAAAACCAGGCTTGATAGAGTCCATAGATCCATGTGGTCATCACCTGATCGCTCGATCCAGTCTTCCTGTAGCGGCATTAGCATATTCAAACCCCGGCGAAAACATCAGGGTGATGGGTTGCGAGGTTGACTTACGATTCCCCATTCATCAAACAGGATTTCGATCTCGTGGCATAGAGGCTCGATAGCTTCGACTGCTTCGGACTCGTTCTCAAGTCCTTCGAGAGTCTGGAAGAAGCGGATCAAGATGAACGCAAGTCGGCTGCGAAAGAGGAATGATATCGTCGACACTTGAGCACCCTTTTCCGGAGGCAAGTCGAGTGACAGCCATGGTAGGTTCACCTGCCACTTGTCGAGGCTCGGATACAGTGTTGCCGGCTTATTGTAAATCAAGTGATAGAAGAGATCCGTTTGAATGAGCTCCCACATTCCCTTGCGGTCCTCGTCGGTGCTGGGGCAACCGGTGGCTACAAAGTAGGCATTGCTGTCGAGACTGTGCATTTGGAGACCTTTGGCGTACTCGCAAGACAATTGGTGCATTTCCAAGCTCATTTCGAAGTCGTAAGACTCTGTTGCGATGCCTGTCTGCAAGAAGGATCAGCATCAGTGACCATGACACATAGAACAAGCAGAACGTGGAGGGGGAAGGGTGATATACCATGAAGATAGCAGCAATAAAGTCAGTGATGGAACCAGTGGCTTCCTTCTGCCAGCATGGCATAGTCCTTAGACAGCACAGGTAGAGCTTCCGCGCGTATCTGCCGTCTGGACTGTGAAATGACCGTGTGTTCAGGATGTAGCATCCCCGCCACAGAATGACATAGTAAATGATGAGGATGCAGGGGTCAAGGGTGACATGCCTCATTAGGAGCATGTCTGGTATTAGCTCGATGGTTTTCCTATCCACGAGACTGAGAAATGTCTCAGTGGGACTGTAGGTGAAGTAATCTAAACTGAGAGTCAGCGTCGTGAGTGTAACGAGCCGCGGAAGTCTTACTGTGAATCCATGTCCGTGCCTTCTCAAGAGAGATGTCGATACCCTCGGTCGCAATGGTATTGTGGCCCATGGTACGTCGAAGCCTTTGGTCTCGCACGCGATCGAAAGTGTCACCAAGAGTTGCAGCAACATCAAGAACAGCGGGATTGCGCGAAGTTTCAGATCCATGTGGTCTGAGAGATGGCAAGATGTCTCGCTCATGATAGGGTGTGTTCCTAGAGTCGACCCTAGATGGTGGACTCAGAGGTGAAGCTGAGTGGCTCGTTGTATCCTGGGCCGGTGGTGAGTAGGGCTCTGGGGAGCCATACTCATCAGAAGCCTGTCTATGAGATGATCTTGACGCAGGAGGGTTGGCACTCGACGATGAACGATTGTTCTCAATACGCTCTAAACGGTCAAGGATGAGTGAAAGAGTCGCATTGTCGGCGGTGCTACTTGGGGATTGAGTGTCAGTGTGATCAGATGGCCTGCATCTGATGAGAGTTTGAAGTTGAGCTCACCTCGGGTGATCGGCCTCTCGCTTGGTACGTTTCCTAGGCCTCCTCTGAGGGTACTGGCATGAAAGGTCTAGTGTACTACATCGCTCACAAATGGGTGTGTCACGACTGCATCTCAACTGGGAGAGTAATTATGAGCATGACACACTCAGGTTGCAAGTGGATCGACAACAGGACGTACCTTTTTGCTCCGACAATTCGTACACTACCAATTAAATGTAAGTTCATTGTTATCAGGCTAATACAAGTTCCCGAATCTGTAGGGGCATGCTTCAAATGATAGCTTGATGAGAATCCTGAGGTGAGCAGGCCTTGGGATTCTCAGATTGGGTTTGATGGAAAATGCGGGCTTACCGAAAGGCCGTTCACAACAACAACTTCTTGCCGCTCCATGGACACCGGGGTCCCGAATCTCCAACGCGCGGGATGCCGAGACTGTAAGTCCAGATGGGTCAGGTATTAGATGGCGAATACAGATGACAGAGCCGCAACTGGCTCAGAGCATCCAAGGGTCTCAGTGCATGCGTACAGACCGATCAGCTTTTGCTGTCGAAGATGCGGAAACCGGATGACAAGCGCCTTACGGGCCTCAAAAACTGAAAGTCACCGTGGCCTAGGTAGGGTTCTCCACACAAGATCTCACTTTGGAGTCATGAACGGCATAGAATTGGCGAATGGCTGGAGATGTTCCTCGGAAGAAATGGCACAGTGACCGCCGACTGCCACGAGCTTGGCCTCGTCTAATGGGTCTTTTCCTCATTGGGACCGCCAGCAGCGCTCTTCCCATCCTTGGCAGCTCTGACGTGCCGCGGTCTTCAATTCTGACTGGAGGATTAGCCGTTGTGACCCACTTAACCGGTCTTTCGCACTCTCCAAAAGTGCGGCGCCGTCCCCAGATGGCTCCTTCCCGGCCGTGGTCGGTACGCCGGAACGCCTTCCGGATCGACAACGCCCAAAGGCATTTCGCACTTTCCGAGAAAACGTCCTGCAACTTCTCCACCAACGCAAATGTGGATGGAACTCAATTCGAATTCGAACACAGTCATGGAAAGTCTCTCAATTTCTCTCTTTACGAGACAAAGAATCTGTTCAATGTCGACGGTACAAAGACCCGGGTATCTCCTTGACGATCTAACGTGAAAGAGTCATTACTGAAGATCCATTACACGATCTACTTTGCCATCTTTTCTACACATCTACTTACTCCGACGACAATACAGTCCGGATCATCTCTCCCAGCCGACAGTCTTGGGGTGTATGAACTTGCCCGAGTGCTCACAGAGTCTACATTCCATCAGGGAAGAGTTGCAACATGCCGGCACCTGCGATCTTGGACCCCGGTCCTCACCCGAATGAACCCCATGCATCCACATTCGACGGTACAGAGAGCGTTTCCGTCCCATCAGACGCCGAGGAGGAAGCCGAAGAGGCAATCCACCATCTGGCTAGGCGCCTAACTTCACTATCCCATGGAGGGGGTCATTCACTGTTTCCTGAGCCATCCGACGCCTGTCTCGACCCAAAGAGCGACAAATTCGACGCCCGGAAATGGGCAGCAGCCTTCTACAGGCTACAGACCAAGGCCCTTCTCGGAAATGCACCCAATACGGTGGGTCTTGCCTTTAGGGACTTGCAAGTCTACGGTCTGGGAACGACTACGGACTATCAGAAGACTGTTGGCAACTTCTTTCTGGAGGCAGCCGCGTTGACTTCCTGGTTTTCGTCTTCAGGCAAGAAGCAGCGCATCGATATTCTGCACGACTTGGAAGGCGTTATCCAAAGTGGAGAGATGCTCGCTGTGCTTGGTCCGCCTGGCTCTGGTTGTACGACGTTGCTGAAGACTATCGCTGGCGAAACCCACGGTTTCTATATCGCCGAAGGAGCAACTATCAACTACCAAGGGATCTCCCCAAAAGAGATGAAGACGACATTCAAAGGAGAAGCAATCTACACTGCAGAATTCGACCACCATTTCCCTTACCTGACCGTCGGCGAGACCCTCTATTTTGCGGCCCGGGCTCGGTGCCCCCAGAATATGGATCTTCCCCATGGCATCTCTGAGCATCAGTACGCCGAACATCTCCGCGACGTTGTCATGGCACTTTTGGGTATCTCGCACACAAAGGACACCCGAGTAGGAGACGACTTCGTTCGTGGTGAGTAGCTCAAGCCTTCGACAACTTTGAAGCAACCTCAACTAATTAAAAGGATAGGGGTCAGTGGAGGAGAGCGGAAGAGAGTCAGTATCGCGGAGGCGGTCCTGAGCCACTCTCCCCTTCAATGCTGGGATAATAGTACGCGAGGTCTTGATTCCGCCAACGCAATCGAATTCTGTCGGACTCTTCGCATGCAGGCAGACATCTTCGGATGTAGCTCCTCTGTGGCCATCTACCAAGCACCTCAGGAAGCATATGAGGTGAGTCTCTTGCAGTTCTTTATCTACCTCGCCATGCTTTCTTTTCAACGCCAGTACCTACGTTTACCTCTATGACGTTTCGTTGCTTACCCTATGGACAGCTATTCGATAAGGTCATTGTCCTCTACCAGGGCCGTCAGATCTTCTTCGGGAGGTCCACTGATGCGAAAGCCTATTTTGAAGGACTTGGCTTCCTGTGTCCGGAGCAGAAGACCACTGCCGACTTCCTGACCTCAATGACGAGCTCTTCCGAGAGAGTCGTGCACCCGGAGTGGAAAGGTCGAACACCGCCGCGAAGCCCTGACGAGTTCGCCCAAGCCTGGAAAGATAGCCAGAACCGTCGGAGCCTGTTGAAGGAGATCGACTCTTTCGAGCAGCAGTACCCTTTCGGCGGTGACACGCACAAGCAGTTCTCCGCCACCCGAAGAGCACACCAGTCCAAAGCACAGCGATCCTCGTCACCATACACTTTGTCCTATGTGCAGCAAGTCAACCTCAATCTTTGGCGCAGTTTCAAGCTGCTGATCAGCGAGCCGTGGATGACGATTACAATGTTAACGACAAATTTCTTCGAATCTCTCATCATCTCTAGCATTTTCTACAACTTGGCACCAAATTCTTCTAGCCTCTACAACCGAAATCTCCTGATATTCTACACCATTCTCATCAATGCCATGGGTAGCATAATGGAGATTCTCACGCTCTATGGCAAGAGAAAGATTATCGAGAAGCATGCGAGATACGCACTGTATCATCCAAGTGCCGAGGCAGTCGCCGCCATGCTCGTCGACCTACCGTACAAGATGATCAACGCGTTGTTCATCAACGTGCCAATTTATTTCATGACGAATCTACGACGCGAATCAGCTGGGCCCTTTTTCTTCTTCCTCTTATTCTCGTTTACCATCACCGTTTCCATGTCCATGATCTTTCGATTCCTCGGCTCTGTCACCAAGACGACCTCACAAGCTCTGGCACCCTCAGCCATTATCCTGTTAGCGCTGATGCTGTTCAGCGGCTTTGCTATGCCTCAGTCATATCTCAGTGACTGGATTGGGTGGATTCGCTGGATCAATCCCGTTTTCTACGCACAGGAAAGTCTCGCGCTCAATGAATTCATTGGACGGTACTTCACCTGCTCGCAATTCGTCCCCACGGGACCCGGTTACACAAGTTCTACCTTGGACGAGCGTGTCTGTGATATTGGAGGGGCGATGCCAGGATCTGGCTTTGTCAATGGCGAGGAGCACCTCCGTGTCGTTTACGGGTTCCCGGCCAGTCATCGCTGGAGAAACTTTGGCATCTTGGTTGCCATCACCCTCTTCTTCATGATTCTCTATCTCGTCGCCGTCGAGCTGGTGTCTTCTGAGAGATCCAAGGGCGAAGTCCTCCTTTTCAAGCGCCGGGCTCTGAAGAGTGTCAAGAAGGGCCATGGTGATCTCGAGACTTTGGGAGAAAATCAGTCGCAACCGGCGATACAGGTGGACGACGACAGCGACCATTCGGACCTTGCGAAACAAACATCCGTGTTCCATTGGAATGATGTTTGTTACGATGTGCAGGTCAAAGGCGAGACCCGCAGGATCCTTGATCACTGTGACGGTTGGGTGAAGCCTGGGACCCTGACGGCACTGATGGTGGGTTCCCGCCCTGTTGTGAATGCTTCACGGAACATGGCTAATGTGTGTACTGCAGGGAGTTTCGGGGGCTGGTAAGACGAGTCTTCTAGACGTGTTGGCCAGTCGCGTCACTATGGGTGTCGTTAGTGGGGAGATGCTCGTCAACGGCCAGCTTCGGGATTCTTCGTTCCAGCGCAAGACGGGATACGTTACGCAGCAGGACCTCCACCTTCATACGGCGACAGTGAAAGAGGCGTTGAGTTTCAGCGCTCTACTACGGCAACCTGGGCGGTACAGCCGGGAGGAGAAATTGGCCTACGTGGATACGGTGATTGATCTCCTCGGCATGCAGGAGTACGCCGAAGCAGTGATTGGGGATTTGGGTGAGGGGTTGAATGTTGAACAACGCAAACGTCTGACCATCGGCGTAGAGCTAGCTGCCCGGCCGCAGCTACTGCTCTTCCTGGACGAACCAACATCGGGCCTCGATAGTCAGACGTCATGGTCAATCTGCGATTTGATGGAGAAACTGACAAGAAACGGGCAAGCCATTCTTTGCACGATTCATCAGCCGTCAGCATCACTGTTTCAGAGGTTCGATCGGTTGCTGCTGCTTGCAAGAGGTGGACGGACTGTGTACTTCGGCGACATCGGCAAGAACTCTCACGTTCTCATCGACTATCTCAGCCGGCACGGAGCTCCAGCCTACCAATCTGGGTCCAACCCTGCCGAGTACATGCTGGAAGTGATTGGAGCAGCACCGAAGGCGCACACCGATATCGACTGGCCTGCCGTGTGGAGAGACAGCAAGGAACACCGGGGGGTTCAGACTGAGCTCGCGAGATTATCATCACATGCAGATGAAAAAGGGGCCACGGCGACAACAACAGATCATGATGCGTCTACGTACGCAGAGTTTGCTGCAGGTTTTGGTGTGCAGATACGTGAGGTGACAAGACGGGTCTTTCAGCAGTACTGGCGCAGTCCTTCGTACATCTTTTCCAAGTCCATCTTGACGTTTGGATCGGTAAGTGCCATGGCGCATTGCACTTGATCACGGAAATCAAGGAACTGACCGAGGCTTGGGCACCAATAGGCTTTGTTCATTGGATTTACACTTCTCGGCGGCAACAACACCGAGAGCGGTCTCCGGAATCAGATGTTCGGCGTCTACATCTTCCTTTTCATCTTCAGTCAGATGGTGCAGCAGATCATGCCGGTCTTCGTCTCCCAGCGCACCATGTATGAAGCACGCGAACGACCGGCGAAGTCATACTCATGGATGGCGTTTATCGGTGCTAATGTTATTGTTGAGATGTTTTGGAATTCTGTAAGTGACTACCACGGGCAAGACAAAGCCTCTAACCGACGCAAGAATTCTTGACTGACGAATTGGCGACTAGATCATGGCCATCTTCTCGTTTCTGTTTTGGTTCTATCCAATGAGGCTCGATCGCAACGCTGAATGGACAGATGCCATTCACTCGCGCGGCATCACGTTCTTCCTCATCTGCTGGGTCTTCTTCTTATTCTCGAGCACATTTGCGCACCTCATGATTGCTGGGCTCGGCAGCGCCGAGGTCGCGGGTGGGATCATGAATCTACTCTTTATCCTAATGTTTGCTTTCTGCGGGTAAGTGCATCCCGGGTCTCTCGGTTCATCCCAAATTCCCAATTGAGGTGAACCGGCGGGTTGGATCGAAACGAGCTGACAATGTCAAAAAGTGTACTAGCCGGCCCGGAAGATCTGCCGGGTTTCTGGATCTTCATGTATCGCGTCAATCCGTTCACCTATGTCGTCGAGGGCTTCCTCAGCGTCGGTCTCGCCAATGCGCCGGTGGTTTGCAGCGCGGCCGAGCTGCTCGAGTTTGTTGCGGCCGCCAACGGCACCTGTGGCGAGTACATGGCAGAGTACATCCGAGAGAAGGGCGGATACTTGGTGGATGCTGGTTCGAGTGCTTGCCAGTACTGCGGCATGGCCGATACAAATGCGTTTCTGTCGAGCATGAACATGAGCTTCGACAACAGATGGCGCGATTTCGGTCTAATTTGGGCGTTTTGCGTGTTCAATGTCGCAGCGGCAGCGGCGTTGTACTGGATGGTGAGGGTTCCGAAAAATGACTTCAAGAGTCGCAATGCGGGCAAGGCTTGATATTGGAATAGAGGTAAAAAAGTATTGGTTGCACTGGGAAAAAGGGAGGCCATCAAAGTATTTGATTTTGATCCCATCTCAGTATGGGACGATTAGATAGTAAATCTCGCAATGTGAGGTCGAGACATGGAGTCTCAAAGAGGGGATAGCATGGTACATTGAGCAATGCGGATAGTCAATTCATGCAGGCCGTAGTAAATTACATTGCAGATAGAATCGTTACACATCGACGCCGTACAAGTATGAGATGGAAAAAGAGAAATACGAAATAGTACAACAGCCCAGTGACGCCATCAACCGCTCTTCACTTGGTTCTAAACCGTCAGACGAACCAGACCCTACTCCTGCCATCCAGCCATGGAGCTCGCCATCTCCCAGTCTCCGCTCGCAACCTGCCGCCAGCTAGACGAGATCTGACACTCCTCAGCCTCGAGCTCGTCGTTGTCATTCATGCGGAAGATGGTGACGTCGCAGCAGATGGACATGGCCATGAGACCGACCTCGCAGACGTGGGGCTTGTGCATCTTGAAGCTCATGGGCGGGTCGGCGTGCTCCTTGAGCATCTCCTTGAGGGTGGGCTCGGAGCGCTCCGAGTAGACTTCCGCATCGCCGAACAGGATCGGGTTGCACATGATGCCGCCCTTGCCGATATACTTGAGGGCGCTCTTGGGCTTGTGGCAGAGGGCGCCCCAGAGGAGCGTCTCCATCTCGATTGCTTTGGCGTGGTTGCGGAGTTTGATGGTGTTGAGGGGTCCTTCTTCGTCCGAGTCGTCTTCTTCGTCGGAGGAGTAGTGGCGCATTTGCTGGGGTCCCTGCTTTTCCTTCTTTTCCTTTTTGGATTTGCTGGACTTCTTGTTCTTCTTCTTTTCGACGCCGTTTTCGCCGTCAGGGGAAGCACCGTCGGCCTTCTTCTCGCGGCGGGCTAGTTGTTTGCCTTCGAGGTTGGCATCGTCGGCGACGCCTGATAATTGGGGCTTCTTCTTCTTCTGCTTCTGTTCGGCGCCCGGGCCGTGGGGGGAGGGGTCTGTTGTGAGACCTAGGACGGAAGGCATTTTGGGTGGTTTTGGTTGGGGGTTGGTTCTTATTCTGCTTTAGATACGCTTCTGGATGGATATTGTATCGCTAGATGCCGCTATGATATGCTCCGGGAAATCGTGAACTCGTCAAGTCGTTTTTTGCTCGCTATAGAATATCGGGAGAAGGTTGAGCTACGAAACGTAGCACTAAGATGGGGATGCAGACTACTAAAGGCGATGGGAAAGGGGGCACACTTGCATCATACGTCGTTCTGTGTGCTTCAGTCACGCGGTCCTTGCGTAGAACGACAAGACGTTGACGTTCATGTCCCAGAGTTTTTCCCCAGCGCTTCTCCTTCTCTGCGTTTGCCCGGCCGAATCTTGGAATTTTCCTGCTTTGATGCACTGAATGTGACGTCAGCCGTCGTGGCCGCACGGCGCGGTGGTGGATGGGAGAAACAGGGTTTCATCAGTGGGCAGCACGTCGTTCGCGGGGGAAGAGCTGGGAGCTCTCTTCTTCCCATGCAGCAAATCCCCATTGCCAATTGGGGGTGGCAGACTGCAGACGGGGGGGCCACAGCAGCGAGCCCCGCACTGCGATCGAAATGACATCAGGTCCTGCAGGATGCAACTGTGCGGCGATCTCTTAGACTCTTTCAGGAGTCCAGAACGCTGACTCAGCTGGGGTTTTGCTGGGTTGGGCCAGGGGATATCCCTGATTTGAGGGACGAACAGGGCAAAGGATGAGGTAGGAAGATGTCAGTGAGTGAGAGACCACCAGACTAGATTCTGGACACTGAGTGCAAATTAATTGATATGTGTGGCTGAATCCCGTCGTTGCCGCATAGCCGCTAACACTCTTAATTGGCGGCGCATGAAAAGTAAACGTTTCCCACGCTGCGATTTCGAGCTAGACTAAGCTGTTGTCGTGTCTAGTAGGCTGTTGAATCGAAGCGGCGTGAGCGGGTTTCAGAACTTCTTGACGTCCATAATCTTTAGGCAGAGCTTCCCCGCACCCGCTTGACGGTGGAATAAATCGAGAAGCCATCCATTCATGCCGAGAGGTTTCGGTCGCGAAAAACAGCCACTTTGGTTGGGTCGCCGTTGACAATATTCAGCTCAAAGACCCGTCAAAAAGGGCGTACCGTGGGATCATGAAAATCGGACAAGTCAAGGGAGGCGAAGATGACGGACGAACGAAAGGCTGTGAGTGGATGTTGCTTGAAACTGAGTGCCCAGCAGGCACCCACGGCATCGTAACATTGGTCCTAGAGTCAGTCCAATTGGCTTTGCCGAGTGTCGAGAAGCCTGTTTTGATGTTTCTTTCAAAGACATGGGGAATCCGCTCATTGGAATCCTCCGCTGGCCTTGAGATGGACAAAATGTGTACGACTTACTTATTCAACAAAGGAACTGTTGGTTTCGTATAGCCTGTGCTACATCTTTGAAGTCCATCAAACGGATATGTGTTCTGAAGATTAATATGGAACAGCTGCTTGTATCTTACCGAGACAAAATATGACAGCCGCCGGCTCGCGGAAAACCGGAGCTTGACCGGAGCAGCCCGAAGACATGTGGGGCGTGCTTCGGAGTAACCTCGAAAACGACCTCGGGGTTTCGCCGTGTTTTTAAGTGCAACTAGGCACCTCGCTGCTCCGATTCAGACCGATGCGGGGAACCCGTGTCTCGAGGGGCTACAAGCAGATTACGAACAAGCATCTCGTGCGCGAGACTTCACTTTACTTCAACCTGCACACGCACCGTCTCGCAAAAGGATGGGAAAAATGGCTGATGCCAATTCTGCTCAGTGAGTGATCCGAAGCTAGCTGGTGATGTTGAAGCTTAAAACTGAACACCCTGGGCCAACAGGTCGACCCTCTCGCCGGATAGCTGGGATACTCATGTCCATGTATTCGATGCGTCGATAGGGCCCTTTGCGCCTGGAAGATCGTACACGCCAGCGCAGGCTACGGCTGCACAGTTGTTCAAATTCAGTTCAAGCCTGAGCCAGGCACAACCTTCCAACGTTGTAATCGTCCAGCCTTCTCCGTACGGAACTGATAATTCGGTCCTCCTGCGTTCAATGGAGACCTTGCGTGAGGGTGGCAGTCGCATCGTCCGAGGCATCGCCGTGGTGGATATCGAGCATACGTCTGACGCGAACCTCCAAGAGCTGCATGATCATGGTGTTCGCGGGTTGAGGATAAACAAGCAGGCGGATGGGAAGTCCACAGATCTCGAGGCTTTTCGAGAGACTATTTTGCAAACTGCTGCAAGGATTCAACACCTTCCGGGCTGGAAGGTTCAGCTCTTTTGCGCTCCTGCTATGTGGGAAGGTGAGTTCCACCGTTGACTGCCAGTCGAAAACAGGGGGGTGCAAAGACTAAAGGGAGACACAGATCTGTACGAGACGATAGTCTCCCTTCCAGTTCAAGTAATTGCAGACCACGTTGGCGGCATGCGAGCTCTATCCAAATTGCAGCTCAACGCTGAAGCAAGCGGCCTAGACGATCCCACGAAACAACCCGGCTTCGAGGCTCTGGTAAGACTTGCAAGAGCCTCAAAGGTCATTATCAAGTTGTCGGGATTCTACCGACTCTCCGAGATGGTCAAATCTGGTTGCGAGGACATGGAGCCGATTGTCAAGGCTCTCGTTGAGGCGGTACCGCAGCGCTTGGTTTGGGGCAGCGACTGGCCTCATACTGGGGAGGGTAAAGATCGCCTTAATCGAGGTGTGGACGCGGTGGAGAATTTTAGAGAGATAAACGACGCCCTCATTGTCTGCAATTTGAGAAGCTGGGTTAAGAATGAGGAGGTTTGGACGGATTTGATGGTTCAGAATCCTGCGAGATTCTACAGCTGAGCAGCGTTAAGCGGTCGTTCCTGATCTTACTGATGATGTTTTAGAACGGTCTTCTTACTGCCTTATCAAGTAGTACCCAACTCGCAATAGAAATATTTATTAACCAGTATGGTCCGCATTGAAATCAGAATGAATGTTTTAAATGCACTCTATGTGGCAATGAGGAGTTTCTTCAAACCTGCAGGAGAGTTGGTGGATTTCCTAGAGACTTTGTTCGCCCGATAAACGGACGGCTTAAGTCCGACGTCTCCTCCGCAAACGTCAGCGAGCCGTTAGTCTGCAGGGATGTAGACGAATCGAGACCTACAAATCGGGAGAATAAGCAACATGCATGGAGCTAAAATAGCTTGATATCATTGAAAGAGGTCATTATCACCGCATTCTTGACTGTTGTTGAATTACTAGTCACAATGAAGGGACTTCAATAGTCATGTCTTGCTTACGGTGGCACATTTATTGTCGGGACCTCTGGGCCATTGTGCGTGATCCACTGATCTCGAATTGTCTTGCAAGAACCTGCCTGATATTGGCTTGAGCTCTTGGTCCGTATGCGTCTGAAATTTGAAGCCCAAAGAGACACAAATTGACAACTCGCAGCATCAGCTTTATTATTGAGTAGATCCATCGCAACGGACTGCCAGATCTTACAACCGTTAAGTCCGATAAGCGGCATGAGCAACGCTCTCTTCATCAACGTTGTCGGACTCCGAGACCCCGCTGGGATGGACCATGTTGCCCTATGCCTTGGTTCGTGATGGGGTTTGTTTTATCCTCCATCTCAATTGCCGTCGGAGATTTCAAGACTCCTTAGGTATACTGAACTAGGTAAGCTGGAAGACTTGTAGGGCCGAGTGTGTACCTAAGCATACTGAAAGTACATGTAGCCACGACACTATGCTTATCTGGACTACGCGCATCGAGCCATCGCTCAATCGTCACCCTGATGGCAGGTTTAATGTGTCTCAAAACGCCTAGCCTAAAATTGATCAACTTACAAAGACCTTTCAACTCGCTCGCTTCCGGATTCGAAGTGGACTCGGGTGGGATCGCGATCCACGCCAGGGGCTCTGTAGCTGGGTCCCGCGCAGTGCCGCGTTGCACCTAAAGATCCGCTGAACATGCGGACGAATATCGATCCGCATCTACCCAATTCCAGGATTCCAAAGTCGAACTCCAGAAATGTCCCAACGTCATGGTGGAAGCACGGGGCACAGGTGGCTCCGAGTTGGACAGTATGATTCTTGCCGCTTGGCAATGAAACCCTGTATGCGTTCTCGGACTTTGTTCCTATGCCCGGCTTGCAGAGTTTCTACTCACCGCTTGGAGCTGCTCCACGGGCGGCTTCACATGGCAAAGGTTGATATAAAGGCGAGCATGCTCAACGCAGCTCAGTTTCTTTCGTTGTACTAATTCATCCAAAACAAGAGCGACACTAGTCCATCGTACCATTATTAGCTCAACCAAAACATCCCCATCAAGTACCCCACAGTTTGAACTCATCTCACGATGTCCGGCCTTCAAACCCTTTTCGCGCCGGCTCCCGAGCCCAAGACCGAGCTCGGTCGATACCGCGTCCTGTCCACCACCGCGGGTGTCAGGGTCTCCCCCCTCTGCCTAGGTGCCATGTCCATCGGCTCTGCGTGGTCGTCCTTCATGGGTTCCATGGAGAAGGAGGACTCGTTTAAGCTTCTCGACGCCTTTGTCGATGCCGGCGGCAACTTCATCGACACCGCCAACAACTACCAGAACGAGGAATCCGAGGAGATTTTGGGAGAATGGATGACTGCCAGGAAGAACCGGGACACCATGTTCATTGCGACCAAGTTCACGACGCAGTACCGCAAACAGGCGCTCGGACCCGGCAAATGTGTCAATTATTCTGGCAACCACAAGAAGTCGCTGCACCTCTCGGTCCGGGATTCCCTCAGAAAGCTGCAGACGGACTACATTGACCTGCTCTATATACACTGGTGGGATTGGACGACCTCTGTCGAGGAGCTGATGGACTCGCTCCACATTCTGGTCGAGCAGGGAAAGGTCCTGTACCTCGGCGTTTCTGATACACCCGCTTGGGTCGTTTCCGCTGCGAACACCTACGCCAAGGCGCATGGCAAGACCCAGTTCTCCGTCTACCAGGGTCGCTGGAACGTCCTCATCCGCGACATGGAGCGGGACATCATCCCAATGGCTCGCCACTTTGGCATGGCCCTCTGTCCCTGGGATGTCCTTGGCGGCGGCAAGTTGCAGTCCAGGAAGCAGCTCGAGGAGCGCAAGAAGGCTGGCGAGGGCTTGCGTGCCATGTTTGGAGGGGATCAATCCGATGATCAACGCAAGGCCAGTGAGGTTCTTGAGGAAGTTGCCAAGGAGCATGGCATTGAGAGCATTCAACAGATTGCCCTGGCCTATGTCATGCAAAAGGCACGCTACGTTTTCCCGATTGTTGGTGGTCGCAAGGTGGAGCACTTGGAAGACAATATCAAGGCCTTGAGCATCCACCTCACTGGGGATCAGATCAAGAAGATTGAGAGCTTCAAGGAGTTCGACATTGGTTTCCCGATGAATTTCATTCTCGAAGATCCCAGAGAGGGTGGCGCAACGGCACCATTGGTAGCTGCTTCCGCCCCGATGGCGTGGCAGTCTCAGGGTAAGCCGATTGGGCACGAGTAGAGAGAGCACCTTGAAAGTTTCCACAATCCAAAGGTTAAGATCAATAATCGTAAGGTCCATTTGGAATCGAATGTTCCTTGTTCATTAACATTATCTTGATATCATCTGAATCTCGTGTTCGTGGATGCTGTCTCATCAAGTCATAAATCTCAGCAAACAGCTAAGCTAACACCCGTCCGTCTGACCATCTGAAGTCTTATTTCTTCCGGATATCCGGTGTCTTGGATATCAATGTCTTCTGAGAATCCACAGTTGAACCCGAAGAAGTGGACGAGGCTCCGGCAGTTGACATTGAAGCACCTGACGAAACAATAGGAATCTTGTCTTCCTCAGGCTGCGCCACAGGTCTTCCGGACGCTCTCTCCGATCTTCTAACCGTGCTTCGAACCCTCATTTTAATAGCCTCGGGAAGATACCTGGTCTTGATTGCTGTATCACGCAGCAAAACCCGCAATACGGGAATAGTCGACGCCATGATCGTAATGGCTGTCTCAGCCCCAGCCCAGACGGCCAACTCTGCTCCTCCGTCTGTAAACAGCGTTAGATGAATACCAACGATCAGCTGAGCCTAAACTTACGAGAAAAATCACCAGTGGTATCATTTACTGAACGCATGTACGATGCTTTAACGAACGCTGCCATTCCGGCCCTGTCACAAATGCGTTAGACTCTGATCATAGATCGTCAGCAGTGCGAGTAACTTACAACACTCCCATACTCAACGCCACAGACACACCGATCTTCTCCTTCTTGCTCAGAGTAAGACCCGATGACTCCTCGGCCGGCCTGGGCCGCATAAGAATGAGCCATGGGATGATAGACAAGGCGATATCGAGAAGGCCGGAGTAGACTAGTAAGAGCTTAGCACAGCTCAGGAAGCCTGGGGGGTTGGCACGTTGGATGCTGTCTTACCACTAACGAAGATTCCGAACGAAACAACCCACTTGAGATCGTAGCAGGTTCCATCGGCGAAAGGCTTCCATCTCTTTTCCAATGGGACACACCCAATCCAAAATGACAAGGAGGAGAACGTAAAGAGTACGTTCATAGAAATGATTGAAAACCACACAAAAGCTTTCTTCCATCCATCGCACATCCGTAATAACGATATGGCGAAGGCAGTCTTGCTCCAGACTTGACCGACAAAGGAGCACGTAATGGATGAAAGGCCAACAATGGCTAGTACCGTAATGTTATCAACTGTAATGGGGAAGTCGGGCCGACCGAATCGGGATTTGATGATGAACTCATTAAGTGCGGCATCTGATGCTAGGACCAGCTACGTGGGACTTGTTAACACTAGGACGGTGACGAGGTCGTCCATGAGGTGAGAAATCTTACCCAGGAGGCAACCAGAAGAATGTCCTCGATCCGGATCTTTGTATACGTGTAGGATATTTTGCAGTATATCCTCAACCCAAGAAACACTGCTGAGAGAACGACTAGTGTCCATAGGACCGTTTGAATATTCTCGGCCTGGGCGGTATCGTCGGCACGGATATTGAGGACCAACAGCGTCGTATCCAACTCGGACTTTGTCAAGTACGTCTGGTTGGCAGCCCTGGCCACAGAGCCCAGCTCTTTGATCTGGCTTCTCGAACAGTGCTCACATCCTGGCGGAGGCACTACGGCCATATTCGATGTTCCGATATGGATGTCGGTTGCAAGAGCGGCAGCGACACCTTCATGGCATGGACAGTCAGCACATGTCCGATGTATCTGACTGAACGGAACGTTGGGATTTATAAGATCGACTGAATATGAAGCGTCGTACACGAAGACCACACCAACACTCACATCCCTTAGGAAACAGGTGAGTGGCGCCGTTTCATTATGTATATGAGCTCCATGTGGAGACCGGTGGACCACGAGGAGAACTGACAAGCTTCAGCCAGGATGACCATGACTGATCAAGCCCTGGAATCAAAAGCTTCGCATCGCAGCATCGAGCGGACACACGCGCGTCCGATCAAGATCCACAGTCCGCTTGCTGTTGCTGCTGAACAAAGGGGCGAAGCCCGGGCCAACATCTCTTACTTCGAGATATTCAGGCTCCGTGCGCCGACGGTTTGGAAAGATGAATAGAAGACAACCGGAAAGAGCTTCGCTCTCATAGGACGGCACCTCTCCTCGGCGCTCCCTACGAGGACTTCCTTGTGCCAAGACGAGAGAGGCTCTTTGAACTCTCTTCCGTCTTGACTTTTCTCCCTCCGCCGGCATACTCGTGGGCACGGCGATGTGGAGACGCAAGTCTTCTCTTTCTCATCTCTTGCCCACCTCGGGCCGCCCACTGGCTCAGCGAACGGGCTATTTGAGTTATCACCACTGTCACAGCCATGTCGCGACTGAAGAAGAATCCCAGGGGCGCATGGCCAATGTGTCCGATCCGGCCTTGTCTTTGCAAAAGCTTGACTTTCAATCAGATGTGTGCTGCGTTCGATCAGGGTACCCCGGCTTTGACTCAACTCCCCCAGCATTACGGTCCTGACAGGATCTGTGAGGCGCGCTTCGCCTTCTTCACCCACCCACTGGCCGCTTTTCTGTTCCCCACTTTTTCTTTTGGCATTCGTCTCTTATCCTTATTCGGAATGCCGCAGTTCCGCTGCAGTGATTCTTTCTCCCATCTTTGCGGCCAACAGTTTGTCAGCTCGCGGCAATGGTGAGGTTTCGCGGAAACAGCACTAGCCATGGGGAACTGGCAGTTGTTTCGCTTGTTTACTTTTCCTCCCGTTACCTGTAGCTTAACGGTTCTTCCCGTTGCGGGGAGATCTTGGCGTCTTGGAGGCATGCCCTTGTGATTTCCCTTACTCGGTCATTGTAGGATCTACGGCGTAGGTGCAGCGGGGGACCATTTAGACCATATAAGACAGGTCAGTATGACGAACTACCTCCTCAGCTCGCCGCGGAAGCATTCTCAGCTGTCAACACGACTTAGCTCCTCACGATTCAGCTTTCTCGTAATATCCCCACTTACATGCGGCGGCGGCACGGCGGATGGGCCTCCCTCCTTTGGCCCAAAGTCACATGCAAGTCATTTCCAACGAAACGACTCGCCATGCAAAAGGTTTCTTGGGACGAAGAAGCAGGTCTTGATCTTTTACCCGTGAAACCTCATACTTTCCTGCCCGTTCCTATGTCCATCCACTCAATTTCCCCGCGCCCCTCCAACTGCGACAAATCGGGAAGTGGTTGTGCCGGTGATGGGATCGTCCCAAGAGCAATGTCCGCCCATAGGCCTTTCTCCTTCCCTCTGCCTTCTCTGTCAGTACGTCACGTCCAGACCCTTTCGTTGGACTGGTTCGTTGGGAGGAATGGCTAGACGTAGGGCGGTGGCGGCGAAACATTCACAGTTCCATTCAACTTGACCGACAAAGCGCGATCGCGACAGACGCGGTGTTAATCGCAACCAACCGTTGGAGCTTGTCACCTTGTCAAGGGCAGTAAGCGGGAAAGGACAACCGTTTCTCGCGCGTCGCTTGGCAGCCATTCATGTGCAGCTGCACTCTCATCAGAGGAATCAGCTATTACTCACTCTCAATAGCACAGAGTTCGCCAAGCAACGGCCTTGCTTGACTTGCATCCTGCAGATTCTTCCTAACCCTCTATCTGTTCGTTTTCTTGGACATGTCTCATATCAGCTAAGTAGTACACTAGAGCTGGAGGGGTAGCAAGGCACCCGTGACAAGATGCCTTCCTTGGGGCCGCCATGCATCTTGGAAACAGTCAGTTACCCGGAGACTACTACGCAAGTATATAGACTCCTGCAGTGCTAGCTCTTCAGCCTCAAGTGCCGATGATCGTGCATACTTGACGCAGCTTGGCCATAGCTTATGCTTAAATCCGTCGGCCCCAAGAGATGTGGGACTAAGGGGCGGCCCTTCATCCGGTAGGGCCCAGACATTTCATCAGGATATGAACCAAGGGCTTTGAAGCTTTAACCTCGACTGGCAAATCAAAGCTCACATTCAGCTCCTCCCGTCGGCACCTACATGAGACCTCATCGACGCAGCAAAACAGTGATCGCCGTGCTGAAGCAGAAGTTATTACTCGCAGGCGATAGACTGGTGATTTATCTAATGTTACGCTTCTTGGGAGGACTTGGCACATCTAGCCTTGCCATAGAAACGATGCTCGGCTTGTTGAAACAGGTCACAAGTTATTGCAGGTGGATCACACATAATTAATGAGCACAGAGATGACGGTGAAATTCCGAGTAGGTATAGGTAAGGAAGGTATGGAGAATATGGTAGGTGGACCATAAAGAAGAATCTGGTAGTTCGGAAATTTGCAGCTACAAATATGCAAAACATAATGGCTGACGTACGACTCTGATCAACAGTTCAAGTTAATGTTATGGGAATGTCTGTCACAGACCAACGCTTGAAATCAATAAAGACGAACAAGGCTTCACTAAGACCATGGCTCTAATTATCTTAAGATCTGAACATAATGACATGACCAGATGAACTAGACTTGCCGTCGTAGTCGTCTTGATGTGTCCTAGTTCATTCAACAGAGATGCACCCGGTTTACGGCAATAGCACGAGACAAAAGATCTACAAAATTAGAAACTGCTGCATGCAGGTCGCAATGCTAAACCATGCACCCACGCTTTAGCGGTCAATACTTCCCGACTTTTAAGATTTCCCCCTGAAGCAAAAGCTAGCGTCTACCCGCACAGGCTGAATGAATCAACGACATCCAACGGGCCGTATTTGAGACCGAGGAATGTGATGTGGAGAATTTGGTGTCAAGAACCTAGAATTGACTTGTAGTTCGCAGCGGCCCAGCCTCGCTGCTGCGCGCGGACCGGCACGGGGCGGAAGCATGTCGCAGCGCATGTTCTCAGACAATAATCATAGTTTGAATTTAAGATTGATGGACATATGCCAAGCCATGTTCATCGACCAGAGTTGACCAACCACAATCGCGAACATGTCCCTCTTCATGTCCACTTGTCAACGACTCGAGAGTGTAAACGAAGACATCGTGAAAGCCAGGTCAGGCTAGCGTTACCTGCAAAGCTTGTCACATGGTCTCATGGAGTTCTTAGAAGAGTCTTTGCCGTTCCACCCGTAACGTATGAACTGGGGGGCGAGAGCTTGACGTCAGCTGAGCCTTCTGGAAATGTTGTCGGTCGTGGTGGCTGAAGAGGAGACAGCTCCGATTGGACCTGCCTAAAGAAGAGTTGACTAGCGGGTTGACTGGGCTGACTACCCACTACAACCATTGCAAGCAGGGGATCACCGCTAGATCTGTCAGAGGCGTGACCAACACTGCATGGCTGTGCCTCTCACGTTCGCTGCGCCACGCCAACCAACACTAACAGAAATACCCTCAAGACCAATCTAACATTCGAATAACTACCCCAGACATTCCCCGCGATCGAAATTTGAATAGTCTTCAAAAGAAAAGGTCAGCTACCTTGATCCTAACGACCTACCTTAGAGCCTTCGATTCTCGTCTAGATACATTAAACATCATCAGCAAACTCAATCATCTTAAATCTTCAGATCGTACCACCATTATCACAACTCTAGGCGACATGGGGCTTTTTGGAAAATCCACACCGACAGATGGCGCCGGCTCCGATGAGCCCAAAAAGTCTCTATACCAACGCTACCAAGACAAGAAGAGCGGCCGCGACACACAGATTTCAGACGAGGATCTCCAAAAGTACACCGGCAAGACCAAAGATGAGATCAACGACTGGGCTAAAGACCGGCCTGGCGTCGCAGGGAATCGGGCTGCAGGGACGCTCACGGCGGGACCCGCTTCCGGCTTTGGCGGGATGGCGACGGCGGATGGCTATGGTGGATGGGGAACGGATGCTGGATCGGACCCAAAGCATCCGCCAGCGCAGAAGGGGCGGAAGGAGATTGATGACTCCGAGTCGCTGCATTAAGGGAGGGTCACGATAGTTGCGAGAACGAGGGTTTATTATTAGAAATGCCAAACAACTTCAGATAGGGAGGGAGGGGTCAGCAACGAGGTGGTTCAAAGAAACAGGGTAGTGTAAGATGAACCTATCAACGGTGCGGGACAGCGGAAACATTCGTTCATCCGGAATAGTTTTATGACTTGTCTCATAAAATGATTTAGTCTCAGTACCATCATCCGATACATTTATAATGAACACGCTATTGGCGGGGACTCTTCTTGAGAAGCTTCATGCACTTATCGCCTCTTGCTGAATTCATTTGATATGCCGGCCCTGACTCAACTTCGCCAAGCATGAGTTCGGCCCTGTAACGGCACGAGGTAACTGGCCGAATACACATGGATCTAAGGTCGATCAACTTGGCATTCTTGGTAAATGCTTGGGGAGTATCCAATCTCAAAGCCAAACATCAGGAGGCTTTTCATGCGCAGCCTGCAGCCTTCGGGTATTTTATCCGCCCTCTTGGCAGGCGCACATCATTTGAACGCTTACCTGCACATCGATGGAAATCTGTTGTTCCAATAAGTCGAGTAATACTATAGAATTTCCTGGATGCCGTCATGAAAGAAAGTGGCAATTACCAGGCAAACTTAACTCAAACTCAATTCAAGAGACGATCCTTCCATCTACTAAACTGAATGTGTTGCCGTGACTCGTGAATGATAAATAGTGCCGTGCAAAAGCTTGTTAGTGAAACAAATCGGATGGAGTGGCTGGACCGGACACTTCTCCGTAGAACTGCTCTTCTAATCATGAATCTCATAGCCCACCCCCCTTTGATGTCTTTGACTGACGAGGGATCTGATATCATACGATGCGTTTCGGCCCCGCAGATATGGTATCATTTCGAGTTGATCCCCAAGCAATAAGAGAGTAGATGTTGCACAGCACCTGAAGTCGATAAACGTACTCGAAGATAAATCATAAGTAGCGTTTGACCTGATGATTCATGACACTGACCTACAAATCTAATTAGATCTGCAACATAGAACTAGTCTTGATATCTCTGGCAAATGTCACATTTTAAAGTCAAGAAGTTTCTTAATCTGATTTTGTAGAGCTCGTAGTTTCATTTGATTGATGATCTAGTGACTCCCAGTGTGAATCACGTGGAAATCTTACCAAGCTCGTCATCGAAGATGAGAAAGATATTGGAAACAACAGCTCATCACACCTAGTTACCATCACTAACCTCTACTCTTCTAAGGGAAGTCAGCCCGCATCTTCAGGATGCCGTCTATCATGGAACTGCCAGAAGCCCAGCCAGCATAAGTTTCAGCGGAGCTCGTGACACTGATGGAGAGAGCACCCCAGATCCACCGGTTCCCATTGCCATCCAGCTCCCAGTGAGGGCCACCGGACTGGCCCCCCATGGTATCGGTGTCGGTGTAAAAGGGACCAGTTGAGTCGCAGTCAAAGGTTCTCTTGGAGTGAACCGTGATGTCCGTCTGGCGATACGGGCGGTTGCCACCGTCCTTGTCACCGGGATAGCCCATGTGGAAGAACTGAGGCTTGTCGAACATGTTGCGGTCAGGGACCTTCGCGCCGAAATAACCGAGTTGGTCACCGAGGCGCTGGTCGAGGGCATAGACTACCCAGTCACCCTTGGTTTCGCAAGGGGAGAAGGGCTCTTGGCCGTAGGTGAAAAGACCGTTGGTAATCTGGGCAGAGCCAAAGCGGGCCCCATTATCGAAGCCGGGGTAGAAGGATCCCGGGATAGGGGGGTCGGGATTGCAGTGCTTAGCAGAGAGGATGTGACGAGGGCCGATCAAGGCAGCCGAACAGAAGACACCGTTAGACCACTGAAGTTTTCCGACGGAGTGAAAAGGGTAGTTGGGGTCGGTCCAGAGGTGACGGTTGTCCACGCCGACGATGAAGCGCTTGGCGACTTCCTCGATGGCGGCATCGGAAGGAGTAAAAGGGGAGGCCTCGGTGACGTTGCTGATGAGCTCCGCGGCGTCTACGACAACAATTTTGAGAACTGGGGCATCGGCTGGAACACGACGAGCAGCAGTGGCGTCGAAACCGATGGGGTGAGTGATTTCTACTTGCTCGGTTTGCCTGGCATCTAGGGGAGCTGCTGGGCTAGCTTGGACAGCAGAGCAGAAGGCTAGGACGAGAGCGGCCGCAGACTTTGTGAAGTGAACCATGTTCAAACGATCTGAATTGCAAGGAGCAAACTGTTGATCTCGGGAAAACGAAGCTGTTGGTGCATTGGTGGTTGTCGAGACACGGCGTGAACCTGCCCTTTTATAGAGTTTCAACGACCTCTCGGACTTGGAGTATAGCAGCGAGCTTATAGAATACAGTTGATTGCAAATTTCTGGTACAAGAAAATGGTACTTATCGAACGCGGAGTAGTCGAAGGCTACAGCCAAGAGGTAATCGGCAGCCCGTTGCGAGATTTCGAGTCTACTGTGCCGCTCTCAAGCAGTCTCGACGCTACAACCGGGACTAGATGTAACCCTAGATGAGGCTATATCCTTCGAAAGTCAATGGATGGGACGAGTCGTTCTGGCGAATCTTATGCCAAGCTTGTTAAGGGCAACCCAACGTCTGATCAGGCAGTCAAAAATGGAACTTTGGATCAATAATGAGACCTCAAATGCTTCCCCAGTTCAGGATGATGATCCCTCAGGATTATCCGCCAACTGTATTCACCTTCTTTCTCTTCAGGGTCCATGAAGTGGAGTAAAATCTGCGGTGAAGTTAACAGGTATTATAACTGTTGGTATACACGTCAGCAGGGGCCTGTGGGCCGGTACGAAGCTCAATAATCTTGGTATTGAACTGCGTATATCTGTGTAAGGAGTAAGTTGGTGGGCGTAGCCCACGATTCCTCCGTTGGGTGTAAGTAGGTGGAAGGGCCGTTTGCAACGGCCCAGACCACCTTCCAAATCCACCCTTTTCTGCCGTCAATATTCCAACAATAACCTATCTTAGTAGGATGGTTTTACGACAGCATAGTATGCAAATAAATTACCTCGTCTTGAATGATCCCTCTTTGAAGGAAAGTGAAATATCGGGAGATTGGTCCAAGGCCCGGTATACTGATTTGAAAACCCGTAGAAGATGTAGGTTCCGTAGCAGGCCCATGCTTCCTCTACTTCGTGAGTTCATCGTAGAGATCAATGTGACTTGATTCCAACGAGTACAAGTTTTCTTCAGGGTACTTCAAGCCAAGACAAGACACCAAGTTACTGAGACTTTATTGCAAATATTCTGTAGAATCCTCTTCGGATTTTACGGTGGTGTGAGTCTGACAACGGTCGGATTTGCAACTCCGATTGGTTGCGGTTCGATTACACGACAATGCATCTCAAAAGCGTTGGGTTCGCACGGGGCGATTCCACCATTGATAGAAGGCAACAATGCAACTTTGATTTAAGGCTTCGGAAGGATCACGTAGAAATGAAAATTCGGACAGCACCTGCCTTTTTGAGCAGCAGCGTTGCAACCGCTGACGGGCATCTTTGCAGACCCACCGTCCAACGATGTAGCCAACGACTCATGATGGCATTGATGGCATCACTTATACAAATGGGATTCCACGTATGGAGCCGAGATATTACGCAAGCCTACACCCAGTCGGCAACGAGGCTCATGAGAAAGATCCTTGCCCAATTACCAAAGGAGATGGCCACCAAGTACCCAGAAGGCACGATTATCGAAGTGCTCAAGCCATATAGCCAGTGTCGGATTGGAAGTCCAATTCGACCGCGAGTAAGGGCAGAGCATGGGCCACCTCGAGGGAGTACAATTAGACCTCGACTACCCACCCAACCTCCGGTTGGAATCTCCCTTCTACTCCTTACGCAGAATCAATCAATACAGAGATATTGATACTTCGTCACCCCAGGACCCTACGGTTCGAACCAAATTCCCTGTGAAAGGTAATCGAGCCGACGATTATTCAACCTAACGAGCCGCCGTCGACTCGAATTCGCCTTCCGCAGGCTAGACGAAGTCTTCCTGGTAGGGCAGGGAGCAGAGGTTCCATCTAGCCTCCCGAAGGAGACGGGCGACTTTCTTTCCCGGCGCAAGTGGCGCTTCCGGGCCCAAATTGAACATCACCGACCGACTTTTCGACTTCGCTCTCTCAGCACCTTTGCCCCTTAAACAATCGAAGACTCCCTCGAAGAGACGAAACGACCATTGGGTAGCGATGTATAGCCACGGCTATATACAGCTATGCTCGTTACAGAACCTAACAGCAAGCCCTACAACCTAGTCTTACGAGGTTTTACCCCTTGTGGTTTCCCTGGTGGCGGTATTACCTATTACGATATACTCCGGACGGTTACTGGAACGTTGTATAAACCAGAAGCCTGCGGGCTCTGGGTCGAAGGATAGGAGATACTGGCGGAATTGCGTTCTAGGGACGACCATAGCACTGTCTCGGGCAAGCCAGCGGCACCCAGAGACAGGTTAAACACATAGTTGCCTTTGGGCACGATTTGGAGGACGAGCTGGACTGTATCTAGTGATAGCTATAGGCCTGCGGCCCTCCACGCCATATACCCTTCGGGAGGTCTGCCGCAAGGGCGGCTGCGCCCTTGCCGCTACGGCGTTAAAATACAACAACAACAACAACAACAACATCTTTGCAGACCTCCACTGAGCTGACAACTATTCAACCTTGTCATCAAATTCGACCCATGGGAGAAGAGAGCCAAGAGACAAGGTAACTTTCACAACTGTGACTTCGTATGGTCGAGACTACTTCCGCCCCCTCTATGTGTGGAGCCTTTCGGTTGCTGGCATCTAAGAGTTGTTTGTGCTGACTGCATGTGACTTAGGTGCGATTCGTTTAAGTTAGCCAATTATTTCGATTGTGCATGCCTGGGGACTTGGGAGGCAAGGCTTACATTCACTTGCTGCCTCGGAATAGAGTCTTGACCGGATCCTCCAAGGACCAACGCTCATGTCCAATCCGTATGTAACCTCGAGAAGTCGGCAGGTCTGCGACTGCGGTACGTTTTTCGGGCTTGCAAGACTTGAAAACAATAATATCCCTTAGAGTAATCACATAACGTACCCCATAAACTCATGAACTACTAGCGAATACTCCTCCATCTGGTAGATCAAGGATCCGGGGTGGTAGAAGCGGTTCCCAGGGCCAATTGTCGACACTCTGCATACTTTAGCTTTCAATGTGTCCGTTCTTTTGATAGCTGACAGACAACAAAATGAGAATATGGTGGTATCAAAACTCATTCATAAGGGGTTGTGACTCTCTTATTCCTAATCTAAACAATTTTGAGAAGCAAACTACTTTATAAGTCAATCCTTGAAACGTCAAGTTTTGATCAAGCCAGGTCTAGACATTACTACCTTGACTCTCCCACTTTAGTCGAGCTACGGGAGTGGGTAGTCATAGCTAAAGCGTTGTTTTGACTTCAATTTCACCGGGATTCGCTCAATGCGTTCAATGTTCCACTCTCATAAAATGCTCATTCTAGTTGCCTCGGATGACTCCAATGACAGTACCCAGCCTGTAACTATCATATTATGCTCATACAAGGCCAACGCCCCTGAGTCATTGGGAGATAAAGTATCTAACGCATTGAACATTGCCTACCTGATATATTCAATGCTTCACAGTGCGATGATTCGATGCCCTGCAACAAGTCCGTGAAGGCGAAAATGCCACGCTGGTTTCCCATGGAAGTCTCCAAAGGCCTCGGGCCTTTGACTACTCTCTCAGGTATGCTTCCAGTCTTCAAAACCGACTTACGAATGAGTTCAGATGAATTTAGCTACTCTCTCTTAGCAAGCACGGAGCCTAGCTAAATACCAGCTGACCGACGCTCAACTTCAAGTAGAGGTAGGCTCACTCATTTGATTCGCGGTGCTTCATGATATCCGAGTGCGTACACCAACAACTGCAGAATTGTATAATACAACGCGAGTTTCTCTCATTTTATCGCCCCCTTGAGAGATGTATACATCAATAAGGCATTGATAACACCAATGCCTATTTGACTGCATGATTGATGACCCGATGAATAAGTCCAATGATGTGGCTTGTCCACTGAAATCAACTTATCAAGCGTCAACCGCAATCTGAGATCAACCCGTGCAGGCCACTCGACTTGCAAGAGAAGAAAGCCAGTGGCGGTTTCAAGCTACATCTTTCATCTCAACAAAAAGGAACTGTTACAAGTTCGAACGGCTTTTTCGGTCAGCGCGCGAAGTGCCAATCCATCGACTGATGTGCCTTTCGCGGGTGCCTGGCCAATGCAACCCGTCAGCAGGTGTTCTCCGGAAATAGGGCAAAAGGATTCAAAGTACAGCAGGCATCCGTCTGACCTCGATGAAGGATTAACTGGCTGCTGCACAGCCCACTGCAGGAAAGCTGAAAGCTTGCAGAGCTTGGCAGGCTCTTATTACAGGTCCTATTGAGGGGCAGGACGATACCTCATCGCCTTTTCTCAGCAACTTCACTCGCCCACTTTAAGCGCACATCACTGCATATAAGCCTGAAGGCCCGCCCCTGACAGAGAGACTGCTTGAGGGATATGCTGCGCCGCTGATGCGGCAGAACTTAGAAGTGAGAAGATGCGCAGCGTAATCTCCAGGTCTGACTCACATTACTTTCCGACTCACTGCGGGCATATTATTGAACGGACATTCACTGGCACATCTACTAGGTATGGCTTTTTGGAACCTGCCACATAGGATGCTATGAGACCCCCGCAGGGTATCAGAGACATGCATGGTGATCATTCACCTTACAGTCATAAGCGTTGTTTGCCCGGGAAGCTGTCTTACTGCGTTCGACATGCAAGCGGATGAGGGTAAGGATCACCTGGAGAGTCAGAACTCTGCCCTTATTTGTCTCACAGCGGCACGGTGACAAGTGAGAGTCGATACCGAAGCAGTAGACATTTGGATAGTAAGAAATGGTCTCATTGTTTGTTGGAGTTTGTGAGAGCGAGACTGAGAAGCATCGGGCTGTGATCAGCAGTGAGATGCAGGGTCGAGAACTGAAAGGTGAGTGGCGTGATGAGCGAGCCTGTGAGGTGAGATCGCCCTAACGAGGACGGAGGTTGTGACTAGTGCGTATGTATAAGCGCGCGTCCGTTGGCGATGTGAAACAAAAAGTAGGATGCCTGTGCTGTAATGGCAAACTGGCTTGTTAATAAACCCGCGTTCTAGGAGCGTCCAACGCATCGAACATTCGCGGGTGCTTCGCTGGTGTTTGGCAAGTTCAGGGCTGGACTCTGAGGGTCTAAACAACAAGGCCGTTCTCAATGAACTGATGCTTTTGTCAAACAACCGATGGCAGCACGGAGATGGCGTGCACGGAGCCTGTCGTAGGGAACAGGGAACCCTAACAGAGCGGAATAAGCAACGACAGTAGCGCTGGAAATGTTCCATGTTCCTGAGAAATGGCCTCACAATTTGCTCGGAAAGAAGAGAGGTCTGGTCTCAGCTGCAAGGCACAACAGGCTTTGTTCCTGCAGTCAGCTTTATCCCCTGTCTTTGCCAAGTGCTGATGGACCGTTCCCCCTTGGCCTCTCGGCCATCGACCAGAGTCACTCGTCGGATGAGAAGACGGGCTCGGAGCGAGGTGAAGCTGTAAACACAGGGTAGTGTGGCGCATTGTCGATTCGAGCTGTTTTTCTACGGCAGATTTTTTTGCCGGAGCGACAATGCGGCGTCCGCGTGTTGTCGCCCCTGCCCCGAATTGTTCTTTAGAACACACGTGCGCTGATGGCTGGTGGCTGGAAGAAGCCAGGTATTGTGACCCATGCCAACTGCGCTGAGGATTAGAAGACAGAGAGAGACTGAGAGGCAACAACTGTCATCACAGTCGCCCTCCTCGATGGTAAGGCTGATGAAACCAATCATATCCATGGCAATGCTACGCTGCTTTTGTCCGGGCTGAGAGCCTGATGTGCTGCCCTTGCTTAGGAGGCACACAAGCACCGGGGCTGGTTCATGTCGGTGTCGGAAACGGCCTAGCTGTGAATGTGACTTTTCCGTTTTCCCTTGCCGGACCTAAGTCCTCAGGGCACACATCCTGTATTACCTGTCTCGAAGGCCCGGGGCTAATTTTCCACTCGCTACTTATGTCAATGAGAGACAGATACGAGTACGGAGTACAAGTCCATCCATTCATGCGTGTCCCTAATCAATCTGACGTGGGACAAGACTTGGAAGAGAGTCTTGTCAGTTGAAGTTCATTTAATAACCACTCGTAATTACTCCCCACACCGAAGACAGCGATAAATTCGAAGAAACCGGGGTGGGCCGGCGCCAGTGGCAGACCGCGGGGGCCAACTCCGGAGACCCTCACGGCTTACGGCACAGCAGGAGGAAGAGGCACCACGGAAATGAGGAAGAGACGAGAGGCAAGACGGTCGCAGAGAAGGGCGAGAGGCCTTTGAACGAGCATGACAAAAACAATGCGCAAAAAAAGAAGCAATGGAAGAAGCCACTAATCCATCGCTCGTCTCAACTCCAACCGGAGCTAGTACGAACGGCGCAGCCAAGGGCAACGAACGAGACTGAGACCAGCCACGCCGTCGTCGCCCCAAGCTCCTCTAAGCTTTTCTTGATCCAAATTCAATGTTACCTGGGCAGTCACGCAGTCTCCCTTGCCCCCTTTGGTGCTCGTCCATATGACACCATACCATACATAGCACATCGCAATGCGGTGTTCTCGGGAAACAGAAAGCTACTCTGCGCGTATGCTGGTGCCTCAACACCACGTCCCAATGGCGGCAGAGCATGAGAAGTTAGATACCAATGCAACGATGAGCGACAGCGACGATGGCTGATGTTGACGGCCAATCACACAGATCGCGTCCCTTGCGTCAATCCCCTTTCATTCGACCCTAATGCGCCAAGATCCGCCCCCCATCACACCCTCTCGAGAAGAAAATTGCCGGATGGCATCGCCAGGCTCCCCCTCAAACCCCAATTGAGCGCTGCGTATACAGAACGCATCATATTCAACGAGTTAATGCCCATTGGGTTGGGGGCCCGCGCCTCACCCGCCGCCCCCCATCGCACGGGAGAGAACTGGGAGAGATCATTTGTTGCTGTCCGCCTCCAAAGTCCCTCCCCTCTCCGAGCCCCCAAACTATCTGCCTACGGCTATCCTAAAAAGTACAAGCTTGTGGGTTAAAAAAAGGAACCAGAGGATCTGCTGCCAAGCGCCTCGGGCGTACACGCCGGGGACTGCAATCTTGACATCCAGCCAGTTGGGATTTGCCAATGCTCGTATTGTCACCCTTTAACCATTTCGTGCCCATTTCGAGTCAGGGGCCACCTCGCATATGTGTTTGAAGACCGAGGTCAAGCCTCAAGGTCCAAAGGCCTTGACTAAGAGTGTGAAAACGATCTTCTTGGCTCTAATTTCTTCTTCGTCTGAGTCCTTTGTGACGATCACACCGACAGCTTATGGCCAGAGGTCTTCCACTTTGTTTGCCAACAGCATCCCCGCAAAATGGCCCCTACCTGACCCGTGTAGACGTGGTCCTGGCGCCGCGCATCGACACTTTGGCCGGTTTTGGTACACGCCGCCTCTCTTGCGACCTCAAGCCGCATCCCGTAGCCTCCTTCTACCTCACGAACAGGCAGCCAACCTTGCCAGTCGTAAGACAGACCGCCGCTCGTACGGCTACTACCCTTGCTTCTCGTCGTCTGCCTGGGTGCGAGCCTAGTGTTCACCATGTCCTGCCTCCTCCATCTCGCCCGAGAACCCGGCCGTGGCCGTTGGGGCGCGGCACACGGACAGGACGCCGCCGCTTGGGATCACCTCTCGCCCAGCCTTCTCCACGCGACGCTTGACGGGCTAGCCTAGCACTCTCATTTCCTTTAATCCCCGATACTGCTCGTACATGAGAGGCCCCGAGGATATTTCTGTTAGTACCTGGATACGAGGGTTTAAGATATAACTGTAACCCTTCCACGCACTTCGAAGTCGAGCTCGTGATAGTCTATCTGGTCGTCCGTCTCGTAGTCATTCGCTTTCCACGATACCAACGAACCGCAAAGATGCTTGTTAGAGTACACTCTCTTTCCCTCCTCGCAGCTATTGTGGCTTCTAGCGACCTAGCGACGGCTGTCCCCCTCGAATCATCGTCTGCTCTCAACACCCGAGACCTGACCCGCCCGCGCTTCGGAAGCGTCCCATATGGCGTCGACATCACTCACTGCACGGTAAATGGCAAGCTCGCTCTCAGCTTCGACGATGGCCCCGGGGAATACACCAGCCAGGTTCTCGACACCTTGGAGAGGAACGGCAACATCAAGGCCACATTCTTCCTTGTTGGCACCAATGGCAACAATGGCATCGCCAGCGGGACCTACACCTCCGTCCTGAAGCGGATGTTAAGTGCTGGCCACCAACTCGGTAGTCACTCATGGAGCCACAAGGACTTCAACACAATCTCCAAGGACCAACAGATTCAAGAGGTTCTCCAGAACGAAGAAGTCTTTGCCAAGACCCTGGGCCTCATTCCCACCTACTTCCGCCCGCCCTACACTCACTGCGATGGCCAGTGTATATCTACGCTCAACGACCTCGCGTATCATGTCGTAAGTCACACATGCGGCGGTATTTACTTGATGATTCAGACTGACACCTATGCGTAGACGGATTACAATCTTGACACGAAGGACTGGGTAGACAACGGCGTCAACTCAAAGGCTACCTTCTCAGGTGTTATCAATTCCGCCAGCCCCGCCAGCTCCTCCTTCATTAGCTTGGCCCATGACATCCACACCTTTACTGTTAACGGCTTCGTTCAGTTCATGATCGATACGGCCAAGGAGAAGGGATTCGAGTTCACAACCATCGGCGATTGCCTCGGCGACCCGGCCTCGAACTGGTACCGCGACCCCAAGACCGGCGAGCCGTGGAGTGGAGTAAAGGAGGAACCCAAGCCCACCATGACCAGCAGCAAGGAGGTTATCGTCCCCACGACGACGTCAACTTCTATCTCTAGCACGACGTCCGCTCCGGAGACCAAGACGTCCACGACGAAGTCGGAGTCTGAGACCGCTAAGCCCTCCGTCACCGCCAAGAGCGCTACCGAGACCGAGGAGCCTGAGAGCGAGACTGCCACGTCCACTGCCACCGGCACCGGCGTCAAGCCTTCTACTGCATCTAGGACCGTTGACGGCGGTGCCCATATTGGCATTCCAGTGACACCTACCGGCACCACTGCCGCTGTCAGACCGACCAGCACCAACACCGTCGTCGAGGTCAACGCCGCTGGCCGTGCGGTCTTCTCTATCGGTGGTGCCATCGCCGGTGCACTTGCTTGGGCCATAATGATTTGATAGTCGCACATCCTGGCCACACAATCCCGCCATAGAGCAAGGGACATAACCTTCGTGTAATATTTTGGATAATCCCTAATCTGGACATCGCTAGGACGATAGGTCGTTTGAGAATGGGACGGAGTTAAGACGAGTACATGATACCACGCCATTGATGGAGTAGAGTTCTAGTGTACTACATATGCTGTATAGATGCGAATTTCAGTCGAGTTTGACATGAATGCAAAAAAGCTTTGTTGATACGGAGTAAGTCAAACCCCCCACTTCCTGGCACCCCCCTGTTTCTGGCACCACAAAAACGATGGGATCACAACCCGACCTCCTCATTACTATTAACTATTGATCCTCAACCACACCCACTACAATACAGCTGCCAGCCTCACTAGGGCATTCAGAGTCGCTGGATTCAGCCGTGATAACCTCCTTTTCACCCGCTTCGATTTGAGCCCGATGGATATCCCTGATGTTCGCGAACTTCGTGTTGGGATCGATTTGAACAGTCTTCCTCTTCCTCACTGCAGCGTTGGTAACTTGAGCCCTCAGGTGAGCTAGTTGCTGCTGGGCAGCTGCCAGTTGCCAGGCCTGCTCTGTGAAGCCTTTTTTCACCTTCCTGAATAGCAGCCGTTGAGTGCTGGTATCATTGTCGAGTTGGGTGTATAAGTGCAGTTGACCGCTGAGCTCTGCCAGCTTCCTGGGTGTCGACCAGACCACTGCAGAGGAGGCAGAATCCCATGGCTCAACAGGGGTAGTTTGTTGACCATTATGGCATCGCTTTCTGCCCTGACTAGTTGGTTTGGGTGTGGTGGGCTTAGCAGGAGGCTCAGGTAGTACCATAGGGTTCATCAGGGGCTTAACCATCGCCACAGGGTGTAGACCAGTCCACTTCCAACCACTTCTGATGTTCGAGACTGATAGACCAGCAAGTCGAGCCTTCTGGTAACAGTCCAGGAAGTTCCTTTTACCTATAATGGTAGAGTCGTTCCATTGAGACAAGTAACCGAGCTCCTTCCGATAGGCTGACTTAACAGGGCTGAAGACAGACTGGTCAAGAGGCTGGAGGACATGAGAGGAGTGTGGTGGTAAGAACAGTAAATGGATATTGTTAATATAGCAATTCCACATGAAGTCTGTCGTCGTATGACTCCCATGCCCATCCACAATCAGCAGTCGAGCCTCCCCCTCAGCCTCAGGCATAGTCTGTGGGATGAACACCTTCTCTAACCATTCAATGGCAGTTAAGTCTGTAGTCCAGCCATTATCTGTTGCTGTGAACTCCCACCCATCGTATGGAACGAGATGTAATGGAAACCACTGCTGTTGGACTGTCTTCCCCTTGAAAATGATAAGAGGACGAAGTGCCCTACCCAAGGCTGAGATACACTCAATGATAGAGACCCATGCCCTCGACCCAGGTTGTTTCTTGCGAACAGACGTCGTCTCAGCCATACCCAGCACTAACCCATTAGCTCCCTGACCCTCGAGGATGCCAGTCTCATCCATATTATATCTGTTGGCTGGTTTGATGTCCTTGATCTCAGGGATAGCGAGGAACTTAAACCAGTTCCTAATGACCTCAGTAGATGCCCCATTAACGCGTCTAGAATCGATAGAACGACTTCTCTGAACCTTAATGATAGGGTTCCTTCTCACAAAGGCATAGATCCAGCCTTTTCCCAGTGGTTTGGTATCCCCAGCAGCAGCCAGAACTCGCTCTGCGAATTCCTTCACCTGTTGGTGCGTTGGTGCGAGGCCCAGCGAAGCCTGAATGCGAACCCATTGTGCCAGCTTACTCTCCTGGTCAGGAGACAGCCTCTGCCAGTCAGCAAAAGCCACTTTCCTAGTCTGACCACCTTGGAGACGTAGTTGGAGGGTTGATCGTGGTATCCCATACTCCAATGAGGCTCTCTTTTGACTCTTGCCGTTTGAGATGTCCTCGAGAGCCTGACGAAGCTGATCTTCGGTATATTGAGGCATTAGATATAGAAGAAGGTATGTGCAAAAGATGAGCCCATTTGGACGCGAATTGAAAATGTTGTGATAAAAGGAGGTTGGGGGTGGGCATTGGGTTGTGGTGGATTTTCGCGTTTTTGTGGGTGCCAGAAACAGTGGGGTGCCAGGAAGTGGGGGGTTTGACTTACTTCACCCCAGTTGCTTGTGGTGACACAAGACGTTCGAAGATGAAAGTTCTTCGTGAAACGAAACCAGATGATCGGCCTTCCCAGGATCATCTTCCATGAAGATAATATCTTCAATCGCCATCAGAGTACTGTGGCAGTGCAGGTGTATCCCATGTAAGGTAGTACCATGATACTATCAAGGTACACTTGCAGTCCGGCTAGGACTACGTCTACTGTTAGACCATTATGGCCTTCGGCGATCTGAAGCGGGCTTTGATATCGTATTGTAATCTATCGAGACTACATATATGTCACGAGATATATAAGTAGGTATGGTTAATGCTGCCTATAAGGAGTGGTCCACTTTTATGATAATATATACTTATCTAGGTTTAGAGAAGTCAGGCAACGAGGGTTTACAAAGTATAGCTATAGTGAATGAAATAATGCGCTTCCATCGTTCTGTGAGAGTTTAAAGGCCCTTGATCAATGACAATGCCGTGATTTCAGTAATATCGATCACTTCGCCCGGCATTCAGAGTAAATACGAGGCATCCAACCTGCGTAACTCCGCCAATCCCCCCATTGATACCTGCGGGTCAAGAACGTCAGTTCGTCTCTATATGTGACCGAATACGTGTACTAAAGACAAACACTCACAGTGCTTCCAGTTGGCTAACATAATGTCATTACAAGACGTCCCATCAGGACCAAGCGGTCGCTGGATATCTTGGAAATCTTGCGAGGTGCGACATCCGACCTTCCAGTGGACCTTGAAGTCCAGATAAACACCGTATTTATCCTTGTAGCGCCATCGCCAGGCATGAAGGGGGTGGTCTTGCACATCGTCGACGATAGTGAGGGTATCGCGCGCGAGGTCCGAGTCGCAAAATCGTTCAATGCCCTTGTTCACGCCATCGTGATGGACATCTCGGTGGCGATTGTACTCTTTGTAAGAAGGATTGTTGCATTCGATTGGGAAGAGCTTGAGCGGCGTCTCATCTGCTCGGGGCTTAACTAATGTAAAGTACGGGTGTCTAGAGTCGGGGAGTTGTGTTTGTGGCTTTAGATCGCCTGGATTCTCTGATGGGGTGAAAGGCGCGCCTTCTGGAGGTGAGAGGCTCGAGGGTAATGTTATGGGATACTTGGGAGTTGATGGGGGTCTGATTGAGGGAACTAGTGTGGAGTTGGAGTTGTGTGGTAGGCTGGTCGGTGGATTTGAGCCCTTGAATTCGTGAATGACGGCAGCATGGCTTGCGATAGCATAGAGTATGAATGACTGAAGAAGAAAGTTGGCTAGCATGATGACAGGTTTTAGTGGAAGGTCGGAATGGAAGGAATCATGTCTATTATGAGTTCAAAAAGGAGGCCTCTAGGTCTACCCGTAATTCTGGGGGAAAGTTCCTTATAAGGACTGCCGTGCGAGCTCATCAGGTGATACGAAAGAAATGTTTGTGAGTTAGCAAGTCAGTTATCGACGTACTAAGATTTCAGCTTGTTCACTGCTCTCAGACCGTTACACAGAGAAGCTGCCGAGTCTTTCGACTTCGTACAAAGCTGGTTTTGTTTCGTTCCTTAAACATGATTCCTTGTTTAACATAGGCACCTAAGCAGGTATGGCAATCGCTATAGGCACTGTCCATGTCAAACAGGACCATTGTTATTAAAGCAAGCCCCTTGCCGCGTTTGCGTGGCTCTTCTACAAAGCACTTCTTGTGCAACTCGTAAAAGACGCAACGATATCTCCCTTGCACACTTGAATTGTAGAAAAGCAAATGATTCTCATCGTGTTACGTAACCTTCAATCTGATGTCCCAGGAGTAGTATCTATCGTGCAAGGGATTTCCCAGGCTTCGAACGCCCAGTCGCCCACTTGGTCTTCTGGCACTCAAGTTCCGCCTCCGACAACTCTTGCCAAACTTTAAGAACCCCGGTGAACCCGTTCAAATGCTGCTTGAATAAGTCTAAACACATGAAGTCAGGTAGCATCCACCAGTGCGAAAAGTTCTGGTGATTATTCTCAACAGTGAACAGACCCGGAATGGTCCGCATGACGATGCTGCAAAGAGGACAGCATGGTTTGGAGATCCCAATGTACTTACCTATACGTGAAGTTATTGCTCGAGCCTCGTCTTCCGGCCGCTTCCGGAGTAAGTAGTAGTCAAGAACCTGCATTTCACAGTGCTTTAGTCTCAACATAGGTCCCTGTATGGTAGGGACTACGGGGCTGCAGGGGGCTGCAAGGGGACGAAGCTTGATGTTGATTTTCCTCAAAATATGCTTACAGCGATATTTTGGCAAGAACCCGGAGATGATGTCGAGATTGAGCAAGGGATCGGCAATGATCTTGAGAATGGAGTAGAAGCACTGACTCAGCTTTTTCGTCTTGAGATCCAAGAATGTTCGGCGGCTACCTGTCAATTCCAAGAACTCACGAATCTCATCTTCAACCTGTTTGCTTTCTCTATTATTCCACAAGCGACGTAATGCTTGCGATGTTTCATAGAGTCCCGGATTCAGGTCATTAGTGACCAAGTGGTCAGCCCGGGGAATGGCCTCTTCTGTGAATTGATCAGCTGTTTCCAGAACGCAGTTGAGGGGCCTAGCTTTCCGTTGTTTATCACTCCTGTGCAGCTCTTTTGCTTTTTGGACATTTGCTAACCAATCCAGTACTTCGAGTGAATCCTTGCCGAAAGCCTGGCCGGCCACGCCGTGTGGAGCGAGACGTCTCAAAATCGTTTGCAAGCCTTGACATTCGATCCGAACATCGTGAAGAATACGGACGGTAACGTGCTTCAGAGCTAAGGGTTCGACATGAGCTAGCACATCGTGGCCGTTCATCAAGTCTTGCAAGATCTTCATAAACTTAAGGTCTTTCTCACAGAGACCCTTGTTCTTTGCGAGCCTGAAGTTGATGGTTTGCACTTTAAGAAGCTCACTGTCGTCGACATCACAACCGACCGCGCCAGCGTGGTAGAAAACCTCGTTACTGATCCCACTGGTGGTCTGAAGAAAGTAGGCTAGAGAGTTCTGGGTTGGATTGAGGTCTTTCATGTCTTTGCCGAGCTTATGCGTGCTGATGAGTGTTGGAGTCGGGAGAGATTTGGCGACATCCTGTAACAACTTAAATCCGTCAGACATGATTCCTGATGTTCGAAGCAAGCCTTTGATTCCTTCACCGGTAAAGAAATTCAAGTACTCAAGTACAGACTTCCCGGCACTGTCCCTGATTTCCAGAGCTCCTGTGTCATCGCGTTTTGCGAGCTTGCCTCGTGGTGTCGACGGATTCAAGGTAGCAGGCTCCTCATGAGCAATTGGCTCTGAGTTTGAAGCGTGGGTGAGGTTATTGTGTGTAACCATGATGCGATTGAACTTGAAGGCGTGAAATAGGCGGACGGTGTGGTCGTTGCCTATAATGTAATCTGATCCTCATTGCAAAGGGTGTCTGATCTCGCCTTATGTATGACTCTAGAGAGGAACGCAGAAGGTGCTTCGGATATCTCGATTAATCTAAACGACGCGTAGAATCACATATCAGAAGTGATCAACGATTTGCGCTGGTTTCTTGGCAGGTGATCTGGAAACGACAAAGCTCGATCAGAGTTTCGAACGAAACAATGAGGACTCTAGACTGTACCTCGTCTCAATACATCAAGAGGCATGGGACGTGCCAAGACTTCATCAGGATTTCGAGGAATGGTTTAGAAATCGACTTTAATATTGTGAAATAACTCTGAGGGTTCAAATTGCCACGAACAAGCATCAACGTAGATGTTCTCTATTAAGCCATTCAAGAGAATACATGGAGACTGGGTTGAACTCTCCTTCCATCAGACATGCACAACCTTGGCTCACAGTCAGTTGTAATGACGTATTGTACGGAAGTGGGCATTACTTTTCTTACCACATGTAATGAAGTGATTTGGGTGTTCCTCCATAGCTTCATTGGTCCTTTCGCAAAAGAAGGAGAATACGACAAATACGCGTGCACTCGAGTACAAATCTTGTGCAGGTAGACATCGGTCCCTCAAGTATGAAGCAGTAGTGATATATGAATGAAGTCTACGTTGACATTATGGGTATAACTAATACAGATGACCGCCCAAAGCCCAAATCGCTATCGTTAACTGAACACATTAGGAAGTTGCCTCCCCATTAAAAATGTGAGATCTGACACTAGAATAAAGAGTCCGAGGTCTTCATAAGCCTGATCAGTAGATTGACAGATGTTCGTCAATGTTCCTCGAATCAAGCCGCTGAAAACTGGCTCTTCAGTGTAGCTGTAATGTGTCTTTCACATGCTGCCCACGCTCTGTGCCCTCTCCTTCTCAATCGTATCAATGGAAAGCGGCCTTCCATTAACCTTCTTCCCTCCCGAGTGACCTTCCATCTCTACAACGACAGTTGTCACCGTCTCCATCTGAATGCCTTCCATCTGTCCAGCCCGTCTTCTTAGAGACTCCTGGCTGATGCTCCGATGAGCTCCACTGCGACGTCTATCTCTCTTCAAGTCACCCGCACCACGTCCCCGGCGGAATAGCTTCCAGAGCCAACCGCCTGTACCCTCGTCCGCAGACAGATTGTTAGGTGCACTACCGGCACCCTGTACCCACACCATGTTGCCATAGCGGCGGTTAGCGGGTGTGCGCATGAAGGCGAAGGTCTCGATACCCGTCTCTTCGTAGTCTGGGGAGGCATTGAAGATAATGACATGGCGAGTGGTGGAGAACAAAAGAACATCTAGCCAGCCGTTGGATGCAATCATTGCACCAGCGAGGCAGAAGTATTCCAGCGAGACGGACTTTCCGGCCATTGTGATGACACGACCCAACGCCAGTGGTGCCGTGCAAAGGATGTAAATGATGGGATATATGAGGAAAGCAGGGTGATGTCCAGCGTTGCTCGGGTTAGAAGTCGATGCTTCGCCATGGGAGCTCTTCGGTGGCCCGGACTGGGACATTGTGTGCGCATGGCTGAGCTTACGACCGCGGTTGCTCTGTGAGACGGAGGAAGTAGTGTTGTTGGAGGAGGAAGGGAGTTGAAGAGATGGGTCAGTACTCCGGATGTGGTTGAAGATGAGGACGTAGAGGACTGCAGTGATGAAAAAGGAAACAAACATCCACAGGTAGTGAAGGTACAGACGCAACGCCTCATAACGAACATTTACCCAGCACTGGGAATACGTTAGCTCGAGTTTAGATGGCGACGGACTGACAGAGGCTTACCCATGCAGCAGCGCGGACGTAGAGGCCGCCGTCGTCGGCCCCGTTGTTGGTGATGATGACGCCGGCTATGGCCAAGGCGTAGATAAAGAACCAAACAGAACCGATCATGCACCAGAATGCCCAAGTCGGAAGCTTGTAATCTCTGACGACCGACAGATAGGTGTGAACGGCAATCGTGGTGATGAAAGCACTAGAAGCTAAATCGCCCGTCGAGATGAACCAGCCCTGTGCCCAGCATGTTGTGCTCTCCACGATGATTCCACCCTTATTGAGCCATGCCGCATTGAGTAAGAAAGCGAGAGCTTGCTGGATATCTGCGAGCAGCAGGTTGTAGATGAGCATGAGGAACTGGTTGGGTGCGTCCCTCTTGACTTTGTTCTTCTTGTTGCCCGGGTACATCGTCTCCGGAAGACCCATCTCTTCGGCGAGGACGGCATCCGCGTTCGGCTCATCCGCCATGCGCTGCGGCCGGTCCGGGCCCGGTGCAAGATACCATATTATCAGCCGATAGGTCAAGACTAAGAAGAGTGCTGTTGTTGTGATGAACGAAAGGAAGCCGAAGAAAGAAACGGCAGTTAGGCCCCGTTGAAGGACTTCGGGAAGTGGCGTCAACGTTTGACTGTTCGGGTCCAGTTCCATGGCGGGCGATCAACGGCGACGGAGCACCAGGTGGCGTTTCGGGATGGAACGGGGTGGAGGGTTCGGGTCGCCGTTGGATGACTTGTCTTTACCGAGCTGTCATCCAAGCTTTTGGCGCAACGCCCTCTCCGATGACAATCCTTTGTTGGCGAGTATGCCAGCTGACGCAGAGGTCGACGGTTTCGTTCGAAAGGCGTTGCAAAAGTGGCTGCAAGCCAGATCATAAATGGCCTTGGTCTCTTGAGCTGGACCAGACCAGACTGCGGAGCCAAGAACGACCATGGAGGCCCTGTCCCTGGCATAATTCTTAGCTTGAATGGAATGAACACGACCCAACTCGTGAGGGGTGGTTATTAAGCATTTCACTGACTAGGGGATGGAGATCATGTCGGTAAAGACCACTTCCGTACGAACGGACAAATCGAGAAAGATGGGAATTCGAGTGATGGCCGGAGTTCCACCTCCCCTAAATGGCAATATGACCGGGATTCTGGGTCCCTCTTTCATCGTAGCTCGACAATCTGGAGACTCGAGGTGCGCGAGCGAGGGGTGGTTGCACGCCCACGCATCTGGATCCGGGGAAAGAAGAGTTGTGGACGATTTACAATCAGCGGTATGTCACGATCGACAGCCAATTACTCTAGACTTTCCACGACATCCGTACCAAGAGCCGTAGTCACCAATAACTCTAGATAAAAGACACCACGCTTCCATCGAAAGTTCAACGAATCGAGCAAAGATGTGTGTCTCGTTGCACCGACGTGGCCGCAGTAGCCCAGACTCTTTGACTGCTTCATTTCACTAAGGACGAGCCTGTCAGGAAGAAAGTTAAGACAGGGGCTCAATGGGCGAGAAGGGGAGGGGGCTGCCACGAGGTCTGGCTGAGCTAGAGCTCGACGGTCTGGTGCTAAATCGCTAGGTCGAACCTTAGCTGAAGCCCGTGGTCCCCTTTCATTGGTGCCTTTCCGACCGTACTCAGGGGTTGGATCCTTTGGGGAGCCACCGGCATGATCACCGAGATGGGCTGCACGAAGTGCTAGCTTCCACCCGGTTGTCCCTGTGTTGACAGGAGAGAAGTTAGGCTTCTGTAATGGCACGATGTTTGTGAGCTAGAATCTCTGTTGTGGAGTTGCTCGTTGCTTTTTTGTCTTTTGCGTTGTTTGCGATGCTTTTCGGCCTGTCCCCACGAGTTCCATCATCTCCATAGAAGCTCCATCACGATTCTTCAGCTCTGTGCCCCACCGCTCACGCTGTTGACTCTGACGCTAGGCAGAAGACGGCGACCCTTTACGAGACTCGACTGCGCTAACACGATGGCGGCGTCAAACTGCTCTTGGCTCACAAGCGGACCGTCGTCTAGATTGTTTCGAAATGTTCTCTCTCTTGGACTAGTCGCGAGAGAGGCGATAATCTCGGTCGATGACCGTTGGAACTAATGAGGCAAGAGATGCGTTCGATATCTGATTTGCAGGCCGTCAACGTGGTGTCCAGGGACCAAATCCGATATACTCAACCATGGCTTCGGCATTCGCATGATGCCACCCAACACCTTGCACTTGCAGGGCAGTTGGCGTGCGCCACTGAAACGATGATCTCGCTTTCTTCCGAGTTGTCAGACTTGACCGATCTCGCATTGAAACTGTCAAAGAAAAAGAAAAGTGAACCGTTACAGGATCTTTCTGCTCGAGCGACATATCGACTCCTCCGACGTCACACAAAGGATATGTCCTTTGACTTCCTTGGCAATGAGACCCAGAAAGAAGCTATATTTGAGACAAATTATTGCGTAACAATTCACTGGATTTGGGTACGTAAATTGCCAGTTCTCGACTCCGTGTCCGTCGGATTGCCACCGGACTTACCGCCATCGCGAGTTGTGCAAGTGGAGTGGCGGCTTGCTGTTTGCCAGCTGAAGACCGCCATGTACGGCCAAAAGACAGCATGTCCCCAGCCCTATCCTGGGATAAAGCAAGCACCCTAGACTTCGAAGGTCGGGTCGGATCATGTTTGCATATTCCATCCGCCCTGCAATCGTTCATGACTCTGTCGACCCGAAACTCTGGAACAGGGGGGATCAGTGAGAGTTCCAACACCATAACCACGCGGTGATGAAGAATAAGACCAGCCAGGGCCTGGGATTCGTGATCATTATGAGCTGGGCACCCTCGAACCCTGGGCTAAGCCACCCTGGAAGGAGATTTGCAGGGCAAAGGGTCAGAGCTTACGCCCTCGTGATAAAGCTAAAGCCAAGTTACGTTAGCTTCAAGACTTTTAGCGTCCAGCCGCACTGCAGGGGACATATCCGATTACTTGACCCGGATCGCATTGGTTTCCTCAAACAATCTCCCCCAGCAGCAGGGCAGAATTTACAAAGCTTGGTACGGCAGACTGCAAGAGGCACTCCGCCAAAACACTTTTTTCATGCGTCAAAGCAGAAATCGAATTTTACAGTCACCCATCCCACCACCGATTATTGAACTTCATACTAGTGAGATAAACTAACTATAGTTTATATAGAATTACGGCTTAAGATATATTATCGATTGAGTTTATGGGACCTCGTACGGCGGTATATAAAATTGTATAGTTACTACTATAAACTATTAACGTGGTTTACCAGTCAGCCGCGCATATCAGTCAGCTGTTACGCCCGCCGCAACTTGTCACTGTGGGCGCGTAGCTATATATGCAGAACAAGGGACAATGATGACCGGAGTCATCATTATCGAAGCTTTTGCTTTGTGCCACAGTTGGTTGCCTTGTCCAGCTCGTAACAATTCTATTACCTTCCAGTGCCTTCTTTCGCCCACGTAAGCTTACATAATCAATCTTGCTTATGCAATCAATGTCTATATTAATCTATAACTGTTATAGAATAATATAATATATAATATGCTTACGTAATATGAGTAATAAGGCAAATAATAAGGTAAAAGATTTACCTTTCCCACAAAAACCGCGTGCAACTAGTAGATATCGCCTTCTCATCGTTAATAGGCATGAAAGTCACCACTCTACGGACTTTAAGATATATTACAAGGAAAACAATATCATCATACTCTGCATGCCGGCCTATTCATCTCATCTACTTTAACCCTTAGACGTTGGGTGTTTTGGGCCACTAAAGACGGCTTATGGTCGATAAATTGGGGATAAGATGCGCCGGGTGTTACGACCCAACATGCATGACCAAGAACAAGGTCTGCCCCGCAGGCTCTGCCCCGCAGGTTCGCGGTGGCTACAGCGCACCATGTATGCAGAGGACAAGGAACACTAGGCACCCTCTCACGGAACGGAAGAACTATGGACAAGTCACGTGATGATAAGGGATAAGAGATAAGGATAAGGATATGTTGGATATGAGTTATCCAAGCGATCCTTGGATAACCAGGATATGAGCTATCCAACATATCCAAACAAGGACACTGTCCAGCACAAAGGACATGTTCAGAATCAGGACTTGTATATAAGGATGGACTTGAGCCGGACTCTAGGACAGACTTCCCATAGCTTCTTCAGCAATTAACTTCGTATCAGGATTAACATCCGCTTTCAGCTACTACCTTGACAAGACTACGATTGATCACCGAAGCCTTACCTGCCCTTACGATTGACAGACATAGCTTCCCTGAAGCTATCCCCGACTACGATTACTGTTACCAGTTCCGCAGCCTCAACTTCTGCAAACTACCCCTACGACTAGCTGGCCGTAACACCGGGGTAATACGTATATTACAAAGGAGGACTTCTTCCCTGCATTTCGCAACGCTTTCACGCAAGCCCTAACGGTAAAAAACATCTAGGGAGGTTTTAAAAGGGCTGGGCTTGTTCCGTTAAGTACTGAAAGTGTGCTTTCGAAGCTAGATATGAAGTTATACACTCTAACGCCCCCAGGGTCTCTCCCAGCAACACCCCCAGCATGGACTTCTCAGACACCAAACAACCCAACAGAGGCAAATTCTTAATCAACTTTAATTAAAGGTCGAATCTTAAATCATCCAAATAGCTCGCCAACACCAGCTAATAACGTAGTTAACTATATCCTTAAAGGGATATTAGCTATAATATATCGTAATACTCTTCTAGAGGCTGAGAACAAAACCCTTCGGGAGGAGAATAATCTACTTAGCCGACGGCGGAGATCTAAGAAAACTCGTCTTAGGCAAGGAGGGAGCCTTACTATAGCTGAGGCAGATGACCTTCAATCACAGAAAGAGGCTATAGCTCAGATTAAGGAGGAAACGCGCCGGAGTAATGGCCGTCGGCCGAGGACGGAAACAGGTCAACGGCGATGTGGCGTCTGCGGGAACACTGGACATAATGCGCGCACATGTCCATTTCAGAAAGAAATATCTAGAGAAGAGGATTATGGGTAGTTTCAATTAATTAAACTTTGTTGATGTTGATCAAGATTTACATACGTGGAGTGTATTACGGCCAGCTAGTCGTAGGGGTAGTTTGCAGAAGTTGAGGCTGCGGAACTGGTAACAGTAATCGTAGTCGTGGAATAGTTTCAAGGAAACTATGTCTGTCAATCGTAAGGGCAGGTAAGGCTTCGGTGATCAATCGTAGTCTTGTCAAGGTAGTAGCTGAAAGCGGATGTTAATCCTGATACGAAGTTAATTGCTGAAGAAGCTATGGGAAGTCTGTCCTAGAGCCCGGCTCGAGTCCATCCTATATACAAGTCCTGATCCTGAACATATCCTTTGTTGCCTGATCACCATGTTCGTTGGTGATCACTAAGTGGATACTGGTGAGCGCTCACTTTGGGTGATCACTGTGATCACCTTATCGTGTGCTCACTTTGGGTGATCACTGTAATCACCTTATCGTGTGCTCACTTTCCTTATCGTCACGTGACTTGTTCCATAGTTCTTCCGTTCCATGAGGAGTCACCTGAGTTCCCGGATTCTCTGCGTATATCAGGTAGATAGCCGCCGCAGGCCTGTGGGGCGGGCCCCCTGGCCTTGTTATGCATGTTGGGTTGTAACAGAGTGGTTGCTGTCGAGCGATCCGCTTGCTTGTCCGATCCGCTCGCTTATCATGCACGTTATATTTTTTATAATTTATACATAAAGTCTATATATAACAATCTTCCTAACTTTCAAATTTACTATATTTTAAATATGTAACGTACATGATAAGCGAGTGGGCCAGACAAGCGAGTGGGCCACCCAACCACGACCACATGACATGAAGGAGCAAATATCAACACTCACCTCATGGATTCAATCCAAACTATTCAGAGTCCTCTTCCTCAGACATTTCCTCATTGAATCGACATGTTCGCGCATTGTGACTAGTGTTCCCGCAGACACCACATCGTCGTTAGCCCGTCTTAGTCCTCGGTCGGCGACCACTACTCCGGCGCATTTCCTCCTCCACCTAGGCTATAGCCTCTCTCTACGACTAAAGGTCCTCTCCCTTAGCTATAGTAAGGCTTCCTCCTTATCGGAGACGGTTTTTCTTAGCTCTCCGGCGTCGACTAAGTAGGTTGTTCTCCTCTCGAAGGATCTAGTTCTCGGATCTTAATAAGGCGATCTAGTGTATAAATCCACGAGCCCCCTTAGATAGATGCTCTATAGCTTCGATAATTAAAGTTAGTAAGCTATTTTAATAACGGTAGATTCGATTCTTAATAAGTTCTAACTAAGAAGATGCTTCCGTTAGGTTATTTAGTGTCTGAGAAGTCTATACCGGTGGTGTTGTCGGGAGGGATCCTGGAGGCGTCGGAGTGCGTAACTTCATATCAAGCTTTAAGAGCACACTCTCTGCACTCAAAGGCACAATTCCTGACCCTCTGAATCCTCCCTGGATGTTTTTCTCCGTGATTGCTTGCGTAAAAGCCCTATGAAACGCCGGGAAGAAGTCCTCCTTAGTAATATACGTATTACCCCGACGCATCTTATCCTCGATTTCTCGACCGTACGCCGTTTTTAGAGGCCTAAAACATCCAACATCTAAGGGCTGGAGTATATAAGACGAATAAGCCGGCATATACAGGGTAAGGATATTGTTCTTCTTATAAAAAATCTCGAAATCTGCGGAGTAGTGACTTTCGTATCCGTCGACGACGAGGAGGAGGTATTAACCCTTTGTACGCGGTCTTATATGCCGTTCGAAGTGCCGAGCCTAGTCTAGACCTCTTTCATTTATTGTCCATCCATTTTTAGACGTTGCGATGACCTAGTCGTGTAGGAGACCGGATTCCATATACTAGGTAGAGAGGTGATATTGGCCCGTAACGATGATATACGGCGGAACGCTGTAGCCCGACGGGCTAATAGCCTGAATAACCGTAACTCATTCACGATTGCCAGGCTACATCATTTTCGTGTTTGAACGCCTTTCGGCACTGGTCACGACCATGCCGGTTGAGATCTGGCCCATCATAAAGCTAGTCTCGTCAAAGTTATAGATATCTGAGTCTACGATGCCGTACTTCGCGATTATATTCGCCACAAGCAAGAACTACGCGTTAATCGCGCCCGGATCTTCGCATTAGGCCCTCTTATAGTCGTACTTGCGAAAATGACGCGTTCGTAACTCTAGTTATCGCTTTACGAAGCTCGAAGCCCATCGCTTCCCAACATGGGGCGCGTCACGATCAGCGAGCAATCGATTCGCCATTTCTTCAACACCGCGAAGACGGGGAGGAAAACATCTGGCATCTAGGTCGAGGATGTACTTAATTAGCTTCTTCTCTTCTAGTAGCGTTAAATTCCGTGAGTTGGGTATGCTATTATATCGTGATAATGTTCCCTTTAATCTGCGGCCTAAGGTAACGCGACTAATGTTATAGATCTTTGCCGCGGCCCGAATACTGAGATTTCGGTCTTTCTGGGTAGCCTGAAGCGCTAGGTTTAATTTGGTATCTTTGTTATGTACTGTCATTGTTTTCGATGGAGAAATGCGTGTTGTGATGATGTAGGTGGCACGATGGCGGTTGGGTGGCCCACTCGCTTGTCTGGCCCACTCGCTTATCATGTACGTTAATAATAATGCCTTTACTCTATAGGAGGAATCGTCATAAGAGCTAAATTTGATATTGAGTAATACTACTCGATAGAACTCGATATACAACATAATCAACTGGGCCCTACTTAAACGTACCTAGATCAACGGTTACGTACGCCATACTCTGGGCCTCGAAAATAACGAAGATTATATCCTAAGTAAGGAATTCCTCACTAACGAGGATTAGCAAGTCCTCGTCAAGTTAAATAAGGTTCTCGAGCCCCTCTATAAGCAGACTAAGAGATGTAAGGGCTGGGGTAAGGGTGACGGGCATAGTCGACTCTGGGAGGTTCTGGCAAGCATCGAGTATCTCTTAGATCGACTCGAGGACTAGCGTAAGCTCTACGATACCCCTACTACCGAAGAGATTAACCTCACGGCTACCTAAGTATCCTAAAGTCTTTTATCATAGTTATCTCGACTAGTAAGGGTATCGTATCGATCTGCCAGAACGCCAGTCTTGTAGACCCTATTAATCAATAGTATCCTAACTCATACCCAGTCTGACTATATCGCTACTTCGCAGCAGAGTCAACCGCGCCGCCCCCAGGGTACTAACTTCGACTCTTACGGATACTTACGCCTATCGATTATTAATGGTTGGCAAGTACTTAACAAATATTACCTTAAGCTTGGAGAGTCTCCTCTCTACGCCGCAGTAGTGATCTTATACCCTGGCCGGGGCCTACAATGGCTCAAGAAGCGTTAGAACACCCCAGAGACGCGAGGATGGCTTCATGACGCCCAGGAAGGACTTCGAGACTATTGGGAGCAATGGTATGCCGAGATGACTACCCGTCCTAAAGAATCAACCTATCCAGAGCCTCCTTCAGAGCCTCCGCGAGGCTCTTTTGTATCGATCGTAGTTCCTCCGAGGGTTGAAGACTCTGAATATCGTCAATGGTTAAACAGCAGCCTCCATGACGCTACTATCGACGAGGTTGACGAGCTGGATCGATACTTCACCCTCTCAATTACCCAGCCCGTCGACGATCCTATTCAGTGGTGGATTTCACATCAACAGACTTTCCCAACGCTCAGTAAACTTGCCCTCGACGTCTTTGCTATCCGAGCGATGGCGACCGACTACGAGAGGGCATTTAGCCTTACCAAACTTACGCTAACGTCACAGAGGCTATCCATGAAACCATCACTGCTTGAGGAGACACAATGCCTCCAGAACTAGGTTCGAGGGGGCAGCGTTGCTGTTGGTGGGCATTACTTCAAGCGGAAGGGTTGACGGAGGGCAGGATGACATCAGAACATCAGATAATATAAGTTTCTAACGCATAGAGATATCGTGAGAGCTTTACTGACTTCCTAAATAGGGGATATTAATCAATTCAATCCAAGCCAGTCAGATCAAGCAAGCTTCTTGTGAAAAATCAGTCAATCAGACAAGCCCGTCATCCAAGCTTGACTTGATTCATTGGTATGCAGCGCTGCATAGACGAAGGCATCGGCGCCTTTTCTGCATCTGAGCATGACAAATGCCCGCTAGGTGTTATGTTTGCACAGCATCGAGCACGATGATATCGCGATAGGCCCAGTATGAGCCACACAACATGAGTGCCGTACAATCTGCCATAGCGACCGCCGTCGAATGGATCTCGACTCGTTGCGTTAAGCTGTAGAACCGTCATCATTTGTGTGATGGCATCCATACATGTACGTTACTTGGTGGGACAGTCTCCTACATGGGAGGACTACGACCTTGTACTTGTTTCTTTGAGTAGAGAAGTAGCATATCATGACGGCTTGCATGAACGACAGCTTTTCTTTGCAGGAGGGGCTCTATTTCATGGCAGTGGGTCCAAATAAGGAGGATCCTGTGCGGTTTCTACATGTAAGAAATGATTACATAGTAAGTTTGAAGACACGTTGTTCTTTAGAAGCGTTTAGTTTGATTAACCGAATATACTCCAAACTCTTACTTCAGATCACTCAGTTTGCCGTTCCTTCTATTTGAGTAGGATTTATTAGACACCTCTTAGACGTCGGTCTACTCATTGGCGATTTGACTATGATCTGGCATCTATGGTTATCATACATTTGAAGACAGAGTCATATAACTCTACTTAAAATTATACCAGTACGTTGGCTTGTGAACACTTGGGGCATGTTTTGAGATCCACCAAACCTCATATACATGTACACCTGATATTGACAAAGTAGACTGTAAGCTTTTTTGTGTGCACAGTGAGATGGAAACCGCAAGCAGTTGCTCACCAGCTTGAGTGAAAGTCCAATCCGTTAGTACTTGACGAGGTTGTGATAGTCACTTGCATGCATTCCACACTCCCCTTGTGCATACCGGCAATCTCATCTTCGAAATGTATTACAAAGAGACGTACTTGTAGAGTGAGCCTCAGCAACTGAAGACCAGAATCAGGGGCTTGAGTGCACTAATCGTTTTGTTTAAACCATGAATATAAAAGTAAGTAGTTCAAAGTTCAAAATGCCAGGCCTTATGGGGCTCCCCGCGAGGTCGCAATAACTAAATTGATAAAATCTTCTGAATCTGAATGAAATAGTCTGTGTGACTTCAAATCAAACACCGGAGAAATTTGTATTTGTTGGTATACACGTCAGCAGGGCAACCGTACGGTTGGAACGAAGTGTCAATAATGGTCTATTATTGCTGCGTCTGGAGGTGGAAGGAGGAGATTGTGGGCAGAGCCCACGATCTCCCAGAAGTGGTATATAAGTGAAAGGGCCGTTTGTAAGTGCCCATACCGCCTTCCAGATCCATCTTTTCTGCCGACTGCTCAGAGATCCAACAGTATTCAACGCAAGGAGCCAAGTCTCCATCAAGTTCGAAGATGATCCCAGCGAAGCCTCTAGGTGCCAACTATCTTTAGCAAGCGGTAAATCACGTTAGAAAACTTAGTTAGTACTGCCTGTAACGGAAGATTTATTGGACTTGGTCGGAGCCTCGGAGATCTTGATCGCAAATCGCATTGAACCAGGCTTTACCGTTGATCTTGTTGCCTACGCCCCGTACCGACAGCCAAGAAGAGTTGATTTCCATACTTTTGCCATACATAGCACCTGGGAGGTACCTACTTAGAAACCATAATCGGGGTTCGCATCAGTCAACCGCAAAGAATCCACTCGAGAGGGAGATAAGTGCGTAGGAATAATCACTGCACGAGGCGGTCGATCAGGGTGACTTGAGTATTGTTTGTCTTGAGATCAATTTGACCTTTACGCATCGTGAGCTACTTTGAAGCCGTTCTCTTCGGCCACCTGTTACTGGTAAACGGACCGTCGGCCCAATCTTACGGTAGTGCCGCTTGGACGGCGCGACGACTTTCAATGTTCCGACTGCGCGTCCGTGAAACCTTGACAGCTCTCAGACATCATCAGATTAGATGTACGAACTTACACGCCCCCAGCGTACCCTAAGTAGTAGATTGCGGTCTGGGGCAGTGACGCTTCTGCACCTCACCAAGCCCCGAGAGCACTAAAGGCTTTGCCGCATGTCCTGTGACAGTGCCGACGCGCCTAGATGGATTCTTCAATACCAAAGTGCCGCTTGAACTCCCAAAATCTGTACCCGCGGAACGTTATTGTCGAAATCGGGGACAGTGCCGGTCGGCCTCCAAGGAAAAGGCGAGGCTCACCGGCAGTGGGTGTCTAGCCTCGGTAATTGGATTGCGAGTACTATACGGAGTACCATGAAAGCCTCTCAAGCTACGTCAGGTCCAGATCTTTGAATCAAAAAGAAAGAAGGACTTAACTGGTCGTCGGCTTCGAAACGACCATAAGGTACTCGTAAATGCCATTCTAAAAGTAATGTGCCTTGCTGAACTTTTGTAGACACACTCCACCCGGATATTTTGGAGAGACACATTACAGCAAAAAAAGAGGAATATTATTGACTACCTTGAACGATAAGGACTCTCTTGAAACTGGACAGCACTTTCGTCACGCTTCACGACACCGCCGATTCGGCTCCAAAGATTAGCAATATTGCCTGCCGGGATAATGGGATTTATGACTTCCCAAAATGGCAAAGGCCTCGTGCTAAAGGCCTCGTGCTCGAGTGAAAGGTACGTCTCGCTGTCACATCAGAGCGAGTCAGCTGAAGTCTAGACTCCGGCGAGGGCGTAGCGTGTAGAATCGAGGAATAGTGTGCCCTCGTCACGGGGGAGGGGGCTCCTCACGGGCAAGAAACCGCAGTCTATCCTGATAATCAACTGCCGATAACTGTAACTGGAGTGTGCAAAGGCAGATGCGGATTGGAACATCGTCACACAACGGCTAGTCGGATCTCTGACGGCCCTTGATAAATGCAACCCGCTGATAAGCCTATCCACACAGGAATTACAGCACGTCCCGGACACCAAGTCGACTCTACCGCTGCCACTACAAACAGGATGTTTACGGCAACATGCTCCCACCAATCAGCCAGCGGATAATAATTCTCAAAAGGGCAAGTAAACTGTTCATAGGGTCTGTTGAAAGTCTAGTCCAGACCACGGACTGGCCTGTCGCCGGCCTAAAGTGATCCTCAGCCCTAGGGAAGCTCCGCAAGAGTCTAAACAGACCCAGTTGCATGCGGCGCTCAGTAGGTGCGAAACCGAATCAACTGCCCGGCAGCCCGACTCACCAAGGTTGGGTGCCGATGTGTGGGGGTGCCCCGGACGCCAAGACAACAGTTCTTTGTCCCCTCCCCTCCCCTTCAACCCTCAGTGCCCATCCCACGGGAAGGGTAAGTGACTCCGACCCGTCGGGAGAATCCGAACTAGAGTTCGAGAAGGTCGGGAGAACCCAGGACTCAGGCCGAGGCCAAGATTGGTGCAGCTGTCACCTGAAGAAAGTGCCGTACAAGTTGACGCGTTGCTGGATCACCTCCCGGAGGCCGTGTGCCGGTTCCTAGACCGTTTCATTGCGTCGCCCAGTCTTGTTGACGTTGCTTTCATGGAAAGCTTCGTGTTGGGATTTGGACTGATACTCTGCTCGTGATCATCTAAATTCCAGGCATATCAGCATTCAATGGTAAATGGAAATGTGCAGCAATTTCCCGTCTTCCATTTAGTAACTCCTCCACGTTCGAGAGGTTATAGATCGTAATCCAATGCATGTGGGTGGATGAGCCTTCGCGGGGAAAGCTACCATCTTTGTAAGGTGTGCTACATCTGCACCTACACCTAGAAACGTGTCTATGACGCATATCAACGGGCAGGCCAACCAGTACCACCTCGTGCATCACGACATTGTCTGCCCGGTCAGCAGAACCGTTGAAGCCAAATCAGCCACAAAAGCCATGCAGCCAGAACCCCGGCGGCACGGTGCCGACTAACAAGTCGACGAACTGACGCCAATGCACTTAGGCCATCAAACAGCATGTATGGATCAAATCAATAAACCACGCGATTTTGGACCGTCGTCTCTTTGAAGATAAATAAGGGCTCGAGTTTGATCAGAAGGACTAGATTGCAAGTGAAGGCTAAACTATTCGGTATGTAATACTAAGCGGATCAACCGGAGCTTACGGTTAGCGTAGCGTATGTCACCACGCAGGGGAATCAGGGACGTTCCTGGTATCTCCCACGAGATGCTACCGTTGCACACAAAGGGTTTGGAATACGATTATTCCAACGCTTATGTGGGATGTTGATAACCCCAAAGATGGGCGACCGAGAAACTCACGTCCGGGCCGCATGCCATAGATTTAGATCCAGGACCACATCGGTTGATGTATCAATCGCCGCTAACAGGAGCTATGACACTCACTCCTCACGAGCAGTCCAAACACTCGATTGGCTCGCAACATCTCCACTGCAGAGCTTAGGCCCAGTACCGTCTCTTTGAATGATCCCGTTTGGGGCTTAAAGTTTCCCCCGGTGTACAGAAACGGGCTGCTAGGAGAGATGGAAACCTCACAAGTGTGGGATGAGGGTGCCACGCATTCTGCCCGGCAGGCATCGCTGAATCCCTCGCGAAATTCTCTTTTTGTTGAGGGTAGAAGACGAAACAATAGTGGACGTTCACTATTACTAGCTTCTCCAAAGGCTTTAGGCGGTCCTTCTGCAGCTTGCTACCGTGATACCCTGCGAAGTTTGTAGCCCCTTGGGGTGACAATCGTCTCAAGTATGCTGCAGTTGCTGGCTGCCGCGAATAATTCAAGCATCGGCCTCGAGCAATGTTCGGATATCAAGTAACACTGTGGACTTCGACCGTCGAGGATGTTAATTAGTCGAGGTTGAAGGCGATGCCGGGCACCATGCGCGCCGACTTGCGCTATGGCAGCACAGTAGAAAAGCTCACATTGGCAATTCTTGGCCTTGGCAGCCGCAAGCTCTTTACATCGAGCACGCCCAGTCTGATGGTCACTTGCTTGGAAAAAGCTACGAGGATGACGGTGCCAGCAAAGCGGTAAGCTCATCTGAAAACATCAACAGGCCAGACTGAATATTCGACCGAAGTAGTCCAAACCCAAAACCGAGTCATACCACCGTCGTAAGGCTTCCTTCAGAACCTTATCCACGAATGGCAGTCCAACCCTATTGCACAAGAGCCCAGCGGCAACGCCTCAAACCTTAAGCCTCCCTACATGTGCACTCGACCGCACCTTGCCTTCGTCAGTCTGAAATCTACTTATACTAAGGCACGCCAGCTGATACATTTCAGGGCCCATTGGTCTCAGGATCTCACCATTCAGCACATGTCACCAAGCGTTGATATTGAAGGATACCGGCATCGAAACGAGGTCAGAGGTCCTCCTTCACCGTGACACTCCTTTGGCGAATTCCCCCTTCGAGATGGACAGTATCGGATCGACAGCCAGCGAGACGTCGAGTAGCCCGAGACACGAGATCCGCCCCGAGCAGATCATCAGCCTCATTATCGCACCGATATCGTCTTGCCTCCTGGCATATCTACTTCGTGAGGGAATCGTTGTTGCTAGGTTATCGACAAGGTCTAATGGCTTGCAAGGTCACCAGTGGTCCGCGATCAAAGATTGGCGCCCGTTGCCATGGACAAGATGGCGTAAGGGGCGACACGCCGAGAAGAATCTGGGGCATTTTGGGCTGACAGGACTTGTTGCAGTTGTGTTATTCATCTACCTCTTCTCATGCCTATTCATTTTCGGATCATGGGTATTCCAGCTCTTGTTTCTGGATGAGCTTCGAATGGATTTCATACCATGTTCAGCTGCGGGCATGTTGTGCCTGACTGCTTACGTCGTAATCAAAGTAAGTTGCAAATCAATTCCGTCGTTGGTGGCACTGCTAATCTCATAAAAGGCTGTAAGTTTAATGGTCCTCCGTCTCCAACGGTCAAATCTTGGCCGATCTGACTCTCCAATCAGCTCGTCTACCTCTTCATGGTTGATAAAGCGGTAAAACTCTACCCCAGTAACCCCCCGATCTCAATCCCGGCTAACACTTTGACCAGCATGTTATCCGAGGCACTACCAAGTCTCGTCTCAAGTCCAAATTATATGTATTTAATTCGTTTGTCATGCTGGGTATGTCCATGTTCCAAGCCCAGTTACCAAACCATCCTTGACTGACCACTATCAGCTGTATACGGCATTATAGCAACGTTCAACTTTGTTTCGTGAGTGTCCTCATGATCTGTCCCCGGCACTTACACTGACAACTGCTGCGCTACTAGTCGAGGCTCCCGGTACGACAAGGAGAATGATGTATGCATCACCGAGCTAGAGCGCACCATCCTGTTGCCCGTCATTTTCTTTGACGCTGTTATCAACGTGTATCTGACATCTCTATTCTTGTTTCCACTCTTAAGTAAGTCATGTTATTTCCTCAGCTTCACTAAATAGGCCCTAATACTCGATCACTAGGACTACGCTCGATTCAAATATCGATGATGAAGCCGTGGACGATGCATGAGAATACGCTTCACTTCTCCCGGGTTCCGCCTAACGTGAGGCTACGGAGACTCGCGTTACGAACTTTCGCTGGTGTTCTCGGCACATTGGCTATCAGTATTGCGTAAGAAGATCTAAATGAGAGTGCAAAATTGTTGATTTGGCTAACCTTAATTTCTGATAGCAACCTGTCAGTATTGGTGGCTCTGGAAGGCGAGATAGTTTGGCTGTGCCTCACTTGTTGCAACACAGACAGTAAGTTTACTCTCAATCTTACCCTTCGTACCTTACTTCCTGCTCTCCGGGGTCGTACTACATTCTTTCTTGTCAGGCTCTAACTTTTTCTTAGTTCTCTTCACTGCGTTTGTCATCCATTGGATCAACTCCAGCGGCAAAGCTGCACCGAAGTCTAATGTTGAAGTTGTTCCTACCCCAATCCCGCCGCCACCATCAATGAAGCTCGGCGAAAAGGAAACTGTTACCTTTACTGAAGTATTTGATCAACGACAAAAGTCTTACGACGATCATTATCACAAGCCATAGTCTTATTCTCGTTCTGGTCATGGTATGGTTGGGCACCGTTCCTGAGGAGAACGCACCTATATGTAGCCACCGGACCTCTTTATGGAAACGGCCTTGTATCGAACATATGATTCCCCCCATGGATAAGCGTATTGTCTTCTCAACCCTCGGTGGCGCTAGAGGGAAAAGCATTGCATAAAGTATTTGGTTGCCATTCACTACATGTATTTATCCAGCGTGCTCACGAGAAGGTCATGTTATTGTATCAACCAACGTTCAAAACCTTTCCTTCCAAAAAATTAACCATCAAAAAAAACCCTTGTCTCTGCTTGTGTCTGCTCGACAATATTACTAGTCATGGCATAAGAGCGCTGCTCTTCTTACCAGGCTGCAAGAATTCAGTCTCGGGACTGCGATCTAGGCAGCAACAGCTTACGCGTCGTTCAACGGGTGACGTGGAATTCTCTAGCCAACTACGCGCTTAAATGAAAGAATTGTACGAAGCAAACGTTCAAGCAGATTTTGATTCTCTTTGGTTGCCTGGACTGCCAAGTTCAAGAGGACGAGTCCGGCATCGTCAGTCAGACTAGGTTGCTGCATTCGCACCTTCATGCCGTATATCTGATGCACTATATCAAACTTACTTTGAGGATGCCGCCGGCAAATCTGAGCTGAGTGTAAGCAGCACACTGTGACAGCCCCGAGGCTTCCCTGCCGCCAAGAACACCTCGTTCTTGATCACTGGTCGCGAAAGGCCGTGTATTCTGCCCGATAAGCGACCGAGTTACCCTCAAAGCAATGTCGCACACCCTCTACGCCACCGCTGCCATTGTATCCTTTACAGCCGTGGTTTTGCTTTCAGCGCAGTTCTCTTCCCGAGCCGACCCCCCCAGCCGGTCGGTAGAGACCATGCCGGTCGAAGCAGCGTCGTCAGCATTGGACGCCGGGCATAGCCAAAGACGCTGTCGATGCGCGGAAAGACGAGCAGAATACCAGTTGCGCAAAGGACTGAAACGCGAAGAACGCCTTGTCGCCTCGTTCAACGACGCAGGGCGGCTTCTCCTCAACCGCCGCACGGCATTCGGCGTCGGTCACTGGACCACAGTATACGGGTATCCAAGCACTGGTGGATGTTATACACTGAAGTGCGACGGCGTGGAACTCGACTTTCTAGGCCTGAGCCGCTTTGAGCCCACGTTTAGGTCAGGGGATCCGGAAGAGGAGGATGCGCACTGCGCAAGGATGATGAAGCTTGGACCAAACTGGTGGAAGAGCCTGACGCATTATCTAGTCAACCAATTTTTTGGAAATCCCACGTGGGAAGATGCTGTTGTCATTGCTGGTTATCCAGCCTCGGGTGGTCTCTGGCTGTTGAAGACTACCAGGGCAGAGGCAGCCAACGCCGGTGCTGCAAGAATCCACAATGCGAGGGGCATGGGGGAACGATGCCTGCTGATCGAAACTTGTGGTGGGATATTTTACAAAGAAAGCGAAAAGATTCCAGAGCTCGTCGTTGTGATACTGGGCCTATACTAGACGTAGGGGCATACGGTCAATGCAATTCACTGAATTCGGCGGCATGGTAGTATCAACTGTGATGAACGAAGTTGACATGGTGTCAATCTGAGTAGTTCTTTGAGTTTGGCCTATCCATTTGCCTGTTTTGAGAAATTGAGTTCTGGGGTTGAGACGCAGGCCGGCTTGTCGACTGACAGATATCCCCCGATGGTATGACCGTGACCTGGAGAGATCTTTTCCGCTGGTTTGACCACTGCTGGATATACCACTAAAGCGTGAAAAGGCACATTGGTGAAGCACCTATCTATATGATAAAGGGGTCAATAGTATCTCAAATATCAAGCAGTTTACCTCCAACATCTATGCAAACCGTGTGGAAAGGACACAAGACACTGTGACAACATCGAGTGAAAGCTCCATGTCTGTGCGATACAATGACCAAGCTCTATTTTTATCAAAGCAACTACTACTGCGACATTCTTGTCATTGTTGTCGGGTAGTTCAAATGACTAAGGCAGCAACCAACAGTCCATACCATGCTCCTAGACCAAGCATAAGTAATCTCCTAGCGCGACCCATCCAGACAGCCAGCCAGGCGGGTGTTGACTGCATAACTCGGCGAAACAGGCATCAGTCGGCGTTTTTCTAGAAAACCAGGGGAGTGACCGACTCGCCCTCATGATTAAAGTTTCAATTTCCCGAGATAACCTGCGGCCAGCCATCCGCCAGAAATGACCTTGAATGTCCTTACTGCCCCTCTACAAATATTGCTCAAACCGTCGTAAGTTAGAGTTGAGATGCCACATATCCAAACAGGTGTACTGTACTCCTTATTAATCGCCTCTTACTTCTACGTTACCGTCAGGTTCGTAGCCCGGGCTGTCGAGTACTACCGAATTATGACGATCATACCATCTTCAGAGGGCTATGATGACGACGATGGCGGCAGTTGTTCTCGCTGTTCCTACTGCCGCGGCTACAAGGACGAAACAACACCTGAACAGAAGTACAGAACCTCGTTCGGGCTAAGATCTGGCACTGTGGTACGAGGATGGCCAAGTCATGGCGGAATTTTTTTTCTGAACGACTGCCTCGGCGTGGACCTCGAGTTCCTTCGCCTCGACCGTTTCGAACCTACGTTGAGATCAGAGGACCAGGCGGAAGAAGATGCGCACTGCCAGAGGATGCGCATGCTTGGTGCAGTGTGTTTTGAAAGCGAATACCCCCACGAACTGGAAGATTATTCAAACTTTGGCGACTACCCGATAACGTCTCGAAGAAGCGATCATGTCATTGCCGGGTATCCAGCAACGGGGGGCGTCTGGGTTCTCCGGACCTTCGAGGAGGACGGTCTGAAGATGGGACTTGGTCGAATCAAGAACGCCAGCGATATGGAAGAGAGGTGCAGGGTCATTCAGAGACTTGGAGGGGTATTTTATGAAGACCCTTTCGAACCACCCGAACTGGATCTTCGACATGAGTTTCCGGACCCGAAGAGAAAAGGGACTGTGATACACCACATGATACCCCAGACGGTTCTAGAGGAGTTGAAGTTGGAAATACGCCAAAAATCACAAGAAGTCAAAGCAGACTACGATTAATGAGTTGCATTTATTTGTTTGGAATTTCTCCTCTGCACGAGGTATTCGGGCCATTAACACGTGGATTGGGAGGCAGAAAAGCCAAGACTCGGCCCAGCCAGAGCACAGGCGATCTTGCCAAGCAACCAGTTCAACTGGGCCTCTTTGGCCGTAAAGGGCCGACGGTCGATCTATGGATACATAAGCTTACAATTGAGTTGATTTCAGTTGTAGCGGAGAAGATGGCAACTAGAAAAACTGCTCATAAAGACATGCACTGTTTTTGAGGCGGGTGGAAGTGAAATGCCACCCACCTGTGGAGGGAGCGAGAGTCTAAACTCTGTCGGGGTAAACGGGTTTCTACTCGTACCTAGTCGTATTCCATCAAGCTGGATTGGCTAGACCCCGTATTACAGGAACGCTAACTAACACATGTCACATTGGCAATTGCTTTGCATCCATCAACTCTTGTTGGTATTCCTTTCACAGGGAATTTGGTTCGAACCGTAGGGTCCTGGGGGTGACGAAGTATCAATATCTCTGTATTGATTGATTCTGCGTAAGGAGTAGAAGGGAGATTCCAACCGGAGGTTGGGTGGGTAGTCGAGGTCTAAGTGTACCCCCTCGAGGTGGCCCATGCTCTGCCCCTACTCGCGGCCGAATTGGACTTCCAATCCGACAACTCTCCTACTTTTTCTACCTACATGTACCCTATCGCCTGATGCTGACTTTAGAGGCTATAATCTCCAATGCAGCTCCCAAAGCTTCCGGCGAAAGCCGCATACATCCATCTTCGAAACCCAGCAAGGCGTAACGCCCTGAGTCTGGAGCTACTCGAAGATCTCCGCACGCAGCTCCTCGCGCACCTTACGTCACCATCATCCGGCAGAGTTCTAACGCTTCCTCCCTTCAGACCCTCGATCTTGCGGGAGCTCGAAAAGGCAAGCTCCGCGTCTGACTCGGGGGACAGGTGCTCGTCAGGGTACAGCTGGCTCGTCGATGCCGCAGAATGGAACCGAGAGCGAGCCGGGCTACCGAACGTACTCGTCCTCCGCAGCAGCCCGGGACCAGTCTTTTCCTCGGGCCACGACCTCAAACAACTCGCCTCGCTCTCGCGTGTCGAGGTGAAGCGCACGTTTGCCCTCTGCGCCGAAGTCATGTCTCTCATTCGCCAGAGCCCGGCGCCCGTCATCTGTCCCATTCATGGCCTCGCGACGGCCGCCGGGCTGCAGCTCGCGCTGTCGACAGATTACCCCATCGCCCTATCCACCACCAAGTTCCAGCTGCCCGGCGCTAGCATAGGGTTACCGTGCACGAGTCCCGTAACGGCGGTATCCCGGCACCTACCACCGGGCCAAGCGTACCGACTTCTTCTCACCGCCGAAGCGGTCACCGCTGACGAGATGCGGAGTGCCGTCGATGTAGTACCGACGCCTGAGCATGCGGAGTCCACGGACACGGCGGCCGCCGCCTTCGAGGGTCGTGTTTCGGAGGTGGTGGAGAGACTTGCGGGGTCAGCGGGTCAGCCGATGGCCCTCGGTAAATGGGGTTTTTGGACACAGCTCGGCATCAAGGGTGACGATACTGATGGTAGAGGAGGTGATGGTTATGAGGATGCGGTAAGCTGGGCCGCACGAATCATGGCGCTTCATGCGAGGAGTGCTGATGCCCGAGAAGGCATTGCATCCTTCACGGAGAAACGCAAGCCGCAACGGCAGATTTGAAGACCTGGATAACTGGCCGGGGCCGGATATGTTTGGCCGTAAAGACGGCTCCGCCCCGGTTCACTCTGTGGAATCACCCCATCCGGGACCGCCGGGGCCCACTTGATGAGAAAATTCTGTTTGATGATCTCGATGTTTGCAACTCTGCATGACATACTAAAAAATCTTGACCACTCGCTTCCAAGTGCAAAAGAATGACCAACGTAGGGCTCGAACCCACAACCCCCAGATGACCACAACTCATGAATGAGATGATAGAAGTCTGATGCGCTACCATTGCGCCAGCCGGCCGATATCCACGATTTAAACTGATGCTGAGATCGAGCTCCTGTGGAGTTGTTGATTCGGAGCTCCAAATGGACCTAGGTTTTACCGACTTCACGATTTTGAGCATCGCCACCCCACAGCCCCACCACCACTTGAGCCTCAGAACATAAAGTACCTGACTCTTCGTATTCCATCATTCTTGTTGGGCAGCGATTATCAGGTAGGGGGTCAATGGGATGTATTGATGAGTATGAAGAACGAGTGGCTATGGGAATATCCCGACTATCTATAACTATAGTGAGTGGAAGACCCTTTATACTGGCATATCCTTGGCAAACTTAGTCATGCTTGTGTAAGACCATATTGTTTCATAGGCATAGTGTGACAATCGTTGTAACGAGTGTACTGGGATGGGCCTGACAATTCTTTACCAATTTTTGCGTTGAGTTCCGCAGTAGACACATCTCAAGTGAAACCGTCCAGCATTTCGACTTGGATAAACATCAATTCGCATAGAATTACTGCCTAGTCCGAGGAACTCGTCCCGACTGCCTCTCTAAGCATGATGGGCTGTGTGTGCTTGCCGTCGTCAAAAGTCTGTCTCCCAATTTCCTTGAAGCCGTACTTTCTATACAGAATAGCCCCGGCGTTACTAGCCTCAAGAACCGTAGGCACAGCTTCCTCTTCGCTACGGTCCAGGCCCCATTGAATCAATTCCCTTCCAATACCGCGACCTCGAGCGCCTGGAGATACACCAAGCCAACAAAGACGCCATCGCTCAGTTGGATACATGCTCTGGGCTTTGTTCAGCTGACCCATTAACTCTCTGACCTTAGTAGTAGTAGTAGTAGTGGTGTTTTACATCATCAGGGACAGGTGCCCAGCTATCTATGTAACTAAGCTCCGATCAACCAGAGCGCCCTTTGGGCATATGATGTGCCGTGCCGCCATTATAGCGTACGACAAGTCAGGCAGTCTATAATGTACACTTTTCTTCTCGTGCCTAGAGCAGTGGAGTTTAGTATCTAATCCCCAGGGTCCGTTCAGTTCCAAAAAGCACGCCAGCAGGGGGTCCCTGACTCGGCAGAAGCGAATGGGTCTCTAGCAGCCCTACGCCGTCCACAGACGGCGTTGCCGCAACAAGTAACCGGCCCTCGGAGGCATATTTGCCTACGCGAGCATTTTTCTGTTTTCTTATATTTTCTTATATAGAAGATAAAGGAGGAAGGAAGAGAGAGGGGTGTGGTAAGGCCGGGGCCTCAAGGCGTCGGTGGGTGTGTGAGAGAGTTGTGAGGCGCGGGATCTCGGGCTCGCTATCTTTGCAGAGAGTGAGCCTCATAGTAGCGCGTCACACGCTCGAACTTCTCAAAGGCACCCGGGTCTCTGACCAGGGCGTACCAATAGGCTTCGGCCAAACTCTCTGACCTTATTGGCAGGCAAAGATCCGACTAGGAGCCGATACCAGTATTCCAAGACCACCTGTAGCATCATGAATCATGCAAGCACAAATTAGTAAATCTAATAATGCTGATATAATTGAGTTGAGACTGACGTTTTCGTAGGCTATTGACCTGCCACGACTTTGCATTCTCGGTAATTCCATGACGTTGCCATATGCCGAGGCCAACATATCGGCCCTTTCCAGTCTCGGAAACATCTCTAGCAACATTTATCACGGTACCGGCTTTCGCCATCTCATACTTGAGAATGAGTCGCCATATCACACGAACATTCTCAATTTTGTCATCGTGACGCTTGGTGAACAGCATTGAGAAAGCCGGGTCATCGACCCAAATCCGGCACGCGAGTTCGATTAGCTGGTCTAATTGGATGGGTGAGACATCTCGGAGCACTGTTGTCGATGCCATTACGTGAGATCTCTGCTGGAGAAGTCTCAAGTCAGAAGAAAAGAGTGTGCCCAATTGTCGTCATGCATCAACTCCGAGAGTCGGGGATCTCTAAATGTTGGTGAGGGGAACATCATGCAATGTTTTGTGTGTGGCCTGTTTGTTTAGCCCCGATGCGACTTGCTTAGCTTATCAATCTCATCGAGACGATCTATTGGTAGTTCGTTCTGCCGGAGGGTCTACGCGGCAACTAATATCAGTCTACCAAAGTCCTTTTCTGCTCGGGTTTCTTGGTACTGGACGTTCAAAATTTTAAACCCGAGTGTATGCCAGTGAGAGCGTCATTGCGACGTTCGAGTTTGATTGGCTAAGTCTGACTTTACTTCTCAGTCATCCAAGGGATTGCAGAAGTTGCGCATCGGGACACAGTGTTTGCTGAAGCCTATGATCTTTTCCAAGGCTCGAGTTGTGTCTGTTGGTATCACAGGCGTGATACATTTCCTCATGAGGGTGTATCTTCGGCAACAATCACGTCGACGTCCGTGATAATTGCTGTTGTTGTTATTGTTACTTCCTATTTACATTGTGGGTTTTTACTATATTTAGCGGATATCCTAGCCGACGGTTTGGCTATGCGGATGATATAGGGTTAGTAGCTACTAGCCCGTCGCTAGAAGGAAATGCTATAGCCCTAGGCCAAAAGATCACTCATATCCTTAACTAGGGCACTGATAACAAGGTTGCTTTTGACCCAGCTAAGTGTGAGGCAGTCCACTTCAGCAGGAAATATAACCAGACAAAAGACCTACCAGATATACAGGCGACGGGCCTAACTATTAAGGCCTCAACTAAGCCTGTACGATGGCTAGGAGTCTGGTTCGACAAGAGACTCACCTTCCGTCACCATGTCGAAACTAAGGTGGCAGCGGCAAAGAAGGTAGCCCAGTTCCTACGGCACCTAACAAATACCAAAGGGGGACTCCCAGCAGCCGCAGTACGACAAGCGGTTATTGCCTGTGTCCTTCCAACAGCCTTATATGGAGTTGAGACCTGGTATGCGGGCCTAACCAAACCAGCCCTAAACAGCGGCACCAATACTAGCAGTAGCACTGCTTTACAGATACCTACAGTTGGTACAGGACAGAAGGGCCTGGCACGTAGACTTAGCAAAGTTATTACAGCAGCAGCAAGGGCTATCCTGCCTGTCTGGAGAACCACACCGACCAGTAGCCTCATCCGAGACGCTGGCCTTCCCACAGCAGAGGTAGCCCTCGAAGCAGCGCGACTACGCTTCGCTATACGCCTGCAGAAGGTTGACCAACAGCATCCCTTGGTCCCAAGGCTGCTGCAGTCAGGGCGGCAACAGACCAGGCTTCAAAGAACAGCTGGCCTTTTACCTAAGTGTCCAAGGCCAGCGCTCCTACAGCCGCAATACCTCCCAGGGTCCTATGACCCTATAGTTACACAGACGAAGGAAGTAGCAGCTAGGATCTTCCAGGCCTGGCTAAAGACTGTGCCAGGTCAGCATACAGTCGTATACTCAGACGGCTCCAAAGCTCCTGACGGGGCTACAGGGTTCGGCTTTGTTATCTACCGCAACAATAAACGTATAGCCCAGGGCTGCGGCCGTCTCGGCTTAGCAGAAGTGTTTGATGGTGAGGCGGAGGGGGCGAGGGCTGGGCTCCGACGGGCCCTTCAGACCTCCCAAGGCCAGCCTATACACATCTGCATCGACAATACCAGCGTTATTCAGGGGATTCGCGGTAAGGTCCCAGACTCCTCACAAGCGGCCTTCCTTGAGATCCAGGAGGTAGCTAGGATACACGATATACAAACCCATTGGTCTCCTGGGCACCAAGGTATTAAAGGAAACGAAGAAGCAGACAGCCTAGCTAAGGAGGGAACAACTCTACCAGTCCTTAGGGGCCAACTAGCTACTCTATCAGGTATCAAGTGGCTTGCTAAAGAGCGGCCAAGACGCCAATATAGACGATGGTGGAAACAAGAGGCAACTCCCCGCTATACCCAACTAGGGCTCAAGGCTACCCTTGCTTGCCCTCCTGAACTTGGCCTCCCTAGGGCTGCCCTTCATCACCTCCTCGCGGCACGGTCAGGCCACGGGGACTTTAAACAATATCACCAACGCTTTAACCACACAGAAGCACTACTCACCTGCTCCTGTGGATGGGTTAAGGAGGCAGACCATCTAGTCTACTGCCGAAAGACCCTACTGAGGAGGCAACAGTGGCCCACCCTCTACCCCTACAGCCGCCAGGAGCCCGTAGGACCTATAGGGTCCCTCGATCGCTACTTCAAGGGGCTAATCACTGACTCTGAAGGCTTCCAGGCCTTCCTCTGCGTGACAGACTTCTTCCAGAAGATCTGCCCGCGGTACTAGGAGATAGGTCATAACCTATCCTCCAAACGACAAACTACCTCTATTAAGAAACCAGATGGTTATAACGGAACTAGGGCACCAGTGGGAACTAGGGATGGATAGAACACATAGTAGCTCACGAGCAAGATTCGGAGGACGTCAGGATACGGCGTGTACTATATAGTATATAGCTGGAGCCTGCGACCCTTCACGCCACATAGCCTCCGGGAAGTCTGCCGCAAGGGCGGCTGCGCCCTTGCCGCCATGGCGTTAAATAGAACAACAACAACAACATTTACATTGTGGGTAGGGGTCAGTCGAAGTAGGTGGTGACGGCCTGGGTGGTTGCCCCACCTTAACCGGCCGTGGTGACTAAGCCAGTTGTCCCACTTCGCCCAGGGCAGGCGCCAGCCAGCCCACGATACCTGCCCATTGCTCTTTATCAGCCTTGCTGTTCCGACAGTTTCTATCTATGGTCGTTGATGACACCAGGATGGATCATCATCGAAAAGTTACGTGGGGTAGCATAGGAAGTAGGATGAAAAGTTCTAGGCATCTAAATTATTCATCCTTCGTCTGGATCATTTCAATGCCATTTGAATGCGCAAAGGGACGGTTGTGGCCGACTCACTCCTTGAAGGAACAGTCAATGCGACCAGCCACGTTGGCGCGACATCGAACAACGCCATCGCCGCCACAGACCCGGAAAAGAAATGAGACTGTAAATTCAAGAGATCCTCAAGGAACAAGGGATGCCGTTGTTTGAGCACCAAAACATTGCCTCAGCTCCTGAGCTCATCTATAATATCTTCAAACTTCCCACTTTCCGTCCGATTGACTTAAACCTGAATTCTTCAGAGCTTCATTTTTCATGACCTTCTCTTGATCACTATTGATATTCTTTTCAAATTCACACTCATTTGCACTTCAAAATGTTTCACAGCGCGGGATTCATCGCTTTAATCCTCCCTCTCATCGCAGCGCGCGTGACTAGGGACACTTCTTTGGCAGGTCGGGCAACCTACCCGTTCAACAACCTCGTAGCTTACGGCGATGAACTCAGCGACAACGGCAACGGCTCTTTCGCGCACGGGATCACTGGTGATCCAGCCAATGTCTACGGCTTCGGAACATGGATAAACGGCCCGGTCGCCGTGTCCTACCTCTCCGATCTCCTCCGAGTTCCGCTGACGGACTATGCATTCGGCGGTTGCTGCGGCGGAGGCGATTTTGGGGCGACCTTTGACAACACGTACACCAAGTCTAAGGCTGGGGCGACAGACATGATTGGACAAGTTTCCAACTACACCGGTCGAGGCGCCCCGGGTATTCGCTCCTCTCTGCAGTTCCTCTGGTTCGGCGAGAATGACCTTAGCATGCATACCGACGCCTTTTGGCTGGGGGATCCAAAGAACGTGCAGTTCGCAAACGACGCGGTAGCCAAGATCACGGCGCAGGTTAAGACCCTCATCGACAAGGGGGCACCGTACGTCATGGTTGCCAATATCTACCCGAAGCATCTTGCCCCGGTGACGCCCAAATATCTCTGCGGTACCAATGCCGACTGCGTCAAGACCTGGGGCCAGGTAATCCAGCAAGCAAACTCGGCTATACAGAAGAGCTTTGGGCAATTCGGCAAGAAAGTCATCTACTATGACGTGTTTAGCTTCATGATTCAAATTTTGGCGAACCCTAAGGCATATGGTTTCCCGAAGCCCCTGAACCTTTTCTGTGATGGAGATGAGACGGCTCAGTGGACGGACTGCATGATTGACGGACACGCCAACGAATACTTCTGGATGAACTTTATTCAACCAACGACTGCTGGACACAAGCTGATTGCTCAGGACATGAAGAAGACCATCGATGCGCACTTCACCTGAGGACCGGGCCGTCAACAACGTTGATATGGCCTTTTCTACAGAGGCACCAGAACCTCACTGGAGCAGAGAAATATTCCATTCACATGTATAGCTCTTTATTTGCTTCATCCTGTACAAGCTTGAGACTTCATTCCATATTCATTCGCATTCCGCTTAACATCCACGACGTACACTTGAACGTGCAAACCTGAAGTACATTTATTATTCAACGTCGTAGCGAAAGCAAGGTCCAATTTGTTCACAAGACAGATGGCACAAAGCAGCAAACCCCCGCATTCTCATCAATCAAGGTCGCTAGAAGTCTTCAATTTCGATTCCCTCGGTGATCTTCATGACTTTCCTTACGTCATCAAAGTTTACCGCTCTCCCGTCTTTCTTTGCCATGATGCCAGCCGTCTTCACAATGTTTCGAATACGGCGGCCATTCACATTGATCCTAGACAGGGATCCAAACTCACTCCTTGATATGGTTGAGTTGTTTTTCTCCAAGAACGTCTGCCAAATCTTCAAACGGGAAGGTTCGTCCAATGCGGGGTAGTTGATATTGAGATGGACACGGGAGTAGATGGCAGGGTCAAGGGATCGCTCGCGGTTCGTAGTGAGGAAGAGGAGCGACGGATAGTACTCCAGTTCTTTCAGGAAGCCTGCACGAAGTTTAGTATCAGTCAGGTGAGTAGAAAGAGAAGGGAAGAGGGCGACTCTTATGGCAGAGCTACTTACGAGAGACCATCTTGTTCCGTTTCGATGAAGCGTCACTGCGCTTCTCCAAGTACATGTCGCATTCGTCAATCAGAAGAACGGCTCCCCAGCGAGCAGCAAGTTCGAATGCAGTTGTGAAGCTCATTGGACGCTCTGGGTCTCGGGGACGGGGACTCAAGGATCGATTCCTGTCATCATAGCGAACTAGGTTAACGTCGTTGTCGCGATCGTCCTCGTGGTAGTCTCCCAACTCCATCTTGAACAGGGGAGCTTGGATTTTCTCGGCAACTGTTACGGAGGTCAGCTTCGTGTTCAGTTGCTATATAGTCAGATTAAATCGTACCTGACTCGGCAGTGAGAGTCTTGCCCACGCCTGGATCTCCGGCAAGCAAGGCTACGAGCCCACCACCTACGAAATGTTAGCACTATGCCATTAACACATACATGCACCGATTTTCTCCTAAACTGACCTTTACCGTTGATTACGTCATCAAATGCAACCTTTTCCTTGACCTGACTCTCAACGAAAGCCAGAATCAAATCCTTGTATCCCTCCGGCAACACCAGACTCTCAAAGGGCTTCGTGTTCCATTCGATGTCGTGGATTCGGTCTACTTCAAAGCTTCCTATTCCGAAGGGTTAGAAATGGTTTCAACATTTAGGCGGTGCGTTGTTCTGTCGGAGACTTACTCCAAACCTTCTCCTTAAGATCAAATCCATCAACCTCGGGGTCTGTGAGCTGTAGATGGAACTCTGTCAGATACTTTCTGGAGTTCTCCTCGATATTCTCATCACGTCTTCCTGAAAGGTGCGTTAATTGATGTCCTTTGGCACACAGGGGTCTCTGCCTTACTGAATTCCGGAGAGATGCTCCGACGTCTTCGGAAAGTCTCGACTACAGCCGGGGATCTTCGTCTGGGCACGACAGGTGGCACGTAATACGGGGAAGCCCGTCGAGGCATGGGGCCTCGGAGAGGTCGACGACCGCCTCTTGGTCTTTCGTCCCACTCGTCAATGTACTCATCCAAAGGGACGTGTATGCCATTCGGGGGAGGTGAATCCACCGGGGATTGGTTGATGAGGTCGGTGTACTGGCTAAAAAGTAGCTCAAGCATCTCGTCACTTTTATCGCGGATATATGCTGAGAGGTATACTCTTCTGTGACTAGGATCGATCATCACCCGAAGCTCAGTTTTCTGATCCTGCCCTGTGGGATGGTATGCCTTGTAATGTGTACCAGCCAGGTTCGCGTATTTGCGGCCTCGTTCTACAAGCTTTGCTTGCATTCCTGAGAAGTCGCGGAGATACTTGGCGGGGAAGGCAGGTAGACTGTCAATTGGGCGAGACCCTAGGAAATTTTCGATGGAGATGTCTTCGTGGACCGTCCCGAACCGCATCGCTGGGTAACCCCAGGCAATATAGGAGAGACTTAGTTCTGTTGCGATGTCTCTCGAGGAGCATGATCGAAGGACGTAGAATCGGTTGTGACTGTCGTCGGCCGAGTAGATCAGCTCCCCGGGCGCGAACAAGATCCAGAGGTAGCTGAAGGTGATGACCCCGTGGCTAACGAGCTCCTTGTTCACGGCAAACGCCCCTGCCAACTCGCGCTTGACCAATTCCCTCAAAATAGCCAGTATTTTCTTCACAGTATCGTCCTTCTCCTCCGCGACGGCCTTCTCGAAGCGCTCCCAGCGCCAGAAGAACTGGTGGAAGGGGGCCAAGAATGTGAGGTACTTGACTCGGTGGACGATGTTGTCGTAGGGTTGAAAAACATCGATCAGAACTTTGCGGGTGGCCGCATGTCGAATCTCGATCGAGTGAATAGATATGATCGTGCCAATGCGGCCGGCGTTTACTCGGCGTCGAATGACCAGAGGGCTGCCGCTGTCTTCATCGTCATCTTTATCGACTTCGGTCAGATCGACCCCGTGTGGGCATTCGTCCATCCAGTTGATGCAACATTGGCACTTCTTTGGGCCTTCATAGAGATCCTGGATGACTTCCTTGCGGTTCTCCTGGCTGATCTGAATGTCTTCCTCGATGCGAATGGCATCGGCCAAGCGTTCGATGACCGAGAAGTCATCGTCGCCCTTCAGCGCATCATCGATCGTGGATTCGGCAGACATCCTGATTCAAGAAATCTTCCGGCGAGCCTAGGAAGGGTTCCGAGTCTCGGTATTCAGAGAAGAGGAACAGTTAGTGACGAGAGTTACAGGAGAAATGGTCGACTCGCTGAAGGTGCCGTACAAGACGAGATAAAGTAGGCCAAGAACCTCCAAAAACCGTGCATTGATGTTCTAGCTCGAGCCGACTGCTGCCTGTCAGCATGCATTTGACTGGTCACCAAAATTGCTAGAGTTGTAGGGCTGTGAGACGCCATCTAGACAGGATAAGCAGACACTCGGACATGGCAGCCAATCGTTCGTGTGGTGGAGGGAATACCCCAAGAAATGGTGCAGATGGATAAGCGCTAGTTCTCGTCTGCATACCACTAGAACATGTCTCATCAAGGCAGATTTGAGGCTGACTTGTATGTCCGAATCACAACATATCGTGCGGGGGGTCCTTTTCGAAAGCTTTAGATGACTTGCCAAGTGATGTACTAGAGGTACCATAAGGTACTATCAAGTTCTCTCATTTGAGGCCGCTTAGCCTAGCTTTAAACCTGTACACAGAAGTGATCATTTTATAACCCTGATATCTGGATGGTTAAATTGAAACAATAACGTTTAACACTAATGAGCAATTACTGCAATAGGGCAACTATTCAATATGCAATTGTGTGGAACTGAGTTAAGTTTGCCCCTTTAGAGACGCAGAGGCGCACACGTTCTTTTCGAAAGACTCGCTAGGATGTATTCAATCTGTATTTGAATCATAGAATGTAGGACAAGGTCCGTATGGCATAATTTACTTTCCCCTCGCTATCAGTTCCCCTCCTCCCACCATTCCACGAGACTAAGACTGGCGTGAAGCTACCAGGCCACAGCAGTACAGACCAACTTTCACATGAATATGTTGGTGAATTTGCGTGTGGATAGGTGGTCATACTCCCGGTAGATCAGTGCATGGTTCTCTTAATGGTGCTCGGCAGAAGCAGCGTCGATGTCCTTCTTCTCCAAGTCATGCGACTTGGAGAATCCCCCGCCAGGCGAAGCGCGGTTTAGGACTGCACTCAGGCCGATTTCGTTGTTGATCTCTTCCATTCTCTCGAAATCGGCAGCGGCAGTGCCTTCGGAGCCAAATACAAGGTCCTGCAGCCGAGGTTAGCCAGGTTGGATGGCAGTTTGGGACATGTGTCCAAGGAGAAGCGTCAATAGGGGACATGACGTAGACATACCATCTCTTCCAATGATAAACGCTTAGTCTCCGGAACGACGAACCAGATGAATGCGGCACCGATGTAAGTCAACAGTCCGAATAAGATATATGTGCCATAGTTGATGCTTGTCAACATATCTGGAGTGACCTGTCCAACAATGAAGTTATTCCTGGATATTGTCAGCGATGAGCCAGTTTGTCTGTGTTATTACTTTGGACTAACATCCAGTTGCTGGAAGCTCCGAGAGATACGCCATATGGGCGGGTGCTCAAGGGCCAAACTTCAGCGATGATGATCCATGCACATGGACCCCAAGAGTCTAGAATTGTCCATCATCAGTAATATTCTTCTCCAGAAGGGCCAGAATAACTCACATCCGAAGTGAACAACGAACAGCCAAACCATACACACTGCAGCCCAGCTGAAGGAAAGAAGTCAGTACAGTGATTCATCAGTAAAGGCTGATAACTTACCCAGCAGCTGGCTGTTGGTCAAATCTGTCAATATTCTTCGCAAGGATGACTGCAATGATGAGATGGCAGGTTCCCATGCCAATAGCACCAATGCTGAGGACAGGCTTTCGGCCGACACGATCAATCCACAGAACAGCAGGAATAGTTGCAATAAACATGACCACGCCGACGACACCGGTTGCAAGCAAGCTTGTGGTTGTTTGACTCAGTCCCAATTGGCTGAAGATCTGAGGAGCATAATAGAGCACCTGGAGGTTTTGTCAGCTGGTTACACCGCGGAGAGAATTTTGTTAGGGGCACTCACAGCGTTGATACCTGTCCACTGTTGGAAGAACTAGAATCTGTCAGCAATCCTTGCATTCAACCTAGTGTTTCTGGAGTGACTGTTCGAGATCAGACATACCATGGTTACAGTTGCGACGATGACTCGCTTGAACATGGCCTTGGTCTGGAAAAGAGCCTTAATGGCGACGAACTGCAACTTGAAAACGTTCCAAGCAGTCTGCTCCTTAAGATGAGGAAAGTGCTCGGCTGTGCTACGCTTCTCGAACAGCGACTGGGCTTTGATTTCGAGGAATTCCAACTCAATCAGCTCGTGGTCCTCAGGGAGGTCTCGGAGATCGGCGAGGATCTTCCTGGCTTCTGATTCTCGACCGTGGTGAATGAGCCATCGCGGGGAAAACGGCATCCAGATCATGCCCACAAAGAGGATAACAGCGGGACCTAATTGCAAGCAAATCGGGACGAGCCAAGCGGCATCAGACTGTGTGTCCTCAGTGGTGCCACCGATGTAGTTACACCCGCTATTCAAAGGTCAGGTCTATCAGAAGATGGAGTCTCGATGTCAGTAAGGAACATACTAGTCCTGTGGAATGTTAGAAGTATAGACAAGACAACAGAGAGGGACAAATGCTTACGATCCAGAAGCTTATCATAATGCCAAAGGTGATGGCGAGCTGCTGTAGGGCTACAAGAGCACCTCGGACCTCCCTATGCAAAGAATTCTGTCAGGGTTGAAGCGTTACGATTGTCTTGTTTCACTCACGGCGGTGCACACTCCGAGTTGTAAAGTGGAACGATCATGGAAAGACTTCCAACACCCATACCACTGGCCTTTACATTAGCACTGCTCAAGTCGCGTGGCAATCGACATAGATTTTAAGGTAGCAGGAGATAACTTACGTGACAAATCTTCCCCCTAGAATAGCCTCATGGCCACCTGAAATGGATGATATTTGTACGATAACACCGAGCATGAAGACGCCAGTGGCGATGAGGACACCATATTTACGGGAGCAAACTTCAGCGATGAAGCCGGACAAGATAGCACCGACCCACGCACCGAGCTCGAGAATTGACGTCAACCAACCTTTCTGGGTTGGGTTCTTGGTGTATCCGTCCATGTCTATAGTCGAGAGCTTGTGTAAGCTGGTTGAAATTCACAATCACGGTGGTTACATTGAATGCTACGTGAAACTGCAGGGGAATCTTACGCTTCTCGAACGATGGCATCGCGAGAATACCGGAGAACATGCCCTATCTATGAGTAAGTAATTAACGTCTACTACATTCTTGTGCTTGTGAGTCAGCTCAATAAAACTTATCTTACCTGGTTGTATCCGTATAAGACACCGCCGATACAGGCAAAGGCGGCGATGCGGGCAACTTTCCAATTCTTCACAAGAGCCCTGGCACCGCTGGCGCCCATCAATGCCTGGCGTCTTTGTAACGCAGCATCGTAAGCTGCATTGCCAGTCGAGTGGCCCCCCATGGTTGTCGGTCAAGTTTGCGATGGCACGTGACAAGGCACGGAGATCTGGACGGCGGATGGTTGATGCTGTCTGGTTGACTTTGTCGACGAGTGAATTCAAGGTCTTGGGCCGCAATTTACCGAAGTGGTGGAACTGAATCTGTGTTTTGATGGGACCGTCACCTCTTTTATTGTCCTGTGAGGCCTGTGAGGGAGCCAGGAGGTACAGCTGCAGTGTGTAAGCATTGCAGCATCTGGTGCGATGATCTTTCTCGTTTCTTCATGGCGCGTTTCCACGCAAGTGACCCATGCCACCACCGGTGGGAGCGTAAACCAACGCAGATACGAAAACTCTCGGCGAAGGAAACCAAACCCTCATTGAGCTTGCATGCCTGTCGTATGAAACACCTCTCGGTCGAATGTGACAATACGCCGAGCCTAGAGACTCCAGCCTGCACGATGCCCCGCGTGGGAATGGCCATCAGACGACAAACCCTAGCACGACCAAAGCCGGCAATAGCATTTAGCCTAAAGGCGTTGAGGGTGTAACCGTCTTTTGCCAGTCTGGGGGAAGATGCCAGCGCTTATCCCGGCGCCGCCCCGCGTGGGGATTGGATGGATGCGTTGACCTTACGCTGCGGTGACAAGGGTTCGCTCACACGCTTTCTTCTTACAGGTTGAATGGTCCCGATCCATTCTGCCCCATTTACCGGCCGAATCCCGTACGTTCTTGACCTCCTGGGGTACAGCATCTCGCGTCTTGATGAGGCCGATATGCGCCGCGCTTAACCGTCTCCGGGGATCATTGAATTAGCGAAAGATTATAACCTATGGGAAGTTTACATCAATTGCCAGAGTATTACGGGCTGAAATAGTTGCCTCCTTCATGGACTCGAGAGAGCTTCCGATATTGCCATTGAGCTGGAACAGTCTAGATTCTTACATGTGTAAACTATTATGGTGAGGGAACTTGAAGGAATTTTATCCTGCCCTGACAATACACTATTGCTTCCTTATCTTGCACTGATATTTGATCGACTGAGGAAATATCCCTAGTTCCTCGGTCAGCCCTCGGCCAATTCTTCGAATCTTGCATACGAGTATGCCCGGTAGGAGCCTCCGACTAACGAGGAGTCCATGTGAGCTACCGGAGTTGGAGACCGGCTAATCTTCAATTGGTCGACGGTTGCTCAATGTCTATTGCTGACATGAACTTCAAGCCTTCACCACTAGTTCAGGTTCCCTGCCGAAAAACAGGCCGAACAGTCGATCACACAGACTGGTTGATCTTACTTTGACGGGTGCATCGCGGCGCAACTCTCCAGATCGACGCGGGTCGTCCCCAACAGGCGTCTTGATCCAGTCACTAGGAATCTGAGTGATGAAATCGTACCAATAGTCGCCGAATAAGCGGTAGCCCGGGTTGGTTGGATGAATACCGTCTCTCAGCGCATTCATCGGGAAGCTCGAAAAGTCGACAGTGAGAACGTGTTTGCCGGCCGCTTGCCGGGCTTGAACAACGCTATGAATTACTGCGTTGTATTGAGCGATGTTGCTCATTTGTGCTGGGTCATAGCAGCCAATGATCTTGGCGACGAGGACTATGGCATCTGGACAGGTCTGTACGATCTGGTCGATCAGGCGGCCTAGACGGTCTGCTGTCGCGTGAGGATCGCTACCTTCTCTAGCAACGTCCGGATTCGCGTTCATGTCGTTAGTTCCAGCATGGATAAGGACGATGTTAGGTCTTTGGGCCAGAGAAGGTCCGACATTGTCTGACATGAACTTGATAGTCATGGCATTCCACGCTGCCTTAGAAGACGGATGCCTTGTTAGTGCTTAAAAGTCTCTGGTAAGAACCCGTTCGTCAACGTACATAATACCCTTCACGCATTGTGCCATGCATGGTCTCCGTTCCAGCAAAGACGACTCTATCATCTTGGCGATTCGTTAGTGTTGTATCTCTGGCTTCGTGGAATAAGAACGACTTACTCGACAGATCCTCACGGAGCTTGAGTCTGTAGCCGTTGCCATCGCCTCCATCTATGTCACTAAGAAACCCCACCGTGATGGAGTCGCCGACCCCAAGGATCCGGAGAGTGGTCCCTGGCTTGATCCTTTGGCCGGGCCTCGCCCCTTTGAACTTGAGTGGCGCATGTGACTCCATAGTAGCCTAGATCGTAGGAATGCTTGTGCTAGTTTGACGATGATTCAATATTGGGTGTCCGCAACGTGAGTGGGCTTGTCATGTTAAACCCGTGCCGTATTACCAATCCGTTGGATCCAACTTGGGGGGTTCGTCACGTAGGTGATGTGTGCACGGCCAACATTAAGATCTGTGACGTTGGTTTCAGACGGCACCCCAGCCCCAACGGCTGAGGCTTGACTAGCTTGACCCCAAGGAATGCAATAACAAAGCCAAGAATGTGAGTGCGGAGTATGTTCTTCCTTTCCGAGAATTCCTCGGCGAACCTTGGGGTCAGAAATGGGATTCGCGTGATTCGGAAAGATATTCGGTCAACTTAGTCTTCAAATTGCGATATTAGCCCCAAATTTTGATAACTTCAGGTACTATGGGTGGTCCCTATCAGCACAGATCCTCCTGTCGATGCAAGTTTTCTACAGCTTCTGAATATGGTACTTGTCACATTGGCCCACTGCAGAAGCCCTTGCAAGTGGGATTCTGAGAGGTCGCAACAAATCCCCGGATGAAATGGGAAATATGAAAGCGACACAAGGGGTCTAATCTGATACAGCGGATCGGCGATGTCAATCGGGATTACAGCTTTGAATCATCCTTCCACTTTGACCATCGCGTTACGCGAAGTAAGGTATGTGCACTTACACATCGTGAAGACGATAGCGGCCGCGTACATGTAGTAGAGTCGAACATGGTCCCCGTCAGATCGCTGCTCTCGCTGAGATTGGGAACGCTAATCGGAATGGGATAAAAGGAGCTCTGATCTCCAGCTCTATTGATAGACAAACAATAAGAAAATTTCGGGCGCGCCGTCACGCAAGGTGGCTGTTCTTGGTTCTGGTAATGACCCCCACATGGCGGTTAGCTATCGTATTAGATACGAATAATCGCATTCCAAAATCGTATTGCTATGCGCTTCGCACCGCCGCTGTGGATCGCCCCTGAATCGCTACGTCTATTCTCAAGCTAAGGTCTGTAAAGATTATAAGAGATAAATGCCTTTCCTAAAGCCCTTTTCTCTTCTTGTCTGTAATTGTAGCTTTGACATAGAATCTGTATCAGTCTTTTTTCTTTTTTTTCTACTGACTGTTCGTTGTGGCGATTTGCCTCATCTCGACGCTCTTTAACAGCTAAGACTTTCGATAAGTGAGATCGACGTCCAGACTCATAATTCAGAAACGATGGTGAACGAGCTCGACGGACCTGGTCCATTCGGACCCGTAGTCAACGGAACACAGATTGTTTTCTACAATTACCGACCGAATGGAGGGGCAGGGTGGGCGTTTCTCGTCATTTTTGGGCTCGGTGTACTTGTTCACGTCAGCTACGTGTTCTGGCTAAGAGCATGCCATTTCATACCCTTCATATTGGGAGGCGTTGGTAAGTCTTCTCCACCAAATATCATCGAACGTCAGGCATGTACCATAGCTCAGTGACTAACAACATCATACCAAACAGGCGAAGCATTTGGTTATTATGGACGCGCAAAGGCTCATGAGAACCCCATTGTAGCTGGGCCATACATTTTACAGAATCTCTTGATTCTCGGATCTCCACCGCTTTTCGCCGCGACTATTTACATGAGTCTCGGCCGCATCATAATCGCCCTCGATCTCCGTCGCCACGCCCTTGTCAGTCCGCGTCTCACGGCCTTCTTTTACGTCATCATCGACATTGGTTGTTTCGTAACCCAAGTCTTTCGCGCCGTCATGCCCGCCTCGGGAGATCCTGAAGGTATAAAGATGGGAAAGACCCTCATCATGTCTGGTCTTGCGGCCCAACTCGGCGTCATCACCCTGTTCGTGCTTTCCTGCTGGCACTCTCATACCTGTGCTCGACGCGAGGCGAACGATCTGAACGCGACGAGGGCGGGCATCGCGTGGAGGAAGTACTACCTGATGACGTACGGCGTCGCCTCTCTCATGTTTTTGAGAAGTTTGGTTAGGGGTATCGAATACTTCCAGGGCGAGAAATGGTACATCATGACCCATGAGATATTCTTGTATCTCTTTGATGCCGTTCCCATGGTGACGATTATGGCCTTGTATCTCTGGATCCATCCTGGAAGATTGGTTCGACACGTTGGCCGCGTCAAGAACTACACTTGGCCTGATGAGGCCAATATCATGCTCGAGAGACGGTGAAGCGGGACCCGGAGGGTCCTAGGATAACCTACTCGTCGGGTTCATGATTTCATATCAAGTTAGATGTAGATAAGACATCTTGCATGTAGTCAAGACGAGCATTACAATAGACAGATCTCATTTGTTTTTCTCACGAAAAACCGACTTCGGTACATATCGTTCAGTCTTCTGACCCCCCGCACGAGAAGTGCTTGCTCAATGATCATCCCGTTCCAGCCACTTCTCGCAACCCTTGTAGATCTTGTCAAAGGATTCAGAATGCTGCAAAAGACGCTGATAATGTTCCTCGCCAGCTCGCTTGACGAAGTACAGAAAGCCAACAAAAACGAGGTCCGTGTAAGAGACTAACATGCATGGTATTAGCAGCTGTTTCAGTGACCATGGATTTGGAAAGTTGAAGTTGCATGCACACCTTTATCTCCAAGGAAGTAAGGGCCTTCCGTCTTATTCAAAAGACTAGCAAGTCCCTCCAATGATTCCTTGGCATTAGTCCAAGCTTCCTCCCCTCCCTTGGCCTTCTCAAGCTCATCAAGTGACATCCCAAAAATCTCCGCTCGGGTGCGATGGAAGTACTCTGCGCTGTACTCGCCCAACATTTTCCGGGGGACGTTTGGCAGCAGGACAGCAACTAGTGCTGCAAAGGTCTTGCTGAGAAGGTTGTACATCGACTGGAGCACCTCCGAGTCGATGTAGAGGGGCGGCTCTGGGTAGTCGGCCTCGATGCGTTTTATAATCTTGGCGCTATTCATGATGTATGTACCATCGGGGAACTGCACAGCGGGACAAGTGTAAGGTTTGATCTGGTTCGGGTCGCCTTCCAGGCCGGTTGGCTTGAGCCTAGGCTCGATGTCGGGATACTCGAGCCATTCCGTCTCGTAGTCGACGCTCTTGAAGTTAAGCGCCAGTCGAGCTGTATGCACAGTTACGTCAGTCGGAAACTCCTGCGTTCAACCCAGTTGAGTAAAGCTACCCACTCTTCCAAGGGTTCAGGGACCAACAGGCTCCGTTCCGATCGGGGATATCGAACAAGACAAGCTTTCCAGGCATGTTGACTTTGATGGTGCAATTCCTGCGATTGATGGCGGGACTGACGAGAGTTTGTTCTAAGGGTAAGTCCAGTCGTTTATGTAAGGAAGCTCGACTGCGAGGGGTAGGTGAGAGGGGGTTGAGAGGAACGTGGAGCTTGGCAAGAACTGATTGATCGGACTGAATTCGTCATATAACAAATCGGCGCCCGGCGAGGATCCACGGCGGGTGGTGGGGCTCCGGCGCTAGCTGCTCACTGCATCAGTGTACATCATCAAAAGTACCGAAGCACAAATAGTGTTGTGAGAGAGGACTTGTACAAGCGTTTTAGCCGTCATCATGGTGAATGAAGTACTTTGGAAGGTCCCAAATCGTCGTTTTTGATGGCCCGAAGGCCGATGAATGGAGTTTATGTGGCAGGTGCAGGTGGGTCACGTGAGGCAGCTCCTTCACATCTCGGAGCTGCCCCACCTACACCTTGCCCAGATATCCAGCCCAGCCAGCGCTCAGCTTTTCCCATCATCATCATCAGATCCAATACAGTAGTATTGCCTCCACAGTTTAGGATGCACTTTGAGAACTTATCTCGTACCGTATCCGTGACTGCTACTTAAGGGAAGGTGCTTAACAAGATGCTGAATTTCTTGATCTACCTAGTGACCTGGTGTGAAACAACATCGCATTATCCGAGTTCCGAGCAGCGGATAAGCAGGCTGACCGAGCTAGAGCGATGCCAGGAAATTGAGGATTGCTAATTTGCTTCACACTTGGCGAGGAACCGACCAAATTTGGTGACCCAACAGAGACTAAGAGCAGCCTGCAACAAAATGGTTGATACTCTACTCTTTCTTGTACCATGGCTTGTCACCAAAACCTTGGTCGCTATAAAGCGTCTGCAATATATAATCGACCTCATCATCAGCAGCATCGAGAATATGTTCCGGAGGAAATTGGGGTTTCCATCCAATTTGAGCACCGTGACTGGCTGTGAAATTGCATCTAGGTTACAGTGATCAGTGTTAGCTCAGATTAACACACTGGTTGTTTTTGGCCATGTACGTTATCACACGGTCCAGGGTCCTCTTACTTTCCAGCCAATCTCATCTGAACGAGAGAGCTCTCGGTGCTCAGCCCTTGAGCCATCTTGCCAAGCGCCGATTCGTCTGCGGGAATGACACGTTCGTCTTCCACGACATTTCGGGCCTTGAGTGCCTTGGCCATTGCGTCGTACAAATCATCCCAGGCTACACTACCAGAAGCCGCAAGAAAGTAGCCGTTCTTGTCATATCCTAGGGTTTCTCCGTTCAAGATAGAGCGAAGAATTTGGAGGTAAAGGGTAGTGTTGTCTAGGACGTGACATACGGGCCAAGTCTATGATTGGGGTAAGCTTTTGTCCGCATGTTCGGGAAGAGAATCGTGACTTACAGGCCGACCAGGTGTCACTGAGTGCACTCGACCAGTAGCAATGGCGGCTTTGACAATGTCGACGGTTTGGATGGAAATAGGATTGCCGAATCCTTCTCCCTTTCCATCTGCGGTATAGAATCAGTCAAGAAAGTGTGTGACAGGCCTTAGGCTTGAGCCGGACTCTATGGTTTGTCAAACTTACAGACAATGCAGGGAGCAAAAATATAAGATCTCACATCGTTGGCTTGGGCCAAGTCAATAACTCGTTTGTTCGTCTCAACAGGCTTGAGTACGTCGTACAATTAGCATAGACTGATGACAATTGAGGGCCACAATGCGCACTCACCTTCTTCATGAAAGGTATTGGGGGCTCTTGAGCTTTCTGGATGTCGTACAGACCAGGGTCGGTATCTAAGAGCGGACTATCTGTAGGAGCCCCAGCAAGACCCGAAAAGATCTTGGCACCCGATGTCTGAAGCAAAAAGAATCTGTTAACTGAGTTCCCTCAAATAGCAACAATGACATTGACGGGATGTACACACGTGAAGCAAGTGAACGTCTAGACCCGTCTGAGACTTCACTTGGCCTAAAGCCTTGATGAAGTTTTCTTGGCCAACAGAGTCGAAGGCATCTATCAAGTAAAAGACGATGGTGATCCGATTTTGTACCACTGCGTCTCGGACAGCCTGATCATCTCGAGGGGAAAATGTGAGAGGCTCAACACCATATTGCTTGACTTGCTCCCTTTGAGCCTCTGTTCGAACGAGTGCAAATAGCTTGTCATAGCCCGTGAGGCCGGCGCTCGCCCAGCGAGCGAGTAAAGTGCCCCCGAGATAGCCCGATGCACCCGTGATGAGGATGTTGTGAGATACAGTCATGGTGAAGCTCAGTGTTACTCAATCTTTCTCGCGGAAATGTTAAAGAGAGGAAGAGACAGATTCGATAGGCGTTATCGGCGTAGTCTAGTTTCCTTTAACTGCGGCTAAGAAAGTTTTCCATTTAACAAGATTTGGAACTAGACGATCAATGGGTGTTACCTCGCTTTTGTTTTTCAAGACTCGACGGATAATCCGAGGAGCTCACCAAGTGATTATGGAGATTGATAACGTGACTTAGAACATTGACCCAAGACCAGCAGCCACCGTGGACATCGTCATTTGTAAGCATGTCTCCAAGGGCATCTCGTGTTACAGGAACGTCATGAGCTGAGTAAACTCGACAACAAGCATTGTCCGAGCCAATGGGAATTGCACGGATATAGCTGCCGCACGGGACGGCTCTTCTGTGCGGAGTCAATTTTACGCTGGGGTTCGCTGTTGAATGCTTACGGCACTCCAATTCTCAGTCACATGAACTTTGTTTAACTGCACCATCAGTCCAACAACTACAAATTGACAGATTCCAAAGCCCCATATCAAACCAAGTCATAGTCGAGGCGTTGTAGTAACTTTGATCCGGACGTGGGGTGCGACGTTTTGCAGGTGGTGCCAAGTGTGGGACTCGGTCCTGTGCTATCGCTGCCATTGGATCGTGAGACACTCGCTTCTGTTCGTAGGGCTTCGAATGTCCCACACGCAATCCACCACTTTCACCCTAGGATCATCAACAAATTGCGAGGCCGTCAGTGTTATTGAGAAGCATCTCAATGTCCCCGATGGCACAATTGGCTAGCGCGTCAGACTGTTAATCTGGAGGTTGGTGGTTCGAGCCCACCTCGGGGAGTCAAGATGGTTAGAATCCATTAGCTCATTGAGATTTCATTTTTGCTCTTTTGTCACAGTTGAATTGGATTCAGTGGAAGATCTGTGTCACGTCTCGGTCACATCTTTCAGCGCAAGCAGCAAAGGTTCCTTACTCAATCATGTATACTAAGTAGGAATTGGCCAAAGTATGTATCAGAATCGTAAGTTGTCGTCCTCGGAACGAAGCCGCAGACAATGCCCCAGCCTAACTACCCCCTAGTCCCGAGAGTTGGCTTGGCCGAGTTCTTAACCTCAAAGCCACTTGATTTGTCCATCTTGATACCGATCGCTTAGCAGCCGACGTAGATGGCGTTGGCGAAAACTTCAAGAGGAGAGTGGTTAGAAAAGTACATTCAAAGCTGAGCGAGAGAGGCTTACGGGCATAGGTGTCGGCGTGGTTCAGGTTCTGGGCAGCGGTCAAGCCCTGGACACAGCTGTATCCGTAGCAGGAGCTCTGATCGGTGGTTCCCTTGATCTGGGTCAAGTGGGTAACCTCGTGAAGCTGGGGAAGAGCTAGTTAGTGACTGATAGACTGGTGACATTTGCCCTGGAGCAACACTTACGGCAGTGGTGGCACGGTCCTGGGCGTGGCAGGTGCTGGAGAGAGCGGTAAGGCTGTTGAAGAAGTAGGGGCCTGTGGGGCGAGATTTCGTCAGATGTGCTACCGAAAACAACATGTCTCGTCGTCAGGGCAGTGGTACTTACAGTTGACCATGTAGGAAGCGGAGGGAAGAGTGTAGGCGATGACACCGGAGGAGCAGGCAGGGTAGATGTCGGTGCAGTACTGCTTGGAGACACCGGAGGTCGTGCTGCCGCACTCACTGGCGACCTTGGCAAAGACACCAGCGACGGTGGTACGGGTGGCAGTGGAGGAGGACTTGAAGTACTCGACCATCTTGGCAGCAGCGCCAGTGGAGGCAGCAGAGGAAGCAGCGGCAGCAAGGGCGCGGCAGTTGGAGAGAGCGGTGGTGGTGGCGGTGCGCTGGGTACCGGTGCAGTCGGACTGGACGACGGTGCGCTTGACGTTCTCGCGGAAGTCGCGGCGGACCTTGGAGGCGGCAGCGCCGTCAACCTCGACGCTCAGGATGTTTGAGCTGAAGGAGGCGGTGCCGGTGATGTCGTTGCTGCCGGCCTCGGCGATGGAGAGAGCGCCCTTGGCGGCAACATCAACCTTGCCTCCGACGCCGAGGTCGTGGACTTCACCGTAGTTCCACTCGACGGAGACAGTCTCGCCGGCGGGGATGACCTGGAAGGCATCCTCGGGAAGGCCGTTGGTGCCGAGGCGGAGGCGAATACCGTCGAACTCGACCTTGTCGGCTGATGATGACGTTCGTTAGTGGCCGAAACCGGTTTCTGGGGTTATCCATAAGAAGGCACTTACAGCCAGCAAAGACCTCAGCCTTCTCGACAGCGAGCTTGTCGAGGATAGAGCCAGCCTTCAGGACCTTGAGGTCAGAGGCACCAGTGTTGGTGATGCTTGCCTTGATGGCCGTGTTGCCGGTGGACTCGATCTTGACATCGAGGGGGCTGTCGCGCTTGTTGAGGTCAACGACAACGGCGCTGGCAACAGCGGCGAGGCAGGAGAGGCCGGCGAGGAACTTCATGGTGAAGGTTGGACAAAGAAGGCGAGGAAGGCACTGCTGGGTTGGTCTTGCCGTTGCTGGTGAGGGATGAGAAGCAGGAAGTTGGCCATCAAGGTCCTCATCAGGAGTATATATACTCGGGTAAGCTCATATTCAATTGCTAGGCAAGTGTGATGCTCTGCTCAATCAATGGTTGTTGATAAGCTTTCCTTCCGGATTCCGCTCCATAGCCTCCATCATCGTTGACAACTGCTCGCCGACGCCTGCCAAGACGGGAGGAGCGACAGATTGGGAATTTGATAGAGCAGGTGGCTACATTCTCTTTTGTCGATGGGAGGGGTTGAACGAGTCTAAAGCAGCAAGACGACCGGAGGTTGGCGAGGATAGGAAAGCAAGGAAGGAACGAGGGCGAGTTTGCAGGAAGCGACGACGATGTGGGATGCCAAGAAAGCCAAGATAGCCAAGATGGCAACTCGATCGACCTTGCCGCAGGTCCCCTTGCTAAGCTGGGACGGTGGTTGAAGAGAGATGGTCGATGGGTTGTCTGGAAGCGAAGCAATCTGGGGAAGGACGTTCCATTAAAGCTCTTGGCATGTCGCCGCATCCGGAGCTCACTCCACAACTCATATCGTGAAGAACGGCGCTAGGGACGTGGAATCAAGCTTGAATCAAACAACCATAAAGGCAACTAGCTTTTGCTAGTCTCGGTATCTGATCACATCAGTGTATGATACACAGGCTCAGCTCGGGCGGGAGCCTCGGGGAGGCGGCGAACGCCGACTGGTGAGCAACCCCTGTCTCGGTTCGAGACTAAGGTGAGATAGGCATCTGGAACCGTTCAGTCTTTGAGACTCGAGGCGAAGAGAGGCGAGACTCTTGTCAGGTCAGGAAGGAGGTGGGCTCCTTTTGAGTGTGGGAGACGTTACCTGGCGCCTATTTGCATCTCCGTAAACGTGTTATAGATGACTTTGAGATCAATACGTGGCAATCCTTCTGACTATGAAGGGGATGGTAATCGCGAAAACCCGCGTATGGCAGGGGCATAAGCAACTTGTTCACTTAGCCGACCCATGTTTACCTATCTGTGTTCGTATTCCTCTCGGAAAACTCCACGGATATGTGCCTTGATAGAGAAATTGCGTCAGGGGGTTGAGACAGGGCTGGAGGCGGGAAGCTTATGTGGTCGATCGATATCCCGTAGGATGGCACTCTCTGCGGGATAAAAGAAGCGGATTCAACAGACCGTTTGGAACTTCAGTACTTACATTCCTATTTGAGCGTGTCGAGCAATCCGCACTGTTGAGAGACTATTGACCACAGTCCAGAGTCTACATGTATTCTCTCTCCTCCCGCACAATCATAGCAGCCGATTATTATTCCAAAGTTTGTCAAAGGATGGGCGATTTCCCATTGTACGGCACACGGCACTTTTAGGCGGCTGGGCACGCAGAAAAAGCAGCGCCGTTGGCAATCTACTTGACGCGCTCCACGACGACCTTCCTATTCCGATGGCATATGCCGGGTCTAGACTGAACCCTGCGGTAGTTTGGGCCCTGAGGTTGCAATGGGGACTTGAGGGAGCCACAGTGCACTGGACATTCTGTGGCACGAGTAATCATCCCATCACGCAGTTCTGTATCCGTAATTGCATTTCATTGCCGACGATCGGCGTGGAGAAGGCTTGGCATCTTAGTACCGTGTTCATGAAGGGATGGAAGCGAAGTTTTTCAGACTTGAACAACGAGGCAGATTACTTATCTCTCGGCCTATTATTACTGCGAGATGACAAAAGTCCTCAGTTGCCATTACCAATTGGAAACAGTGAGATAGGTTGCGACAGGGGCGGAACCGAGGCTCTCTGAGACTTCGGCACCTTCCCAAGATGAACAGGTCTGCTTATTTCTTCAGCTAGCACGCAGTATGGCGGAAGCATGAAGTCCGCCTGCTGTCTGTGGGGCGAGTCTCTTCAGTTAGGCAGTGTCTACATGTACGGCAGGAATAGTTGTTCGCGTACCTAGGTAGTTCTCGATAGCTCTGGGGAGTCCAAGTAGTCAACGGTTCAGTTAAACGATGGCAACATCAGCGTAACTCATTGCGCGCGCACATAAGGTTTAGAAGTGCATCACTTTTACGGAGTGTTTGCGCAAGATGCAGTCGCTGTTACTTGAGAGCCTCTGGGCTTGGCTCTTTCACTCCTGCATGTTTAAGCATTCGCCAAGTTGCCAAGACAAAATGGCAGCTGGCCATGGCGTGCTCAACGGTCGCGTGGGACACTATTCCTTTACAGGTAGGCGTTGACATCCGTATTACTTCTGGAGCGTGACTATCAGTTCAGGATCAAAATGGAAACAGACTCGAGTTCTCAGCCTTCTTCTAGTACTTCAAGACGGCATGCTTTGTTAGCCGAGAAGCAACATCGAATGGAAGACGAGGTGGGGCTGCCTCGTCTGGGGGCTATTATTTCCATAAGGTACCTATTACATCATTCACAAAAGTATCTGACAACCAAGATACCCGTATCAGATCGTCTGTAGAGGAGGAATACATAGTTATGAAGACAACTTCGAAGCGGAAGTGTCAAGTCGGGGTGCTGACGCAGGGTGGAAGCTCTCAGAGGCCAACTGCAGTTAGGGGTAGAATGATGAATTACTGAAACCTGCTCCTCCCTCGACGTGTACTCCCTGCGCTGTATATATATCTGAGCTGCTCCTTTGTTGCTTGGACTCCTTGCTACCTCTAACTAGCCCCTATCCGGGAGGGCTCTGACAGGAAGCTCCTCTATCACTCTTGATAACACTCGAAAGGATCATGCCGCCCATGACATCCCACCATGCTACAAGTATCTAGCAAGTTATCCATGTCGAGCTCCAGATGCGCATGAACCGGTGTACCGTCCTCGTTAGGCATCAGTCTCAAGTACGTGGCGACAAGTTCCCGTTTCTCGAGATCCCATTTACCTGACATCCACACCCATCTCGACCCAGACGGTATGAACCCATTAGCGTCCATCCCTCTCTCTTCCAGCATCACCACACCCGATTTTCCAATGACTAGCGCTTTTCCATCCCAGGCGCTCTCTCTCCATGCCATGTTATTGAGGAGGTGGACAGCTTGCATTCTCAGCTCGTGGTTACGACACTTGGCGACTATGGTGGCGAGCGGTGTTGTGAGCCCCTCGGTGAAGGTGAAGCCGACCTTTGAGATCGGTCCCGGGTCGCGGAGGTACGTCACAATCCTGTTAAGGAGGTCTCTGAAGTCCGCCTCGAATGCGTCATAGCACATGTCGGTTCGGTCGAGACTACAGCTAATAACGATGTGGATCAAGAGCCGATGGATCTGTATCTTTCGCAAGGCTCGTCTTCCGTTATCCTCGAGAGCAGGGTCCTTGAGATACACGTCCAGGACTGAGTCCCACATTCGTATGTATGACAGGAACGTAGCCTGCTCTAAGGCGGCTTGCGTTATGTTCCGCTGCTTGTATCGGAGCTGGCCGTGCAGCGAGCGCATGATATGTACGACTGCGCGTGTAAAGAACTGACCCCAGAAGACTTCGAGTTTGGAGATGACTGTGACGCCTGGCTGAGGTAGCTCGAGGATAGGGGTGCTGTTCATCATTGGCATGGCGGTGCGGTGCGAGTTGAAGAAGTGGGTAAAACCGCTCATCAGGGAGAAACATGGTAAGAGGTGCTCGATGTCCTCCATCTCATCGTCACGCACGCCTCTTCTTACCTGTGCGGACGAGGGCTGCGAGGATTCTGTCGAGATGTCTCCGTTCTCGTTTGAGGGACGCGGCGGACGCTGCGTGAGCGAAATCCTGTTCTCAAGAAGACGCATACCCGTACCAGTCAGAGTGTCGACGTTATTCATGTTGCCTTGGATGAACTCGAATCCTACGAGCAGCAGCGTCATGATGATGACTGATCGTGGTGAGGTCGATGATGGGTCCTGAATCCGTTGTCTGTATATCGAAACCGCTTTGACGTGATGCAGTAAAGCCGACCTGTGATGGTGGTTGAGAAGTCCACCTGGTTGAGCCATTTTAGTACCCCAAGGGCCGAGTGCTGACGGCATTGCGTCCAACTGATCTTTCGACAGATCCTCAAGCATCTGGGCTTGAGAGATAGCACCGATGGCCAATAACGACTCCTGGGCGCAGGGGTCTCGTGAGCTCTCCTGTAATACGATTCTAGACCAAGCATCAGAGTGACCCGACCCCCAAAGGTCACGCACAAGCCGGTGCCGAAAAAGATCGTAATAGTGAACATCCCCCTGTTGAACCCGCAAAGTCGAAGGGTAAAGCGGCGGGGGAACGGATTTCGGGGCCGAAAGTTCTAGACCGGAGGTGCCTGGCCCCGACTCGTTCGGCCGCGGAAGTAGCTGCCGGCTCGCTTGCGCTTCCTGGGCCGCGACGATCAACCTCTGCTGCTCGGCGCTTCTCTTGGAGTCGGCGTCCTCCTTTGTGTACCCATCGCACTCAACGTCCGCTTTTTCGCATCGGAAACACGTAGGTTTGCGCTCATCGCACTTGACCCGCCGGATCTTGCAGGTGATGCAGCCAGATCGGACCTTGGGACGACTAGCACGCTTCCTTCTGGGATGGGAAGCGTCGCCGGGATCGTTAATTGCGAGTTCGAAGTCTTGATTGGTAGTTTGGACGGTGCTAGGATGTGGGAGCAGCGGGAGGATGCGGCTTTGTCGAACTTCCCCGATATAAGCTGAATCTTGTTGCCCTTGTTGCATGGCTTGAGTGAACGAAGGGTGATTCATAATTGGATGGAGTTCTTAGGCTTGCTCTTCTCTAACCTCTAACCTTCGATGCGTCGTTTGAAGGTCGTTTCTGTCAGCGGGAGCCTTGTATTTATGAGGAACCCTGGGAACATGAGGGCTAACTTTCATCCAACGGGTAGCGTTCTTCTCAAACGGGAGGCCTCGGCTTTCTGATCACGCAAGCTGACTGGAAACTGATAGAAAGTGAACATGGACAATGTACGTGCTTGCCTGAACTTAGGAGGAAGAACTCCACGATGGTAGGTGCTAAGCCCGTCGAAGGCTGACGGAAATCGCCGGCGGCATCAAGTATGACCGTTTCTTGGCCCTGCACTGCGGTCTCTGGGCCCCCTGTGAGCTCTAGTGCCAAGGAAGGTTTCAATTGGGCGACGAACGGCCGAGCCAATCATAAGAGGCAGCTCGTATTCTTTGAGCTGCGCAGATCATTGGACGCAATGAGTTTACTCAGCACTTTACAAAGCTGTGTCGGAGTCTTGGACAATATTTAGATCTGATGTTGGCCAAACGCGCGCGAATGCATGATTACCGGCTAGGCGTAATGCATCGGGCGGGCGTCAAAAGTGCCACGACGGAGTGGCGTTGGCTTCGTGGAAATGCTGGCGGACTATTGAGTTGAGTATGTGTAATACCGCGCGGGCAACTAACAGCTGGGTAAATTGAGAAATGATGCATTAGACGATCGCGTGGTCGATAATGATGTCATTTTTGATATTGCTGCCCAGCTTATATGTTCCTGAAAATTGCCCAAGTGGTGAGTTTTTAGGCTGCTTACTTCTGCAGATGCCGCATGCGATCTTGGTAGGTTTTCTTATTCAAAGAGGACAAGTCGGCTCATGCAAACCGTAGATTCTCGTGTGAAATACGTTGCCATACATGAAGCCGTGGGTATACTGATACTGTCTTAGCAAATGCATCGACTGTACCCCATAACTGCATCTAATTTTTTCCGGCAGGAATCTTTCAGGTAGGGCTCAATATCACAGTTCAGTCAGGTGAACAACTTGAACTTTAGCAGTGCTGTAAGTCTATCAATGCAACGGCATTAGATGCTTTCTTGGAGCAATTCTTTTCATCATCTAACATTAAACTTCGACCTGTGCAGACCTCACAAGCTGAAGCTGGCGTAGGTAGTCAATGCATTTTTGCATTCCTGGATTCATAGAATGTACATGTACATGTATGTAATGGCCGGATGTCTTGATTAAACGTCATGTCCGCATCCAAGATGCCTCTCTCCCAAAGCCTCCAGCTCTTCAATCTGGATCAAGTCGGGCTCAAGGCTTCTCGATTGTAGATGAGTGAGCATCGTTGCGTTGACCGCGGTTTTGGGGATAAGCGATGTTCCGTTCAAGGACAAGACCGTAAGCATGTGAGCAGCAGCCTGAAGTATTATTAGCACCCTGATATTATTCCAAATCGACATCTATTGACAGAAACATAAAGTAGAAACAAAAAAAGAACGACAGAACTTACTCTAGCATTGACAGTAATCGTGTTGGGGTCAGGATTCTCAATGGTATCGCAGGCCTGGTGATAGCACGGGTCCTGAGCGACCGCGGTGCCTGTGTGCAAGAATCCAAACGGCTTGCCGAGAATCTGCCAGAACGAAGCATAATCACTTCCGTTGGTCAGAACGGCGGGGGTTACCTCGAGGCCCTGGCTCTGGTAGTACGCCTCGTAGATGTGTTCGACAACATCCGACCCGGCGGGTCCGGCGCTTCCGTGGGTGCTTCCGTCAGTGTCAGCCACACCGAAGAAGCCCTTTGCCACCATGTCGAAGTTGAGATAAACGAGAAGGTCATCGACATCGGATGCGGGCAAGTTGGAGCAGTAAAATTTGGAACCGAGGAGGCCGTTTTCCTCAGCACCCCACCAGGCGAAGCGAACCTTGTTCTTCGTTCGGTACTGCGTCATGGCAAGGAAGAGCTCGAGGAGCAGGCTGGTGCCTGAGCCTATGTGGATGTGAGCAAGTGTGTCATAGTGATCATAGGCGGAGCATGACCTACCGTCATCATTGATGCCTGGTCCAGCTTGGACACTGTCCAGATGAGCACCGAGCTAAGGGACTTGTTAGCTCCAGATATCAGAGGTTGATCGTCGTCATGCTCACCATAACAACATTATGAGGATCACCTTCTTCGGTCTCAACGAAGACATTCTGGGTGATACGCTCCTCAACGATTTGAGTCTGCTGGAAGTGTGCCTCAACAGTTTCCCCAGCATCAAGGCGCTCCTTGATCTTCAGCCCGTCAGCCAGATTGATGAAACCGGCCGGCACGAAGCCCTCAGGGTCGGGCGCACTGAGGGAACCAGCCGTCGCGTTGGTAGTGATATCGTGATAGACAATGACAGCAGCAGCGCCAGCGGCAGCAGCGGGACGGACTCTTCCAGCGAGAGTGCCGCCAGTCGGGCATCTGAATCTCTGCACGAGCACGATCTTGTCCTGCACATTCAATCCCTCATAATTGGCAGCATCGCAGGCAGCAGCGCCTTCGGGACCAAGAACAATCTCTGCCGTGATACCTTCCGCGCTCGTGGATGGAGAGTAGGTCAAGCCAAAGACGTAGATCGACTCGCCGTCAATGTTGAAGTCGATCGAGGTGACCTGGCCAAATGTGGCGGGAAAGTCTTGTTTCCACGCTTTCGTGGCTGGGATTGCAGAGATGCGATCCCATACATAATCGACCGACGCAGCGTACCCTGGAAGACCAAACGCACGATTTCCACCATTGGCGAAGGCGATTTCGTTCAGAGCCTCTAGGTTGGCCATCAAGCTGTTTTGCAACATTCGTTAGCCAATGGTGCCAATTGACCGAACCTAAGTCACTGTATAGAATGGCCATGCTCTTACTTCTCTGTCGTGAGATCAGCCTGGAGCTTCTCTGAGTCAATCTTGGGCCGGCATGTCGTGTTTGTTGCCGCAGTGCTAGAGACCAGCGACAGTAAAGTCGCGGTCGACCTGAAGAACTTCATAGCTGCAGTGAGTCGGATCTGGTTACAGTGAAGGCTAAACCGTAAGAAACAAGAACAACTAGCTCAGGCCGGCGGCGCTCCCCTTTTTACTGCGCAACACTCATTTCCGCCACAGACTTGTCTTCCCATGTGTTAGTGTTGCGGTCAGTCGCGGCGCAACCAGAGTGCCACCGCAGAGCAAAAAACACGATAGTTTGCATGCCCATCCCGGACCGCCGAGACTTCGGCGCCCAATCGGCCGCTGTCAGTTGGGGCAGACGCACGAACCGAAGGTCGGATCGGGAAGGTCGACGGTGGAGGTGAGGGGAAGTTCGGGCCCGCCAAGAGCCAAGCACTATAAAAGCTGTAGTCTTGGCCCGTGATGTCGTCAACGCGGTGGGCTGTCGAGTGCGGTTTTCTTCTTTCTCATTTGCGTTGGTCATGATTCAGTCGCGTGCTCTGTGCGTAACGTACACTATCTCTGTGCAGCGAACTTTTGCTGGGGTCTGGAGGCGTATCCGGGAGAACCGGACTTTGGTAACTTGCCTACCTTAGAGGACCATGATGCCAAGTATGCGGCGAAGGCTTGTTCATGGGCTGACTGATAAAGTGATGGAGTGTTATCAGTAAAACTATCCCGATGCCCAAGGACCTGAAGCACTAGCAACCCCCCCTCAATTTAGTTATTGCTTTTCTTCAATGCGAATAGTTTCTCTCGTCGATTGACGTCAACAATGCATCTACGGATACACCCACCTATCTATTCTATCGAGTCCCTCCGGTAGAGATGCTAGAGGAAAATTCAGTTGCACTTGTGTTTACAATCAGACCTCCAAGTACCTTACTTTAGAGACAGATCTGCTTTTTTGTATCGACAGGTTCCCAACCCCGATTGGTTGTTGATTTGGCTCTCGGCGTAAGTAACTCGAGTATCACCGTGTATTATCTCGTGTCCGGTCTAATACACAACACCAAGTAGACAATGGCACATCACACATTGAATGTTTGGCCACTTGCTTTCATCGCAAAAACACATAGCCTCTTGGGTGGTCACGGAACGATTTTCTTCCAAAGTATGAGCTGTCTTGCAGAGCCTCAGGTTAATTATTACACTTACACCCGTGCTTATGTCAGGTGATCCTTCCGGCAAGGGCTGGCGAACCGTGCTTGAGGATGATTTGTCGACAACACACTCGCTACGAGCGACTCCGCCTCCACCCTAGCACTTAGTTGCAATAACATGACAGAAAAACCAGTGTCTCCTCAACACAAGTCCTACAGGATCGCGTCAACAAAAGGTAGTCAATTGTTCTACTTCAATTGACAAACACCAAGTGATTTCTTAGCATGTCTCGTTCTCGATCTCCGACGGGCGATATGTACGACGACCCTGACGGCTATGAGCTGCAAATTGCCATTGACCAGCTAGCCGCTGGGTCATCGGAGGCACTGCGAGTTTATCTAGCTCGCAAAAACGTCCTCGATCCAGCCACGGTATCAATTAGTACATCGTCATTCGAGAAGCGCTCCGATCCGGCCGTCACGTTTTCATACGCCGGAAAGCTAGACAGTACTCAGGCGCCAGGAGATAAGCAAATACACGGACCCAACGCAGAATTGACTAATAGGCAGACGTCGCGTTCGACGACACGGAGATACCCTTCGAGTATGAACCGTTGGATCCCAAGCTCAAACAGATCCGCCTTTTGAGACTGGGTGCCGCTGACGAGGAAGGTGTCATACACGGACTGCAGGTCGAAACCTTTTGTCTGGCCGATGCTCCCCCTTATTTCTGTCTCTCGTATGTCTGGGGAAATCCCGAGCGACTTCTCGCGGCGAACTGCAATGGGAAGATGGTTCCTGTAACGCAGAATTTGTACCATGCGTTGCGAACTTGCCTCAACAGACACCCCACCACGTGGTTCTGGGCTGACGGTATTTGCATCAACCAAGACAACATCGTAGAACGAAGTCAACAAGTTTTGCTCGTGGGCAATATATATAAAGGGGCAAAGCTGGTTCTTGCTCATCCTGGTCACTATCAATATGAGCGCCGCAAGCCCGAAGACGAAGACAGCACGGAAGAAACCACGTTAGAAGACCGTATGGGAGGTCTGGGAGTTCAGGACATGATGAGCTTCGGTATGGGAGACTCAGTCAAAGATGAAGCTTCGGACGAGTCTAAGAAACCATATGTGCTGTCAGACTTTACCCTAGAGCCTGTTGATGATGCCTACGGCCCCGAAAGCGTCCAAGGTGCCATCAGTATCATGACGTTCATGACTCGTATCTGGGAAGACCAACGCCGAGACATCGTGATGTCTGACAGGGAATGGGACAAGGTCGGTCTCCCAGAAACGGAAACGGAAGAGGGCCGGGAGACGTGGAACAAGTTGATTCATTTCTGGGTGACCGACTGGTACTTCCGCACATGGGTCTTGCAGGAGGTTATTCTGGCACCAAAGGTCGTCGTGCTTTACGGTGAAGCAGCGATCAGCTTGGAAGCAATCACAGATTTCTGGGACCTCGCAAGGCGTCATGGTTTTCCAAGGCCACTTCGAATCGGCATGTACGCTGAAGTTTTCAGTATGATTATGCACCTGAGCCCCGTGAGCTCCTTCAAAGTGCTACGAGAGCGCAGGCAAGGATTTGGGACATCGCAAACAGTTGGTGATGCGGGAAAAAGTGGAGGAGGAGACTGCGCGAGGGGATTCTCCTTTAAATCTTCTCGAGTTACTTTGTTTGACGAGAAATAACTTGGCGACGGATGCGAGAGACAAGATCTATGGCCTTCTTGGACTCACTGACGACCCTGTCGCTCAGTCCATTATTCCCGACTACTCATCCAGCAATACGCCAGAAAAGGTCTTCACTGAGGTTGCCAGAATATGATTGAAGCTGGTCACGCCGTTGACCTCCTGCACCACGCCGGCATCGATCAAGGCATCACAAATCTTCCTTCCTGGGTGCCTGATTGGACGGTTCAGTCGCGTTCAACTTTATCGACCCAGCTTTATCACTGTGTGCCGAATACCTCGTCCAAAATATCAGTCTCGGGCTCGGGAGAAGCTCCGAGAATGACTATGCGAGGGATGATTCTGGATCGAGTCACTTTCGTGGGGCCATCGTGGAAATATTACATCCACAACAAAACCGACGATACGTTCAACAGTTTTGAGAGTGCACCAGATCTCGAGATCCCCGCGTTTAACGATGAAGATTCTCGGAACTTCATCCTTACCTTTGCGACTGTGGCGATTCAAGACGACTTCAAAGAGCGATATACCGACGAGGGCCTTGATGACGCGCTTGTAAGAACCCTGGTGATGGATCGATCATGGCGAGGCGAAAGAATCGGGCCAAGAAAAAAGGAAGAGGAGGTAGAAAACGAAGTTTCCAGTCTCGTTACCACCAACAAGAACGGCGATGATTCCAAGTCTCCTGTGCCAACAACGATATCGAAAGAATTCTTCGCAGGTGTGGACGCCTTCCGGCGCTTCTATGCTCAAGGGCCGAACGAAGAGAATGATGAGGACGCACCAGGCATTCGCGTTCATCAGACGGCAATATTCAAATGGTTGCTCGACTTTGATGTCGATGTCGAGGCAGATCTCCAGAAACGCATGGTCCCTTTCACCGTCCCTTTCCAAGAGGCTCAACGTGGTCGCCGATTTGACACGATCGGCACAAGAGGTCACCATAAGGAAGAAGACATTGCGCAAGATGTAATTGTTGGGCAGCGATTATCAGGTAGGGGGTCAATGGGATGTATTGATGAGTATGAAGAACGAGTGGCTATGGGAATATCCCGACTATCTATATAGTGAGTGGAAGACCCTTTATACTGGCATATCCTTGGCAAACTTAGTCATGCTTGTGTAAGACCATATTGTTTCATAGGCATAGTGTGACAATCGTTGTAACGAGTGTACTGGGATGGGCCTGACACTAGTGATTTCGGGTAGCTATACAGGGCGCAGCGGAGCAGGTAGACCTTGCTGCCCTTCCGGAATCCATGGGGTTACTAGACGTATACCTTGACGTCGTCTAGAATCAGCGCTACCAGGAAGGCAGTGTCATAATCAAACAGTTCAGCTATTGTTGGATCTCTGAGCAGTCGGCAGAAAAGGTGGATCTGGAAGGCGGTATGGGCACTTACAAACGACCCCTTACATACCACTTCTGAGAGGCCGTGGGCTCTGCCCACAACCTCCTCCTTCCACCTGAAGACGCAGCAATAATAGACCATTATTGACCCTTCGTTCCAACCGTACGGTTGCCCTGCTGACGTGTATACCAACAGCTATGCATTCTTTAGCTATAACCACAGCAAAGAACACACAGATGGAAGCAACTGCAGCGACTGCAGCGTACAGCTCCTCTGCAGGCCAGTCTTCCACTGCCCTGTTCCCGCAGACCACCTAGCGGGCGCGGTAACGGGTACGAATACCGTCATCTTTGATATCGCAGATCCACTGGCCGGGCAGAAGCTTCTGGCCGTCTAGCAGGTCTATTAGAACGTACGCTCTAGCATCCTCCAATACCTTTACTTATTTCTTAAAGGCAGGCTTCTACTTATCCTACTTAGGACTATCTCTTGCCTGCTTAAACGTACGTAGAATATGTAGATCGGTGACGGCAGTAGCAGTGCTGGTAGTGATCACTGTATTTGGTTGTTGTTATTGACTATTAATGAGGTCGAGGCTCACGTAAGCCTTATATAATAGTTGGAATGGATACTATACCCTTGTTGACAACGCGGGCAGAGCTCCGTGACGGCGGGCTATAATCCTTACGGGGTCTCCTCCTGACAGTAGGAGGCTGGGCAGGCTAGAGGTCGTAATCTTCAGCTTCAACCACTTGGGTAGCCTCGTCAATATCCTGCTAGAGCTGTGATTCCAGGACCTCGTTATAGTTATTCTCGCTATTAGAGTTATCGCGTTGGTCCTAGTAGATAGGAATCAGGGCGACGTCATCGTCGTCTTACTATTCCAGGGCATCTATATTAACCACAATAGTATCTTCAGGAGGTGGCGACAATAAGGACTTCGTCACCTCATTGTACTCCTTGCTGGCCGCGTCAGCATCATCCCCATTACAGGGGTCGTCAACAGACTGCTAGTCAGCAGCAGTGTTATCATTATACGGGTGGAGGGGACCTTCTTAAGCATCCAGGTCCGCCTTAACGTCTGGATCGATGAGAATTACGTCGTGCTCAACAGTGGGATCGTCATCTTCGTCATCAGCCTTCTGCTGCTGTCCTTCATTGAATCGTACGTCGTGACAGCGGTAGACCTTGTAGTGTAGAGGCACCTAGACGTTGAAAATGTGACCATGGAGGGATTCATACCCAACTAGGTAACCCTTGACTAAGCGGGTAGATATCTTCGCTACCCGGCCTGGCTAAAGAGTGCCCTTCTTGTGAAGGTAGGTAACACAGCCAAAGGTCCAAAGGTGGTGGATATGGGGGATCTGGGCCTACTTGTCAAGTCCCAAGTCCTTGGCTAACATCTCGTAGGGGCTCTACTGGTCTAGGTTGGTCTTCTTAGGCAGCAAATTCTGCATAGTAATCATGGTATTGATAGTGTAGTCCTATAGCATTTCCGGTAGGCCAGTATTAATCAGGCTAGTCCGGGCTACTTCCATAAAGGACTTACCAGCTCATTCACTCTTACTATTTATCGATGGGGTATAGGTAACGGTTAGCTTAATAGTTATACCGAGTTCCTAGAAGACTTCCTTCGTAATAGTGTTGTATAGCTCTGTGCTGTTATCGATAAGGAAGGCCTTGATGGTTAGGCCGTTGGTCTGGGTCGTAAAGAACTGGATAAACCCTTTAACCTTCTTACATACGGTCATAGCCTTTTTATTCTTTAGAAAGTATCCCTAATGGAATCTAGTACGGGCGTCGATTATATATAGGTAGTACTTAGACTTATGGATCGATAGCGGGGTAACTTTTACTAGATCTATATAGATAAGGTGGCTAGGCTAGGCCTTGCGGGCCGGGGTTGCTCTACTAATAAGCTACTGCGACTTGCCTAGGTAGTAGGCCTTATAGTAGGAGTCCTTAACTTCTTGACGGTTGAATATAATACCGACGCGGCGGCAGGCCTGGATCACTCGATCTTTGCTAGCATAGGTAAGGCGTTGATATATCAGTTTAAACGTGACCTTCTACATCTTGGTGACTACAGCAAGGCTGACAGCGGTATCAAGTTGTGGACCTTCAACCTTATGGGTGGTGAATATAGCGACGTTGCTACGCCAATCCACTTTGGCCATGTTGATCCTATTCAACGTAATTATGTTATTATAATTATCGGTACGGTATCCTTGTGATCGAAGGCTGCCGTAACTGAGCAGGTTGACTAGACATTCAGGGAAGTACTGGACCTGCTGGATAGTCCAGTCCACAACCTTCCCACTGTCGTTAGGGTCAACAGCAGGCAGGTAGACGTCTCCATAGCCCAACGGGGCTGCCAGTTGACCGTTAGCGACTTCCATAGGCGGCATCTGCGCTTCTGTGAAAGAAATAAACCACGACAGGTCGTTAAAGGTACTAACACTACATCCGGAATCCAGGATCACGTCGTTCTTATTAACAACGAAACCAGCAGCTACCAGTAGTAGGCGCAGGTTATAGGCAAGCGTAAGCAGCACGGGCAGGGTAGTATACCTAATAGACGGTTAGTAAAGGCTATTAATTATAGCCTTTACCACCACAGCCTTGCCATTAGACTCTCTGTATCTATCTATACAGGTATAGGCATCTGCCCTCTTCTAGAACTACGGGCGGAACTTGAAGTCCTTAGGCATCAATTCCGGATGGGCGACGAAGCAGGGCTGCGGGTACCGAGCTTCGCAGTGCTTGCAGTAGGGCTGATCGCTATGATCCTCCTTGCCCTTGTACTCGTTAGTAGTATTATTAGTATTCGGCAGGGCAGCATACCTTTTAGCAGCTGCGTTGGCAGCAGCCTTGGCCGAATTACACTTAAAGGTATAGTCGCGAGTGAAGTCTTCTAACGTCTTATTAGAATCCTCTATATACTTGTCGAATATCGCAGGATACTTATCCTAGTAGCCGATAAATAGAATATATATACCCTTCTTAGACTATAAGGAGGCCAGCTCGTCTAGCCAGCGCAAGAAATATAGGCCTCGCTCGAGGTACTTATATCCATCCGTGAAGAACTTCCTCTTAATCCCATAGAGCTCGCGAACTAGCTTAACGATAGCGTCCTCGGAAATCTTATGAATAATGGTATATAAGCGGGCTATTAGTACGTATAGGTCGTAGGTCTTTATCTCGTAACTATCTGCTCAAAGGCGTGAAGCAACGAGGTTGATGCTCGATCGGATGAGGGCAAAGGCGTGGATTCTATCGTTCTTCTACTTCTTCACAGCGTCGATCTAGGTAGCTATAGGGACCTTATCTTCGTGAGGTCTAGTAACGTCAGATTTAACATAGTGGGACAGATCTAGTGATTCTAATATCAATATTAGCATATCTATCCAGTTATCCTAGTTCTCCTCTCCCTTCAGCTGAGGGATGGACTAAGTAGCTCTTCCGCTATCGGAAGACCCTTAGTAGGATATGGTGATGATCTGTAGGTTATTAATTGATCATACGGTTAATCGATGGATTAATAGAATCCTTGTCGATCAGTAAGGTCGGGATCCTTACTTTGGCGTGGCAGGGGATCAAGGGTCGGGGGTAGACTTCACATATTAACGACATGATAGTCTAAATAAACAAACGGAGGAAGTCGTGGCAGGCGAATCCAACGGAATAATCGAATAGCTTCAATAGCTGGGGAAAGAGTCAAAATAGGCTCTCATGACCTATAGACAGTACACACTGCTCATCTGGATCAACGAGGCAAGCAATAAGGCAATATGACTGGTATTGTTGGTTGGTTGGTGATGTGGTGAAGGTGAAAGGTGGCTGCGGTGGGCTGGATCAACCAGGAAGTTGGATCGGGCAGCTGGTGCCTGGGGCACCAGCCACTGCCTCAGGTATCCACAGTCCCACATATATACCCTACGACAGAAGACTCTTACAATGCCCTGTCAAAATGTGGAAAAACTGATTCTGAATTTTCGTTATTGAAAATGCTGCTGTCATTGTACTTCGCAGCTGCGAGCTCTGATGCCAAACATTGAAGATGCCATGGAGGGAACAACATTGTCATAAGATGCGTGGTTGAGTAGCTTAGGCTTGAAGGGACGCTAAATTGATTCTACACAATAACAAAGTCTTGGAAGTGTAGGTAGCCTCCAAAATTCTCCACAGCATACTCTTTTCCCTCAACGTCAACTCCGACTTGCTCAACCTCCAGGTTGTCCTCGAGACCGTCAATTGGCCTCAAAAGCTCGCCATCCATGATGCCGTGCACATAGCAATCGCCGATGATCTGGAATTCGTCTCCGCCACATGACTCAGTACTCTTGGGGAGTTTTCGCAAGACGAACGGTGTCCTGAATCCCTCGAGGAGAACCACATAATCCTTAACCTGGGCATTCCACGGAACAGTGCCTATGTAATGGTGATCCAAAGACTTTGTGTCATATAACGGCCTGTCGGGTTTCCCTCCCAACATAATTACTGTCAGGCCCATCCCAGTACACTCGTTACAACGATTGTCACACTATGCCTATGAAACAATATGGTCTTACACAAGCATGACTAAGTTTGCCAAGGATATGCCAGTATAAAGGGTCTTCCACTCACTATATAGATAGTCGGGATATTCCCATAGCCACTCGTTCTTCATACTCATCAATACATCCCATTGACCCCCTACATGATAATCGCTGCCCAACAACTAGTATGGTGGTTCGAGAAAATAACTAGCTATATAACTGATCTAGGCTTTACCCTTATTAAGGGCGAGGTCTGCCTATTCCGCTATAAGACCCTGTTGGTTCACGGGGTCGTATACGACAAATAGTGGTAGCAATTATCACTCGTCTGTTGGTGATCTGTTACGAGCAGGACAAGGCAACCAACTGTGGCACAAAGCAAAAGCTTCGATAATGATGACTCCGGCATCATTGTCCCTTGTTCTGCATTATATAGCTACGCGCCCACAGTGACAGGTTGCGGCGGGCGTAACACCACATCTCCCCTCCAAGAGGCATGTCCCTATGCCGAGGACCAATCGGACATTTCGGGTATAAGCAGGGAAACTCCAGCAGAGGTGCGGGGTAACCAGTCCTACACGTGCTGCCTACGGTCGGGACGCCCTTCATAGTGTGGGAGGCACAATCACACTATCGACGCAGCGTGCGGGAATCGAACCCACAACCCCTCTACGCAGGGTGGAGTCATCATTAACGACCCGACATGCATGACCAAGAACAAGGCCTGCCCCGCAGGCTCGCGGCGGCTACAGCGCGCCATATATGCAGAGGACAAGGAACACTAGGCACCCTCTCACGGAACGGAAGAACTATGGACAAGTCACGTGTTGATAAGAGATAAGAGATAAGGATAAGGATATGTTGGATATGAGCTATCCAACATATCTAAACAAGGACACTGTCCAGCACAAAGGACATGTTCAGAATCAGGACTTGTATAGGATGGACTTGAGCCGGACTCCAGGACAGACTTCCCATAGCTTCTTCAGCAATTAACTTCGTATCAGGATTAACATCCGTTTTCAGCTATCACCTTGACAAGACTACGATTGATCACCGAAGCCTTACCTTACCTTACGATTGACAGACATAGTTTCCCTGAAGCTATCCCCGACTACAAATACTGTTACCAGTTCCGCAGCCTCAACTTCTGCAAACTACCCCTACGACTAGCTGGCCGTAACATCGTAGTGAGGTTTGTTTGCAGAAGTTGAGGCTGCGGAACTGGTAACAGTAATCGTAGTCGTGGAATAGTTTCAAGGAAACTATGTCTGTCAATCGTAAGGTAAGGTAAGGCTTCGGTGATCAATCGTAGTCTTGTCAAGGTGATAGCTGAAAACGGATGTTAATCCTGATACGAAGTTAATTGCTGAAGAAGCTATGGGAAGTCTGTCCTGGAGTCCGGCTCAAGTCCATCCTATATACAAGTCATGATTCTGAACATGTCCTTTGTGCTGGACAGTGTCCTTGTTTAGATGATGATGATGATGATGTATTTAACGTCTGGTAACAAAAGGACGTGCCGGGCGCTATGCCGACATGGTCTATGCTAATCTAAACTATGTTACAGGCTACCGTCTTCACCTAACGTTCCTGTTCAATGACTCGGGCAAATTTCGGAAAAGAAATTGGTCTCCTCTATCCATTCGCATAGAAGAGAGGCTCCCTTAGCAGAACCTAACAAGAAATCAATGCTTGCTTTGGCCATACGTTGGCGTAGGTAGCGCGATGTAGCCTTGCGTCCACGCTTGCAGAAGTAGAAATGGACTGGTGTCTTGGGTTTCCCACAGCTGCAGTTGAGCAACGCATCTTGATGAGCGAATCTCTCGTGGTATGCTGCAAAGTCTCCATGATGGGATCTTGCTGCGTATAGCCTTCCTAGTAAGTGCCGAGGGAGGCGGAGTTCGGGCGGCTTGGGGTGAAGAATTATCTCGAGGTCGGCATATTGCCGAGGGCATTGGGACAGCCATTTTCTGGCAAAATATGTTGGATAGCTCATATCCAACATATCCTTATCCTTATCTCTTATCTCTTATCATCACGTGATTTATCCATAGTTCTTCCGTTCCGTGAGAGGGTGCCTAGTGTTCCTTGTCCTCTGCATATATGGTGCGCTGTAGCCGCCGCGAGCCTGCGGGGCAGGCCCTGTTCTTGGTCATGCATGTTAGGTCGTAACATATAGGAATAGATTATTAGAAGGATGGGTTATACGGACGACGTCGGAGGGATTACCGGACTACGGCTAGAAGCGGAATAACCCCTTCCGATGCCGAATTTTAATTTAAATCGTCAAATTTCTCGGATTTGATCAATTCAGCCCAGGGATAGTTAATCTTATTATTGTACAATAGTTATTATTTACGGTGGCTAGCCTTAGTGGCCTGAGGGGCGGTGTGGGACTGTGGATACCGAGGCAGTGGTTGGTGCCCCAGGCACCAGCTGCCCGATCCACTTCCTGGTTCCACCGCAGCCACCTTTCACCTTCACCACATCACCAACCAACCAACAATACCAGTCATATTGCCTCATTGCTTGCCTCGTTGATCCAGATGAGCAGTGTGTACTGCCCACAATATATGGCGTTAATTGCTGCCCGTAATTAACGGCGTCGTTTTTGCGACATCTTCAAATTAAGGCTGGGGGCTGGAATTTGATGTTTTCTTTTTCTCCGCGGGATTATTGCCGTCTGGCGGCGGGTCATGCTCAAGATCGTGGTTACCTCGGGATGTTGTCATGCACCTGCGGGGGATCGGCATTAACCTCGGATGAGTAGAAAGTTGCTTCCCGTCCCCGGGTCCCATCCAATTGTTTCAGCTCGTTTAAGGTTTCACTCTTTCTTGTCTCTCGCCGAGGCTTTTGTTTACACGTTGAGAACTATTGACAAAGTGTGTTGCTCAAGTTCTCAACCATGGGCTCTTTCGAAGATCGTATCGACGCCGCTGTGCGGAATCGTGATATCCCCGGTATCATACTTCATGCCCAAGACAAATCCGGTGAGCTAGCTTCTAGTTCCTTAAACATTGGCTTCATTTCATATTCCGACGCCGGATTAACCCAGTTGGACAGGCAACTTCCAGTACTCGCACATCTTTGGGGATGAGTTGAAAAGCTCAACACCGCTGTCAGATGACAACATCCTCACTCTTGCTTCAGTCACGAAGCTCTTCACGACGATCGCTGCCTTGCAGCTCGTAGAGCGTGGAATCCTGACCCTCGACGGGGATGTATCGAAACATGTCCCGACACTAGCACAGAAGCCCGTCTTGACCGGCTTCACGGAGTCTGGCAAGCCCATCGAGGTACAGCGCAAGAAGCCCATCACCCTGCGCCACCTTCTCACGCATAGCGCCGGCAACAGCTACGACTTCCTCAGCGACGCGACGCGAGAGTGGCAGTCTTTTCATGGTCTCAAACCAACGCGCGGGAACACCGTCGAAGAGCGCTTTGGGTACCCCTTGAACTACGAGCCGGGAGAAGACTGGGCCTACAGTTGCAGCTCAGATTGGACGGGGAAGCTAATTGAGAATGTGTCTGGGACGTCGCTTGAGCAGTACATGCGGGAAAACATCTGGGACCCGGTTGGTGCATCGAGTTTCACATTCAACGTCGAGTCCGTGAGATCCAAACTGTGGGGGATGAACACACGTGATAGGGACACAGGAAAGATTATTCTTCATCGCGGAAGGGAGTTGAACCAAGGAGTGACCGACTGTCTTGGTGGACAAGGCTCCTACGGCTCGGCTCCAGATGTCATGCGAGTGTTGCGCTCACTGCTGATTGACGACGGAAAGCTGCTGAGCCCGATAATGACTGCCGAGATGTTCAAACCCCAGCTCTCGCCAGGGTCTAAGAAGAGTTTGTTGAAGGCAATGGAAGAGCCGGAGTGGGCAGTCGGGCATTTTCCTGTCACAGGCGAGTATGACTGGGGTCTTGGAGGTCTGCTTGTGGATGGACATAGTCACCCGTACCGCCGGAACGGGACGCTGATGTGGAGTGGCGCGTCAAATGTTTTCTGGGTAAGTCTTGTCCCTCGCACTTGGTTCGCGGCGACACTTTTCTGACTTTTGGCAGTGGATCGATCGCAAAGCTGGGCTTTGTGGCTTCTTTGCGACGCAGATGCTCCCTGCGGCAGAGGAAGGAGTCCGGCCATACATCAAGGCATTTGAAGATGAGATGTACTCAAAGGTCAAGGGTTTCAAGACTCGCGCAGTGCTTTGAGAAAAGACTGGATACACGACAATAGTACGGAGCAGATCTTTCTACTTCTCGTTACGCCATGTGTTAGGGCACGTTTACTTTGCTCAGAAAAGAAAGAAATAACGTACGTCTCGTGGCAACTAGACTTGGGGGTCTTTCGGATTAGCTGAGCGATCGTATACTCGGGTCTTCAATATGATGGACAATCGAGGTATTCGTAGTCCGAAGTTTTCGGAACCCCAGTTAAAACAGGTCAAAACCATCGGATCAGCCGTTTACAGCGGCTTACGGCACGGCCCGACCACTCGGCTGTGGCAATAGCACAGGTAACTCCTTATAACTTCGGCTTTTGGCTGACATTGCGTCCGTTTTCGCTGGTAGACAAGGACTACAGGTCTGGCTTTGGCTCGTCCCCCTATCAGAGTTGAGTTGGCTCACCGACTGTTGAAAAGTAAATGTATGGACAATGGACAACAGGTATTATTATGTCCGCGCGTCAGTCGTACGGAAGTGCATGTACTGTAACCCAAAAAGTTTCGGTGCCGAAAAAAACATTAAACTTTCATTGGCTGGGGCCCTAATGACTGAGGGCCAAGGTGCTATCCGCTGTATCCCCCCTCTTTATCATGCAGACAAGCTCCATCTCGACGACGAAAGTGCAGATAAGAAGAGAACTCAATCATTTGGCCTGGGCAACGCTTCAGCGACGCGAAATGAGCACGTTACCAGGATTCCATGGAGACAAGGGAAGGAAACGTCGAGCCTGTAACGTTGCTGATGCTGCCGTCAAATCATGCGTCATGATCTCTATCAGCGACGATCACCGCCAATGATTTGCAAGAAATCCTGCACGCAATTTTCCAGGGAAGGGGAGCTCAAGTGGCATGACAGTACCCGGTTCATGGGACACTCTACACCGACACGCCCGGGGACCTAGCCTGCTATCGCTTCTCTCAGAGGTCCATCACACGGAGAAATGCCCACTGGTCGTGAACCCCATGAGGGATGGCACGTGTCAAGTCCCTTGGCAGTTATCGCTAGCCTATGGAGTTCATTCGTCTCCAAACCCAACTCCAAGCTTGGTTGGAGGAACCGCTGAAGATTCTCCACAGCCCGAGGTTCGTTTGGGATAGGTCGGTCGAAGTCTTCAAAATGCCAACCTCTGATCCATGCACACTGATGCACCGCCCGGTGTCCGCGGTATGGGTTTGAAGGGGGAACGGGGGTCGCGCGTGGGCCCTGGTCCTTGGAAGTTGGGGTTGAGCTTCGGTGGATTAAATACCTAGACCTCAGACGATCTAATCTGTAACCCCACGGTTTTTCACATCAAACCCCTCACCGACGCCTGCTTACTTTTTTCTTGGAAAATATCGTGATGGCGACTCCGGAAGATGAGACGCGCTCACCTCCAGCGGCTGAAGCCGCAGCTTCCCCAGCTCATCATGAGGAAGGCGTGAACCCGGCAACAGGTATCATTGTACGCTTTGATCCACACAACGAGCCCCAAGCCGGGCAGAACGGGCAGCCCTTTGCTAACTTGTGATGCCGTGATTAGGATGCTGATGAAGGAGGAACAGACTCCGCCATTAATGTGGTACGTTATTCAATACATATCACAGCCACCTAAGATGAGAAACCTCGGGTCGCGACAGGATCTCATTTCGAGGTGTCATGGCATAGTATTCGTACTCACTACACCCTGTGCTAGTCAATCCGCGATTCTCTCACGTCCATTCGCTCGTCCATTCTCAATTTTGAAGATGAGAACGGACGTCTATACCACTCTCATTCCCGAGGCAGTTCGTGTACCCAATGACCATGAGACTGGATCTTAACTGATACATACGCAGAATACTACTTTCCCCACGACAATGTAAGCTCAGATCGCCATGATGTACGATAGTCTGGGCGTTTTTGAGATAGCTGACGAGACATCATTAGGTCGAACAAGAGCGATTAGATCTACAGCACGAGCTCTTTATGAGGACGTTTAGAGGACGTCTTTGCACTTGTCCAAAGTCTTACGGTGCTAATAGAGTTCTGGATCTCGGAACGGGAACGGGAATATGGGCTCTCGAATACGGTTAGTACACACATGAGCTAGGCCACATTAACCCCAACTGATGGTAGAGTAGCGGAGGAGCATCCCGAGTCTGAAGTCATTGGAGTGGACATCAGTCCAGTGCAGCCTGACTTGTAAGTAAAGCCATTTTCAAACTTGCCCCTCATTATGTAGGTTATACCTGCTGATGATCTCAAAGCATGCCTCCCAATTGCTCTTTCGAGATAGACGATCTGGAGAAACCATGGACATGGTCAAAACAATTCGACTTCATCTTCTCTAGAACTTTGAGTGGCAGTATCCTGGACCCAGCCAAGCTGGTCGATAGCATTTACAAGTGAGTCGTCCCAGAATACCCCCAGCCTGATCACATGCACAATATGCGAACGTTCAATCACGCAGCCAACTCGAACCCGGCGGGTGGTTCGAAGCTCAGGATGTCTGCATGGAAGCTCGGACCGACGACAACACTCTACCCGAGAATAGCTACTTGGCGCAATGGGCTGATGAGGTGGTTGACGCCATGGAAAAGATCAATCGGACGCTCAAGCTTCCCCTCAAGTGGAAGCAGCTTCTGATCGATCGCGGTTTTGAAGATGTTCGAGAGACTGTCTACAAATGGCCGACCAATACTTGGCCGCGAGATAGAACGATGAAGGACATTGGCGGATGGGGTCTGGCGAACCTCGACTACTTCCTCGAGACAGCGGCTCTTCGCATTTTGACCAACATCAAGGGTTGGTCAAAGGAGGAGGTCCTTGTTTTGTGTTCACAAGCGAGGAAGGAGATGCGTGATCCGAGGATCCATGTTTGGTGGCCTGTGTAAGTTTTCCCATTGAGACCAAATTCCTCTATCATAGTTGCTTTGAGCGCTATTGCTAACTTCACTCTGTCAGATATGTCGTTTCTGGTCGCAAGCCAGGCTCAATAACTCAGGCGCCTGCTGAGTCTTCGACAGCTTAAGTCCCCCGACATCGTCAAGAGAGGCGTGTCTTAAGCCATCATCATTTGTCAATGGGCCATCCGAAGGCGCCCCAAAATATGCTTTCTGTATGGAAAGTCACATGGGATTCGGCTCTTGAAGTATCAGTCTCAATACTTTCGTGGGTTTGCACTTTGGAGTTACCCTACTTCGGTAGAAAGTTAGAAATCTATTCGAGCTATGGCTTCGGGCAGTTCAAATCCAAAATCCTCTTTTCAATGGGCTAACCCAGCGGTGACCACACAAAAGCTGTGCGATCCCAACATGGACCTTCACGCTACAGCTCATCTGACCTCTCTGAGCCCCCTTCAGTACCTTGGTCGTTCTGCTGAGCGAGCTTCTGACTGTTGACACTATTTAGCTTACACGCTGTGTTAGAGACTGTTGTGGGATCGAGGCAAACTTACTCTCTTCGCCTGTACATGTACCACATAAGCGTGACGCTAATGATTGCAAGGCCGCCGAAAAGAATGAGGATTTGATAACCGTACTTGTATTTCGGCGCATCATATGTCGGGAATAGAACCACTGAGAATATGTCAGTATGTGTAAAGAACTTGAGTGATAGACTTCGGACTGAACCCACATGGTACCCAAAGAACCCAAGCATAGGAAACGACGTTAGCAGTGGCCACGAGCAGTTGTCTGAGACTAGGATCGTCTGCGTTTAGCGTATTGGCCCAGCTCTATAATCAGTGTCAGAAACTGGCATGCTTATGGTTTCTTTTAGTTACTAACAATGAGCACAGGAGTTGCGGCTGATCCAGCATACGAAAGATAGTACGCAAACATCAATGCGCCTTTGGGGATGTTCTAAACAGAAAGCAAGATATTGGACAGGATCATAAAAGCCTGAACTATGACGATCATCACGTAATTTTGGCCTGTTCTGTCCGCAATGATACCCCAAATGACTGTGGCAACGATGTTCAGAGCACTACCACCGGTTGGATAGATGTTTGCATCTACGACACTGTAGCCGGCAGATTTTAGCCAGAGGTTGAAGTAGCTTGTAGCCGTGTGACAGGCTGCGACCATGCTATCGAGTTTACTTCATGTGAGTGATGTCCTCAAATGTTTTCTCTCTTCCCGGATTGACTCACGTGTATGGCACAACAAAGACCCAGATCTCTCAGCCTAGGTAGATCCGCTTGGCTTCCTTCCACGTCAGCTTTTGCTGAGCCTTTTGACCGAATTTCTCAATCCTATCAATGCCATATTTGACATGCTATGCAAATCTGTCGCAGCGCCACACGTGGCGCTGCCGGTTACTGCCGTACGATACCGCTTTCCACAAGCCGATTACCCGTCTTGTACGGTATATAGATATGACTCTCATACGGATCTTCCACTTAGAAGAATCAAGCCACTTTCTACTATACAAGTCTTCCACTTGCTACCTCGCTTTGTGATAATTATCGGTGGAAGTTGAGAGCAAGGTCAAAAGCCTCATTCTGGAAATCTTCGAGAACGGGGCTTTGTCGGCAAGCGAGCGTGAGAAAGCTGGCCGTCTGCTATCACGATATGGCGACCCGCGAGATCTGACTGGACTCGCAGTGGTTCCCGCCGGAAGCTTCCTAATCGGATCTGAAAGTCATCCCAACTCGCAGCCTCTGCATAGAATCTCACTCGAGAGGTTTCGTATCGGTTTCTATCCCGTCGCTAATCGAGACTACCATGTCTTTGTCAGAGATACTGGCCGCGACTGGATGAGTCCCGATGGAGCAGATCGGGAGAGGTCAGATGCCCCAGCAACCGACCGTACATGGCATGACGCGAGGGCTTATTGCCAATGGCTCACGAAAAGATGGAGGGAAGAAAACAAAATCACTTCCAATGAGCATGTAAGACTTCCGTCAGAGCCAGAGTGGGAGCGCGCAGCCAGGGGTGACCAAGATGAGACGGGTACTGAAGGGTTGGTTTTCCCTTGGGGTACGAATTGGGAGGGAGATGCTGATAATGGTGATAAGACTGGCTTCAGCAAGACCTGTTCCGCAGGGCCGCTCGCCGTACGGATGTTATGACATGGCGGGGCATGTATGGGAGTGGTGCTCAACTCTCTGGGGCGAAGATATGGCCACGCCAATTTTCCAGTATCCTTGGTAGGATGATGGGCGAGAGTCTATTGATGCCCCGGATCATGTTAGAAGAGTACTGAGAGGCGGATGCTTCTCAAGCCCAGAGTTGAAGGCAAATTGTACTTACCGGGGTAGCCTCGAACCAACAGGGTTCTGGAGGGGGAATGGTTTTCGCGTTGTCGTTGCTTCGGTAGACTCATGATAGTACGAAAGAATCAGAGCGTTCGACAGTACGCAATAACCAAATCGCATCGTCGGCATTTTCACAGTGAATCGATGGATTCGTATTGCGCATGGTCATCGGGTTTGTCTCATTATGCCGAGGACCGGCAATATTGTATGACACATCATTTGCCGGTCGTGACGGCATTCGCGGACTCAACATTCGAAACTTCCGGCACGATGGATCCAGCTCAGGATCGGCCGGTGTCGGAGGCAATCGGCGGACCTGACCGGGAACACAATAGTGGAGGAGCATCGCGTCATTTCGCCTGAGCCCGGGAGTCTGGTTCGTGTAAGGCGGCTTTATATGTCCATCTGGTCTGCGTCCTGGTGATCTCTACAACCTTATTCCTCAAAGGCTATTCACTAGTTCAAGAAACTGAAAATAGCTTACCAAGCTCAATCATACGTGTCGGCTATTTTCCGCCAAAATGCCGATTATTCACGAGTTCAAGCTGCCGGACGATGCAAGCGCCCTAGGGCGTAATAGGACAAATTCCACAGCCCCCTTTTTCATTACATTCACCACGTCGGACCATCCTGATACGGGAGAATCGTGGTGCCCCGATTTCCGAGCCGCTCTTCCTCACATCATAGCCGCCTTCTCGCCTTTAAGCACGCCGGAGATGGCCTTCGTTGAAGTAGGGCAGCGGCCTGAGTAAGGACCCAGCTGAAAGCTGGACTTTCAGGATTTGGAGAGTCCCTACAAATGTGTTTCGAACCAAGTGGAACGTTAACAATGTGCCGACAATTGTTCGCTATGAGCTTTCAGATGGCGAAGTAAAAGAGACGGCCAGACTGGTAGAGGGCGAGATCCTGGATGAGAAGCGACTGAGACTATTGATCAGCAAGAACTCATAAGACCTCAACCAGAAATGACCCGTGAGAAGCTTGAGAAGTAAGCTTTCGGGCGTGGTATAAGCGCCATGGCAAAGCTTATTTCCTTAGGCCCTCAGCCGAAGGATCACCATAATTGTTTTTCGCGATTCCGACTCGCCACGACATCATCGTCACTCGCATTTTTATTAAACCGTGTCTCAGGCAGCAGTGTCGTATTAGCCGTTTTAGCTCCCTTTTCGAGAACAATAGTCGAGCCTGAGCCGCTCGCTAACATCGATCAGTACTAGTCTATTGAGCCAATCTCGGCCGCATTGGCTCCCGTTTGCTGGTGCTGAGGATCAGGGGCAAAATCGAATCCTTCGCAAAATCCTCAGTCACAAACATCGTATTCTGATGTGTGTCGCGCGATTCCAAAACCTTTTTTCTCGTCTTCTCAGCTCATAAGTTTCCTCTTAATACTAATTTCATAGTCCACCAGCTTTTCTTCATCAGTCGCTCGCTACAACTGCACGACCAGTCTCTAGACGTTCTGAACATGATCTCATCAAGATTCCTCTGCCCAATGGGCGTTTTGCTAGCAGGCGCGTCGCGTGCATTGGCGTTTGACCGCATCAGCATCCCGACCACGGTCAAAGCCGACACCGATGTCGAAGTCACCATCGCAAACGACATCGCGACCGGAAGCAAATCCTTCGATGCCGGCTTCACCAACTACAACCTCTACCTCTCAACCACTCCGCCGGGATGGGGTACCGGACCCGTATGCGTCCTGGCCAACGGGACAAAGATCGACGTTACCTCCGTGAAGGTGAAAATCCCCGCCGACGCGATCCCTGACGGCTCCGAATTCAAGATCACGGCGATGGAGTGGAATTCGGATCCGAACAAGGACGGACCTTCGGGCTTCCAATACAGCAACGACTTTTCCTTCTCGGGCGGCACCGCAGAATGGGGCAAGACGGAGCTCGGGGGCTCTACGCTGGGCGACATGGATCGCATCCCGTGCACAGCGTACTCGTGCGCACGCAAGTGCAATGATAAGTACTTTGACGAGAGAAACACGACCAGCCAGGATCCCAGCGTCTACAAGAACACGTACGAGTGCGTTGCCGCGTGTCCCGGCACGACGTTCCCGTCCTGGGACTCGATCATCAACGACAACGGGGATGGGCAAGGCTCGGGCGCCCGTGCGGGACCCTCGGGAAGCGCGACGGCTACGGCAACAAGATCCGGTGCCTCGGCGATAGCCTCGACGTCCCCGACAGGCTCGTCCACTTCTACCCCGACATCAGCCCAAAGTAGCAGCTCGCCTTCTCAGACACCTAACGGCGCCGTCTCAGTCACTGCCAAGGCCTCTGGCCTTGTCTTTGCTGGCTTGGCTATCACGTTTAGCTTCCTCTAGTCATGAACTCGGCGGTTGTGGGCCGTGTACGGACGTTCGTAGTGTACAATAGATGGTGTACTATACCCACAGTTATTTAGACATTTGCAAACATTACTCATCAAGCCAATGACCTTGCACACTACGCTTATTTCTCGGCGAGAGATCCGAATAGGGCAATGTATTCCCCTCAACGTCATGACAAATTCCATATCGCGAGACCGACCCTCCGCGGGCGAAGAAAAGGACATGCAACCCCTGAGAAGCGCGCTTTCTTGTCCCACGTTGATGCATCGACCTAGGACAGAATCAGTAATAATCTCCCCGAGGTTGTACGCAAATGCGATCCTAGCGACAGTTTCCTGGGTCCCCGGACCGTGAACTTAAATAGGTGACAGCTGCATCTACTCCGTACGGATAATCAGTTGCCCACATATACAAGCTTTACAGACTAAGGTAACCAGGCCGGGGAGATCTCGCCCGCTATTAACAAAGCGAGTCCGATACATGCTTTCCCATTTGCCCGCTACATGCGCGACAAGGGCCATTCCAGTGCAGCCGAGGTTCACGTCGTCTGAACATAATTAGCCCGGGGATGGAGTAACTTATACGAATTACGAAATACGAAGTGGATGTTTCGCAATGTGCCGACACGTGGCAGGAGCCTCCTGTCAAGGTAGGACGGCTCTTATGAATGCAGACTTGTTACCAATGGCCCGGGTCGAGTATGCCTGTTGCTTACTTACAGGCCACAACGTCGTCGCAGTACACGCATCTGAAGCTCATGTTGATCTGGCATCAAAAGGTCGGCCAGTCAGATTCTAGCTATGTACACTAGCATCGATGCATTCTGACGCGTTACGATTCTTATGTGAGGCGGTTGTGCTATTCATAAGGTAGGTAGTTTGCTTCCAATCGGTAGGAAGGCTCTAAGCTCCAAGTTCATAGGTTTGTAAATTGTAATTTAAATTATCTTTAGCTTCAATTTACTAAGTAAGAATCGAATGCATGCTATGACTCGAGACGACTGTGAGCTTACCACGTGTACACGTATCACAGCCGTGCTTGCCGTTGCAGAGGCGGCCGCCGGTAAGAGTCAGTGAGTAAGCACCTTGATGATTCAAGTGCCAGGTGTGAGCTCAATTCCAATGGCGAGACGCGAAGAATGCCTTGTGATCTTGCATGAAAAAGCTTTTCTATTTCTTGAATCATTGATATCGAGGCAAGCGTAGAGGCTGCGGGACCATAGCCGAGTAAGAGCCCGGGATCCGGTTTCCGACAGATAAACCCACGGAACCATTGACAATTCAGGCCGTAAGATTTCAATGAAGCATCGTCCCTAGAAGCCAGTATAACTCATAGACATCAAATACAACTATCGGGGCTGGCTTCTTATCGGTGCTCCTGAGAGACATCGATTTCGAGTCAAATCCCGAGTTCAGTGCAGAAGAAGCAAACCGGTTATACAACATGTGCAACTCCAACTTCAAAGCGGGAGTCGAGACGTACGAAGTAATTAATGGCGGTGCTTAATTCGAGCACACTCTCATATTATCTATGGCGGTCAGTAAAGAGCGACCCTGGTCCGTGCTATGTTACCGAGACGATCAAACTTGTGAACTGACTCAATTTTCGGACATGTAGTGTCTAAAGGCGCAACAGGATGGTAATTTGCCGCTGCAATGGAGCCTCATGTCGGCTGCCGCCAGACACGTCCTGGCCTTAGGTTATCACCGAAGAGGGAAGCTGGCAGCGTTACCGACCCAAGAGGCGCGGCGAGCACGACGACTCTTCTGGCACGTATACTTCGCCGACCGGAGACTGACCCTTACGCAAGGGAAAGCTCCGGTCATACAAGACATTGACGTCGACGTCGAACCTTTCGAAATCATTCAGACACCCGAGAGAAAACCCTGGGACACCTCGTTCTCTGCCTTTATCGAGTTCGGAAGAATACAATGCAAGATCTACGAAAAGCTTTACTCTCCGGCAGCATCTCGGTCAACGGACGAGGAGAGGCGGGCCGTGGCAGCTCATCTTGCAAAGTGTTTGTCAACGTGGTACGAATCATGGCGCAGCGTCGACTATACCCTTGCGTATCGAATAGAACTGTTTCAATTCACATTTGATGCGCTCGAGGTTGTCTATTGTTCCAGCTTAACGCTCATACATCGCGGGGTAAGCAGCTCAAATGCAGCCAGCGCCATCACGGAGGAATGCTTCGAGGCGGCCAGAAAAGGCTTGACTGCCCATACCACAGCGTACCCTCGGTCCGCATCAGGAGAATACGCTTCTCTATTCACATACGCCGTTTGGTATGCTGCCTTTCTTCTCCCAAAGATAGATACGTACGTGTCAGCTAACCCCCTAGCAGGACACAGCTCTACTCCTCCTACACGCCATACATCATCATCTTTCTCCACTGCATCGGGAACTCGGACGCCCAAGATCTGAACCTACTACGCTCCTCCCTTGAGATCAGCGAGCGCCTCAGCGGATTGGTGGAATCCTGCAAGAAGCAATACGAGTTATGCCGGGCGCTGTACCGCATCGCAGAGGCTTACATCAAGGCGAAGAAGGGGGTCGCATGCACAGCCGTGCCAGCAGAGACCACCATCACCCTACCCCTGCAACAACCTACTACGGATAGCTGGCCCTGCTTCGAGTCGAATCTGGAAGCGAACGCATTTCCGGACCTCCACGTGGATGACTGGAATGGCTCTTACATGGGGCAGATGTCATTTACTTTGGAGAACCACCTGGGAAAGGGCGGCCATTAGCTTAGATGATAGCAATGTTCGACAAGCCATGTCTCGCTTTCAACGTCAGTCAAGCCATCACTTGACGCTGAAGTCAAGAACCTCACAAGGCCGCCCCGAATATTGCCCCATCTCTTTAGCTTTTCACGATCGAGCCCAACCTAGAACCTTTGCAGGAGCATGGCGTCAAGGCCTCGACAGGCATCAAGTCTCGTAGTTTTGCCAGACAGTATCTATCGGAGCCAATCCAGACTAACGACCAGTCTTTCCCCAGGACGGGGCGTGGTCGTATTGTTGTTGGGGGCCGGGCTGGCGGCTCGTGGTTGGTTCAGTCACCTGATCTTGCTGCCGACTTCAATAGACACGCTCGATTTCGTTCATCGTCACCAGAATGCCATCCTGCCCTTCTGAAGTGGCTTGTTTCCATACCGCCAAAATGCTCGCAGGGATCATAATAGTATGATTACTATGTAAACATCAAACTATGAAGGTCACAAAAAGAGTTCACCACCCGGTGGGGCTACATCTCTGGTGCTCATGCTGGGATTCGAACTCGGGTACTCGTAAGCCTGTCGTCGAGTAGGCTGGTTGGCGTAGAAATTATTGTTGACGTTAAACCACTCCACCACCCAACCAGTTTGACCTGACCCGTCGACCTAGACGGGCGCCTCCTGGCTGGTGACTGGAATGGAATTGAGGGGGCCTATATGGGCTTCCTTCCGTGTGTATTCAGGTCAACGGCTGGCTGGTAGGTTATCCGATGAAAGTTTGGTAGGTGAGGTGCGGCTGACACCGCCTGCTTCTTTCGAGACAGACTACCTTAGGCAGGAACGCTTTGATGGGAAGGAAGGTAATACGGTTAGCAACACCTATCTCGCCTCATAAGACAAGGTCAGGTGGGTGGATGAGGAGACAGTTGAAGGACGGAGGCATAGCGAGAAGCTATTGGTTACTTTCCAACCCATAGTAGTGATACCGCGTGCATAATTTTGGCACCGCAATATGATGGAATTGGTAACCAAAAAGTAGAAGATGTGGAAGAGCCTCGAGAAGTAAAAGCCGTGGGGATTTCCTCCTTGGGGAAGCTGGGGCTCCAACCCATACTCATGGGCACACCCTCGATCTAACCTTTTCAAATATCCCCTTTACAGAGGCCTATATCAGCCCGCACCTACACCCAGGGGCAGACCACCAGGCCATTACAACAATTATTCCTCTAGGCAAAGTCCAGGAACAGAGACGCCAGATTAGCCACCTCTCAGTCCCAGACACAGCCCTACCTCGACTTGCCGACTTAGTAAAGGTAGGAGTCTCAGCCCTACCTACCTTGAGGGAGAAACCTACTCTAGCAGAAATAGACTCCCTAGCTACCCAACTAGTCAGCCTTCTCTCTACAGCTATTCAGGCGGTAGGGAAGAGACGAACTAACCAGGGTAGGGGAGCCCCCTGGTGGACAGAGGAGTGCTCAGAAGCCCACCAAGCTACTATTGAAGCCAGGCGCCAACAAGCCCAAGAGCCTAGGCTAACTATACCGCCGCCTATCCTAGAGGAGCAGAAGGCCTTTCTGGCTATAGTCAGGAAGGCAAAACGTGCCTACTGGGCTGCTAGGATTGAGGCCCTGGTCATCAAGTACTAAGCTGGCGCAAGTCCAGCTTAGCTATCAAAGCCCCACCTCTAGTAGTAGACGGACAGGCAGTTGATAACAGCTATGACAAAGCACAAGCCCTACGGAAGGCATTACTAGAGAGATTCGACGCTGCAGACGACCTAACTGGGAACCCTTTTACTGTTCCTGTAGTGGCAAGGCGTCTAATACCCTGGCAGCAGGCAGTCAGCATAGAAGAAGTACGCCAGGCGACTCTCACAAAGGCCACAACCCCTGGGACTGATGGGATTACTACAAAGGTACTACAATGTACCTGGGGCTTGATAGCTGTACCTATACAGCAGCTCTTTCAGGCCTGCGTTCAAACGGGCTACTTCCCTAGGACCTTCCGAAAAGCAGAGGTTGTTATGATCTAGAAGCCGGGGAAAACAGATTTCTCAAAGACTGGATCCTGGCGCCCAATCTCCCTTCTATCCTGCTTAGGTAAAGGCCTAGAGCGGCTGATAGCAAAGAGGATGGCATACCTCACTATCTTAGAAGGAGTTGCTAGCCCACAGCAGATTGGGGCACTTCCAGGAAGGGCTGCAGTCGACCTGACAACCTGTCTAACCCATGATATAGAAAGGGCTCTAGACTCAGGGCTCACTGCAACTCTAGCAACAATGGACGTCAAGGGGGCATTCGATTCCGTTCTACGAAATCGACTTATTATTAGGCTACGACAGCAGGGCTGGCCTGATAGCCTGATCAGGCTGATCTTTACCTTCGCCTCCAGCCGAACTGCTCGAGTCAGGCTAGAAGATACTACTACAGAGGACTTCCCCCTATCCTGTGGGCTACCACAAGGCTCTCCGCTATCACCTATTCTCTTTCTGCTCTATATAGCAGATATCCTAGCCGACGACCAGAAACTACGGTTTGGTTACGCAGACGATATAGCCCTGCTGGCCTTCAGCCCATCTCTAAAAGATAATGCTGTAGCCCTTGGACAGGAGATTACTCAGATCCTCAACTGGGGCACTGATAATAAGGTTGCGTTTGAGCCAGACAAATGCGAGGCAATCCATTTTAGCAGGAAACATAACCAGGAAAAAGACGTACCAGACATACAAGCAAGAGACCTAACTATTAAGGCTTCAACTAAGCCTATACGATGGTTAGGGGTCTGGTTTGATAAGAAAATCACCTTCCGACACCACGTTGAAGTAAAGGGAGCAGCAGCAAAAAAGGTGGCCAAGTTCCTACAGCACCTATCAAACACAAAAGGGGGGCTCCCAGCTGCTGCGGCACGTCAAGCTGTTATTGCCTGTGTCCTCCCAACAGCCCTATATGGAGCTGAGACCTGGTATGCAGGCTTAAATAGATCAGCCTGGAACAGCAGCACCACTACTGATAGCAGCAGGGCCACTAACCAGGCAGCTACTGTCAGTACGGGGCAGAAGGGCCTAGCCAGGAGAGTGGGAAAAGTTATAACAGCAGCAGCGAGGGCTATCCTACCTGTCTGGAGGACCACACCAACCAGCAGCCTCATCCGAGACGCTGGCCTGCCTACAGCAACAGTAGCCCTCGAAGGGGCACGCCTACGTTTCGCTACACGCCTACAGAGGGTTGACCAACAACACCCCCTAGTCTTAAGGCTCCCCCCGCAAGGGCAGCGGCAAACAAGGCTGCAAAGAACAGCAGCCCTCTTACCTAAGTGCCAAAGGCCTTTACTCCTACAGCCACAGTACCACCCAGGTCCACGGGATCCTACAGCTGGACGAAGTAAAGAGAAGGCAGCAAAAGCGTTCCAGGCCTGGCTTAAGACTGTGCCAGGTAGTCACACGATCATCTACTCAGACGGCTCTAAAGCCCCTAATAGGGCCACGGGATTCGGCTTTGTTATCTACCGTAACAATAAACGCATAGCTCAAGGCTGCGGCCGCCTCAGTCTTGCGGAAGTGTTCGATGGCGAGGCGGAGGGGGCGAGGGCAGGGCTCCGACGAGCTCTCCTTACCTCCCAAGGCCAGCCTATACATATCTGTATTGATAACACTAGTGTCATCCAGGGGATACGCGGCGATACCCCAGACTCCTCACAAGCTGCCTTCCTAGAGATCCAGGCAGCAGCCAGGATATATAACATACAAACCCACTGGTCCCCAGGGCACCAAGGGATAAAGGGTAGCGAAGAGGCAGACAGCCTAGCTAAGGAGGGTACAACACTGCCAGTCCCTAGAGGCCTACTAGCTACGCTTTCAGGGATCAAACGACTTGCTCAAGTGCGCAAACAGCACCAATATAGGAAATGGTGGAGACAAGAGGCAACCCCCCGCTATACCCAACTAGGGCTCAAGGCCACCCTTGCTTGCCCTCCTGAACTTGGCCTCCCTAGGGCGGCCCTTCATCACCTCCTCGCGGCGCGGTCAGGCCACGGGGACTTTGAACAGTATCACTAGCGCTTTAACCATACAGAAGCACTGCTAACCTGCTCCTGTGGAGAGGTTAAGGAGACAGACCATCTAGTCTACTGCCGAAAGACCCTACTGAGGAGGCAACAGTGGCCCACCCTCTACCCCTACAGCCGCCAGGAGCCCGTAGGACCTATAGGGTCCCTCGATCGCTACTTTAAGGGGCTAATCACTGACTCTGAAGGCTTTCAGGCCTTCCTCTGCGTGACAGACTTCTTCCAGAAGATCTGCCCGCGGTACTAGGAGATAGGCCATAACCTATCCTCCAAACGACAAACTACCTCTATTAGGAAACCAGATGGTTATAACGGACCTAGGGCACCAGTGGGAACTAGGGATGGATAGAACACATAGTAGCTCACGAGCAAGACTTGGAGGACGCCAGGATACGGCGTGTACTGTATAGTATATAGCTGGAGCCTACGACCCTCCACGCCACATACCCTTCGGGAGGTCTACCGCAAGGGCGACTGCGCCTTTGCCGCCATGGCGTTAAATATAAAACAAACAAACAAACATCCTCCTTAACTTGTTGAACGGAGTTGGAGTCAAACTCCACACCTACGCGCCGTTTCCACCTCAATCAAGCAACGAGCGGTGCCGCAATCGTGCTCATTTACCCTTGACCTTGACCGATGAAAAATATCCGTGTCCGCCGCCAACTACCCGCACGGCCCGCACCTGTACAAGAGCACTAGCAGGGGTGAAGGAGGAGATATTGGGGCTGCGGGAGCCTCAGAATATGCCGTGCATCCAAACACGCATATCAGAACCTGAGCGGCACTTGGAACAATGCCTGCGACGGGGTTCATCTTTCTGTCTTGGCGTTGACTTTGATGCGCACCTGCAGTATCGAGTAACGTCGTCATCGGCCTTCGGACGGGTGTTAGAGCCCGAGCCTCGAGGTCAATTGCCGCATGCGTCGTACTCTATCGAACGAAGTCCTAATGATCATATACTTATAGCTAGCGATGATAGCTTGATACTTTGAGTGTTTGATCATCTCTTTACATTCCACTTTCCGCATATTTTGCCTGGGAGCCATCAGCTTCGGTTCTAAACGTTCCCCAACATGGAGTCTACGACTGAAAGTCCATTTCCAAAAGTAGCCCAGCTTCTTTCAGCCCTCTTTGTCGTGGGTTTCTTGGTATGTGTCAAGCTCTGAGCATCTCTGGTGCTATTGTACTGTTCAATATCATCTCCTACCAGTTAACACCTTTGGCTGTGTGCTAGTCTGTCTCTTACGCATTCGGCAAAGCTTTCTACAATGTCTTCTTCCATCCCCTTCAAAAATTCCCGGACCCAAGTCATGAGCTGCGAGCCGCATCCCTTATAGCCTCGCCCAGATCGATGGGAAGCCTCACAAGCAACTCCTAGCCCTCCACGACAAGTACGGTCCTATTGTCAGAATCGCCGACAACGAGATATCCTTCATCTATCCCGATGCATGGAAAGACAACAACGGCCATCGAAAAGGGAGCGTACCCGAGAACACCAAGGAGCCACTAGCCATCCTCGGCAACGAACACAATCTTTTTGGTGCGAACCTTGAGGACCACAATCATATGCGCCGCGTTCTCTCGCACGGGTTTTCTATGCAGGCCATGAAGGATCAGCAGCCTCTCATCTCGACCCACGTCGACCTCCTGCTACAACGGCTGCGGACGCATTCAGCGAGGGGGACTCGTCCTGTTGATATGGTGTCTTGGTATAACCGCGTCACGTTTGATGTGATCAGTGACCTGTCCTGGGGTGAGCCACTGGGATGTCTGGAGAAAGAGCAGGATCACCCGTGGATCGTGGCCTTGGGACACACCGTCAAGTACCAACTGTACCTTGGAATCGCCAAACGCTTTCCTCCCCTTACCCCCTTGCTGAAAGCTTTCATCCCGAAGGAGTTGACTAGGCTGGAGCAAGAGAACTTTGCATTAGCTGCAGCAAATGTCGAGAAGCGAATCGCTCTGGCGGATTCTCGCACAGACTTCATGGAATCAATGATCCGACAAAAGGGGGAAAGGGTGAGTCACAATATCAAGACTCGAGATTGACATTACCATTGGTGGCTGACTGATTATCTTCTATGATCAGGAGATTCAAAAACACGAGATGGTCAGCAATGCTTTCCTACTCATGCTTGGAGGTTCTGAGACGTCCGCGACCGCACTTTCAGCAGTCACATACTTCTTGACGTCTCACCCGACAGTTCTGTCCAAGCTTACCCACGAAGTCTTGTCTACGTTTCAAACGGAAGAAGAAATCAACATCAACTCGGTCCAAAACCTCCCATACATGCTAGCTGTCCTGGACGAAACCCTACGGCTGAACCCGCCTCTCCCTGGCTATTCACCGCGCGTGGTGCACAAGGGAGGCGACACGTTCAATGGGGTCTTTATCCCGGAAGGCGTAAGTTTTCTCTCCCCTTAAGATCAGTCGTTGAAGGACTACGATGTAAGAAGGCTTGAAGATATTCACTGATATCTTACACAGACCGTCATTGGAATTCCCCAGTGGCCAATGTATCACAGCTCTCAGAACTTCACGCTCCCTGAGTCCTTCATCCCAGAGCGCTGGTTGGGTGATCCTCGCTTCGCTAGCGATCAAAGAGAAGCCAGAAAGCCGTTCAGCTATGGGCCGAGGAACTGCATTGGAATGAAGTTGGTCAAGCCTAAGAAATTTGTCACAAGACTTTGAGTACCTTAACTAACAGACCTAATTAGCCTCGCGTATACCGAAATGAGGATTATCCTAGCCAGGATCATTTGGAATTTCGAGATGAGACTTTCTGATGAGAGTAGGAAGTGGACCGAGGAGCAGCAGGCGTGGGTTGTTTGGGATAAGCCCGCGTTGAAGGTGTATTTGACACCCCGTGATTCGATTCCGTCTAAGGCTTAGAGTGCACTTCCCGACTGGAGATATTATCTCTGCTTATGATGGAATTTTGAGTCACGATGCAGATATTTGGAGGGTTTGACCAAATCCAACTCAGACTGCATAGCATCAGCTCCAAACACGGAGTTGCGGAAGAGGTGGGCACGAGAACTCAAGTGTCTGGGTCCAAGACTGGTCATTAAACGACTTTTGTGATGATGGCTATCGGACCGGCAAGATCTACCTGATTTGGTCCTGTGGATCACACCATGGATGCGAGAATCCAGCGATTCGTCAATTGTCAAGACTGAATACGACTATGGTGTCATTGGTAGTATGGACCTAACTTCTGCGGTGTTCATCTCGTCATGCCTCTCGGGTGCAACTGTGACCCATGCATGTTGAGAACTTTTCTTCCAACACCTGGCATTAGACGCTCCCTTCCGCTTCTTCCTCATTTCCATTTTTACATACTTTTCAGCGTAAAGGGCCGCACCCGGTGATCGAACCCCAGATTCGATTCTGGGGATGCGGAGTTTGACCTGTGCCTGCAGTGGAGGTGCAGTCTCATTGCGTTAGACCACCTCAGTTTGTCAAAGAAGGATGTTAGGATTCCAGAGACCAAGTCTCTCAATCACCGTAAGATTCAATGACATGCGCTTAGAATGACTTCATGCGTCTATTTGTCCCTGTTCGGACATTTCAAGCGCTTGTCATACAAGCTGCCATGACTCAGGAGGAGACATATAAAGATGGGCATATCGCGACAGCAGTGGTACATCTTCAAGCCAATGGCCATCAATAATCATCAGCGCAGACAATATGGCCCCATTTGAGCTCTTATACCTTGTATTCATCTCACTTTTCTTTGGATATGTCCAGACTCGGGAGAATACCGCCAATGGCTTGACTAAGTTGCCTCAGTTTCCTCACAGGCCCAGAATGTTCATCCTGATGGACATCCTCAATGAACCCGATGACCAGATGTCAATGGTTCTCTATCTAACCTACTCAAACGAGTTTGATACCAAAGGTCTGATCGCCACAACCTCCGTCAGTATGCCGAACGAAACGCATCCAGAGGCTATCGAGCTTATTATCAAGGCATATGGCGAAGTCGTTTCCACTCTTAACAAGCATGTACACCCCAACGCAACCTTCAGTCCCGCCGAGGATCTTTTGAAACTTGTGAGATCAGGTCCTTAGTAGTAGTAGTAGTAGTAGTAGTGGTGTTTTACATCATCAGGGGTGAGATCAGGTCCAGTGGTAAATGATTAATCCTCTGCCTGGTGATTACAATCAGCATTCCATTAACTTGTCTTCTCTAGGTTTACGGCCGTCAGGCTCTCGAAGAGCCGTTAAGCGACGGTCCTAAGCTGCTGATCAAAACGCTCCAGGCGGATTCTGAACCCTTATTCGTCTCCATTTGGGGTAGAGCCAACACTCTAGCACAGGCCTTGCAGTTCATCGGCACGGAGCGGCCTTCCAGCGAAGCAGCTGAGCTTCGTTCTAGGCTTCGAGTCTACTCGATATCAGATCAGGACTGTGGCCCCTGGATCCGCGTCAAGTGGCCCGACATCACTTACATCGTCAACGTGCACGGCTTTCGGGAATATCAAGCGTCTCCATGGAGCGGCATAGGTGGCGTGGACAACGGGCTTCTAATGTAACAAAGGCACAGGACGATTGGCTGACTCTCAACATCCGTATTGGTCCCTTGGGCCAGGTGTATCCCGAGATTCTCTACGGGATGGAGGGTGACTCGCCTAGCTTCATGTGGCTTATTCAAAACGGCCTCAACAGTGCCGGGCGGCCGGACTGGGGTGGCTGGGGTGGTCGATACAGTCGTGTTACCGAGGCCATGGACATCAATGAATACGGAACATCCATGGACATCGCAGTTTCTGTGTCTGGCCTGGATCATCAAAGCCCAGGTGCCACTGTTTGGCGGTGGCGAGACGCCTACCAAGACGATTTTGCTGCGCGCATGCAGTGGACAGTTACAGATCGATTTGTAGACGCAACGCATCCGCCCAACATCAACGTCAACGGCTCCATTAGTCTTGATGCCATGGAAATAGTCTTACCGTCTACCAGTTCCGTCGTGCTGGATGCCAGCGAGACGTACGACCCTGATCACCCCGAGAACTCGACTCATCTCGAACTCGAATGGTATGCCTACACGGAAGCCTCCGTTGCTTGGGTTAGTGGTTATCTCGAGAGCCTCATCGAGATACGTCCTCTATTACCGCCATCCGGTACAGACGGCTATCTCAGTGTCAACAATGCAGGGTTCAGGAACGTCACGATTGGTCCAAGGGTCCAGATCACGAACAATGTGCCGAGCATCTCGCAACTCGAGGGAGCATCCTGGCATGTCATTCTCTAGGTGAACAACAATAAGGGTCAACATCCAGTTCGTAGGTATAAGCGAATTCTGATTCATGACGCAGAGAGCCAAAAGTAAATGGACCATGGGAATTCCCCCACTCTATAGCCTGTAACTCGCTAGCTTTGACCTTGGGGGCTGTTAGGGACGAGAACAGGCGCTCACGGGCAGAAAACACATCAGAGCCTTTTCTGCATTGTTGCATGGGCGACTACTAAAGGTTTGCCAGTGCATATCGAACAGCAATTTCGTGCAAATCATTGGTGTTCCTGCGGTGTAGCAGCATGACCCTCTCCTTCAAACCCCTCTTGCCTGAGATAGTTGTCCACCAGCGCAGCCTCAGTGCGAGTCCGAATCTCGTCCAGCGCGGGCTGGGCAGTTAGCCAACTTGCCACCAGCATGCTCTTCATCTGCCAGCTTGAGCTAAATCGTCTGACATTATACCAGTCGAGGTTGTGGCGTCCGAGCTCCGGTTTCCATGGGAAGTTGGCGATCAGGTGGAGGCGCAAGATGGCGGGGTAGTTGTCCAGCTGCAACATAGACTCTTTAACGGCAACGACGTACCATCTGGTGCTTCCGAGTACGAATCCTAATGAGGATCCGACGATGAACGGCAGTGCGGCGGTGCCCCAGATACTACTCCCTACGATCGCGGCCGAGAGCCCGAGAACAGCGGCCGTTGATGTGCCTGCTAGCATGCTCCGGAGCATTCTGAGATGGTGTTAGCTTGACCGCGTATCGTGAGACTCAGGGTGCGTACAGAAGACCCGGACCACTGTTTGAAATTAGCTTGGTTTCGGTATGAGGAGAAGTGATTGAACAAACTTGACATTGCCCCATCCGCCCAGTATCCTTAACAAGTTGAAGTGAGGTTGCGCATTGGCGGTGTACTCATTGACCTTTGAACTTGTTTAGCGGATATTTCTTGCGGAAAAGAATTCAAATATGACATACCGCATACTCTTGGACCGACATTTTGTCGTGGAGCCCGCAAGCTTCTGTAGAGACGTCGAGACACGCGATCACCACAGGAGAATGTTGACTGAAAACATCTGTTTGATCTTAGTTTGGGCCCCAATCTTCTTAGTCAGCTGTGTGATCAGTCAATCCATTGGTCAGTGCGGTAAAATCTCGGCTTTCCATGACTCCGTGCCAGCCCCGTGGGCCGATAGATCCACCCGGCCACGTCTCGGCTCCGTTGCCCGGCCCCGTTGGCCGTCATAGCTTCCTGTCTCCACCTTTCTTGACGGGACTTGAAGATCAAGTGTTGGTTCCCCAGTCTAAGACCCAGAGAATGAATCCCGATTGCTGGGATTGGATCATTTGAAAACTCGGGTATGCTCATTGCGGTGCAAAGGAGCCGACTTGCAACTCGACGATTGCAGTTGACGGGAGTCGGCGAAGACCTCTTAGGCTCGTACGCGGAAGAGGCACGGATTAGGCCGGGAAAATTGGAAAATTAGTTGTGTGAGGTTGATCACTATCGTACGTCCAAGTCATAGAGGCTATGACATTTTAATATCAATTCAGAGGCAGGGATGTCGACTTTCTGGATTCCAATTAACACATGACAGGTATGAAGGTTCCTGTGAAGAAGCCAGTCATTTGTTGGCACGACAAGTGGCGGGATCAATTTATCAAACACATGATATCAGATTCAAAGAAATGAGAAGGACAAGGTCTCAAATCTTTGCTCTCTAGATGTATGTAGCCGGGCCGCGGGTCTCGCTACCAATGCAAAGTCGATACTGGTAAATGCAGTTTCCAGCAGCCGGTGCCATACCGCCAACAACTCGAAAGTCTTTCTGATTTTTCTGCTTTCACCAATAACGTTTTATTTTTGTGTAGGAGTACTCGCATCAATCGCTACCGTTGACTCGGGGGTTTCCAGGCGTGAGAGTCGTCTCTCTCGCAAGAGCATCAATAGTCTGCTGGATCCTCTGCGCCCTGGTATCCGCTATTTTGGCAACTTCGTCGTGGCCGTCACGCAGCAGCTCATCCTTCGTCTTGAGTGCCGTTGACAAGGATGCTACGCATTGCGCTTGGAGGCACCACGGGTGATCAATATGCGTATTGTGCTTGTTAAAATAGTGAAGGTAGTCCTTGCCAACAGCTTTAATGATGCAATCATCGCAATCCGCGCTCTGATGCCAATAGGTTTCAAGCACCGAGACACCACAACACGGGTTGCCATAGTTGCGAACATGATGGCACGGGTTTAGCAGTTGGACCACCGAGTGCGAGCACGTGAAGATGTATTCTTAAAAGTTACACATGTTGAAGTATAAAGTAGGTGAGTTTGCTCGACTGAAGATGAGGAGACTAGGCGGCATTGTGAGTATGCCTCTTTACTGCTTGCTATTGCTCGACCATGCATGAGACTCACTTCTGAAGATTTTTGCAAGGCTTTTAGGAACTTATCTGTAGACTGATTTGTTGCTTGTATTGGCAGGCAATGGGAGGTTCTAAGCCCCCAGGAAGTCGTTTTATACGTAGAAGATGAGGGTACAGAACCACGGCTTTTCCATCAAGAACATCACTTCAATGAGTCTGATAAATGTTGTTCATTTCGCCAAGACCTATGTGCCACACTATTGGCTTTCAGCCATGATGTATCATCGTACACCCTTTTGGCGGTGATGGGCGCATAGCCAAAGAACCTGAGAGACTGGAGTGTCGGTCTTGTTATTTTCCTTCTCACACGATGAACATCTGGCTGACTCTGATCTTATCTGGCACCTGAGCATGAAACAGTGATAATATTGATGCTGAGGAACAGTGGTAGTTTGGTTGAGTTGATGTGAACCGTGAAAGGATGCAAAACCAGTGTGCTTTATCTGCATATCTTCCTCTGCCTCAGAATCTTTACCACAAAGTCATCACGTAGCACCAAGGAAACGCATGATGAGGAGTCTGCAAGCTGTGACCAACGCCAAATGCATACCTTAGCGAGGAGAACGCTGCTCACTAAACAATGACGCCTGGACAGTGCCCCACCACCATGGTCCGTCTCGCCGGAGCTCAAGGTACGGAAGGCCGTACCAACAAAGAGCAATTGAGATGCCGGATTGAAACCCCTGCTGTTATCATCCGGTCTTTCGCGAGGTAGAGTTTACCGCCACATGGCTCGTAACATTGCTTGTCGAAAGCACTTTATGAGAGCCTTTAGAATGGATAGCCTGTTCACCCGACAAAGAAGCTGGTTGAATGACCGCCCAACGCCACAGCAGATGAGGCGCAAATGAACAGAGAGCAACAATTTCCCTTACGCATACTTGCGCTTGTCAGTACTCTTGTGTTGGAATACGAGAACCACTATTCATTCCGTTCCTGATGGGCCAACTTGGCAAACGCGAGCTGGGGCTGACATCGTCCGATCGGTCACGGACTTTTTGGGGATGACCGAAATCATACCGTTTCCCCAACCCGCCTCGGTCCCGAGCCCGCCCGACCAATGCTTCCAAGCTTCCTACGTCAGCTTCAGCATCCTTTTTAAACTACTGTCGTCCTGCAGCATTCCGTAGTTTAGCTAGTAGGGTTTTGTTTACATCATTTTGCATCAGTGCACCACCACGCGTACGTCTTTATACATATTATCACCAGTCAATTGAAGATGGCATCAGTAACATTACGCCGCGTTCGACCGGCGACCATCGCGGCTACTGTCGCAGCGGGAGGCATTGGCCTGGCGGCGTACTCGAGGTTGTTTGTGAACAGCGCGTCTGCCGAGTCTGGGGCGCCGCCAAAGGTGTTTGGTGCGGGGCCTGCGTTTGTGTCGCTTGCGTTGGAGAGCTCGGAGGAAGTGAACCACAACACCAAGCGATTGCGTTTCAAGTTACCACAGAGGGAGGCGGTTAGCGGTCTTTCATTGACCTGTGAGTGTTTGCGGTCACCCGAGTTGCGAGGAAAAGAGTGTGCTGATGTTCGAGAACAGCTGCCGTCCTGACCATGTCATGGCCTGCGGGCAGGTGGCTTCCCGTCGCGAGGCCTTACACACCCGTGCAACCTCTCGGTAAGAACAAGAATAATCCCCAAAGGTCACCCATTGCGCTCATAACATCAATGCTAATTGAACAACAAGATGACGCCGGCTACCTCGAGCTCATGGTGAAGAAATACCCAGACGGCAAGCAAAGCACACACATCCACTCCCTCACACCAGGCCAAAAGCTCCTCTTCGCCCTCGCCATCAAAGGCCACCAATGGAAACCCAACAGCTACCAGCACATCACCCTCATCGCCGGCGGTGCGGGCATCACGCCAATCTACCAACTAGCACAGGGAATCCTCCGCAACCCGGAGGATAAGACGGCCATCACGCTCGTCTTTGGTGTAAACTCAGACCAAGACGTGCTGCTCAAAGACGAGTTTGAGAAGTTCGAAAAGGAATTCCCCGGCAGGTTCAAGGCTGTGTACACGGTTAGCAATCCCGTGGCGAATTCGCCGTATCGCAAAGGGTACGTGACGAAGCAGTTGTTGGAGGAGGTTGGCGCGGTGCCGAAGAAGGAGGATACAAAGGTGTTTGTGTGTGGTCCGCCGGCGATGGAGGCGGCTCTTGTGGGGAAGAGGAGTGCGCCCGGGGTGCTGCAGGAGTTGGGGTATCGGAAAGATCAGATTCACCAGTTCTAGAGAGGGATTCAGGCTACCTACATGTACGTTACAGAGGTTACAGAGGCCACGGGGAAGGATGAACCAGAAAATTCTTTCAACATTTCGCTCGGGGTGTTGGCGCGAGAAAAAAAAAAAAGACCTACAAAACAAGCCTTCAATGAAGGAGAGCTCGATTTTTTTGCGCCCTCGACGCTGCGAAAGAAGCCGCAGCTGCCGGGAGAAAAGAACCAAAGAAAAAGAAACCTACTCATGCCCAGAGCTCGGACAAAACCTCAACAATTCACATGACCCGCCTTGCTAGCTCAATCGGTAGAGCGTGAGACTCTTAATCTCAAGGTTGCGGGTTCGACCCCCGCGTGAGGCTCAAATCCTCACCGCGATTGGTTAAGCCATTCTTCGGGTTATTCTTTTTGCCTTTTTTGCCCTTTTGAAGTACCAGACTCTCACCCTTGCGCGGTAGAAGCTTGATTTGGAGGCTGATTATTACTGGTACAACATCCTCCTCCAGGCGCATGCAGAGTTTTTTTGCTGGAGAGGAGACTTTAGCGTTCAAGGTGTAGAGAAATGGGGAAGTTATTGGTGTGCCTGAGCTGAGTATCGGCCTCGACTGCAAGTGCTCTGGTGAGCGTCCCATACGCTCATGCGTACCTACCTTACTTTACTGGGTCACGATTGATCAGATAATTGATCAAAGTTGGTGCCCGTCATTCTTGCCGAGCTTTGAGTGTGTATTCGATGTAGAGCAAATATCACCTTATTATGCTGATACTTCCTGGGCTATGGCTTTCGGTATCTCTCTATGTTCAATGTCCATCACCCTGTAACCTCCATAAACAGTGCTAAGAATTGCGTCGCGAAGCAATTTAGAAGTTAATAGTGGGGTTTCAAGCCTCGCATATCTGTTCAAATGGTGTCCGCAAGTGGCCATGCCAATTATCCATCGGAGTCGACAATTTGTATCGTCATTACTGGGACATGATACTTCTTCAAAGTCCTTCAACAATGAACCCCAACCGCAACCATGATTCGTTGACGTAATGCACCGCCCCCACAAAAGAGTTCTCCATCACTCCCTGCAGCCAACTCCTAACATGTCTTTCCGCCCATCAGCCAGCCTCACCACAAATATCACCGTAAGCTCCTCGTCAGCCCTATACACCTCATCTCATGGATCAATGGACTAATGAAAGCAAAGATGGAGCAATTCGGTCTCGCAGCAGCGCACTCGGGCGCGATAAACCACATCCACGCCATTCACTTCGGTCCCGCTGCCGTGGACGTCGTCAGGGAGATCCGGCTGGCTGTTACTGTTGTTGTCATCGGCTGGGTTGCTGTTACTGGAATCAGGACGGTCTTCAATCGGGATAGGCGATGAGGAGGGGTATCTGGCCGAGGAAGAGCTAAGTTGGCGAGGGAAACGGGGTCGCAAGGAGGAATGCAACCCGTCGCCGAAGGTTGGATGTCAGAGGGCGAGCCCAATCGAATGTGTCTCTAAAACAGCTTAAACAGCTGTGATTTGTACAACAGTAGGACATTTGACTATCTCGGTTCCCTTTCAGGTATCTGTAGCAACAAACAAATGCACGTTATTGTCAGTTTTTACCAGTCTAAAACTCCTCCCAAAGTCGGGCCGGATTCCCGGCAACCCACTAACCCAGACTTCAGTCCGAATAGCCTTCCAAGTGCGCGGCTTTACTACGGCCATGTACGGGCCTACGGTGGCGGAAAATGCAGAAATCTCATACAGCACCAAGCCCCCGTTCCCGTGGCACAAGCCTGCGCGCCAGCACCCGTGTCGTTGGCCTTCTTTGTCCATCCTTCTGGGCATGTGCCATCGCAGAATGCCTGGCAGATTTCGGCGTCGGGATCTACTGTCGCGGAGTCTATGTCTTCTGGTCAGATGACAAGGCATGCGTTGGATTGAGTACATCTGTTCAGTTTCGTGTTGAGATCAGGAGAAGTGGGAGTGAGTGGCCTACCGAGTGGGATGGCTAGTGCCGCAGCCACGAGGCTCAAGAATACGAGCGCAATAGTTTTCATCTTCGACTAGGAGTTGCTCTGTGGTGTTTTAGTGTGATTAAATCGATTCATGGTGAGACTTCAATCTCAAAAAAAAAAAAAGGGTGACGGGACGACGGATAGTTGACAGTTGCGTGCATGATGTTGAAATAAGGTACTAATCATTATCTTCAGGGGGCAGATATGAATGGTTGGTGAAACACTGGACCATCAAAGAAAAGGCACCTGCGGATAGTAATGTAATCATAGAGTAAGACAAAGATAAATAAAGCAGTTAGTCCCTGAAACTCGCATGAATTAAACCACGATCTCGGTTTGGCCCGGGCGGGTGGGAGGCCTTTGTTCACAATCCAGCCTCATCCTTGTTTGCGCGGCGCGCTTACTGGTTGAGTTTGCGGCACAGGACGACGTCTGAAATTTCAAGTACCGCGCGCTCACATTCAGTCCCGCGGGACTGGCAGAGTCTACTGGGGCTGGCTATTAATTTCCTTTAGACACCGGTGGACTTTAATTCATCATCACAGATCGAGGTTTGAGAGCATAGGGGGGGAACATTGAACTTGAAAGTGGTTATGATTACAAGCATCTAAACAGCTTGCATCCGTACTATGAAAGAATGCCTCGTCCTCAACTCGTGAAAGTCTCTCGTCTCAGCTCCTAAATCCTTGTAAATACATATCCAATGTTTCCCATCATCCAGTCATGATCCATTTCCAGTCATCCCATAAGAGCCCATTATTTTTATGTACCCATATCCACCCACCAAGAGAGCGTCTGGAACCAGCCCAAGCGAATCTTTTCAAAACGCCAAGATAAAAGCAGACGGGAAAATGATTCCAAAAAAGAAAACACCACTCAGCAAGCACCATACCGGACACCTCTCTTACCCAACTCCTTCCTACCAACGGGGTCTTCGGGGAGGACCCAACCTCTCGCCCTCTTGGCCTCACGCTTCTCCGCCAACTGCGGCTTGGGCATCCAATCATCCCTAGGCAACGCCTTGCGTCTGGTACCCTCAGCAGGCGCACCAATCTCCGTCTTCCAGTGCGCGACGGCACCGCGGCCCTGCTGCTGAGGCGCGTCATCGCCAGCCATCATGCAGAGACCCCAGAGCGCGAGGCAAGCAGTGAGCGGGATCTCGCCGACCTCGCAGTCAGCATCGTCAGCGACGGCGGCAAGCTGGACGGAAGTGACTTCGAGGTGACCAAAGTGGGGGACGGACTCGCTGCCGTTGCGGACGATGACGAGCTCAATCTCGGTGAGGATGAAGCCGTAGCGGCACGAGTGCTCGCGCATGGCGTGGTGCAGGGCAGCGAGGCCGCGGAGGTACTCGACGCGCTTGATGTTGCCCTCGACACGCATGCCGGTGTTGAAGCGGTCAAAGGAGCGGACGAGGCCGACGACGCGGGCGGTGGGCTTGCCGCCGAAGATTGTGGCCGCGGAGGCGGGTTCACCTGCGGGAGAGGCGGTGAAGAGGAGTTCGGGCTGCTTTGCGGTGGCGGAGGGGGCGGGAGCGGAGAGCTGCATGGGTCTGTGGGAAGAGATGGCGAGCGCAGCGTTAAGCTTGGGGAGGTAGTGGGAGGCGTAGATGCTGTGAAGAGCGGCTTCGGTCTCTGGTTGCCGGGCGGTCGGAGCAGGGTTGGGGAGGAGAGGGGCCGGGACGGGGCAGTTGAGGAGAGCGGCGGCACCGGGAAGAGAGAGGACGGACGAAGCGTTGAAGGTGGTCCAGGGACGGATTTGGCGAACGTCCCACCAGAAGTGCTTGGTGTTGGGGTCCCGGAGAGGGAACGAGATGGTGCGCACCAGCGAAGGAGCAGGGTTAGATCCGGTGAGGTAGGTCATGAGAGTGGTGGTCGGGGTCGGGTCCGGGGTGGCAGCGGCAGAGAGGCTGAGAGGAGAAGGCGCCCGAGGCGTGTAGGAGGGGAACATGTATGCCTCTGATGGTTGCTGAGGAGCAGGAGTGGGAACGTACGAGGGCATCTGACGGTAGGTCGGGAAGCCAAACTTCTCGAGGGCGACACCCTCAAGGCTGCAGGTCGATGCGCGGCGAGATTGCATGTCATCGGCAAAGATGACGGGAGAGCAGAGGAGCGATGAGGGAGTCTGCTCCTCGGGCTGGCTGCAGTAGGAGGAGGGCATGTTCCATGTGAGAGTCTCCGGGTTGGTGAAACTGCGAGTGTGAGCCGGGCGGAAGACGGCGTTGGTGGTGGGGGCCACGGGGGTTGCCCGTCTGGAAACCGGGGCGCGGGGCTTCGGTGAGGCCTTGATGCGCTTGGGAGGCGACTCGATGGCTTGGTCCTGGGAGCGGATCTTGGGGAGCAAGAGAGGGCCGTGTTGGCGGATCGGGGGTGAGGCGCGAGACGGTGTTGTCATGCGAGTGCTGACCGAGTCCGGTGTGGAGTCTGCGGCAGAGATGAAGGAGTAGACGGAGCCATTGGAGCGAGAGCGGTTGTGGCCCGGGTTGTGATGGTAGGGGAGGTCGAGGAGAGAAGAGTCGAAGGAGAAACTCGGCGGCGTGGAGGGCTCGCACGAGGGGAAGATGAAGTCGAAGGACATATCCGCTGCCAGACTGGTAAATGATGTGTTAGTGGGGGTGTAAGTGAGGCGAGGAGCAGGGGGCATCTCATACGTGGACATTGTGACTGTGAGATGGTTGGATTATGGGATTATGAGAGGTGTTTCGTGAGAGAGGAGGCCAGCTCCAGGAGTCTTTTCGGCGTTTGAGAATTTGCGTTGCGATTGGGAAAGCAGACGGGGTTGCTGTGAAGCAGGGACGAGGTGGCCGCGTTCAACGAGACCAGGGTGTTCCGAGAGATCTAGGTGTATAACTTTTTGTGTTTTGGAATCCAGATAATGCGAGTTATAGTAAACAAACAAGAGCGATTTGATAACAACTTCAGACTGAGACGAGGATGAGAGGACGAGAGTGGAAAGGAGACGACGAGATGAGGATGGAGAGAGAAGGGGCCAACAGAAAGGGACAGTAGGCGCGGGAGGGGAGGACATCTTTATCCTCGGGTTTGAGGCTCGTAGCCCAATGGATGTGGTGGTGGTGATGCGGCGCGCGACTGACGGCCGACTGGAGCGAGGGCGTGTGGCCTTCGCCCCGGCCCCAGCCTTGGACTGACGGGGGGAAGAGCAGCAGTACAACGCAACGGTGGGTTGAGCTGCGCGCATCCGGCTTGGTGGTTGTAGTCTGTAGATGCTAGGGTCCCTTGGACGGATCGTGGGCCGAGACCAGACGACGGATGAATGATAGATACGTATTCTCGACTAAGTAGTGACGGTAGTATGTATCCCATGTTTAGGTGGAGGAAGAGAAAAACTGTCGTCTATCGTCTGACCCCGGCAAGACACAAAAGAAGACCGAAAACAGGGTAGCTTGGAGCTACTGCAGAAGGAAGGGAAAAAAGGGTGGACTCGTCGATGAAATGCTGCATCTTGGGCTGCATGCTGGGAATGGCAGAGGTAAGGTCGGCCCACTAGGGCGCTGAGAGAACCAGAACTCTGAAACACGGGGTCAAGTGTATGAAGGTTTAGTCCACTTGGAAGTACAGTGGAGCCGCATGGATGCAGAAGAAGAACTTGAAGCTGTTCGTTGAGTTTGGCCGGGTTGAGGTGAGGTGTATCAGTCGGGGTCTCTCTGATGTTGGCCATCGAAGTTCTTTCCGGGTGGATGTTGAAGGGTACGTACCTCGACATTTCAATGTGGATCCCTTTGAGGCGGAGCCTGCGGGAAGTTCGCTCGCTTATTTGCGCACTGTTCATGTGACGTTAGGATTCACCACAATACAGTGTATAATTAATTATCAGAAACGGTACGTATAGAATGACTGAGAGGAAGGTGTTGACCACTCACCGTCCACGACAGCTGTCTTGCATCAACTGCTCTTCCCTTGGTTTCCACCTTCGTACCTTCCCACCCCTGCAAAGCGTCTATACCCACGGAGTACGTAGACTGTGACTCATTTTTAGACACATGGCAGTTCGGTCGTGCATTAGCTCATCGTTTCTCCACTCTGCTAGCTTTGCTTCTTAGCGTCACCCACAGCAGAACGGGCGGAAGTGGGACGAACGCAACACAAACATCAACACCACTTCCTTTCCTCTCACCCTCCAGGCGTAGACGCGCTCGTGTGGTGTACAACGATCATTCGACGCGATGTCATGCGTCGTCGTGACATGCGATGCGATGCGATGCCATGCGTCCTTTCGGTCTCGCTCTGGTTTCGCGTCGAGACTGAGTTCATCGCGACTCGTCCGCGAGGGCATTCCCAACTCGTATACCACACTCCTCGCAAGGACGTGCCAGCACACCTCGCAGTCCGCACCGCTTCGACCGTCCTATTCAGTATTCTGTCAGATTTTCTCGCGATCAATACGCCGACCGCCTCATTTCCACGACCTGGCCTCCGGGGTCGAGTACCACCACCTAAGCCTCGCCCACCTGAGCTCCCAGGCACCTTTGAGTCCTTACCCTCTCGCAACCATATGAGCCGAGCGGCAACTGAGATTACCGGCGGCTGTCGCATCATGCTGTCTCTCCCACTAAGACACCAGAAGCCCTCTCTCGCTCCAGAGGCCCTCTCCCAGTGTTACCATCCGGCGTCAAGGTGCGCGCGGAAATTGGCACCGTACAAGAAAAGAAACAGCCGAACCCCACGTTACTCTTCCCGAAACAGCCGCTCGCTCAGAAAGCCTCCGCTCCCCTTAACCGCCCGGGCGGCTACGGCTAACAATGACGACCACCATGGTCCCACCCCCGATTCCGGACGGCGCTTAACACAGTTCAAGGCCCAGAGTCTCAAATCTCCTCGCTCTCAGCATCATCCGGGAACCGGTGGGCCTCGATAACGGGCTCCAGGAAGAGGCAGCCGCCTTGCCTGATTACCAGTCTCACCCTCTTACACGAACCCCCTCACCTCACCTTACACACACAAAGGTACATAGACGCCTGACCGACCCTCAGCCTCGATGGCCCCGAGGTCGGGCCTGCTGACAATGACGCTTTGAATTTGAAGCTGGCCATCATGGCCCGCTGCTTACGTCCGGATCATGCCGTAGCCGCGCATGTCTCGGTGATCTCGGTGAGTTCAGAAGGCGGGCCTTCAAAGCGTCGCAGTACAAGCGACCTCTGCAACATCGGTATACAGTAGTACGTCTTGAACCTATTGAGACGGGTCATCTACAGTCTACGGATGCCTCGTAATGGTTTCCCCTTTCTTCAAGATGTAGAAAACGACGAGGATACGACGAGCATGGTTATCGCCGACCCATCTCTGCTCCATGATTCGCATGACCCCTCAAGCAAAGCATCCCTCGGCTATCGTCCCCCTCGTTCGATGTAGTACGACTCTACTCCTCACCAAATGAGAAAACGGGAGACACGGCATTGCGAAACGATTGCACAGCCGCACTCCAGCGCTTAACACTACCTTACTTTTCAAGTTCCCCATAATCCCTCTTCTTCAAGCGCCACACCCAAGATCCAGTCAGCATCCAAAGTCTGCCCTTCGCTTCACCTCCTTCCCGCTTCGCTCCCGTGGCCCGTGCTCCTTCCTCCCTCTTTGGTTCGAAAGGAAGGTAAGGCAGAGTCCGTGCTCCTTCCTTTCCCAGACGCGGTGTCCCTGCCCTGGTCCGTGCCACCCCTTGTCATCCATCGCCAGTTTCCTCCCTCCTCCCTCCTCCTCACCCCCCGTCTCGTCATCCCATTGGCTCCCAACCACGCGCCCGCACCACCCAATCTCGACGCGCCGCAGATCCCGTCCACGACTCCCACGACCTCCACGGTCCGTTCAAACTGCCAGAAGATCCCATCCGTCGACCGTTCATCGCTCGTGGGTGTGTCCACGACTCCACTGCCCGTGTCAACCCCAGTCCAAGACCCGGCATCCAATCGGGTTCCCAAAGCACCAAAAAACCCGTGTCCCGACCGCTTCATTGGCCCAGCCGTCCTCCCGGGATGTTTCACGACCGCCTTTTTGTTTCCCGATTCAATGGCCCTCCCGTCGTCGTTGCTCTTTAGTTTCTCTTTCGGACTCTTTTTTCCCTTCACCACCTTCTAGCTAGCCTTCTCCTCCCCCCGGCTCGGTAAGGTAAGCTTGTGTAGCTCCATTTCCCTAGCCTTGCCATGCATGATGGTTGCTCTTGGCCTTTGGAACCATTGCAAGGAAGAGTGACTCACATCTTCGCTGTTCATCGACGGGTGGATCTACGGATACTTCCCACAAGGAAAAACGCATCAACGACATGGGGGTTTGGGAGCATCTTTCTGCTTTCCCAACGATGTTAACCAGGACATGTTGGCAAAACTTTGAGAATTTTTACTACAACCCCGGCAGTTCGGGTCGGTGTACTTTGAAGCGGATATCCGCCTCCAGGAGCCTGCCCGGGAAAATCGGGGAGGCTGGGGTTCAACAAGACCACACTCTGCGTTGTCTGCCATGGCATCACCAAATCGACGTCACTTCATTACCAACACCATGCGCATGCGGGACCTCGATTATTGTTGACCTTGTCAATCTAGGTATCCTCATGTATCCATTGTCTATCTGTCACCCCCAGCTCTCAAGAGGAGGGGACCTTAAAACCCTTCAAAGGAGACCCCGTCTATCCCACGCCCATGCCGAGGACGCCAAAAGGGTATCCGTCAAATGAAACGAAAAAAAAAGGACAAGTGTCTCTCTACCTTGCTACACAAAAGGACACTCAAGAAGGTAAAAGGTTTGAGAAGTGTAGGTAGTGTAAGAGAGGACCAGGAGGGAGAAAATGTTTCAACGTTTCAACGAAAGGTTGTGTGTTTCCATGCAGGTGTTGTGGTCTGCATCCCAGACTTGACACTTATCCACCCCTTCTCCGTCAGCTGCAGTCATCCGCTGCGACGGACGGACTGGACTGATCATCCGCCCCACGCCACAACCATCCACTCACAGCCACCGCTGGTCCCAGACGCGTCCAGCTTCCGCATACAACGCGTCGGTCCTTGGTGTTGAAGGGCAAGAAAAGCGACGTCCACACCATCCATCCCAGGCAGACGGCAGTCGACGTAGTCGCAGCAGCATGCCCCATACAAAAGGAAACCAGGGCTAGGCTCTCTAGTATCCCGCACCATTCGCCACCACGTCGCCCGTTCTCGTGCTCCCGCTGCTGGCTCCCTCACCTGCATCTCTCCCCATCCCCTCGTGCGTCGATTGACTCATACTCGACCGCCCTGAAACGTTTGCCAATGCCGCCTCGAGATCCGCCTTCCCTTCCCGTAGCCTCCGGAGTGTCCTCATCATCCCGTCCAGCCGGAGTCGCTCCTGGATCACCATGCCTTTGGCGAATTCCTTGATCGCTCGTCGCCCCATCTTCTCGTGCAGGTCTTGCCACCCGGCTAACTCCCCAGCCACTACTTGTTGCGAGTATCGAAGTTCTCGACCGAGGTCGTCCACCTGCTCTTGTGACTGGCGGGCTTTCTCTTCCCTCTCCTCGTTGAGACGTTGTCGCGTATCATCCAGCAAACCAAGAGGCCACCTTGTCGATCTCGTGAGCGAGTTGTAGTTCCGCTCCATGGCCTTGCGCGCAGCCGATATCTGCGTGATTTGTGCAGGTGGCCGCGACAGAGCCGACAGCAGGGCTTGGATCGTCGATTGTGACGCCAGGAACGTTGAGTGGAAGATCCCATAAGGATTCGACTGCATCGGTACGAGTGTACGGACATAAGACTCCATCGCCGTGATGTATGCAGGTGGAAGGAACGGCAACGTTGAAACAGCGCGATGCAGAAGGACTGATGCGTTGTGGAGATCTGCTCTCGTTAGTTCAGACCATAGCCATCCTGTCACTGGGAACAAACTTACCTGAAGCAACGATGGCGATGGAATTGACCCTTCTTGCCACGCTCTTAGTCGAGTAGTTGACACTCCGCACCATCTCCCTAGCATGATCGACAAATTGCTCGACCTCTCGCACATCTTTGACGGGCTCGTACTCTTCCCGCACTTTTTCGGCTCGCGTCTCGGCCTTCAGATTACTCCTTTGTTCCATCATACCAAGCTGAATATCAGGCACCAGGAAGAATTCCCAGAGCATCTCGTGCGTTGCGAAAGTCGGGTGATTGAGCATGATCTTGAGGAACCAGTCAGCCCGAGTCTGGATATCCCGTAGCACTGCTCTAGACGGCTTCGAGGGTATCTGGAAAGGCGACCGCACGCCTGCCACCGCCGGGATCCAGGACGCCGGGTTCTCCAGCGCGAGCAGGTTGCCGAGGTGCTCAAAATCAGACAAATTCCTGCGGCTCGTTGTGACAGTGTAGCTCATGTGGTCGGCGGGGGCGGCCGATTTCAAGACCAGCCGAATGGTCGCATCTTCAACGAAAAAAGCTCTCACGACACCGGTGATACGGGCATCCGTACCAGGGGGCATGCTGAAGAGTGCCAAGTCATCAATCTTATTCCTGATGTCGTCATCTTTGGCCAATTCAACGGCCGTCAGGCTCCGGATTTCTCGGGCTGCGACATCGACGCGTGCATCCACATATAACGTTCTGACCATGTCTAGTCTGCCATATTTGCTGGCAACCATCAATGGTGTAAACTTCTTCTCGTTCGTGGCGTTGACATCGACATCGCATTGCTGGAGCACTCTGAGTGCCAGCTGCGGGTCATTGACAATGTGAAGCAGAGTGTTCCCCTTGGCGTCCACATGATCGTCAATGTGCAGCGGAAGCCCGTCACGCTGCGCTTCCGTGGCCGCATCAAGGCCGGCATCCACCATTTCGCGGTAATGGACATGGTCATACGACCTGCAAAGTGCAAAAAGCGGCGTCTGCCCATTCTTGTCTTTTTGCCGCCAGGGGACTAATCTCCCGATCCGAGAAATTAGAAACGGTGCGTGGAACAGGTAATGCGCACAACTGCGTCCCCAAATGTCTTGCTGAGCAAAATACTCAATTAGGCGCTCTCTTGCCGCCAGCCTCGAAATGAAGTCGAGAATAATATTGATCAGCTCCGTATGTCCCAGCTGAACCGCAGCGCTAAACAGCGTCGTATCTTCGTTGTTGATGTCGTCTAAAATAACAGAAAGAGGATAGTACTCGCTCAACGTCAGCAAGTACCGCATAATGTCGGCTCTTTCGTTTTGCACAGCCATCATCAGGATTGACTCGCCGAACGAATTATGTGTCTGCGACAATCGATCAATTGTGACATCGCCCTCGAGCACGCTTCCAATAGTTCCATTGCTGGTCGCTCTTGAGTGATATGAGATCTCCGAGCCGCTAGACATGCTTCGTGTATCCATGGCAACTCTCTTGACCTTTCGAGGAGGCGGGGGAAGCGGGAAGTCAATCTCACTGCCGTCATCCTCAGCCTGGAATGGGAAGACGTGGCTCAGGCCAGAGCCTGACGAGAAGCGATCCGAGATCGTAACTGCTGTTGATGACCTCCTCGAGGCAGACCCGTTGGTAAAGCTCCAGCTGTGAGAAGGGCGGCGACTTGATTCTGGCGAATCATAAAGGTCATCATCGAGAACGGCGTTCTCATCTGGTTCCATAATATTCTTCAAGTCTTCTAGGCTTCCATTGCTAGTGGCATTCCATAGCGCTTTGTTTCGTCGGCTGGCTCTGCGCAATCCAGCCGAGTCGAGTGTGAGGTAAGAAAGGACAGCTTCGAAAGTGCTCAGTGCATATCCCATCTCGCCGTTGTCGACGTCGTCGATGAAGATGAAGTGACGGATGTAGATGAGCCGAGCGTGCAAGTGCCGAACTTGCGCTCGAATGACCACGAAGAGCAACAATGAGACGAGCGTATCCGCATTGACTGTTAGCGTGGGCTTTTCGGTCGAAGAGGCTGCCTGCGCCCGTGAAGACTCCGTCAGATGCGTGACGAGCTTCATGGTCGATAGGAGCAGATCGAGCATCTCTTGTGGGCTCATGGCATTCGCTGTCTTCTTGAACTCCTCCACGGCCAGACCAAGCTGTATTGTCAACTCGTGCTTCCCTCGCGAGCCACCTTCTATGGAGATGCCGAGCTGTGACAAGTCGATGAACTCCATCTGCCGAATCTTGGCCTCCAACTCGAGATCATACGGTCGTTTTGATGCACTGAGTCGCGGAAACAGGAGGTGATGCGTGTTCTCGGTGACGTATCTTTCGATGAGCCTTTCAACCAGAGGTCCCGTAAGATCGGTCGTAGCCCCGAGCATCGAGAGTTGCTGCTTGTCAACCCCCTGGAACAAGTCGATGGCGGCTGTCACCGCGGTCTCCAATGAAGCTCTCATCACATCTTCGTCGTCCTCGGCGTAAAAGTTCTCCGTCACGGGTAGGCCGTTAGTCAGCCCGTTAGGCCGCCTCGCTGCTGACATGCTGTTGGACCGCGCCTTCCTCATTGCCGTAGTGATAGGTCCGTCGGGCTCGGGGTCGGGTATGCGTAACGCCGAAGGGGGCGGCGGAAGCGGTCGCTCGAAGACGGTCGTAAACTCTCGAAACAGCTTTTCTAATCCGGGCTGCATTTGTCGCGCAATGATGGGGAAATGGTTGAGGAGGTCGTGAAAGCTCTTGATATCCTTCTTTCGTGGTAGCATCGCGCCTTCGCCAATCTCCGCAGCCGCCGCCTGGCTCTGTTCGAGAGCTCTCCTCCTCGCCATTCCCTCTACCAGTATGGCAGGCTCGATCTTGGTCTCCTCCCATACTCCCACGAGTGGTCGCGAGATGTAGTAAATCAGCCATTGGCGGGGCTCGAGGAGGTCGGGATACCATGTCGAATCGTTGAGCAATTGAGCTTGCGCGAGCGACTTGAAGCCTGTGATATACTTGTCAGTCATTGGTGGCTCAGGATTGCATTTTCAGGCGCACCTTTGTTACTGTAGACGTGTGTATCTTTGATGACAACTGTGCGACCATTGATGGTCTGATACTGCTTCGCCTTGCCCCTCAGCTCCCGCAGGTTTTGCGCCGCGTCCTTCCCGCCCGCAGCAGAGGCGGTATTTGCGGCGGGAATCCGAAGCACATGGCTAGCTAGAAATTCTTCCGAGGTGATGAGCTCATGGAAGGTCGAGCCGCTCTCGACTTCGCGACATGTGAGGAGAACATCGGTGGTCGGGACCAGGAGGATGTGATGATGTACCGGGGTACACTGTGAGGGTAGGGAGCTTCGGAAGAAGGCAGCGAGGAATGGATTGAGGGGTTGCATTCATTCGACTGGCGCTGGACGTCCTCGGCCAGCTTGCCCGGCCGGGGAAGCCAGGATTGCAGGGGAAAGGTGAGTAGGTGGTGGAGGATCGCGAAATTCGGGAGCACGGAGGTGCCGGGGGATCGACGGGCAAGAGGCGGAATGAAGGCTGGAAATAGGATCGCTGGGTATCGCTTAATGTCGCTGAGATGCAAGATGGCCGTTGGCGGTCATGGAAAAGACGCGAATCTGATTTGCGGTCGGTGAGGCAGGTGGGAAATGGTTCGTGATGGAAAGGCAAGTTGGTAGTGGTGGTTGCGATTCCCCTGGACAGATAGCAGTGGAAGGTGTTGAAGCTCTGGTGTGGGCCAGGCAAGCCAGGCACTGACCTCACTCAGGCCGCACGTCCCACTCCCAATGGGCTGCCACGTAGGGGTCGATCAAAACCATTTTCTATATTAAAAACGTTGTTTTAAATTTTTCCCACTAATACGTATAAGATATAAAAATAACGCTAACCCAATTAAGCTAGCGACCTACCTAATAAGATTAACTCTAGCCGAATTAACTAATTAATTCGCTTAAAATTCTTATTTTTAATAGCTTCTCCTTATTTATTAATTTATTTATTTACCTATTTCAATAACTATTTAGCCAGCGGTAACTATTAATCACGCCCGTTATGATTAAAAATCATTTTTTTAATATTTATTAATTTAACTTTTCTGACACGATAGCTTTAAAAAATAAGTGATAAGACTCTTATACAAGAGTATTAAATGGTGAATATTCATATGGAAGCAAGAATATATAAATATAGGGGTAGTTAAGCGTATATAAAAGAGATTGATAACTGTAAAGAGAGTATATAGTTAGATTACTATATGAGAAGTTGCTTGCTTAACGAAAGGTCTAAGTAGGTAAAAAGATGCCCTTATATAGGCATAAGATCCTCCGACTAGAATATTCCATTGCTTATTAATTATATCATAATTAATAAGCATATACATAAGTGAATGCGTAATTGTAATACGTAATACCTTTCAAGTAAATTCCAGCGCATTCTATTACTTTCTAGTGCCTTCTTTCGCTCACTCAAGCTTACATAACCAATCTTGCTTACGTAATCAATATCTATATTAATCTATAACTCTTATAGATTAATATGATATATAATATGCTTACGTAATATGAATAATAAGGCAAATAATAAGGTAAAAGATTTACCTTTCTAACAATTTTAGGTTAAGTGTTACGAGCAGGACAAGGCAACCAACTGTGGCACAAAGCAAAAGCTTCGATAATGATGACTCCGCATCATTTTCCCTTGTTCTGCATTATAGAGCTACGCGCCCACAGTGACAAGTTGCGGCGGGCGTAACATTAAGATATTGTTGTAGAAGCTATTTCCCCTCTTCTAGGGACTCGATAACAAATTACTATTTATATCCGTATTTATAAGACCTCCGATATCGAATCCTAGTACCTTCCGTTAGCCTCGGGTCTCTAAAGCAATTATATTAAAATAAATATTTTATAAATTGACTAGTTATTAAATTTATATTTATTACGTTAGGTAATTCCAAATCTATTTTTCTTAGAAATATATTTACTCGATCGAACAAGGCTTTAAGTATAGACTCTAGTTTATTAAGGACTAGTAGGTTTAGAATTTCAATTAGGGAAGGAGATAATGATTTATCGCTTTTGGGGGGGTTGGAGGCCGCAGTTCGAAATGAAGTCGGATTTAAAGAGAGATTCTTTATTAGGCTAATAAGACCAGTTCCTCAGGGAGGCGAATAAGGTAGTAGGCACGTACACTTACCCCGTATTTATTACTAAAGATAGCTTTCTTTAAATTATTAAATAAGTATAGAGGTAAACTTTTCATTCATTCTTATAACTCGACTAATAAGACTAAAAAGAGTATTAAAGACTTAGAATATTTACCAAAAATTCTAAAACTTATATTTGATTAGTACTATAAGAGCTACGTACTTAAGAAGTTACATGGTAGTAAAAGGCTCAATTTTACGCCCGCCGCAACTTGTCACTATGAGCGCGTAGCCACATAACGCAGAACAAGGGAAAATGATACGGAGTCATCATTATTGAAGCTTTTGCTTTGTGCCACAGTTGGTTGCCTTGTCCTGCTCGTAACACTCAACCGAAGTACGTATCTACTCAGATACAACGCTTTGTACGCACGTACAGCCCGAACGTAAATACGCTTTACATATACATGATAAAGCGCCGGCAGGCACATATGCCCGTATAAACTTAATAATAAATGCTCGGACTTAAGCACTACATGTGATTACATGTGATTACATATGATTACATATGATTACATGTGATATTTATATTATATATAGACTACACTTTCCCACCATATCATAGAATAATCATCAATACAATCGATTCTCTGATTATCCCAACTCGTACCTCAACTTATTTACCTTTTTCACTTTTTGCCTACCTTTAACCTCTTAGTTAAAGTATTCTATAAAAGGCTCGGAAGGCTAGGCAGGTTAAAGTAATACTCTTTAAGTAGGCGAAGGACTTTACTCGGGTATAATACAGGATTAAATATAGGTTAGAAAGTTTATGTGCCCTTTAGAAACCTATAATAAAGATAGAGTGATGGTCCCTTTGGAAGAGGCGGTACGTTATACTTAATTGAGATTTACGATAAGGTGGTCGGTTAGGAAGACTATATTCCTTAAGGGAATTAGCAGTCGAGATAGAGCCTAGGCTCTATCGCGGGATATTATAGTTAATAATATATAACTAAAAGGGTAGATTTTTTATAAAATCCTTAGCGGGAGGTCGAAAATAAGGTTGTATTATTTATAATAATTATTAGCGCTATAGAACTTACTAATACTAGGCCGGCTACTATTTAAGGATAGGGATAATGATATATTATTATTATTATTTTAGCGGTAACGTTTAGACGATCGAGCTTTATCCAATAAGTTATTACCTTTAGCTCAGTAATGTAAAGATATATTAATAGTACTTATAAGTTAGTTTTTAGAGTTGGCGCGACTGTACTTGCTCCGGGTCAGTATAAAAGGTATTGGTATATTTAAATAACGTGGTTTACCAGTCAGCCGCGCATATCAGTCAGCCGCGCATTTCCTTATTGTATACTAAGTCGCCTACATTATATAATTAATATCTTTTTCATTATTGGTTATATAACATTCAAATTTTTTCATTAGTCTTTGATAAGAGTCACCAAACTAAATAAAAAGTTTTAAAAATTAATTTCTATTTAGAGATAGAGTAAATATATTATATCCTTATCAAAGACCCATATTTCTATTCCACTACTTATTTCAATATAAAAAGATTAAAGTGTCTTTTTGTATTAAATTTAACTAGTTATATTTTAAATATATTATAAAGATACTGAAATCTTTTTAATTAGTTATTATTCAAAGAAATTAGGTAAATATGCAATTTAGTATGCGATAAGGAAATGCGCGGCTGGCTGATATGCGCGGCTGACTGGTAAACTACGTTATAGTTAATAATAGAAAATTTTCATATTTATAATAAAAACTATAGCTAATAAGGGCGCCGGACGGCGGCGCCCGTGTAAAAGCGGCGCTTGTATATCAATTTCTATAATTTAAAATTGAAGGGTTTTTCAACGGGTTTTGATATTTTTAGTTTAGTTTTAAATAATCAAAATAACGTACCTGCATAGCGAGTGGGCCAACATAGCGAGTGGGCCACTTTCCTCTACCTTTCTACCTTTTATGTAAGTTAATTTAGCTACAACGTACAAAATTAATTAAAACTACTCATCATCCTCTTCCTCATTACTGTCCCAAACTACTTCACAGGTTCGTGCGTTATGTCCAGTCTTTCCGCAATTGCCACATCGTCGCGCGCGTGGTTCAGCGCCTTCCGTACGACCCTCCTTCTGAGGGTTATTCTTCCCTCCAACATCAACACCACCCTTTTGTCCTTGTAGTGCCTCTGCTTCAGCAGTATTAAGTGACCCTCCAAGACGTAGTCGGGTCTTTTTTGCCCTCCGGCGCTTACTTAATACCTCTATCCCCGTACGAAGCTTAGAGTTCTCAGCCTCAATAATAGCAAGCCTATGGGCTAACTTGCTAATACCTTTGGCCTGGAAGTCAATTACTTCGTACATTGCTGTTGGTGAGCTACCCTGATGTGCTTGGATCCTCTTTTTAAGGGATGTAGCACTTCGTACGCCCTCTAGTGCTGTAGTTGGTGTCTTTGCGTCCCAGGAGCCTTGGCTGCTTGGCCGTGAGGTTGAGGGTGTTGGCGTCTTTGGCTTGAAATCCAGGCGAGAAATGACTACTTCTGGGTCTAATGGTACAAGGCCTGCCTGTCTAAAACCAGCTCGTACGTTGTTTTCGCCCATTGAAGCAAAGAATGCTGCTTTAAAAGCAGGAAAGAAGTCGTCCTTTGTAATATGCGAAATCTGCATCCGCATCATCTTCTCGATTTCCTTGCCGTACGAGTGCTTTAACGGGCTAAAACAACCAACGTCAAGAGGCTGAAGCTCGTGCGATGAATGGGGAGGCATGCAAAGAGCGATAATGTTTTGTTCCTTGCAGTAGTCGTCAAACTCAGTGGATTTATGGCTGTTATGACCATCTAGGATCAAGAGGCGATGATGACTCTTCGTACGAGACTTTGTACACTGATCAAAGTGCTTTAGCCAATCTAGGCCAATTTCATTTGTCGTCCATCCATTTTCGCTTGGATGGATGCGCCATGTGGCTGGGAATTGGCCGTTGGCGTACCAGGAGAGGAGGTGATATTTGCCCTTCACGATGATGTACGGAGGCAACGCCCAGCCATCCGCGCATACACCCTGAATAACAGAAACCCATTCCCGATTGCCAGGCTGCTTCATACGAGGCCTTCCCTTACGGTCAGATGTCGTAACAACCTTTGCGTGCGACAGCATTCCCATTAAGAAACCAGTCTCATCAAAATTGTAGATATCGTGATCGTGTATCCCATACTTTGTAATTGTGTTTCGCACGAGTGCAAACCAGCCTTGTATAATCGTAGGATCTTCAGCTAAAGCCCTCTGATAGTCGATTCGACGTCGAAATCGCATTTTCAATTGGGGTTGTCGTCGTACGAAGTTCTCTGCCCATCGGGGTCCAACACGCGTCGCGTCGCGCTTAGAAAGGAGTCGGTCGGCCATATCTCGTACGTCTTCTTGTCGCGGGGGAAAACCTCGATTAATTAGGTCAATAACGCATTCAAGAATCACCTCCTCTTCAGATATAGTCATCTTCATTGAATTTGGACGCGTCTCGCCTCGTACGACGCGTCCAGCGCGTCGGTTTTGGATTGACGTTCGAGGGACCTCAAAGGTAGAAGCTGCTTTTCGTATAGACATTTTTGGGTCTTTTTCGATAGCCTGGATGGCAAGGATGATACGACGTTCAATTGAGGTAGATTGCATGTTCGTACGTGGAGGAATGTTAGTGTAAAGGTGAAAGAGGTAGAAAGAAGGAAAAGTGGCCCACTCGCTATGTTGGCCCACTCGCTATGCAGGTACGTTATATTATTTATAATATTGATATAACTAGTTTCTTTTATATTAAGTTAGTTTAATAAATATTATATAATCTCGCTTAGTTATTTAAAATAATTTAAACTTTATTTTTATTATAAAAAAGCGGTTTTAATTCATATGTTACATTATTTAATATATTTGTTCAATTTCTTTATTTATATTGAACTCACATTAATATTATTTACGTTTATATATTTTTAAATGGTTCGTTTAAAAGCTAAAATATAAAAAATAGTTAATTATAAAAACTAGTTCTTATAAATAATTGTCAGATTATTAAATTTATTATAACAAAGAGTTAACTAAGTTAAGTGATAATTATTATTACATTTGATAAGAAATTACTACCTTAAACTAAGAGACGGCTAGTTTGCCGCCGTTTTAGCAGCTTCTGCCGCCGAATCCAGCGGATCATCTGCCACGAATCAGTCGCCGCTTTAGACTCAGGGACCACGCCCACCAAGCGACCCTCTCCCTTTCCCGTCCCATACATGTACCCCAGAGTACCTGCCATGGTATCTCAGCCACACTACCGTCCTGAACAATTCACGCGGCTACGGCCAGTTTGTCGAGTCTTGACTCCCCAGTCCCTCTTTGCGTATCGGTTTCCAACAGCCAAATGTGGCCGTCAGAATGGGCCCTGCCATGGCTCACCTTCTCGCACTATATAATCCACGGGCACTGCACTGCCTAGTAAGCCGATTCCTCGATCCATCCGCTCTCAAAGCCAGACTTTTCCGAGTTGTTCGATCATCCCCTCCCGACTGCCGCCTTACTTTCCACCATGCCGAAGCGCCGACGTACGAACGTGGACACTTACGATTTCGATGCATCATTCGCTGCCGAAGTTGAAAGCGATGACTGCGACGACGACGACGACGTCTTCCATGCGAAGGATCAAAGAGGTGACTCGAGCTTTAACCTTCATCTCTTAACCCGTCGCTTCTTCGCGCTCAGTCTTTACAGCCCAATAGGCAAGCGTCTCCCATGGCTCGCTTAGGACGTCAGACACGTCGTCATACCACAGCTGCTCCTGCAGATTTTAAAAGAATGCCGACGGTCGAAATCCCAGGAATATGCTCTATACGATCGCATAGCAAAGACTTTTTCTACTTCCATGTTTTCTGGCCAATCCCAAGGTCCCCATAGACATGCTCTATCGCGAAGGTACACCGATAACACGCTGGGCTAAAGACGACGGGATCGGAGATACGAGCGCGCTATATAAGATTACACTTTGACCGCTCGTCTGATCTGCCGACATTAGATGACGCGATGATATGGGGGGAACTTATGCTCCTTACCCTGATATACAGACGACCATCTCGGAGAAGCTACCTCTCGCAGCTTACCCGTTTTGGCGACGGAAAGCTTTCACCATCGCATACTAGGCCGTGCCGTGGGAATACGTTAAGACTATATGAGTATATTTCCGGTTGAGCGTCGAATAAGTATTAATAATATCTAGAAAGCCGCACTCGAGGGAGAGTCTCATACCCCACGTCATGCACACCTTAACGGCTGTTCGACAATACGATGATTATGAGAGTCTGTGTATGCGTGTTAGAATCGATGTTGCCATGGCCCTGATCGAAGCTCCTCGCTTTTCGGGTGTGGAGTGGAAGCGACTTGCGATTTCATAGTACGCAGATTCTTACGTTCCATAAATAGAGTCTCTGCTGTATCGGCTTGCCGGAAACGTTAGGCCTGCCACTCTAGTGCCCGACTTACGTTAAGCTCCCACCTAGAGCGTTGCTAACAAGAGGATGTACTCTGCTATCGGCTCTACTATTCACCAAAGAGCATCGGACCTGTTTTTAGAAAGAAGCGCTGTCTTCTGTAATGAATGCGCTCAAAAGATGGCAGCCAACCGAGCCTGACTCTCATGTGGGATGTTTTTATGTAGAAGAATGCTCCGCTTCCGAGGCAAGGCCTCAAATTCTCTCAAGAGCCTTAGCAAGTTACGATCGACTGGTTTACTCGAAGATCTTTATTTTGACGAAGAAGCCAGAGAACTGGTCGTCGAAGTGGCCTACCTATACAATGAGAGAGCTGGAAGATCAAGCTTATGCCGAGGGATTATTAATAGCATAGCTTAAGCGATAGTATTACACTCCAGCTACCTATGCGCTGCTCGGCCTGTCCCTCGCTGAGTTCCTCTTTGCCCAATAAAGATTCAGGGAGGCTAATTAGCTTTATTACAATACCGAGTCGCAGCGTTTGTCTAAGATGGCAAGATTACGTTTATGAATTACCGCAGCTAAGTTGCGGTATGAGAGCTCTCATTAGGAAGGCGTATTTATACGGTGGACAAAAGCACTTGTCGCTACTAACAAGTTTCCCCCTACGATTGGGCACGCGACTCATATAAATTACTTCTTACTTTACGATATACCTTAATGTTACGACCCAACATGAAGACCAGGGCGTGCCCCGCTGACGCCTAGCGGCTACGGCGCATCATATATGCAGGACGGGACGGAACATTGGGGAAACCCCAGGAACGGAAGAACTATGGTACAAGTCACGTGATGATAAGAGATATGATAAGGGATAAGGATATGTTGGATATGCGACATATCCAACCGAGTCAAGGATATGTTGGATATTCGGCATATCCAACATATCCAGACAAAGTGGACTGTTCAGCACTGCTCAGTTAGGATCGGACTTGTATATAAGGATGGACTCGAGCTGGGCTCTAGGACAGACTTTCCATAGCTTCTTCAGCAATTAACTTCGTATCAGGATTAACATCCGCTTTCAGCTACTACCTTGACAAGACTACGATTGATCACCGAAGCCTTACCTACCCTTACGATTGACAGACATAGCTTCCCTGAAGCTATCCCCGACTACGATTACTGTTACCAGTTCCGCAGCCTCAACTTCTGCAAACTACCCCTACGACTAGCTGGCCGTAACACTTAACGCCAGGGATAGTAAAAATTAGAATAAGCTTTACGTACATAAGCAATTGAATTGGAGGCTTTGTCAAAAGATGCGGAGGTGAGGTGTTGGATAGCCGGCCTGGGGTACTAGCGTATATGCAAAAAACCTTTTATCCTCTAGGTATATACACATAAGAGTACCCCCTTTAATGTCTCGATAAACTATCCTTAGTCCGAATATACTTAAACCTTTAATATTACTATAATCTCGAATCCATTTAGCTTAGCCAATTCTATAGTATATCAATGGACTGATAGACAGTTATATATAGGCCAACCTCTTAGAGACGGGGATACAATAGGAGTTAAGGAGCTCAATTTCACCCCGTATCGTCCCATTTATCGTCTAACCATAGCGATCGTACACGTACGTTCGACCTTTCATATTCTATCGCCCTATTATTAAAGTTTCGGCTAGTTTAGAATAAAGTCAGATCGCCTAAGTATATCTCCTAGAGATCGATACCGTATATAATCTCTTAGAAAGACGGCACGGACGAGTCTAGTAGATCCTCCGATATAGTAATACCCTATACTAAAGCTCGGGTAACCAAATTAAAATTACTAAAGAAAAATAAAGAACTAGGCTAAATATATCTCTATTATTAACTGGGGAACCGCCGGTAAACCGGCTCCTAAGAGAAGTCCTTCCGTTAGGAAGGCAGCATAGGCTAGAGCTTAGCTCTTTTGACAAGCACCTGGACTAAGGGAAAGCTAGAGCGAAGATAATAACGTCATGCTACTACACACTTCCAGGGTTACTTCATGACAGCTCATTTGAAACAATAGCTGTAAGTATTATTGGACGAATATTCATGGAGTGGGGTAGCAACACACTCTGCAATATATTAACACTATTTACTTCTTAAGGGGATCAGTATACTGGGAACATCTCGAATAACGGCCCAGTACAGAGGCGACACGATGAACAGCCCAACCATGTATAATGAACCTGGGTCAACACTTGTCAGGGACAATAGTTTGGCAACATTAGTATAAGTTATACCTTGTATATAGTATACTATCAACCCAAACGACCTCACGAACGAGGTGAATATGAAGCTAGCGGCGTTTAGGGTAGAGGACGGGCCAGTAGCAGAGGAGCTCATAGCACAGTTCCGGAAGCAGATTGGGCGGGTCCAGCACGTTGTCCGAGACCCAGTCAGCTCAGCTAAGTTCTTCCACCGAGAGATGGACCTCTTCTTCAAACACCTTATCTATACTAAAGAGACTTCTATATTTAGTAAGGTATCTTATTACTTTGGCTATGTTGAAACGAACGAGCGTGGGGCGCTTCATCTTCACGGATTTCTCTAGTTAGAAGCAAATATAGGACTACCCAACCTGTTTCAAGACATAGCCAACCCAAACAACGCGGGATACGGGGATCAGGTCTGTGAATATATCGACTCTGTTTTCAGCGAGGTACGTATCGAATATCACAAAGGCATATCGTATCATTAATACCAAGCGAACAACAGTGTGGAGACGAAGCCAAAGCAAAGCAATACCGTAGATGGGAGACAGTGTTTGATAACATCAAACACATCACCCAAAACATGGACAGGCTTGCAGAGAACTATGACAACGAGGCCAATATGGTCGCATGTCGATGTCGGATCCATGTATGTGGTGCTACATGCACAAAATACAGCATCAACGACAAAGCCCAGGACAGATCTCGGCATCCTTGTCGCTTCAAAGCACCATGGGCCCAGTGGCCGAAGACCGAGTTTACTCCCAGCGGCCTTCTCCGTATACAGCGAAACCATGACCGGATCAACCGGTATTGCCCAGCTCTTGCAGTTGCCATGCGACACAACACAGACTCCATGTTTCTGCCAACAAACTCGGCATCATTGTCAATGATTTACTATGCGACAAACTACTCAACGAAGCTGGATACACCCCTTTGGAAAAGAATAGCGCTGATGCTCGACCTGTTTGACGGCCTAGATGAAGGAGCCCATGGTGTCACACCTACTGGTGGCAGTGATACGGCACAGACCGCACAGCGGAACAACAAAACTCGGCAGTTTTTCGCCCGGCTAGCAAACCAGATCTTCACCAGCCGTGAGATCTCTTCGGTGGAGGTATGTAGTAGGCTGCTCAAGTATAAAAATAGTTATTGCAGTCAGCAGAACTGGGGGAACATCACCCTTAGTGCTTTGTACTGGGTCCTATTCCGGCGGTGGAACCATCTCCGAGATGCCGCAGACCCGGAGACGCGGCTCCGTGCCGCTCCCGAATTTGTGAGCTTTGGCCCCGGTGGTCGTAGCCTACCGGCACTCGAAGCATACACACATCGCGGTCCGATTCTTGAGGAGCTTTGCTTTTATGATTACGTTGCTCTGGTAAATGTACGGAAACGAGGACCAAGGTCGAGAGTAAACAAGGAAAACTTCTTACCTTTCGAGACCACATTATAAGACTACGATTGCTGGATATAGGAGTTACGACCGATCCCGAAGCAAGCCGTTCCTGTCATGTCTGGGTACCTAGACTACGACCTCCGTGGAACAGAGGAAGGCTTTTATCAAAGGTAAGTATTTATAAGTATAATATTAAATAGAAGCTTAACGCACTCTATAGATCGGTATATATACTCCTTGGTTTATTTGTGCCATGGGGTCGGTTCGTCGATCGTACGGAATAACCGTCCGACCTTTGGGAAGAACTCTAACTAACCCTCCCTGGCCGTATTAGAGCCTTGGTCGATAACGTTAAACTCCTTTACAAAAGTGCAGAAGATGCTAAGAAAGACGCAAAGTTGTGGGCTAGTCGTAATGAGGGCGATGAGGGGCTGGAGTTCGACCTGGTCGCGGACGAGGTCGATATAGGCGTAACGTGGTAGCCGGATACGACGAACCTCTGCCATGCTTTCCATGATGCTATATATGGGTTAAATAGCGGGCCGAGCGTGGTAATGGAATCCCCGGCTATCTAAGGACTCCTGAACTCGCTTGACGAGACCGACTTTTCCAATATTCCAAGTAATAGCGACGATGACAAAAGCGGTGGGGGGCGAAACGCGACTCGTTACTATCATATACCAATGGTCATGGCTAAACGAGACCTAAACTCCACCAAAGCGGTACGGGACAGGCTGCATAAGGAGAGGATGTTAGCTATAGAAGGCGATGAGATGGCTCCAGGACGTAATTATATTGGTGTTGGGACCGGGTTCGATGACGACGTAGCAGACGAGGTTTACTTAGTAGATCCTATACCTCTACGTACGTGGGTTGGCATCGTACCCAGCGATAACTTCGCACGGGTAGGGGCGGTCATCAGCGAGGCTAGGACACTGAACCGGATGCAAAAGATAGCCCTTGGCCTCGTATACGACGCTCTGGATAATTAAGGGACCGCTACCGAGCAACAATATCTCTAATATATCGGGGGTGGTGGCGGGACTGGGAAATCCTGGCTGATCGATTCCTTGAGAGAGGTATTTGCCGCCAAAGAGTTATCTAGCCGGCTCGTGATCACCGCGACCTCCGGGACTGCGGCAGCCGGTATCGGCGGCACCACCATCCACTCCGCCGTGGGGTTAACCTTCAAGGATCAGGACGGGCAGACTAGCGACACCACTTTGACTGCCAGCCTGGACAAGGCCAAGCAGAGATGGCGCCGACGGGATGTCTTGGTAATCGACGAGGTCAGTATGTTGGGCCTGCCGACACTTTATGACATCGACCAGAAGCTAAGGATGTTGAGGGGCTTCGCGGACAAGCCGTTTGGCGGCATGCCCGTGGTAATTTTCACGGGCGACTTCTTACAGTTTCCACTAGTAAACCAGAGCAGCCTCCTCAAGGACTTCACCAAGCTACCCGATATTACAACACACACTAGACCGAATAGGAATGCATCGGAGAAGAGATGGAAGGAGATGGAGGCTTAAAAGCTCTGGCTGCTGTTTACCAACGTCGTAATTCTTAAGGAGCAGAAACGAGCCCAAGGAGACGCCTATCTTCTGGGCCTACTAGAACGCATCCGAGAGGACAGGCAAACGCTAGAGGACGCCGAACGACTCCAGACATAATACAGGGCCGACTCAAAGTTCGATTTCTCCGGCGGCAGACGCGCCATTATACCGCTCAACAGACATAAATAGGACATAACGCTTCACGCTGCTCTCGCATATAGCGCAGAAACAAACCGGAAGATGTCGCTCTATCTATCAGGACACAGATGGGAATCGCGGGTCCCTGCGGCAGCAGAAAGAACGGCTGCTATGCTACTAGGAGACGGGACTAACCTCCCTGTAGCTAGGATATTCCCGTTTGTCGAGGGGATGCTAGTAGTGGTTAATGAGAACAAGTATATGGGTCTTAAGGTCGTGAACGGCGCAGAGTTTACGGCCGTGAAAGTCCTTTATCCGCCCGGGTTGGAAGAAATCTATATAAGCGATAAGCTCTTAATAGTCCTCGGGCCCCCAAGCGGCATCGTCCTGCGGTCTAAGGAAACCGACGGCCTGGCATTCCCTAACTTACCTCTAGGCACTGTGGTGCTCCCAGCCAAGAACGTCCGGATAGAGAAGCAATATGTGAAGACATTGCGACCGGGGATGTCGAGTAAGACCAAGCTGGGGCTGATTCGAACGGGACTGCCGTGCTCGCCAGCCTTCGCGCTGACAGACTTCAAGGCGCAAGGAAGGACGCTCGACAAGACTCTTTTGGGGCTGTACGGAACAAGGGGTACAAAGGGTATAGGGGCGTCTGGCCGAACCAGCAAACGCAGTGCCATAACCATGTACGTACAGCTATCGCGTGCTCGGCGTTTCGATGACATCGCCCTTATCGAGCCGTTGAATACGGCAGACTTCCTGGCAGCAACAATGCCCAAGGACCAAATAGAGGGCATGAAAAGGCTTACGGCTCTGGCGGAGGAGACTGTCGCACGGTTCGAGGTAGCGGGGCGTCGGCAAGGCTGACAGATGGGTAAATAGATAGACCCTGGCAAGCTTCAAGGCAATACATACCGATCATCACCCAGCCCCTCTCCAGTGACCATGTCAGCGTCGGCGTCGGCATCTTGGGCCACGCTCGAATCCTTCAGCATACACATCGTAAGAGACGTCACAGGACCGCTGTAAGCTGCCTATTAAGTAGTGTGCACTCCCCGGGTCTCGAAGGTACGATGAAGCGACAAAAGCAGTAATACTTCCGATACCTGATGGCCCATAGACTAGATATCCCGCATCAGTTGAGCCACAGAAGCATAAGCCACCTCTATACGCTACACGAGTGACTTATACTGGAAGAGCAGCTGAGCCGCAGACATCCGGGCAAACATCGACGTCCGATCGGAAATACCCGCATTCCCGAGCGCCCTGACCTCCGCCTCCCAGCGCTCGAACGAGGGAAAGCATTCCCTGAGAGTCCCTGATGGCTGGGCGACGGTAGGAGCAGCAGGCAGAGCACGCCGATTAAAAGAAGATGTTGGTATTCCTTTCACAGGGAATTTGGTTCGAACCGTAGGGTCCTGGGGTGACGAAGTATCAATATCTCTGTATTGATTGATTCTGCGTAAGGAGTAGAAGGGAGATTCCAACCGGAGGTTGGGTGGGTAGTCGAGGTCTAATTGTACTCCCTCGAGGTGGCCCATGCTCTGCCCTTACTCGCGGTCGAATTGGACTTCCAATCCGACAGAAGAATCTAATAGCGTCAATTATATAGAAATATAGGTAACGTAAGGCATACATACGGAAACTGCACAACGACGACTGATTGTTCCAGAAACAATTAGCACACGCTCCTCGCGTAGTATGTAGGCCGTCGTTAGTCTGAGCGACGACACATTCCCTCCAGGGCCCATTCGCACGCCCACACCTACCCCCCCCTTGCTCGCACGGGCCGAACAGGCTCCGAACGCGGGGAAACTATGTTCCCACGGGCGAATTATGGGACGACAAGTTCAAGTGATGGGAAAAATCCCCTTATCAGCAAAGCATGGGGGATAAGCCCTCTAGACATATCATATCGATTGGACCGAAAGGTGACAGACCCGCTATACATATGGGTCTGCTTAAGCCAGTAAAAAGGCCACGCACTCCGAGTAAGAACCCACAAAAGTTGCGGCTCTCAACCAATACATTTGAAGGTTCTTTTTTGCCAATCAGCTTCAAGCTTTGATTTTACAGGGGTATGGTAGGAAGTGGTAGAAATGGATTTTTTCTCGGGCCTTGTACATTCTAGAAGAAATAAGATTAACCTTCCTAACGGAAGGCATAAGATTAACCTTCCTAACGGAAGGCATTCTAGAAGAAATAAAATTAACCTTCCTAACGGAAGGCATAAAGGTCGATGATATCGGCCTGTTCAAATAAGGTAGCCCCGCCTTTTCATGTTCCACCGGAACCGTCCGCCGGAAATATTTCCTCTCTTGTCACCCACCACACTTGACGCTCTCGGATCTATTCCCTTGTGCTGTGTTGTCTCTTCGCCCTTTCGCGTAAATTGCTGTTTGCCCTCCAGCGTACAACTGGAACGGGAGAAGTTCTTGAGCCAACGTTGAGCAAAGCTGCGCCCCCCCGGTCGACATTCCTTCTCGGACCCTTCGCGGACTGGGCTGTCGGCATCATGCGCTCGCATCATGGATGGTGAGCTACTATCTTCAGTCGAAAACTAAAATCTTCCTGACAACTGATACAAATAGCTTGACATGCCGACAGCGGAAACTGAAATGCAACGAGGCAAGGCCGGCCTGCGGGCCATGTACCAAATCCAATCGCGAGTGCATCTTCTCACAAGACACCAAGTTTCGTTATTTTGATCACGGTCTTCTTAGTCGAGGACAGGAGAAGGCTTCTAATGGATGTGATTTCGTTGAGAATCTGTTCGAAGAAGACCAGGTTTGGCTCGATGTTCCGCACAAACGTGTGTTGACGTGTGTCTAGAATCAAGCAATGTTGTCGCTAACTACATGTTACTGCTTCAGTTATCTTCGTGAATATCAAGAACCCATTCGAGGCAGAAGACAACATTTCCGATGAAGATTTTTTTTTTGCAGCATGGCAGTCACAGTACTGAATGAGAGCCATTTGGTGAATGGGACAACACGCAGTCAACACCCGACACTCGGGATATGGACAGTGAGATAATTCCGGCCTACATATCGCGGATGGAAGGAACTTTTGAACTCTCTCAACAGTCAATTGGAGATTTGCGAATCAGCAGCGATGCCGAGCGCAGCAGATCCATCACTCCATCCGATCGAGACGATGCTCTCGACCCAGTGGTCCTCAAGCCATCAATAGTTCAAGCAAATGATGATGAAGATTTCGACGAAAATGACGACGAATATGACTCAGAGGCAAATATAGTAGCTCTAAAGCTTCTGAGGCATTTCAGAGAAGGACCTGGGCAATGGTAAGGCCTCTTGTCTTCAAAGCCCCGTACCTTGAAGCTGTACAGCCACTGAAATGTGGGCGATAGGATAGATCTCTTCGATACATCTGCACATTTCTCATGCAAGATACCGATACGAGCAACCACTCGACCGCTTCTGAGTTCAGCAATCTGCGCCCTCGCAGCAAAAAACTTATCGCGCACACAGTTGAGCAACAGCAAAACCCGAGAGACCCGCAACGTGAGAACTTCCGAGGCTTCCTCGGCTACGACAACCCCCGACTGGAAATATCACGCTGTCCGACACTACCACCGAGCCATCAGAGGTTTAAAACATGCCATTACTCTCGCCGGAGCAAGCGACGATGCGCAAGATAGCGAGGCTAGCGATCGAAACGAGGACATCTTTGCCGCAGTTGCCATACTCTGTATGTATGAACTGATGAACGCCCCGGGGAACGCGTGGAAAGCGCACCTCACGGCCCTGTCTCTGTACTCTGCCTTGGACGGCACTATAAACGAATCTTCTCCGGTCTCGATACCACGATCCACGACCAAGGGGCCAATATTTTGGAGCCTGGCGAGGCAAGATTTCCTGTGTGCTTGTAAGCCTATCATGAAATCACTGTCTGGGCCAAACGGCTGACTGATTCCCCCCTGACAGTCATCAGCGAAACCCAAACGCGTCTTAATCTAGACCACATCCGTCTTTGGCAAAACTTCGGCCTCGCCGCGGACGAGCACAACCTTTTACTTCCCTTTAGCCCTTTTTCGACGGCCGATATCCGCTCCTCAACCAACGTGGATGAAGACTCGAAAAGTAACGAGCTCTTGTGGCTCATGGGTAAGATAGTGAACTACACCACCCATGGCGATGGCATCCATCCGGAAGACTATTCTAGACCTACGGGCCAGCGCTTGTCGCTCGGCTTGACGCAAGAACTCCTCCTCCAACGATGGACGAAGCTCGAAGTTGAATTACAGGAGTGGTACGAGAGCCTACCGCCAACCTTTGCGCCCAGCGCCCGGACGAGGTTTTCAAGCCGTCTTGGGAGCTTGGGTAAAGGTGACGCGGATATGGGCATGGAGAGGGTCTGGTACGACATCCCTATGTGCGCGTCGACGATGCAAAGCTACAATATGGCTCGGGTTATTTTGCTGGTGAACCGGCCCCAAGAATCTACGGCCATTCGATCGAACGTATCCGCGCGTCTGCGATCGTATCGGTTCATCCAGAAAGAGGTTCTGCGCCATTGTAAGGAGATTTGCGGCATCAGTCTCGCGGATCCAACTGACGCGGTGCGTGTTCACTCTGTCCAGCCGCTTTTCGTGGCAGGGCAAGCATTTTATACGCGGCCGGAGCAGGAACTGGTTCTTGAGCTGCTTTCTGGTATCGAGACGGAGCTAGGATGGGCTACAAAACATCAGAGGCGGAAGTTAATTGACGAATGGAAGGTGAATGATGAATGAATCTAGATCGATAATTACAGACCCGAAGTAGAATTAAAAAGATGCCACTGTTTCCCCAATGTGCCTCGATGGCCCGAGAAGCACCATATCCAGCTGGACTACACGGACAACTTGTTTTCGCAAGGTGGATCGCATACTCATCGACGGCTAAGATTTCAGGACGTGAGCATGGCTTGGCACTGCTCTAATTAGACAAGCGTCCGATATATGCTGCCTCAGAAGCGGATTTACATGGTCAGACAATCCACCAAGGAGGGATGAGAATCAGACATCCGTGATTCCATCACTGGAGAAACTCCCACCTTGACTGAATGGTGTGGTTTAGCCACGAATCAACTGCTGCTCCATCGTAGCCTCATACATATCTCCGCCGGTTCCACGGAGTCTAAAATGGCAGCATGCTAGATTCTAATGTTCTGCAGTGGCTTGCCAAGCCCAACTTCTTCAATATTAACAATTTTTTGGAAAGTTGCAACAAGCCTGGGTCTCACTGGGCGAAGTGCCAATAGAAATCTTGGGTGATAGAGCCCACTTGGCATCTACGTGTATAAATATCATAAGGAGAGTCCTGCATGGGAGGCAGACGAGCCTCCCTCGGTCACACTCGACCTGCATATCCTTTGAATTTGTTTCCTGATGTTCATCTTCCAGATCATGTCAACGGCGGTTCTCGCCGGCCTTGTAGCCGGCCAGACACTCAACATTCCGAGCCGGAGCGGTTCCATCATATCGCTACCGGCACCTAGTGTTATATCCGGGTCCAGGGATTTCGGCAACAAGGAATACGATTGCGGAAGATCATGTAACACCGACGTTGAGACCCCCAGCGGACACCCCGTCTTCGTGCTTGAAAACGGCGCCGCCATCAGCAACGTCATTATTGGTGCCGGCCAGGTTGAAGGGGTCCACTGCAGAGGGGCATGCACACTGAAGAATGTTTGGTTCCGCCAGGCATGTGAAGGTAAGATGCTCTCCCCATAGATTCGATTTTGACAATGAGGGAGTGGTTTCCAAGTTCCGAGACGATGTAGGCTTACCCCTTTACGGTATCATAGATGCTATTGTGCTCAACGGTAATGGTGATATCCTCGTCGAGGGAGGTGGTGTCCGTGGCGGTGCCGGCAACACGATCTCGCACTTGGGCCGAGGAACAGCCACAGTCAAAGACTTCACTGCCGTCAACGTCAATCGGCTTTACCGCTCATGCGCCAACTGTGCAAACAATGGTGGCCCGAGAAATCTGGCTGTGACCAACTTGAAGGCCAACAATGTTAAATTACTCGCCGGCATCAACTCGAACTTTGGAGACATTGCCACAGTATCTGGGTCCTGCGGGGCCGGCATCACCAAGGTCTGCCAGGAGTATAAGGCGGTCGAGAAGGGCCAGGAGAGTCCCAAGGTCACCACGACTGCAAACTGCAATGGTCAAACGAGCCTTGATGTATGCTAGGGAGAATTTGAGCCTACCGATGGTCATGGATGCGAAATCCATCTACAAGGATGTGGAATCTACGCCGGATACCTGAGGTCTCATTTGCCTTCGTACGGCCAAGGTTACTCATAGGTGATATTAGTATCTAAAGTAAGTATTAGGTCGCCGTAAAGAATCTGACTCGCCTGAGCGGATAGGGCCGTTGGCTATGACTTGAATTTATGGACCGGATTTCGTCACACATGGAAGATGCTTGGCATAGCTGCCTGAACCTTTTCCACCTTTATTTACGAGTTGCTTGAGATCTTTCACAATCTCGAATCCGAACGACCCGGAACATTGTCATTTAAGGTAGCCAATACGAGCCATTGGGCAAGGCCTTGCAGCACGATCGCAGCCCATGATGTCGAAGGCTGTTTAGTTTCAACGGGTCTGCGTGGTATGGATTTCAGAATGATAGTCCGTACAACTACTGTTGGATCTCTGAGCAGTCGGCAGAAAAGATGGATCTGGAAGGCGGTATGGGCACTTACAAACGGCCCTTTCACTTATATACCACTTCTGGGAGATCGTGGGCTCTGCCCACAATCTCCTCCTTCCACCTCCAGACGCAGCAATAATAGACCATTATTGACACTTCGTTCCAACCGTACGGTTGCCCTGCTGACGTGTATACCAACAACTACAGTTGCGGTGCTGCAGTATGACGGATGTTGGGGCTGGTATTGTTCGCGGGGAAATGCGGAGAAGCCGACGTAGATTCGAGGAATCTCAATTCTTCCGCCGTACTCAGGATGGAGACCTGCGCGATTCGGATAGATCTACGACGAGCCGAGATTTAAGTCTGTCGATGTGGGGGAATTGCCAAACGGCCGCGAACCGATAAGTCGCGCATACAAGAGTAACTTGTCTTGCACTTTCCCCAGTTTTGGGGCTTCCCAACTTCTAGACTTAGTTCAGTCAGATTGGCAGTGTAATCAACGAAAGGTGCAACTTTATTGAAACATGCGAGCTCTTTTAGGCCTGCTTTTTCTTGGCCATTTCTTCGGCCTCTTGGTCGGAGCTTATGGATGCCAAACAGATGATGACTGTAGTCTGAACGGCATTTGCGGACAAGACTCATCCTGCATCTGTGACAAAGGATGGCGTTCCGGCGACTGCAGCGAGCTGGATTTGCAGCCAGTTGAGCGTTGGACGGGGTACAACCACACGAATGCAACAGGATCAGATTTCTACAAGGAGGGCGCCGGAAACTCATCCTGGGGAGGCCACATCATCCAAGATCGCGCAGACAAGGGCTTCTTCCATCTCATTACGTCGCAAATGTCACACGGCTGTGGCCTCTCTGGCTGGCGGCCTTTCAGCACCATCATCAGAGCCGAGTCTCGCACGGGGCCAAGAGGCCCGTACAACTACGCTCAAACATTGTTCAGCACTTTTCACCACAACCCGACGACTATTTGGAGCCCAGCCGATGAGAAGTTCTTGATTTACTTCATTGGCAAGGATGTCGAGGTCGGTGACGTCTGCAAGTCCCAGAAATGGAACAATACGATATCAGTTTCCTCGTCGCCGGATCTCAGAGAATGGGCGACGCCCATTCCGCAGGTCATCAATGTCACGAATCCTGCACCGTGGCCGCTGTGGACAGATCAGAATCCCACCCATGAAATTCTACTCGCCGTGGAGAAGAATAACATTTACCACGCAGACAACTTCTCTGCACCCCATGAACTTGTCGTCGAACCGCGAAACACGGAACGCAGCGAAGATCCATTCCTTTGGAGAGACAAACGAGGCCACTGGCACATTCTGGTCCACCACATGATCGATATTGCGGAAGGGAGAAAAGGGCCACGTGTCGGAGCGCATGCTTATGCCCGCAATTGGGAGGGCCCTTGGACTTACAACAACAATACCTTGACTTACAACACGACTGTTGAGTTTACCGATGGTGTCAAGTTAGACTACTATCGCCGGGAGAGGCCAAAGTTGTACTTCAGCGATGACGGGCAGATGACCCCGCTTTATCTGCTCAATGGAGTGCAGGAGTTTAATAAGTCGGGAAGCTATACCTTGATTCAGCCAATCGGCAAAGAAGCAAAGGTTTTTGAAAGGAGTCTTGGACTAGATTGATATCGTGTGGTGCTTCTTCTCAATAGCTAATATTACTTGTTGCTAGTTGGAGTCTACTGCAGGATATCAATCCAATCGAACTGTTTGAGGAACTGAGTTGTCAAAGCCCCGGGAAATTGCTTGCTGTTACGAAGGTTGCCACGTCAAGCAGTCACGTAGGTATTTCTCAAAGACCCATGGCTTTTGCGGCTCGGAAAACAGGGCGGTGCGTCAATGCTTCGACATCATGACTAGCGACAAAGGTAGACACCTTTAACCTTCTGGAGAACCACGCGAGAACCACGATGGTCAGGCGGATGGAGCCTTCTTGGCACGGACAACTCGGATCTCCTTGTGCTCCCAAATGATGGAAGCCACGGGATACTTGGCAGCCGTCCGGTAACAGATTAAAAGTTGTGGACCGAATTTGGCCAAAATAGTGGCGAAGACTGGGTTATCAATCATGGACACGGGGACGAGTGCAACCTTGTACTGACTCGGACAAAACCGACGGGCCCACACGGAAAGCCGCATCTAAATGAAGGTTCTCAGCCCGTCAGCCTGGGCGTCGCTAATTCTGGACATTGAACAGCTTCAACTAACATATCAAGGTTTGGTTATAGAGCGTGGTGTGGCAAGCAATATGCCCTGCGGAAATCGCAGGTAATCAGCCTCGGTTCCAGTTTGGCGACTTTGGAAGTCATATTACCTCAACCTCATTTGACTGATGCCAAAACGTAGCATTGGCTGATCTTTTAATAACACCAGTGGTTCGTCTCATTTGTCATGACCCCTGCGTTTTGTAGTCTTCGGACGCGATCAGGTTTCCGAACGCCGCGCGCTTGCTGCGCACCTGCAGTTAGGATTAACTCATGCGATTCTTCAATCCACTGGAAATTGGATCTGGTATAGCCCGATTTTGACACTTTCTAAGGTCGAGCCAGTTTCAAAAGCCGCTCGTTTCCTTGTCCTTGTTGGTGTTTCTGCCATCTTACTTCCATCAACTTCTTTCACTAGACATCCTAGACGGCAACCAGGGAAGCAGGTTTTCATTGTCAGCGTTCATTTCACATTGTTCATTCCTTACTGGTATGTTGTTGGTATGCTCGAGAGGTTTTGGTACTTTGACTAACAATGGTCTATAGTCATTCATTCCACTATGCGTTCTTCGATCCTCCTTTCTTTCCTCGGCCTCGTGAGCAGTGCCTTTGCCGCTCCTGTTGCAACTGTTCTGGATCCTCGCGGAGAGGTTGATCACGACGCCCTTAGCCCTCTCACACAGAAGGTTCAGGACAACGCGGTCGGCAAAGCCATCGCACGATTCAATCCGCTTCTTCACATCGCTCACGGTTGCCAACCGTACACGGCTGTTGATGATGCCGGAGACACGAGGTTCGTGGCCAACAAGTGCTTCAAATTGAGATATGTCTAATGATTAAACTAGTGGTGGCCTGAAGCCAAGCGGCAGCTCCAGCGGAGGCTGTAAAGACACTAGCAAGGGCCAGACTTACGCCAGAGGCACGTGGCACAACGACAAGTATGCCATCCTGTACGCATGGTATTTCCCCAAAGACATGCCAAACGACGGTGTTTCCACCGGCTCGCACAGACACGACTGGGAGAGCGTGGTGGTCTGGCTCAACAACCCCTCCGTTGCGGACCCGACGATCCTGGGTGCGGCGGCTTCGGGCCACGGCGACTACAAGAAGTCAACTGACCCGCAACGCGAGAGTGATAGCGTGAAGGTGGAGTACTTCACGCAACTGTTGCTGAATCATGAGCTTCAGTTCACTGCTACTGTCGGCAAGACATACCCGGTTCTTGATTGGGACGCTATGTCGACGAACATGCAGACTGCTCTTAACAACACCGACTTTGGCAGTGCCAACGTGCCTTTCAAGGATGAGAACTTTACCGAGAATCTCGAGAAGGCTTCTATCTAGGAGGTATTATCAACTTCAGTCAAGTTTACAACTTGAACGATGGTTGAATATCTGACTGGCACACTTCATTCCAATTGTGTTTATATTCACTCTCATGATGTCGCAAAAACGACGCCGTTAATTACGGGCAGCAATTAACGCCATATATACCCTACGACACATGATGTATATAGTTCGCTCAGCATAGAAAAGCAACGAGATAAGACCAGCAAGCCCCTCATTCTTAGTTCCCAACTTCAAAGACCGTGTCAAAAATGTTTTGATTACGAACACTCTGGCAACGCGTGACTACCTAAGCAGCCGATCGGCTGTGCCTTCACTAAAGCTTGGATAGGCCATCGAGGCATCTCAAACGTTCCGAGGACCATCAACGGCGGCCGCGGCGGTAGTTACATCAACTGGGCTTGCGACTACTTTCGTGTCTTCGACAGCAGAGTCTTTCGCCTCTAGTTTCGTGTTGTCGACTGGTCGCTCTGGCACAAGCAGAACAGCCCACGACGTCGCAGGGACGCAGACGACAAACATGACGAACGCAACGACGAGATTCACCATCGGAGAAACCTTAACGGCACCAATGCCGAAGGCCAAGCATGAGCCAATGGATTCGAAGGGACCGAACGAGACCAACGCCGAGGGTCAGAGTCTCGATGTCGTCAAAGAAGGTGCCCATAATCCAGTAAACAAACATGTAGTGCGACTCGTTCATGAAGCTGGTAGTTGTTAGGACTGAAATTGCCAATTTGAAAATGGGATGGTGGTGCACTTACCGGAAGAGCACGTTGACAGCAAAACCGCGTCCGAATCCAGGCGTGCTCCAGTCGAGGGTAACTTTGGGGACAGTGTCCTCGTAGAGTTTCTCGTTGGCCACCTGCCATGCGAACAGGCCAAGCATGATGACTGAAAAACAGGACCAGGTAATCTTGGCGAGCTGAGGTCGGCTGAAGCACTTCAGGTCATAGAACCAGCCCCAAAAGATGTTGGCGGCAGATGCCGCAATCCCAGACGTCAAGGCACCGAGGGTTCTCGCTCTCACAGAGAAATACTTGGTCAGGTAAATGCCCTGGTAGGTGCTGTTCCAGTTGAAGCCGACGAGGATGGGAATCAGAAGATAAAACTGCTTCTTCTTGAGCAGCTTGAGCCACTTGCGGAACTCTCCCAGAACAGCCTTGTTCTTGGTAGGGTCAGCGATCTTCCGGCCGTCGCTGTGGATGACCTTTTGCGGGGGCGATACGAGCAACGCTAAAGGAAGACCAAGGCACTGCAGGGCGATCAAGACCAGGTAGGTCGAGTATCCAACCTTTCCACGCTGGTTCTCCTTGACGTTCAGGGAGAGCTGAATGGCGGCGCCGAGAAGCTGTCCAAGCTCACGCAGACCGAGCCAGATACCGGTGAACTTTCCTCTGTCCTTGATATCGGCGTACCCCAAAGCGATAGCGCCTTCAGCTGCCCACAGAGCGGAGGCGGCAACACCGCAAGTCGCACCGCCGAACAGCACGAACCATTCTACGCCGTAGCGGTTGTTGGCGTACATCGATGCCGAGTACGGTGCGTAGCCGAGGGTACCGATGATCAGAACCGTCTTCGGACCGATCTTGTTGGCCATGATGGCGAAGAATCTGCAGCCAAAGACCATGATGCCGAAAGTGAGGGAGTTGGAGCCATTGACGAGGTAAGGCTCTTGCTGGCCACCAGCACCGGTGCCTTGAAATTTCCATTACCTTTTGTTTTCATACTCAAATATTGTAGATTCATTGCATACTGTTAAGAGCATTCCAGATACCAGGCTGAGTGAAGGAGATCAAGCCCACAATGATGACATTGAACAATGGCGATCTGTACCAGCGCGTGAAACGTGACACAGGCTTCGTAGGCTGGACATCCTGGACCTCCTCGTCAACCTCCTGCGGTTGCTTTGCGTGATCGATCGACGACATTGCAGTTGAGCTGAGGTTGCCTCTTCGATCCCGACGCAACGGATAAAGGTCATGCAAGTGCGGGAGGGAAATGGGGTCCGTTCGATGTCGAGCTTTTAAAAGATGGCCATTCTCTTTGGCGTCTGCATTGCTCTACCCATGTTTGTCCTGCGGGATATTCATTCCCCCCTCTAACAATGAGCATACGCTCCAAGCGGCCAACGTCCGCGATGTAGCACCAGTCTGAATTTTTCTTTGTGTCTACTCCGTGACCCCCCACCCCGGTTTCTGGACTTTGCAGCTCGTCAGATACCGGGTCCAGTTCAGATTGGTTGAGTCCTGCCGCCAATGGGCTCTAATAAGCTTGGTTCGAGTGGCGTTATTGTAAATCGTAATGAGACAATCCTGGGCGGCGCTCATAGTAGGACGACCTATCCCTGATGCAGGCCGCCGGCGCGGGCGCGGTTCGTCGGCGCACATGCGAGAAAAAAACGTGGATTGGACCCTTGATCATGGATGGGGTCGGTATTGTGTCCGACATCGCGTCGTGCTTACATGGGTGCGATGGCGACATCTACAAGCGGATTCCGGGACCCCACTACTCGCCATCCGCCGGGATGAGGGCGGAAGACGACTCAGCAGAAAGGAACAAGACGTTGGGATGAGGAACAAAGAAGATATTTCACTTGTGAATTGTATGAGTAAACAGCTTATTTCAATGTCTTATCTGTACAATGCTTTGCTGTTGGCGAGCCGCAATATCACTAGAACAGGTGTAAACGTCGAGAAGTTCCGACTAAGAATCTAAGATTGCTCGGCCCCGTGTCCGAGGAACACCGAGTTTCTCTCCGCGTCGGTGCATCACACTCAGACATCCATACCAAACATGCTTTGATCGATCCTAGAGACTATTTCGGCAGCCGCGGTGCGTTCTTGATTGGAACAGCATAAACCCCGGCCGGTGTAGTACTTGCTGGAACCGGCCAAAATGTGATTGCGCTGTCGATTAGCGAAATGTCTAGAATATTGCTCCTTAGGCAGTGTTTGAAAGAGGGTCACATCATCCTACGTCTAACGGCCCCAGTATTTCTGAGCCTCCCGCCGCGACGCAGACTGACATGTGCCGAACTGAACCATGTCGTAAGTATGCTACGCATGAGACCAGTCAAAGACTAAAGTACTCAGCAACATCTACCCAGAGTGCACTAGTTTGTATGCACGGGATATTGGACAATAATTTGAGCTCGTTGATGAAAATGGCAGTTATTATATTATTCAAAAGTTTAGTTATGGAAAATTAAATCAGAACACCCCGTTCGCAAGTGACAAGAATGACGGAGAAGAGCCCAGATAGCTACTTAATCAGGTTCCAGGGGCCTTGCAAAGGATGGCCAAACCAGCCTGTTACTCGGAGATTAGCCACGGCATATGGTCAAGATCATGTCTGAGAGACTTACAACAGTGAGAGTGCAGCATCGTGCAAGACGGTTTCCATCGAGCAGGCAGGCAGCTTGAAATCCAAGAGTGGTGACCGGAGTTGTCACGGCTGTGCTCACTAGTCAGCTGCCTCCCTAGGGCTGCCCTTCATCACCTCCTCGCGGCACGGTCAGGCCACGGGGACTTTGAACAATATCACCAACGCTTTAACCACACAGAAGCACTACTCACCTGCTCCTGTGGATGGGTTAAGGAGGCAGACCATCTAGTCTACTGCCGAAAGACCCTACTGAGGAGGCAACAGTGGCCCACCCTCTACCCCTACAGCCGCCAGGAGCCCGTAGGACCTATAGGGTCCCTCGATCGCTACTTCAAGGGGCTAATCACTGACTCTGAAGGCTTCCAGGCCTTCCTCTGCGTGACAGACTTCTTCCAGAAGATCTGCCCGCGGTACTAGGAGATAGGTCATAACCTATCCTCCAAACGACAAACTACCTCTATTAAGAAACCAGATGGTTATAACGGAACTAGGGCACCAGTGGGAACTAGGGATGGATAGAACACATAGTAGCTCACGAGCAAGATTTGGAGGACGTCAGGAGACGGCGTGTACTATATAGTATATAGCTAGAGCCTGCGACCCTTCACGCCACATACCCTTCGGGAGGTCTGCCGCAAGGGCGGCTGCGCCCTTGCCGCCATGGCGTTAAATAGAACAACAACAACAACTCACTAGTCAGCTTGAAAGGACTTACACTGGGCTCGTGTGAACCAAGGATCGGCCTGGAGAACTTACGTGCCACGAAGTTTGAGGACAGTACTCCGCCGACGACATCACTCGAGCAGCACCGTGGAGTGGTTCCCTGGCAAACTGGCGCAAGAATGGAGAGCCTTTCAACAAGAGGGGAATCGACGGGCGTAGTCGGAGCAGCAATGGCGATGGACGAGAAGAGCCCGAGGAGAACAGTTGCGGCCTTCATCTTGAGGAGTGGGTTATTTACTTGTGTGAAAGACTAAGGCTCTTGAAGACTGGAGATGAAGCTGTTGAGTTGACCAAGTGTGCTGTGATGATGTTGAAAATCTTTCTGTCAATGTGTGGACAGAGAAAAGGCTTCTTATAGATTAACACGATGCCACATATCCTTACAAGGACAACTGCCGAATAAAATCAAGTGTTCAGTGCAAAACACCACCTGCGATTTCTCGTCACCTCTAACAAGGGAAGGGGTACGCTTTCGTCTCCGCCAAGGGCTCTCGGTATCCGGAGTGCCAGATACACGGGCGCCTCATACCGCATATTGTGATAGTGGACCAGCTGATCACTGCGGGGAGTCGCCGGTTGGGGAATGCCTTGCCTTTGTAACCCGTTGGCGGGCCGCATCCGGGAGGCTGAACGATGTCTTGGTCCCACCAACGTCATCCCAACGGCTCTGGACTCGCCGCCAGCTCCCTGGACGTGGGTCTAGAATCCTAGATCCTATGTCATCCGAATAAAGTTGTTTCTACATATGAAAATCGTCAAATTCTCTTCGACAATTGTCTTACGAAATGACAAAAGTTATATGATTCATGGCACAGGACAATGGGATCTCGTGCAAGACCAGACGTTCGCACAACTACTCGTGGCGGAGAAGGTGTGCGGGCCACTCCCGTGCTATGGATATAGGTACGGCTTGACTTTAAAGCATCATTCTCGGATGGCCGATGGTCCCGGTCTCTTTGGACCCTTCTGTTTGCCCCAGTAGCTTTTTCGCCAACCGGTTCTGCACATCCGGAGTTCGACTACTTTATCCGGGAGGTGGCTTGAGCTTCTTGCGATCGGGAATACTCCACCCACTTGTCTCGGCGTTTTTGCCAATGGCAGTAGTCCAGCATACATCCAAGTAACGGCCGCAATTGCTTGTGTAGTTATCCCTCATAGCGGAAGACCAAAAGACTCTACGGTTGTTCACACATGAGTTTAGTGATAGAGAAGTTGATAGTGTTGCCGGAGGTTTGTTGTGACAACAGGCCTGGATAAGTGGACTTTCTCCATGATAGGAAAACTCTTCTCCATTTCTCATGCGGAGTGGGCCCCGCTCCTAAACCTCCTTTTTGTCGGCATTCCACTTCAGTCGATAACCACTTTGGAGAGTATGACGCAGTATTCATTGAAGCTATCCACCTCGACGCTTGCAGCTTGACGGACCAAGTCCTAGAACATCAGTCGAACCAGCTGTCCAGGAAATTTCGAACACTAGCCTCGTCACGTGCTGTAGGTGTCTCAGTTGACCAAGGTGAGTCAAATACGACCTTGTCTGGACAACCCAGGAATCCTCGTCTGCAGTCCCTTTCATTCCTTGACTCGCCAGTATTGAGCAGTCCATCCTCATGTTCTACCCTTTCTACGGAGAGTTGTTTTACAAGCGTAATAGATATATATGTACAAGCCTGAATTCAAATTTGAGACTTGGTGCTCTAGAGAATCAAGAATCCGACTTTACTCTCGGTCGTCTGGTATTCTGACATGGTGAATCTAGCATTGGCTACCTTACACATAGTTTCATCGCGTAAAACTTAAACAAACGAAACACAATGAAGAAGAAGGCCTCCAGCATGGATCCTGAGGCAGGCGCCTTTCGCCCGTCATTTATACCTCATCCTCCAGCGCCGGTTCCCTCCACGAAGCATCATTCTCCTGACGCTCCCACGGCCACAAGAGTAGTCAGGGAGAACACAGGACAAAGTCAGCGTGTTCAAGGCGCTGCAGAACGCCCTCGGGCTCCTCGGACGAAACAGGCTACCCAGAAGTCCATGAACCCGTACTGGCAGCCTCGAGATAACGCCGGGATCGCCAAACGCATGAAGAGCGACCCGAAGCGAAACACAGAATGGCTTTACATTTCTGCTTTAAAGCATGTTGAAACTGTTTCCAATCACCTCATTGAACCCACTGAAGGGCCAGTGGCCTCGGCTGTCAGTGATTTCTCTGTGGTGTGCTCATACAATTGGTCTGGCGCCTATGAGCCGACGATCTTTGTGCCTGGTGAGCAGCAATCTTGAGTCTCCGTGTCGTGTTGAGTCCAAGGACACTTCCCAACTATTAATGATGTGCACAACCTAGGCGCACCTGCCAAGTACAAGAAGCCTTCCCTTCCGCTCAAACTGAAGTCTGACCACGGCATCCAATACGTGGATCACAACGTCTACAGGAACCTTGTGATGCCATTCGAACCGATGATGAGAGCAGCCAGCATCATGAATCCATCGGCCAACTTCGACAACGTAGACATCGTCATTAGCCGGGGCGGCTTGCAAAGGCTTCTCGACTTCGGCAAAGGCAAAAGTCAGGAATCTTTCAGGGTCGAGCTGAATTTGGTCAACAACACACTATTCGTCGCCTGGCGCAAGGAGAAGAATAGTTTCAGAGTGTCTCGACTACCTGGGAAGGAAAGCTGGGGCCATGCATTTGAAGATGCATTCACAGAGTATGACGCGGGTCTGGAGAGTTCTGTCTCGCACCACCGAGTTATCCAGTACAATATTGGCGAGATCAAGTGCATCGTGCGTCATGAAGTTGATGGCGCTTACTATGGGTCGGATGAGGCCGAGGAGAATGCACCAACAAACACTGAAGACGGCGAAACACCACCCAGTGCCACGAAAAATGCAACCCTAACCGGGAAAGAGAGGATTAGCAAGGAAACTCGAGCTATCCAGAGGGGCCGAGAAGCTCCCCCTTCCTCGATCCTGGAGCTCAAGGCTCGGCCAAGGATGGAACCATGGGAAGCAATGAATCAGATGTACTTCGGAAGAACTCCCCACCTCATAATAGGTCAACACGAAAAGGGTGAGTTCACCAACGTTCGAACAGAGGACTGCGAGTCAATGATGGAGACATGGGAATGGTGGAACCACGAACCCCTGAATAAGTTGGCTTACCTTCTCGGGTCATTGCGAGAGAGGGTTAAAAAAGCGATCGCAGAGGGTAAGCGAGCTTTTGCAATTTACAATACGATGTGGGATAAGACAGCGTTGGAGATCTGGACCACATTGATGAGGCAGGCGCCTATTCTGCAGAAGCTCGAGAGGATGTTCTGGACCCCCGAATGCAATTTGTCAGTGAGGAGATATCCCCACCCAACTCACGGCGAGACTCATCAACGATTTGGACAGGGGAAGAAGCCCTGGCAGCAACGAAAGAACAATTAGGAGGGGTGTTTTCCAGCGTGAACATGAGAGATAAGAAGGACGAGGAGGCGGGTCCAAGGAAGCTTTTTGCAATTTCTTTCTTTTTTTATTGCTGTACATGAACCGCTCTATACTTGAGTTAAAAGCGCCGGCTAAGGTCGTTTTAGCGAGCTTTGAGAGATACACGCAGTTTTATCTTCCATATGTAGACGATTTAGCCTTTAGGTACCGTAAAGACATTTCAGAGATGATTACATGCAGACCCCTTAGTAAAGTAGGCATGGGCAGCCTCCACATGATCTAATACCAGCCCTGCAGCCCAATAGTGAACCGATTCTGATCCTTCTCAACACTCTCCTTCAGCGCCATCAGCTCCTCGACATCCCAGTTGGCGTGAACAAACCGCCCATGCAGGAACTTGGCCTCCTCGCTGAGAGCCCATACGACAAAGTCCCCAGGAAGCGCAATATCATCATAAGTCAACCCCAAGTTCTCCACAGTCGGCGCAAACTTCTCCGACATGACCGTGCCGCCAATGAGACCAGGGTGCACCTGCAAGACGAAGAAGCCGGGGTTCTCGTCGCGGAAATATTCAAATAATTTGGTCGCACCACTCTTGGAGGCGCGGTAAGAAGAGTAGCCAAACATATAGGGGAGATGGATTGCAGCGGTGGAGATATGAATCACGGCGGCGTTTGAGGCTGCGACGGGCTGGAATGCGCGGAGGAGGTTGAAGTTGCCGCGGATAGAAATCTCGAAGGCGCGCCACCAGTCCTCGGGGTCTGAGTCAGTGATAGTTTTGAGGTCGGACATGTAGGCTGCGTTGGCGACGAGGATGTCAATCTTTCCTCCGTGAACCGAACTTGCGAAGGAGGCGACGGCGTCGGTGGTTGCCTTTGAGTCTGTGACGTCGACGGTGTAGAGGAACACCTTTGCCTCTGTGTTCAAGGCTTCGATGGCGACTTTGGTCTCTTCAAGGGACTTGATCGTTCGTCCGAGGAGGCCGAGACTTGCGATTCCGGACTTTGCGAGAGATTTGGCGATGGAGGCGCCGATACCCGCGCCGCCGCCTGAGATGAAGGCGCTTTTGCCTTTGGTCGAGAGTTCTGGGCGAGATGGGGAGATGGCGGCATACGGCTGCATACGGTAGGTCTTGGTGGGAGCAGGGAACGACATGGCTCTAGGTATTTCGAGTCTTAAAATGACTTATTGGATTCTTGGAGTGAAGATGGTATTCAGAGGTGATGAAGAAAAAATCAACATCCAAACCATGCTTCTGTTCCTTTCCTTATGTATAGAATGACTGCAGAGAGATGATGTTGATCCTCACCCTAAACATATTGTTGATGTCCCCTATTCGGAAGCATTCTCGTCGCTTGCCCAGTCCCTTAATACCTGACTTCCTCAGTTGGCTAACATTGAGCACCGCTTTGCTATGTCAGCCAATGTTGGAAATATCTGTCGTGAGCCCTGTTGAAGGCTTGCAAATTCTAGACGATACTTAGACCGTCAACGTTTAACAGTCGGACTCGGAGGAAAGTTGCCAAGGCCCACATTATTGGCGCTAGGCCGGGCGCTACGCCGAGTCGGGCGGATAACGTTATGGACCGGCGACCGGAGTGGGCCCCACGCTTTTTGCTGACATTACGCACTTTCTCCTCGTCCTCGCTGATTAATCCTCATTCGACATCAACAAAGACACAACAACCCATGTCATTTCTCATCCATTCATAACGTTGACTCGGTCCATATCAAGCCCGTATAATTGCTTCGACGTTTGATCTCTGTAACGTGATTCTCCTGAGATAACGGAATGAGTCCAGCCGACGCCGAGGTAACGCGGGCTCACCCAGACTACGCGGTCAAGATCCACTAACACGTTCCAGTCCCGGCGTCGTGAGCGCGGTGTCATTGCCCAGCGCGAATACCGCAAGCGACACGCTTCCAAGGTCCAGAAGCTCGAGGAAGAGCATAGGAATCTCAAGGACGCCATAGCCGAGATCAGCAGGACCCTCAAGGGACGGGCCCTGTCAGATGATCTGAAAGCTGCTCTCTCCCATGCACGAGACCTCGCCGACATCACTGAAGATGATACTATGGAGGTTGTCGACAGCAATGACGTAGAAGAAACATCACCATCACAATCACCGCCCCCGGCCGTGCCAGAGGACCCATCAGCATCATCAGAAAGACGCCTCCGTCCCAGTGGCCGAGCAAGTCCCCGCCTAGACTACGGCCTCTGGATAGACACAGACCGCCTCATCCGTATCCTCGAACCACCCCTCGACATAGTCCCCTACCTTGGCCCGGGTATGCACACCCTCGCTGGTTGTATCTTCTGGTCCACAATGAACTACACCGTCGACCTATGGGATGCCCGCCCCTCGCCGCCCGCAATTAAAGCCATGGACCGCATGTTCAGCCACTCAAAGCACCTCAGCGATCGCAATTATCTGCTCTCGCTCGCCCAGGCGAGGATGGACTACAAAAACAAGGGGTACATGTTCCGTAAGCTCTCGGACCAATTTGCTGAGCGGGCCTGCGCAGAGACTTTTGAGCTTGTCAGGGATGAATGCGATAAGAAGGGGAGGCCGAGCAGGTACTGGAAGACGCCACAAGAGATTGCGGGGAACATTCTCAACGAGATTACTACTGATCAGGCTGTGAGGATGCAGGCTGTTGCGGAGGGCAAGGGAACGCTCTCTGATGGGCAGATGATGCAGGCGCTTGTTTCGTGGCTCTCTCAGAACTTTATTTGCTTCGGTGACGGACCTAGATGGAGTACTGTCTTCGTCTCTGTCGGCATCGGAAGTTGGGTCAGGGAGCTCATGGACAGGGACGCTCGCGCAGAGAAAGAGACCACACCCGGGGCGAACGAAACGCCATCTTTATTGTTACGCCCATCTTCCAAGACTTCTCCACCTCAAAGCTCCAACCGTAAGGCTTGCCGATCCAGGTACGAATCTGATGTCCGACTGAGAGGATGAGTTTCGCGTTCCTCATACCCGGAGGAACTGCCCCTCGTAGGAATCCCTCCTGTCATCCCCCTACAACCGCCACCACTGGAGTAAGGGGGATCGTACACAGCCTCACACAAAGAGTATGTTCTCCTGCCATCGAGCCATTTACTCTCTGCCAAAGCCCCATCCCACGGTCTCTCCCAATCACCCGCGTAGAAAGCAACGTTTTTCAACAAGTCGCCCACCTTCTTCTCCCGCAATCGATAAAACAGCTTCATGACTGGTTTGGTATCCAGCACCGGCTGGGCCATGGACTCAATGCCGCTACTGCAATCCGATTCTAAGTCCAGCTTCCACTGGTCGTAGCCATACACCCCCTCCATGGAGGCTCCCAGCTGTCGCCGGCACTCGCTCGCAAACTCCAAGAAGACTGTAATGTTGGTTACTTTTGGAAAGTTCGTCGCCAGCGCGTCAAAAACCTCCATCGGCCAGGTCCCGTTGCGGTTGACGTCGAGCGTAATCGATTCCAGGTTCGGCGCCATGCGGCCGAGTTCTGAGGTTTCTTCTGCCGTCATCACTCGCCGCTGTCGAATCCCGCTTTCCGCCTCGCGCCACTCAAAGCTTCTGAGAGACTGCGCGTGGTGTCGCAGGACGGGCAACACGGAAGCGCCGGTCTCATCGCTGAATATCCACGACAGATGCGTCAGCGAGTTCTCGGGCACCCCCAAGATGAGGTCTTTTGCCCAGCCGCCATAGACCTTGAGCGACTGAAGCGATTTCAAGTGTGGGATCAGGTTCGCGATGTCAGGATAGTGGCCGACCCTGGGCCTTAAAGTGAGGTTCTTGATACTCCCGAAATCCATAGCGTGCAGCAACAAGTCCAGATTCGTCTTGGCCTTTTGCTCCGCAGACAACGGGAGATGCCTCACCCACTTCCACGCTCTACCGGAACCAATCCACTCCATCGTATCCCAAAACTTGGAATTCGTCCGATAGGGCGGCTCTGATATCTCATCCCACATCCGATCGCCGAAATGGTACCCCTCTAGGTCCAGCGACTCCAGCTTCGAGGGGTATATGGACCCAGAGGCCAGGTCGAGCGGGAAGTTCCAGCGGTCGGGATGCTGTGAGCATCCTATGTTTGTGACGCGGAGTTTGAGGCTTTTGAGAGAGTCACAGTCGGAGAGGGGTTTGTGGACGTCGCATTTGGGGAAGAAGTGACCCATTTTGGTCAGAGGACTGGTGACATTCTCGATCTACACAATTGGTTGAGATTGAAGTGGGTCCATATTCTGCAGCGATCAAAACGCCTGGATGTTTGTGCACCTATTGACACCGATTGTTTCGTATCTTGATCTGTTAGACAGATTCTAATTTGCATAGGCTCACTGTGTTTTCAATTACTGAACTGAACATGGCCAAGATCTCAAGTTTTTTCTTCGAGAGTATCAGCCGCTGAAGGCTCTTCACGACGCGGAACATGAGCGACAGTCGTTCTTCGCACCAGCAGAGCATTTCCCTTGACGAAAGTTCGGAGTATTAGTAGGCACAGCTGTGAGTGAGAACTGCTTGCAGACCATACTGCGATCTGTATATTTGAATTGCCACTATTGTTTTAGCTTCAAATCCTGTCAATTGTTTTGACAAGCCTCTAGATCAGCGGGAGGCCACCCGGCCTTTCGTTCAGCTTGAGACTCTCGGTAAATAGTATCGAAAGCTGCTTGGCTTTGATCGAAGCTGTAAACTTCGGTCAACTCGGTGAAAGAGGCATGTAATTTGTGATCTTGTGAAGTCCAAGACTTAGTCCAGAGCTTTATCATAGCTAGAGCGCCGTTCGACCATGATCGAGCTGTTAAGAAATATCTCGTGTGTATTAAGCATTACCTTATGCCGAGCGGATAAAAGCCGTCCATCGCGACCTGTCATTTAACCTTAATTGACGTCCCATCCCACACTAACCGGCCGGGGCATCCGCACCTCTGTGAGGCTAGTCCGGCAGGGGAGGGGGTAGCACGCTGACATCTTCGCATCTTAAGGTACTTGACAACAGTGGCTAAGGATACGAGGCATCCAGTCACAGAATCGTCATCCTTTTCACCCAGGACGCCGTCACCAGCGCCATCACGCGCACCGAGCAAATTCTCACACCGGATTGCCTCCGGCTACTGAAGTAAAATGAAGGCCCTCATCGCAACCATGCCCTTTGCCAACCACATCCACCCAATGCAACCCATCGCCCTCGCCCTCACTCGCAGAGGCCACACCGTAGCCTGGCTCACATCCGCCTCCCACGCCCACATGATAACACAAACCGGCGCAAGCTTCATCCCCTCCCCGCCCTCTCTCGCCGCGCACGACGAGACCCCCCTCGCCCCGGACCCGGAAACATCGGGCATGGCCGCCGTGGTCTCCACCCTTCGGAAGCTGTTCCTTGATAGAGTGCCCGACCAAGTCGCAGCCTACCGCGCCGTCCTCGACGGCTCCAACGGAATGCCGGCTTTTCAGGCGGATATCCTGCTCCTAGACCTCTGCGCATACGGTGCGCATTGTCTCCGGGATATCACGGGCTTACCGTACGCGACGCTGGGGATTAACCCGCTCGTGAGTCTCGACCCGGAGGTCCCGCCATGGGGCACGGGCTGGCTTCCTCCGGCAACCTTCTTCGGCCGATGGATCAACTCGCTCGCGCACGCGGCCGCGAGCTGGCTTCTTTACCCGAAGCTTACTGCTTTACTCAACGCACATCGGGAAGAGCTGGGGCTTCCCTTCCTGCCTGCGTCCGGGTTCTATGACTCCACGAGGTCGGATGCGCTGCACATCATGCCCACGACACCCGCCTTTGAATTCCCGCGTAGGAACCTATATCCAGCTGTAAAATTCGTCGGACCGCTCCTCCCACCATTCAACGAAGATGAGCTCCCACCTCTCCCCAAATGGTGGGATGAAATGCTCGCACACCCACGGGAGAAGGTAATCCACGTAACCCAAGGCACATACGCAACAAACTCATCAAACCTCATCACCCCAACCCTCGCTGCACTCGCACACCGCGCAGACCTCCTCGTCATCGTCACCACGCCCAACGCAGAAACTGCCCTTCCGGCATCCTCCCTCCCCTCCAACGCCCGCGTAGCCTCCTTCATCCCACACGCGAAACTCCTCCCGCACGTAGGCGTCATGGTCACAAACGCAGGCTACAACGGCGTCCTCGCGGCGCTGAACTGCGGTGTACCGATGGTCTGCGCGGGTCGGAGCGAGGATAAGGCCGATGTGAGTTCTCGGGTTGCGTGGAGCGGCGCCGGGATCGATCTCGCGACCGACGCGCCAAGTGAAAATTCGTTGAGGAGTGCGATTGAGCGAGTCATCGCTGATGAGAAGTTCCGGAGTGCGGCCGAGAGGGTGAGCGTGGATTTTGGCGGGCGTGATGGGCCTGGGGAGGCGGTTGATGCGTTGGAGGAGGTTGTTGAGCGTAGTCGGAGATGAAGGGGCCGGGGTTTGAGGTTTGAGCCTGGAGTTGAGGTTTCTACGGGCCGAGATATCGGGATTCCGGATCGGTGGTCGGGCGGCCGAGGTTTGCCCGCCGAGTGGTATCTCCGGCCTCCGGTGTTGCACACGTCGGAGGATGGTGCATGATCTTCACCTTTGACAGAATGCCGTATCCACTGCCAATGCTTGGCAAATAATGTAAATGCTCCATTATCCAGCGAGGTATCATTCTCTATCAACAAAAGAAAAAGGGACTAGGTATTCTACCAAAGTATGCTCCGAGATCGCAGGCCCACCCTGTAAATGCACCAATACACCAACGCAAGCAAATCCAACAATGCCTTTTAGGTAGGTAGCTCTAAACGCTTAGGCTCAAGTGTTGCTTGAAGCTCTTGACCTAGACTGTGGCGTCGGGCGATGCTGCCTGTTCATTTGAAGCTCTTGACCTTCTGCATGCTGCCTTCCTCGACCAGGGCCCTGTGGAGATCAAATGAGTTGAACAGGAGGTGAGGTTCATGACCCATGCCCTTGCGCAGGCACTCAAACTCGGCCTTCTCAAAGTAGTCCAGGAGGATGGGCTGGTACACCGGGTGGGCGCACTTTTTGATGATGACGCGCGCGCGCTCACGGGGACTCAAGCCACGAACATCAGCGAGACCTTGCTCCGTGACAATGACGTCCAAATCGTGCTCCGTCTGGTCAATGTGTGTGCACATGGGAACGATACAGCTGACGCCGTGGGGATCCGTCTTTGAAGGGCGCGTCGAGGGCGTGTGGACGATGCTGTACTTTGCGTTGCGGAGGAAGTCGGCGCTACCGCCGAGACCGTTGAGCATACGGGATCCCATGACGCACGTGCTGTTGGCGTGTGCGTAGATATCCACCTCGACGGGCGTGTTCATGGCAATGACGCCCAGGCGGCGGATGATCTCGGGCGAGTTCGAGACCTGTTGGCTGCGGAGGAGGAGCTTGTCGTGGTAGTTCTCCCAGTTGTCGTAGAAGCGCTTGAAGCCTTCGGGCGAGAAGCGAACCGAGGTGGCGGTCGCGAAGTCGAGATGGCCCGTGTCGAAGAGGTCGAGGAAGGTATCCTGGATGACTTCGGTCCAGACCTTGAGATTCCAGAAGTTGCTGTCCTTGAGGCCGCCGACGACGGCGTTGGCGATGTTGCCGATACCGGACTGCAGGGGAAGGAGGTTCTTGGGGAGGCGGCCGTGCTTGACTTCGTGCTCAAAGTACTCGATCAAGTGTCTGGCGATGGCTCTAGAGCCGTCGTCCTCGGGGGTGTTGGGGCCGGTCTGGTCGGGGTAGTCGGACTCGATGATTCCGACGACCTTCTCGGGGTCAATGGGGATAGAGTTTGTTCCGATACGGTCCTCGACGCTGGTGATGAGGTAGGGCTTGCGGCGCGGGGGCACGTCGGTCATGGTGATGTCGTGGAGACCGTCAAAGTTGGGCAGCGAGGTGTTGACCTCGATGATGATCTTGTCTGCCATCTGCACCAGCTCCGGTGTCGCACCGATGGAGGCGCCAGGAACGATGCTACCATCCTCCTTGATCTCTGTGGCCTCGACTACAACAACGTCGAGGTTCTTGTTTGGGCGGTCTTTGGTGTAGAAGCCGTATACGAGGTCGACAGGGAACTGCGACAGGTGCTTGTCGAAGAAGTGGATTCTTCCCTCGTTAATACCCTTGGAGATGGCCTTGCCGACCTGGTGAGGGCTCCGGCGATTGATCATATCCAAGCTGGCCCAGCGGTTCTCGGTCTCGGCGCCGGAGGAGGCACCGACAAACAGGCTGTACTTGAGCTGGCCCTGGAGGCTGTTTTCGACGGAAACAATCTCAATTAGCTTACGGGGGCCAATTTACTAGTACTCTTGGGGTTCCTTACGAGTTCTTCTCGACGTGATCCGCCAAGTAGGTGGGCATCTTCTTGGGGTACCCGACGCCGGTGAAGCCGGACCAGCCGATGTAGGCGCCATTGGGGAAGTGCTGCAGGAGATCCTGGGGTTTGGTGAGCTTCTTCAGCATCGACGGACGCTTGACGCGAGCCCGCAAGGCGGCGGAAGCAATGGGAGACGCCATGTTCGCGAGATGTGATCACGCAAATGAGAGTGAGGAATGGAGAGGTTCACAAAGGGTCGGTGCCCGGGGAAAGGAGGGGAGAGGGTGGAGATTCGAAGCCTGGCCGACGACAACAAGGAGACGAAGATACGGAGACGGGGTGGCTCTGGGGCAGAAAGTGGGTGTCGACGAGACTTTATACTGTCAGTTTTGTTTGGTTCCGGTGGAAGAAGCGCGTCCCCATTCAACTCAGGACTCAGGAGACGAGACCAAGAGTCAAGGTTATGGAAAAAAGATCAGGTCACTCCTTGAGCCCCTCGGTGGGGAATGACGCACGACCAACCCTTGGAGACCAGGGAGCTCCAAGATAGCTCGAAGCTTTCTGAGAGGCAGAGAGTGCCCCTTGAAGGATTATGTCATCAGATGAGACAACATGATTGGTTAAACAATGGTTTGCGGCTCGGTAACAGTCGGTAACGCCCTCCTGGCCACAGCCGCATGCCCGCTAGAGCGAGAAACCTTCTTGTCTCTCTTGGCTTACAATGTGCCTGAGCGGCCTGCTGTCGGTAGCCTGTAGGGCTCGATTCCAGGCACCTCAACGCGCAAACTCTCGGTCTGAGCCGAGAGTCAAGAGCCATTGACCAATCATATAACGCAAATTCCGCTGTTTTCCAAGCAATTCTGGGCTGAGGTTCAGTCAGGAGATTTTCCACTATTTTTTCTGTTCTTTGTATAGAAGCGCAATCTCTCCTTTCCCTTGTGATATGCCATAGAATTTTCAGCATTCATACCTCTGAGCTCCAAGTACCTAGATGGCTGAAAGTCCCCACTGTCAAGGCGTTCCCGAGATGCCAGCGACAAAAAATAAACTGGAGTCGTTTTTCAAACATCCGTAGATGCGAGCCAAACCTTCGGCACAGCTCGGCCGGACGAATCTCGGCTTTAACATTGCGCTGCTTCGTCCCATTCGTCAAGAGGGCCCCATATCTTCCCGGCCGATCTGGCTCCACTTTCCTCACAGCCAGGTCTGGAACGAGAAACTGCCCTCCTCACGCTCCTGCCCTTCAACACTCAAAGAGGAAGGAGACACCGCATTTGCAAGGTCTAGGGAGTTGGGAATAGCTTCATTTTTAATTTCTTCCTTTACTCTTCCACGAAGGGCTTCGGCATAGTCTACAATGCAACCATCCTTCGCGGGACGAATCCCAATTGTTTATTCCGGAATCTTCGCCTCTTCAGCCGATACACCCGCCTTCCATCTGTATGATGCCGCAACATGCTCGTCAAGCGGTCCTGACTGACCCTCCTTGCGGTAGAAGTTCTCTCTATACGTACCGCCAGGAACCGCATAATCGTCCCAGAACAGTCCGCGACGACGCAGCTCAGGCAGAAGGAGATCGATGATGTCCGTGAAGGACTGGGGGAAGAGGGCGTACGCCTGTCGTTGAAAGTCAGCATCGTCATCTTCCATCACCATGGCCTGACCATTAACTCCAACAGTGTCAGCACTTACAAAGTTGAATCCATCAACATCCGCCTCCTCAATCCACGTCTCGAGCCCATCAGCAACCTGCGAAGCCGTACCAACAAAGATGGGCCCGTTGCCGCCAATGCTGACATGCTCGGCAATGGTGTGCTTTGTCCACTTTGCCGTGCCAGGCGAGAACCGCGCGTACCCCTCAACAGTCGACTTGACAGCATTGCTCTCCACCTCCCGCAGCTCCTCCTCGTCGCCGTACTTGCTCAGGTCCATGCCTGTCCAGCCACCAAAAAGCGCCAGCGCACCCTCGTGCGAGGCATACTTGCGGTAATCCGCCAGCTTTGCCTGTGCCTCCTCCTCCGTGGCACCCAAGATTGGCGTAACGAGCGCGAGAACCTTGATGTCCTTACCGTCGCGGCCGTACTGCGTCCGCGCGAGGTCCCGGATCTCGGCAATGTTCTTCGCGCACACAGCGGGCGCGTGCGCCGAGACAAAGATGGCTTCGGCGTGCTGCGCTGCGAATTGTTTGCCTGCTTTGGAGGTTCCGGCTTGGAGGAGGAGAGGCGTGCGTTGGGGGCTGGGTTGGACAATGTGCGGGCCGGGGACGTTGAAGAAGCGGCCGTTGTGGTCGATCTTGCGCACGAGGTCTGGTTGGGTGTAGATGCCTGTCTTGCGGTCGAGCTTGACGGCGTCGTCTCTCCACGAGGATTCGAAGAGCTTGTACATCACCTTGATGTACTCTTCGGCTTGGGCGTATCTGTCGTCATGCTGCTCTTGTTAGCTTCGCCCGGGTTACGACGATGTGGCCTTGCGCTGTCTTACCTGGGGCTGCTGGGCAAGACCCATGTTCTTTGCTGCGGAATCCAGGTAGCTCGTCACGATCTGTGCTGGTCAGTATGCCCTTCCTCAAAAGATTTCGTCTAGAGACTGACATTCCAACCGAGACTAGGAGGCTATTAGCAAGACAACTTCGCGACCAGATCTTGGGTTACTCACCGCCCGCCTGTGAGGTGGTCGACAGTCGACAAACGCCTCGCGAGGTGGTATGGCTGCTCATATGTCGTCGACACCGTTACACCAAAGCCAATGCTCTTCGTCACCGCAGCCATGGCAGCTACGGGAGCCAAGGGCTCGTTGACGGGCCATTGGGCACCGGAAACTTTTGCAGGGTCGAGGGATTGCGAGTAGACATCGTAGCCGCCTTCGCCGAGTCAGTTATCTTCCATGCTTGATCTTCTGGACGGCAAACTCACCAAGAACATCTGCGATGAAGATGCCGTGAAACTTGGCCTCCTCGAGCAGCTTGGCCAGCTCAACCCAATGGCTAATCTCGTTGAAGCGCCACGACTCGTCTTCGGGATGTCTCCACAGACCGGGGGACTGATGCCCGCTGCCTACACGGAAACTGTCAGCTTCAATGCAAGATTCTCGCGCGGCGAGGTCTGAATGCCATACACATCTCAACGAAAGCATTGAGTACGAGGCTCTTCTTCGGCTTTACTGCTCCCGTGGTGTCGGCCATTTTTGCTTCGGTTTCTTGCGTCTGGAGTATCTTGAGTCCAAAGTTCGCGAGAATCGTCTGCTTGGAAAAGTTCCGAAAGGAAAGACGTTGCTGGCTTTTTGCGACAACAAAAGACAACAAAACTTTTTCAAACTATCACTACCATTCAGCGGAACCTCGGTGACCGCGACCGCGGGGTAACATGGAGGGGTTCGCGTCGTTCGACGTGAGGTCCCTTTGGAGACACGCCCCCCGGCGATGGTCTAACAACTCGAAGTTTACCCCAAATTGCCCCTCCCGATACTCGGCGTGGGTCCGGCACCGTGGAGCCGGGGCGATGATGCCACCGGACGGCTCGGTGGCGCAAGACGCACGACGACGCACGAACGGCCATGGCGGACCCCACGCCAATGCCGACGACCCCTGCACTCCGCTGTCTGATTGTTCCAGGCAAGCTCCTGTCCGATAAACCATCGTACCAGACGTACTATCCGCAAGCTGCGAATGATAGCTCCTGAAAAGATCCGTACCTGTAGCTATTTAGGCTGCAAAGGCGGTTAAGCTGTAATTCTCGGGTCAAAGTGCCTTGAATGAAGAAGAGCTTCAACGGGTCCCGCCGGCGACCGCAGATCGTGGAGGTCAAGGTTCCGACGTGAGGCTATCACGTCATGTTAGCCCCGATGACATAGCCCAACCAGAGAGTTGCAGATTACCGCGCGACAGATCGGCGGATGGTTAATACCCGCAAAACGGTACCATTACAGATGGCTCCATGAGGGGCAATTCGAAGCGCAGATAAGTTGTCTTTCTAGGGCTTTCATTCGTCAATTGACCTGGCCATTGTTCATCTCACGATGATTCAGCAGCAGCGATCACCTCATCAACGAAACATTCACACATGACATGGCTTTCGGAAAGATGATTCAATTAAGGTTCAGATAATAATATTAGCGTGAAGAAACAGGGAATCATTAATCTCTATGGCAATATCGACCCCCGGTCTCCCAAGTAGACGATCAGCATCAAGCTGACAGCTGTCCACCGCGTCCCAGCAACTCGGTATCAGCACTGACTCGCATTCCATCAGCCGTCTAGTGCTTTACGTCCGATTCGCCATCCTCGCTAGACACGCCGCTCACTTCGCGAACCTCCTCCACGTGCGCCGAGAGCCCGGAGCCAAAGTGTCTCAGGACGAGCCACGCGGGTCCGATAGCCACGGCCCACAGCGCAAAGTTGAGGTAGATGGCGCCTACCTCGCCAAAGAGGGTGATGGAGGTGAGGCCGTAGCTCAACGCCTGCCACGCCGACTCGACTCCGCGGAGGAGCGCGGCGTAGCGGATGACTTCCTCTTCACCTTCGGCTAGGTTCGTGACGATGAAGTACCTGTTTCGTTCGTGTTAGTCGGAATGCAGATACTTGATAAGCGGCGCGGCAGACGGCCGAGTAAACGTACAGGAAGAGATAGTTGATCTGGAATCCGATCGTAAGGAAGATGTAGACCGCAAAGGCGGCCCCGAAGCCAGGGCTGGCCCAGTCGTGAACTGGGCGGGTCTGGCGGAATCGTGTCGCGAGAATGGTTGCCCAGAGCCACCACGCACCCTGGGTGATGACGAGAGTCCAGAATGTCGACCTCGTGCGAAGCTTGAGTGAGACCTTGGCGCGGTCAAGCCAGTGCTGCCAGCGATGTCAGTGACTGTCTCTCAATCATGCATAAGCGCACGCGGGAGCTACTTACCCCGAGAAGGTTGCCCGAAATCACGGCCACAATGCCAGAAAGGAAAGATCCAAGGGCTCTAGATCGGACAGAGAACCATGCTATTGCAGATATCAGCACTCACTCTTATCAAGGAGACGTCTTCTCGGGCGGACTTACAGGCAAGATACGTGAAAAACACAGCCTCCGCAAAGACAGCCTGCCCAATCCAAAGCACGATCAAAAGGAACTTGGGCTTCAACAAGTTCCTCGTCGTAGCCTTGATCTCATACCAAGGATTCTCCAGAATCGCCAAGCTAACCTTCTTGCCATCCTGTCTCTCCACCTGCTCCGGCTTATTCAAGAAGAACCCGACAAATGGGCCCGCAGCCTGGATGGCGATGAAGATGATGAAGACCGTGTACGAGACCTTACCGGCCTTGTCGTTGTCCGCGTTCAGGCCGAGATTGATTGCGCCGCCGAGGACCTGCCCGCAGAGGCGGTAGGTGAGCCAGTAGCCCAGGGCTTTACCGCGGTTCCAGGGCTCCGGGTAGGCTATCGCGATGGCGGCCTCGGCCATCCAGAAGACGCCGGCGGAGATGCCGCAGAGAGCGGCGCCGAGGAGCATGAGCCATTCGACGCCGTAGCGGTTGTTTGTGTAGAGGCCTGCTGCGAAGGGGGCGTAGCCGATGCTGTTGAATTCGGCAAAGTCAGCGTCTGTCTCCCTTATGGTTTTCGTCATGAGGGGCTGAACTTACGTTCCAAAGATGAGAGCGCCTTTGATACCGATGTAGTGGACCATGACGGAGGAGAAGTAGCAGGATACCACCATCAGGCAGAATGTGAGGGCGTTGGCGGCGTTGACGACCTTGGGCGAGGCGGCGCCGCCTGCGCCGAGGGAGTTCATGGCGCCCCAGATACCCGGGGCTGCCAGGTTACAGAGGCCGAGGATGGTCATGTTGTAGAACGTCGAGCGGTACCATTTCACTGCAGACATCTGGCGTTAGCTCCACGATGATGCTGCAGAGAGTGTCTTTGTGATGTTAACGAACCTGGGTGACGCTCCGACTTGGGAGGGATGGCATCGCCCTTTGCTGGGTCGGCGTATTCTGCCATTGTGAAGATATTGCTATCCAATCGAAGGGGAGTCGAGGCCGGATGGATGAATGAAAAAAGAGAAGGACTGCGTCTAGATATCTTCAAAAGCCAAGACCTGAACTGCCGAGTCGTCTATCGTAGCTGAGTCGCAACAGGAACGGGAATCCTTCGTCTTATGGATGAGACCAGAAGAGACAGACCATGCAGGGATTGTCCAGATGGATGTCATAGTCAGGCCGACCTCACTGCTCGCCTCTTCTTTTCACGCACAATTGTCAACTCTCCCAAAGTGACATGGTTGCCATTGACACATGCCGGGCCCAGACTGCAGGGTCCAGACAAACTTTTTTTTTTCTTCCCTTCTCCCATCCTTTGCCTATTTCAAGAACCCCCGATAACATCTGCCAGGCTTACTCCAATTCTCCAATAGCTTAGCGTTTGAAGTGAGTACTCGCTAAGACGTCTTTGTGGAAATCTCCGGCGAAAAAGGGTTGCGAAATCAACTGGGTACAGCACGCCATTCCGCTGCCGGCGCACGGGTTCCGGAATACCACCTCGACACTTTGTCAATCACTCAGCCGTCAACACCATCACCACGGTACTGTCTCAATTTCCACGCTAGCAGTGAAAGCATGACATTCGATTCCGAGTCTTTGGAAACCTTTGACATGTAAAATAGCTCAATCCAAGTGGGTTCAAGACCCGGTGGCTTGAGAATGGGTCGTTGGGCTCAACTCATCCTGTTTCTCGGGTTCATGGTTCGGCATGGCACCATCGATGCTGATGGCTTGGCAGTGCTTCCAGTATAGTGGTTCGAGGCGTCTTAGTTGTATAAGGTATCTAGAGTCTTTCTGTCCGATGTATGAACACCACAAGTGCATGTGCAGAGATCACATAGGCCCTGTCAAGCAAGCAGGGGCAGATCTGCCCAGACTACCCTGAACATGCTCCCTATGGTGCTTGCCATGCGGATGGGATATCATGATTAAATGATCACAATTGACGATAATGAGTCTGCTGTAATCTTCGTAACACATTTATCTTTGACTTCTATGCGACATCTAAGGAACACTATGCCAGCTTTCGTGAACGTCTTTAACACCCACGCCTCCAGCCTTCAAGTAAGGTGTCACATCAGCTTCCGGGTCCAGCTCCCTCTTCGTGCATCCAAGTCCAAAGTACCACAAGAATGGATTCTCCGAGTCCCCAACATACTCATACTCAAAGTCCTCCCACCGCGGCTCCCGCTGCACAATCGTCGCCAGCGTTGCAGACCCAGGCCACAGGCCGTGGATCCTCGAGCCGGCTTTACCGCTATTGTACCATGAGCTGCAGTTCTCCGACAACACTGTCGTCGCGAAGAACGCGTCAGAGTATTGCGTGAAGTTATCCGCGGCCCTCTTGGTGGGCTGAATCGTCTTGATTCCCTCGCGGCTCGCCTTGCGGAGGATGCGTGCGAAATACGTGATCTGGTTCTCGACGTTGTGCGGGACCGTGCCGGAGCGTCCCGACCCGTTGGGCCCGTGGACGAAGAGCAAATTTGGGAACCCGGGCGTCGCGGAGCCGAAGTAGGTATACGGGCCATCGGGTCGCCAGAGCTCGCGAAGGTCCTGGCCCTTTGCCGTGATGGGGAATGGAGGCGCCATATCGACGTTCGCGCCCGTCGCGCAGAAGATTGCGTCGACTTCGCGGTGCTTACCGTCTTCCGTCTCAATGCCCGTCTCCGTAATCCTCTTGATGCGCGTCTGGATATGCTCCGTTTTATCTGAGGAGATGGCCTCGAAGTAGCCCGGTCCGGGTGTTAGGCGACGGCAGTGGGGTGAGAACTCTGGGATAAGGGCGTCGATGAGCTCAGGTTTCTTGGTGAGTCTGTCGTTCATGAACTTGCGGAACTTTTCTCGCGCCTCATCATTTTCGCTGGAGCCCTTGAGCCACCCAGTGAAGTGGCGGAAGTATTTGCTCTCCAGCTCCTTGCGGTACTGGAGGTATGCCTCGGGGTCCTTGCGGAATGTCTCTCTGAGGTCCTCTGGGATAACGATGGGTTCGATAGAGGTCTCATCGCCCGCGAATGAGGCCGTCACCCATGTCTTATTCCGCGCATAGTGGTCCAGGCGCGAGACGACCTTGTGAAGATTTGACGTCAGCTGAATGCCGCTGGCGCCGTTGCCAATCACCGCGACCTTCTTTTCCCTCGGGTCGAAGCTGGGATCCCAGTTTGAGGCGTGTCTGAGGAGTCCCTTGAAGTCCTTGATTCCGGGGTAGTCTGGTAACTTCCAGGCATTGAAACGGCCTATGGCTGTGAGGACGAACTCGGCCTCCTCTGTGCGGATCACGTCTGTCGCGAGGTCGCGGATGGTGATTTGCCAGACTGAGCGCGATTCTACCCAATTCAAGCCCTCAACCCGTTGTGCAAGATGAAGATGCTTATAAACGTCGTATTTGCGCGCCAGGCCCTGCCAGTAGTCACGGATCTCAGCGCCCTGGGCGAATTCCTCCGTCCATTGTGTGTTGGGGTCGAAGGTTGATTGATATACGTGGGCTGGTACGTCGCAACGGACGCCTGGGTAGATGTTTTCGAACCAAGTGCCGCCCTGGAATGTTTGTGTTAGTCGAAAGCTTTCTTGTGACATTTTCGAGCTTTTTTGAAACGTACCACGTCGGCGTTCTTCTCATAAATCGAGAGTTTGATACCGGGAACCTTTGCTGGAAGAAGGATGCCAGCAAGTACGCCCGAGAGACCTGCTCCAACTACGGCTACTCTCAGTTCCCGTGGCTCGTCTATGTATCTGTCGACGAGCTTGATGGGATAATCATCATAAATAGACTTTGGTGGTGTGAGAAGTGAGTCGACGGTGTGGTCGATGAGAGTCTGTTTGTCAAGGCCGTCCTTCAAAGGTGCCTGAATCGAAGCATCCTTCTGTTCTATGATTTGTGAGGTCGTGGTCTCAATGTGGTCACCCATGATGGCAGTTGTGGACTTGTGATTACTCCGGGGATGCTTCAAGTTGAGGGTGTGAGCTACAGGACTCTATGACAGACTTGAGTAACTCCGCTCAGATCTCACAGCAGATAAGATGGGAAAGCCACATTTTGTTAGCCGGCTGCTCTGCCCCTCGTCAATCTGGACATCGGAATCACGTCAGACTCGTGCTTGAACGCGTTACACGCACTTGGAGGGAAGACGTTCCGCGGTCTCGAGTATGGTTCAGGTCGGGGACCGCCTCGCTGTCCTATCAGAGAAGAGCAGTTGTTATCTCGCAGCATCAAACCGAAAGCTTCACGAAGGACCAGCTCTCCACCCCCCCCCCACCATAGAGCTTCATTTAACCCCACTATCAAGTGTTGCGGGCAAGTATCCGCAACGCGGATGTTGCTGGAGATGAGGTGCGCTGAGTATGGGGAGCACGCCATCTCCCCACTTTCTTGGGGAATCTGAATAAACACGCCCCCCCTTCCCGGTCCCTCCTCAGATCGGAGCCTCCAACAAAACGCCCTTCATAGGTCCTTGGTTCACGCGATGGAGTTCAACTTGGCGGATCCGCCCTTGGGTCCAGTCTTGAAGGTTGCAAAGACTCGTCTCCAATTCTGCAAGTTGATGGGGTGGAGCATGGTTGATGCCGGCCGGCGATGGGGGCACGGTCGACCGGGGGGTTGAGTGGTCTATCGAAATCAGCAAGGACGCCTCGCCTTTCTCCTGTTCACATCTGGCAGACTATAAGTCTGTCACATCAATGAGCCCTGAGATGGTGCAATGTTCGTCCCGAGCATCTCTGCAACCCGCCAACCTCTTGTCGCACCCTTTCCGCTCTCTGATCGGGTGGTATGCGGTGCTATTACGCAGTAGTCTCCGAGTTCTCGCGTTGGTAGAACGCCATCGCCAAGTTTCGCTTCTTCAGCTTGCGCGAAGGACATGACAGGGGCATTGTTCTATGGCTGGAAGAGACGGCGCGGTGCGTGGGCGGTTTGACATGGGATGGAAAGAATTGCGATGGCAAAACGGAGCTGGGATAGTGATACAATAGGTACTAAAAGCAAAAGAAATCCTTGAAGTCCACATCCTGCAGCTGTCAGATGCGATTTCTGCGTTTTGACACATTCAGATCTTTGTCTGCCGTGCCGTTATCTGACCCAAAGCGACGACAAGCTTCTCACCATGGTTGTCCAGGCTCGCCGCAAGTGGTGGCACATCCAGTGGTACGCAGACACCGATACGCCAGAAGAGCGCAAATTGATCAACAGACTCGACCTCCTCATCGTTCCGTACGCGGTGTTGAGCTACTGGGTCAAGTACATTGATCAATCGAACCTGAATAATGCCTACGTCGCTGGCCTCAAAGAAGATCTCGGGTTCAAGGGCAATGAGCTCGTTCAGCTGCAGACATTTTACATCATCGGGGCTGTCACTGGGCAGATTCCGATGATGTTCGTTCTGACTTACATCCCGATTCATTGGCTCATTCCCTTTTTGGACATTGCTTGGGGCGTCTTCACGCTCCTCCAGTACCGTGTTACTGGGTTTGCTGAGCTTGCCGCATACCGCTTCCTGGTGGGCTGGTTTGAGGCTGCCTTCTTCCCAGTCATGCATTATCTTTTTGGTGAGTCTCTTTGGTTTCTTACATCTGAAAGCTTTCTAACACGTATTTTGAAGGCTCCTGGTACCGTGGAGATGAGATCGCGAGACGTGGTGGCATCTTTTACGTCGGTCTTTCACTGGGCACACTCACCGCCGGTCTGATTCAAGCTGGAGCCTCGGCAAGACTCGACGGAGTGCATGGACTTGCTGGTTGGAGATGGATGTACATCATCTGCTCGCTTATCACCATTCCCATAGGCATCTTGGGCTACTTCGTCATCCCAGGCACCCCTGAACAACCCAACCGACTCGTTCTCAAGAGAGAAAGCATCGAACTGAGCGTCGAAAGACTGAAACGCGCAGGCCACTCATCTCATGGAAAATTCAAATTTGGTAACTTGAAGAAAGTCTTTTTCTCGTGGCAATTCTGGGGTATTATTGTCGTCGACGTTCTCTTCTGGAATGCGGGCATTCATACCTCGTCTGGTAGCTTCTTGCTCTGGATCAAGAGTCTCGGTCGTTATTCAGCGGCCAAAGTCAACGAACTCGGCACTATTGCGCCCGCCCTTGGTATATTTTATACCTTGTTTATTTGCTTCGCATCCGATCTCGTGATGGGACCGGCTTGGGCAATCACGTTGTCTAGTGCCTGGAACGCCTTGGGACTTCTCATCTTAACTATCTGGGACGTCCCGGAAGCTGCGAAATGGTTCGCATTCTCGACCATTTACGCTTCAGTTGCACTGTCGAGTGTGTTCCATGGTTGGGTGAATACGCAATTACGGTCGTCGCCGGCCGAAAGATCCTTCACGCTCGTCCTCATCAACGCTATCTCCCAATCGTCTACGGCATGGACACCGCTCTTGGTCTTTCCCACGGTCGAAGCACCTCGGTACCCGAAGGGCTTTGCATTCACCCTGGCTTGTGCCATTCTTCTCATTGTCGCGACTCACATCTTGCGCATGTACATCAAACGTAGAGAGTAAGTTCATCTCATCCTTCCCACGCAACTGGGGCCATTTGTACTGACTGCCTACTTAATAGCCCTCAACTTGAGAACTCTACCGGGTTTCCCGAGAGTGATCACGAAGACATATCAACTATTGAGAACGGCAAGCAGCCACCGGTCGCAGTTAGTGGAAGAGATGATCGAAGCGACTGAAGAGAAGACTCGGAATTCGACTAAATGATGTTTGGCAGCGACCATGAGTCAATCCCATTACTGGAACGACTTGACGTACATTTGATGCAGTAGTACTCATCTGAAATAGTGAATATCTGAGTTCATAAGTTAGACAGTCATAGTAGAAGACTGTCTCAAGGCGGTGCAACTGCTACTTCAAGTTGTGTTTGTGAATTATACATATTATTAGGTTGCCAGGGCAGCCCCCCCTCGCACATTGCTGTATTTAAACAGCGTATCATGGCTTTAAGTGAACGACAACTTTCCACGATGAGGATGGCTTTTGAGATACACTGGAGCAATTTAACTAAGCGTGTATCAACATCGACACGTAACTCGAGATCGAGACATGTTGATTCTGACGTGCTAAGCATATTTCCTCAAATACCCAAGTGGCGCTAATAGTTTCCGCGGAAGTTGACCGTTGAAGCACTTGACAGAAAGCCTTCTGAGATGGTTCTGGAACGGTGTCTGGAAATTCTACTAGCAAATATAACGTGGTTATCACCGTCTTGCTGAACATCGTGGTATTGGGCTAAGGTGCGACCCGCTGCGGAGATGCGCCTCCTTAGTTGCCAGCCATACTGTCGGCGAGGCAATCGTCGGCTCAAGAACCAGTTATCATAAGTCGTTTTTGCCGACCCGACGCCACCTGAGTCCAATAGTCCAGATGGCCGGCGTTTTGCTCCGAAGCAGAATGTGTCTTCGGGCTCGGAAAACGGGTGATGGCACCATCCACACCCGTGATCACGCCAGCGTTTCTGCCCTGCACCGGCGTTGAATTGGGGTCAACGTGCAGATAACATCCCGCGCCAGTCCCACGCGATGGGCGACAACGGCGATGACGACATGGCGATTGGGCAACTTCCTTTCATCGCGTTTCTGCGCCAATTTGAAGAAATTCGTGATGAAGATGGGTTGATAAACAGAGGTAAGCCCGCGGGTTTGAGAGATGATGAGTGAAAGCCTCAGCTTGAGGATACTCACGAGCAAATATTCGAAATGAATTCGGTACCAATTCACACGACCAATGGCGAGAATGGTGTCAAGCCGGAAGGGAAGAAGCAGATTTTGCTCAATGCATTCGACATGTCTACGGTCGGGCATTTGTCTCCGGGACAGTGGAAGGTCGGTACTAAGTAGTCTCTTTCAGACATTTTCGAATGGATGATATACTAACCCTTGTTGCTTTCAGAATCCCGTCGACAAGTCAGCAACCAAGCGCGACCTGAACTACTGGATCGACCTCGCGAAGCTCTTGGAACGAGGTGGCATCAATGCCCTCTTCCTCGCTGACACATATGGAGGTTATGACACCTACGAAGGAAGCCTTGACAACTGCATTCGCCGAGCGGCCCAATGGCCAATGACAGATCCTACTATTGTAAGAGAAGGCTATGGTAGGAAGAGCTGGATAACCGCTTACAATGGTAACACAGCCGATCAGTGCCATGGCTGCGGTCACAAAGAACCTTACATTCGCCGTTACCGCCTCCACATCCTTTGAGCCGCCTTTCCTTCTCGCCAAGCGATTCTCAACGCTCGACCATTTCACGAGGGGCCGCATTGGCTGGAACATTGTCACTTCTTGGAAGAAGGCAGCATTCAAGGCTATTGGCTTGGACAGCCCGATTCCCCATGATGAGCGGTACGCTCAGGCAGACGAGTATCTTCGAGTTCTCTACAAGTAAGTTTGTTTTTTGTGAAGAATATCTTCGCCGGACCATCCTCAAACAACATGGTTGAAGATACTGATGATTCACAAGACTTTGGGAAGGCTCATGGGCAGATGACGCGATTACCCCTGATCCGGAGAACGACACTTATGCCGACCCCGACAAGATCAGGACCATCCATCACCACGGAAAGTTCTTCGACCTCGATACGCGCCACATCGTCGACCCTTCCCCCCAAAGAACCCCCTTCCTTTTCCAAGCAGGAACATCAGCAGCTGGGTCAGAATTTGCGGCAACACATGCCGAGGGCATTTTTGTCTCTTCGCATTCACCTAAGCTCCTGCGCCCGAAGGTCAAGATAATCAGGGAAAAGGCCGCGGCGCTCGGAAGAGACCCTCAATCTGTCAAGTTCTTCGCCACCTTCACTCCAATCGTAGGACGAACTGACGAAGAGGCCCACGCCAAGCACGAGGAGCTCAAGAAGTACGCTTCCGTCATTGGTGGCCTGGTCCTCGTCAGCGGCTGGACGGGCATCGATCTATCCAAGATCCCTGTCGACCAAGAGGTGACTGCCGCAGACTCTCTAGAGGCGCACAAGGTGCGAAGTATTCTCGATGCTTTCACAACAACGAGCGAGCACGTTCCCAAGTGGACGTCGCGTGTCATTGCCGAGCGGGCGGCGATAGGTGGGCTCGGGCCGGTATCTGTAGGAAGCCCACAAAAGGTGGCGGATGACTTGGAGTATTGGATCCGTGAAGGTGACTTGGATGGTTTCAACTTGGGATATGTCACGACGCCTGGCACATTTGAGGATGTTGTCGATCTCCTTATCCCAGAGCTTCGACGACGTGGGATCTACCCAGAAGCACCTGCCGACGACGTTGCTTTTACAGCCAGGGAGAAGGTCTATGGGCAAGGACAAAAGGGACTGAGAGCTGATCACCCTGGCTCGTCCTATAAGTATCATGTATACAACGAGGAAGACGCAAGTTCGAAGCGTGCAGACTAAAGTGTTCATGTAGAATAGAGCGGAGATCATCCCCCCCCTCCGCCTTGAGCCGATCCTGGGTAGTAGACGTCAACTTTACTCAAAGATCATTGTATGCCATGAGAGAACGTTTTTGTGGATTGACCCCCAGGCCGAAGCAGGCTCTTCTCATGAGACTAAACACATGTTTGTGGCGTTAATGGATGTCCATGGGGCTGTTCTACAGTTCAGCCAACCACAATGATATCACACTGCAGTTGTGGTTGCCTGATAATTACCCCGTACTTACTTGCTCGTTAGATAAGTCAAATGCCAGTTTAAGAAACCACTGCCTGACCAAGTGACGCAATTCGCAATGCTTTTGACTGTGGGCATTCATTGCAAACATGGAGTTGGGAACCAGGGCAGGCTCGAAGAGCTTCACCTACTCACCACTCTATCTCGACCGTCAAACACGCGTCATCGAGTCATATTTCTCCACCGACGCGGGTTCATCTCTCCATTGTGATATCCACCACATTAGCTAGCATTGATGATCTGGACTCGCCCTACGAAGCCACATCGTGCACCTACCTTAGGGAGAAGTAAGGTTTCCAGGCACGCTTTAAGTCAAGAAACAGGCAGCTACAATCAGAATCATCTACAGTTTTTCTGATGCACTACGTCGGTCACGTCTGCCGACAACTGCAAGAATGCTCTGGGCCGACGCGGCCTGCATCAATCAAGCGGATGAAAATGAAAAAGCCATCAAATCTCCCTTCTTAGTCTTGACTTGGCATGAAGTAATATGTAACTTTATCACCTGGCAGCGGAACCGATTCAAAGGAGTCGAAAACCGAGTTTTGCGAACAACAAATTTGCTCCCTTCAATAAAAGACGAAGAGGGCCTTTCCCAAGCGCATCTCCGAGATAGTGAAAACACTTTCTAAAGAGACTGGACACTCAAAAATAGATGCTATGACCGCGGCAGGGTTCGAACCTGCGACCTTCTCGGATCAGGCTCACTTTGTTGTGAACGAGAAATCATGACCACTAGAACACACAGCCGGTGTTGTTGAATTTCGGGGCGTTTGCATTTGCCAAAGTAGACTGTATCGTGGTGCTGGCGTGCAGGAGTTAAGCGAAATGAGTATGGGGTTGTCTGCACTTTGATGTTACATGCTAGTCCCAATGGCTCGAGCTAGAACAACAAACGAAGCCTTCAATCTTCCGAACATCGTGTTCCTGTCCGCGGCCGCCGCGTTATCCCTCACGCACATGGCCGAGTTGAGGAACGTGCAAAGCTGCGGGTGCATTGTATGCCGGGAGGGGAGTTAACATTGAGTTAAACCGCTTGATACTTACCGTTTCTATTCTTCGCATCCTAGGGAAACGTCGAAGGGAATCTCGGCGCAGCGGGCGGGACGGCACTTTAGCGTCACCCACTCGCCAGCCCTTCGCTAAACCCCTTTATTTCTCCAGTTTGAGGCTCTAGTTCTTTTGGTGCCGAGGCGGCTCACGGAATTCCCACCAGTCAACTCTGCCTTGCTACGAGACGGTAACCTCTGCGGATGTGGTGTCACATCGATAAGCGGCATTCTCGGATACGAAAAGACGACTGTCCAGCATGGCCCGATAGCGGTGGTGGGTGTCTCGAAGGTGGCCAGTGTTGCCCTTGTCTTGCTCTGTGGATGCGATCATGTCGGCAGTTGGGCCCCTTTGCCGTTTGTGGCTGCCCTGAACCGGGGGGTTGCTGCCCGCTGCGTGCCACCCTTGGCGAGCGATCTGAATCCTGGGAATCTGGGGAGAGCACCGCTGAGTCGGGCTCGGCCTGATCTTGGGTCGACTGCATCTTGGCTCGGCGCTTTTGGGAATCCAAGTACTCATGACACATGACAGTGCATGTCCAATTACACATGAAAAGTTAGTTGCGATTGACGATGAGTTGTGAGGGAACCAAAGTTGCACGAAAGTACGAGGAGCTTACGCAGAGGAGATGTTCGAGGAGTTCCTCGGGAAGGGACAGAAAAACGCTGATTAAAAAGCCTTTGCGCTCCCCATTAGAAATAATCTGTCAAATGTGTCACTCTGACGCAATGTTTTCTTCCATCACTAAAATAGGGCCTCCAATGCCGTGAGACAAAAGTAATGCGTCTGCCGCATTTTACATAAAGTGACACCGCAGGTGGCAATGTCTATCCAGCACACAGGAGCGGCTTCACATATATACTATGGTGGAGTTGCCGGTCAAGGAAGACGGCTATAACGGCTGCATTTTATGCTCAGGGAGCACGGATGCGATTGTGGAACAGCGCCCATGTGGTGAAAAGAACCGTAAATGACGGCAGCAATCAGCTATTGACCAGGCCGAGCCTCGGAATGGCCCGATGGACCACGGAGGTCACTGCGTTGTCAAAATTTCCAAATGCCCATGGAGTGGGAATCAATCGATTTCGGCTTTCCAATATTCTCATTGGGGCCATGATCGATGGTGAACCTAAACCGGCGAAAACGAGTCAAAATTTCATTTCCAACACTTGCTGGCCTTCTGCTTTGGGGTTACGGATGTTGAGCCAGGGATAAGGGGCCTTTCACAAGTTCTCCTTTTAGCCTCTACAGGCCACGCCTCCCTGAACCATACAATCTATTTACCTGAAGGCAAAAGGTGACGAGCAGATTAAACCTGCCCACATGGCCCATTGGTGGAGTCACTTCTTGGAGCACCTCGTGGCCGCAGCGTTTACGCGCTTGGTTGCTTCGGTAGACAAAGTGATCAAGTTGAAACCGCCCCTGATTGTCCACCGTAACCACCCCCTCCGGTGGACACCCACTTGGCCGCAACAAGCTTTCCGTCCGATGCTTAGCTCCGGCATCCCGGTCGTGTAGCCATGGCCGCGGGAGAAGGACCTCACTCGATGTGCTGTGTTCTGGGCCGCACACTAACGTTCCATTCGGCATTCTACGCCGTGATTGGAGGGATCTGTTTGTTTTCTGGAAAGAAAAAAAAGTCTCTCCGGCGGTTGAAGTAGTATCATGTTGTAGGCATATCAAAGGGCCATCCGCCCGCCTGGGAACCTATTCTTGGCAGCCCTACAGTTCATCCCAACAACTTACATTCTCTTGTCCATTACCTTTGCCGTTACCACTCATTCATTCCAGTCATTCTTTCAGAGCTGAAGCTAGTCCGAATTTCCACCATGCAGTTCACCTCTTACCTCGTCTCGGCCATGCTGGCCGTCACGGCCGTGGCCTCCCCCACGCCCGTCAGCATCGACAAGCGCGCCACCAAGATGTGCAACTCCTTCGGCTCCGTCGCCGCCGGCGGCTTCACCATCTACCACAACAACTGGGGTGCGGCCCAGGCCACCTCCGGCAGCCAGTGCACCACCTTCACGTCTCTCAAGTCTGGCTCCGTCGCTTGGTCGACCTCCTGGACCTGGGCTGGTGGTCAGGGACAGGTCAAGTCCTACTCCAACGTTGCCCTCGAGAAGGTCAACAAGCAGCTCTCTGCTGTCAAGTCCATCCCCTCCAAGTGGACCTGGAGGTTAGTCATTAATACCATTCCCCAGAAACCAATCTAGACATTTGCTAATTCTTCTGTCAACAGCTACACCGGCTCTAACATCGTTGCTGATGTCGCCTACGACCTCTGGCTCGCCCCCTCCGTTGGTGCCAACAATAAGTACGAGATCATGATCTGGCTCGGCGCCCTCGGCGGTGCTGGCCCCATCTCCAGCACTGGCAAGACCATCGACACTCCCACCATTGCCGGCACCAAGTGGTCCCTCTACTCTGGTACGTAAAGTATTCAACGATACAATTAAAAGCACCCATCTAACCCGACTGCCTAGGCCCCAACGGTGACACCACTGTCTACTCCTTCGTCGCTCCCAGCCAGATCAAGAGCTTCAACGGCGACCTGAACCTCTTCTTCACCTACCTCACCTCCAAGCAGGGTGTTGCCAAGACCAACGTCATCACCAGCCTCCAGGGCGGTACCGAGCCCTTCTCCGGCACCAACGCCGTCTTCACGACCTCCGCCTACACCCTCACCGTCCAGTAAATGCTTGTTACAGCTATGCTGAACAACGCTGCGCGGACCTCATGCCCAACCTGAACTGTGTTCAGGTCCACGTTTTCGACATGTATATATTGTCGCACTTTGTACATACATGTAATTATCATCAAGAATACCAAACCGGGATTCATGACAAGCTTTGAATACTCTTTCCATTGTCTATGAATAAGTGGTTCCCCACGTCCCGGTGCACATTCAAAGTATATGTTTAAGTAGAGTTGAATTATGCACGCTTGCTTGCGCATTTGTCTATGGGAAAACTGAGCAGTGAGGCTCTGTAAACGCTGTCAATCATGGTGGTACAGTATCCATGATTTCCGCCGCACTCATACCCACGGTTTCATCTTCATTGCATGTGATATCCAAGCGATCATCGTCATGTCGCTTGCCAGTTTTGCCCCAAGTCCAATGAGTCCCAGTTGAACTGATCGATGTTGATGCCTCGCATGTCTGGTACATTAATATTCGAGTACAGACCGCTGTCTGTTGGCGGAAAGCCGCCCTGGTCGTAAGTGAGACTCTGGCCAACAATGTCCATCGGAAAAGATGCACTAAAGTCGTAGGAGTTCATGTTCATAATTTCGGCCTTGGGTCCGGTATCGGAAGACTGTGGACTCAGAGCCGGCGTCACCTCTACCAGCTTTTCTTGAACCTTGCCTACAATTCTGGGCGGGATTATCGGCTGGCCTGATTCCCTGAGCGCCGTTGCCACCACCTCCCATGTGCTGATGATGACCTCAGTGAATGGGACAAAGACAGGGTTATACCCCGGCTCGAGCTTCTCAAACCGAGCCTCGAAATGATCGCTCATGGCGTTCCAAATGTACTCCCCTTTGGGATCCAGGGGATTTAGTTTGAGAAACTGTGTGATGCGGATATAGGCTGGGAACGGGTAGTAGATCTGGAGAAACCATCGAAATCTCTGGGTCAGGGGAGAGGCTGACAGGTTCGCATCGCACTGAAGCCACCTTAGAGCACTGGTCAACGTGATGCGGTGCTTCTCCTCGACTGGGCCTTCGTAGAAGCTGTGGAACGTTTCCATCAGGCGAAACTTGGAAAGAGATGCGCGTGACATCCACATAGCCATGAAATGAGTTGGGTTCTCGAGGTCGCAGTACCGGAAGTACTTATCATCTACTGACTTCTCCAACCAATCCACCTTGCCGCCGCCAGGTAGCTCCTTGGCGATAGGCTTCAAGATCGGGTTCGTCATGTCGAGGTAGAAGGAGGTGTGCCGAGCAAAGTCGGCAAGCTCGGCCGTCACGACTGAGAAAAGCGCCTCGCTGACTTTCATCTCCGCCCTCGGCGGTTCCTTCATCTCCGCTCGGAGGTCAGAGTCGCTGACGTTCATCGGCACGGCGCAGTCCCATGTCGGGGTCAAATTGGTAGCCTTGTGCTCGGTTAAGCCGCTCATGCGGGCATCGAAGAGTACCAAGGACCACCAAAGCCTGCGGCGCATCTCGGCCTCTAGGATGGTACACCTGGTGTTGGCAGATTCGTGTTGGAGACCGATGCGTTGGCCGATGCGAATGGCAACGCCGAGGAGCGATGATATTGATCGAATGTGAGCGCTGGGACGGCTTACATGCTGTCAAAAGTTAGCCAATGTGATATTCATTACTCGCTCATATCGTAGTACACTCTCCACCGGTCAGGATACGTACGAGGTAGAGAAATAACGCAGTCAGGCAGTCAACGTCATTAGTTCTCAAGAACTGACTGTTTGAAAGAGCTTGCTGGCATCCAAACTGGTACTTGGTCAAGAGCAGGGCTTTCGGTTGCTTGAAAGTATCGTAACATGCGTCATCGGAGAGACTCATGATAGCCATGGAGTAGATGCTGAACATGAGAGCCTCCAACGCCGGGCTCATGTTGTCGACGCTGCTCACAGCTTCAATGATGCGCGCTTGGAAGCTGGGGGCGTGCGTCACTCGAAGCAGTGCATTGACATTGTCAAGGTAAATCTGCCAGAGTCGAAAGATGTGAACGGGCTCGGGATGAAGGGTTGAGAGGTCGACGGATGACCGGTCTGGGGAGCCGAAGAGGATGTGATCATCGCTATCGCAGGCTTGATCCCACGTTTGCCTAATTGTCTCTCGCAAGCCAGCATGCGACTCCTCTAGCTTAATGATGTCAGTCATGGGAACAGAGAACAAGTTGGGTGCAAGTGTTGTACCTCTGGGCTCACCAGATGCCAAAAGTTCCTGCGCACAGTTAGTGATACTGTAAACTCACATTTGACTTGGTTAAGTCTTGAGGGAAACCGTGTGCGGGAAAGGCTAAGTCGGTATCGTAGGTGAGTGACTCACTTGGGCTCATATGAGGTTTCAGATTTCACAGTGATTGACGGCGAGGGCATTCCCACTTCTTCGGATCGGTGCTCGTCGTCCGACCCACCGCTATCATCCACAGACTTTCCATACCTGGCACCTAGGTCCCCATGAAGCGGTTCAAAATCGACCTTATTCTGTCGCAGTAGGCCCTCGTACTTCCTCAGGCGGTCGAGAAGCTCCCTCTCTGGGAACCGCCGCCTCCGGGGCCGGTTCTGCGTCGCAGGCACGCACTGTAGCTGGTGTTTTGTGCAATGTGCACAGGGGAACTTGCGGTCGCACTTGATCTTGCGCTGTTGGCAGAGGACGCACGCGAGGACGCGTTGGGGTTTTGCTCGAGGAGCGGCGTCCGGTTTGCTGCTCGCCATTCCGGGAGCCAACATGGTTACAATGTCGGACGGGGTCTGCCAAGGCCGATGCCGTTGCAAGGGGAGCTGAGTAGGTTTCGGAGAGTTGCGATGACCGGCGACCGATGATGTCGGGCGGAGGTGGGCAAGGTGTGCTCGCTCCCAGGCACGGGTCAAGCTGACGACGGGATCTCAACTGTGGCTTTTTTGGGCCATGGGCGCTCCACACCACGGAGTAATCCGGACTTTAGAATATGCCGACTAACAATTTTGGGGACAGTAAGCCTGGACAGAATCGATGGCGTAGCAAGGCGTGAGACACTGCTGGAAGCGAGGGGTCAATCAACTGGCGCGTTATTTCCGTTGGTACATGTAAGATTCTTGGTGTTGAAGTTTTTAGGTTTTCCTTTCAAGTTTATTGTAAGGTCGGAGTTGATTAAAAGATATCAACTGGTTCTATCGTCAGTACGAAGAGAAGAATGAAGGGACTATATAATAAGAAACGATTGGAATCTAGGTGTGTCAGGGTATTTGATGTTTCCATGCAAAAATGTGCCCTGCAGCTCATCTTCTTTTCCTGTTGTGATTCAGAAGTCGTTCTCTTGAAAAGCCTTCACCAAGGCAGCTGGTCCTGTCTCATGCGACATCAGATTTCCGAGCTGTATGCCGTCTTCGATATGAGCTTTGCCCCGAACCAAGAGATCCTTCTCATATTCCCGAACCGCCTCGTCCAGGTTGTCGAGGCCATGGGTCTCAATACTCTTAGCCAGCTCCACCGCATCCCACATAGCACAGTTGACGCCTTCGCCGTTGGGAAGTGCCAAGTGGGCTGCATCTCCAGCCAGAGCCAGGCCTGGCACCGTCGTCCAATTTTGACTTTCAACAGGGAGGTGATACAACGGCCAACTGCGGAAATGGTCTGCGTGTCGGACGAAGTCCTTGGCTTCCTCTGCCCAGTCGCTGTAGAAGTCGGATAGCAGTGACTTTCGCAAAGCCTCAACGCTTGCTGAGTCGAGCTCTCTGCCAACATAGTGCTCGGGAGCTTGTATCCCGAAGTAAACCCTGTACCATCCGTTGCCTTGTCTTTGTACAATCATTTGGCTGGCTCCTGCCAGCAAAGACGCAGTTCCATGCCCGAACTTGTCAAGAACTGACTTGAACAGTGGATTTTCTTCCGTAATTTGGGCTTCCACGTATGTTCTACCAGAGTACTGGGGCTTGACTTGCGTAATCTGAATCTAGTCAGTCACCGAGCAATGGTTACGGGCCAATCATGTCATACCATTGAGCGAACCTTACTCCAAGCACCGTCGGTGCCAACCACAAGCTTGAACCCTTCAACAGTCGCACCTGAGGTGAACTCAAGGGCTGGTAAGCCAGCCTGATGCATTTTGACAGCTTTCAAAGTGCTCCCCCATTTGATCTTCTCTTTCGGTACGGAGTCTAGAAGTATTTGCCGCAGCGTTTTGCGGTCTATTTCGGGCCGACCTGCTTCATCAACACCGCCATTGCTTTTGCCGTCGAGATGTTGCTTTCCAAATTTGTCGTATACCGTGAATCTGTCGTCTTCCCATCTCGCTTCCTTGCGAAACGCATCCCACAGGCCCGCTTTCCGAAGAGCTGCCTGACCAGTCGCCTCGTGAATATCCAATGAGCCACCGGCGTTAGCTGATGTGGCGCTCTCGTCTCGTTCGTAGACTACATAGTCGACCTTTTGACGCTCGAGCAGTCGAGCGAGTGTGAGACCGCATGGTCCAGCACCAATGATTGCGATTGGGGCCGTCTTCGTCGATATAGAAGCTTTGAAAACTTTGCTCGCCATTGTGCTAGGTTGGAGCGTTGTGTGGTCGGAGTGTAGCGCTGTGAAGTTGAGGTCAGCTCCATGTATTGATGATGAAGTGGTTTCCCGATCCTTTTGTACTTACTTTAAGCTTGCGATGGGAATGCTGAGTCCTTGACCAAATTACAATTCGGAAGCGGCACCCAAGCGCCACGGGCTTTTTAGCAGTTCACCTGCACGTACTAGGCCGATTCCGGGGAGTTCCAGCCCCCGAATCGTGGTACTACGGAGAGTACTAGACGCCGTCTTTGGAGTCCGTGAACAACTCTTTGTAGCGACATGATGGAAATGATTCCGATGAGTGATTTTTGATGTCGTCGTGCATAAGCCTCGCGCAGAAGCAAGCCCCTGTCCTGGATTGAACACATAAAGGATAAGCGCACTTTCAGCTGTACCTCATTAAGATACACATAAAAGCTCGGATTCCATGATATTCCAGTCAACTTCTCCGAGATGCTTGGTAGAGTAACGGAAGGTAGTATTGGTGAAAGACTAATCTTGCAGTATATGCTCAACTTTTGATACCAGCCTAAAAGATGTACTCTCCTAGGGCACATTCTACCATTGTCGCGAGCCAGTGAAGGCAGCCGGTCCTACAACAGCCTAATCCAGAAAAGAATTTCCAAGTTCTTATCAGATACGAATATTCAATCTTGCCATCCGGTCTCTTGACGCCGTTCTCTCATTCGTTGGACGCAATCTGAACTCAAAGGTATATCCATCGCGTCGATCGTCTTCTTCATAGCTTCCGAAATCTGCTCTGCGGGGTTGCATTCCGGGTGCTTCTCGTAGCAAGTCACATATGATAACACCCTCTTGAGAGACTTGAGTAAGTCCATGACGCTCTCGTCGGCTCTGATGGTTACTTCCGTCGCTCTCGTCCCTCGAACATAGATAAGGCCGGCGAGCACACTTCCGAGCACGACATAGTCGCACTTCTTGTTCCGCGTTACAGGAATTCCGGAAATGCCAGCGCAGAGCCATTTTCCGTCTATCAATCTATCGATAACACCATTCAGATGTGAAGGTAGCTCTGTGGCGAGTTGACTACGCAAGGAACGGATGGTTTCTGGGAGGTCATTAGTGTGAATTCTCAGTAAATATGAGGAGTAAGCTTACCTGGTATTGTCGGTGAGCCGAGGGAGTCATAAAAATAGTCTTCTGGGCGTGTCCCGTCCGGCATGACAATGTGACCTTGATCATCGATGATGGAAGTGAGACTGATACTGATGACAGTCCTTGCAAACAGTCTCTCATCACCCAATGCCCAAGCAATGCACGAAAGCATTTCCAGATCCCGGCCATCCCTAGTGCCCTCGGATGTCTTCGTTACCCTGTACCACTTTGCAATCCACGGCTGCAAAACATGCTCCATCTCATACAAGCTGGCCAGACAAAGAGTGTGGTAAACCTCAATGAGAGTGGGATTCTTTGGTACAAGTGCGAATTTCGCATGGATTATGTTCAGCAGGATCATCAATCCGTCTGACTTGTCATGCTGACAGGCATACAGCGACGGAGTCCATCCGCACCACCCTTCGTCAGCCGGCTGCGTCCCGGAGGATGTTTCTAAGAGTGTGCGTCTCCAAAACGGCGATGCTCGCCGTAAAGTGTTTGAGCAAATGCGAAATGATTTGGTGCTGCCGGAGGATGGATCGGAGCCGACATGCAGCAGCAGATCCCCTGTTGAATCTATTTGGATCTCGTCTTCGTCTGTGAATGCGTCTTCTGGCGGTGTTTGAACCCATTCACTATCCATGTCACTGTCGTATGCGTCTATCGCAGCAGCTGCTGGCCGAAGGGTCAAGTTCTTGAATTCCATGTTGTCACTGTTCTGTTTGATTCCGAGGAAGAGAAATGAATCCTGCTGAGAAGAATAGAAATTGGTGGTGAATAACATAGGCGAGACGCGTAGTGATGTCGTCCAAGCCCAGTGCAGCACCGTCCACCGGGACATCCTCAGCACGGAGGTCACGGGGCATTTTGGAATGTCATGTCGCGTTACATGGTAGAGTTCTGTGGTTCCGTTAAACTCTGTTAGAAGCGCAGACAATGGAGAGGCAGCTGAGGGGAAGGGAAACGCACGGAAGTGCCAGTTTTACGTAATGATACACGCTCAGCAACGAACAGACTGAGCTGATAGGTTAGCGACGCTTGGCATCTCGTACATGGAAACAACCAAAAGGTACCAAAAGCAAGGTTGGGAGAGCTAATTTGCTCTTTCTTCCACGTTGACCAAAACTGTTTCGCGGGGAAGGACCCGGGCTCCGGAGGTCAGGCGGGATGGTCCGTCTGGGCTTGGCCTTGTTCTGGAGTGAGGCCAAAGCTTCTCCCGCACTTCAAGTTGAGACTGATCGTGATGTGCGAAGAATGACGAAGTCTGGGTACATGACTAATCCCAACTGATTCATGAAAGTCCGACTTGGAAATAGCACCTGGAAATATTTGGTATGAACGGCAGAGACTCATACCTAGGACGGAGATATGAACCTTCTGTGGCAGGTGCAGGTGGGTCACGTGAGGCAGCTCCTTCACATCTCGGAGCTGCCCCACCTACACCTTGCCCAGATATCCAGCCCAGATAATTCCTCACCCCAAGCCGCCCGAACTCCGCCTCCCTCGGCACTTACTAGGAAGGCTATACGCAGCAAGATCCCATCATGGAGACTTTGCAGCATACCACGAGAGATTCGCTCATCAAGATGCGTTGCTCAACTGCAGCTGTGGGAAACCCAAGACACCAGTCCATTTCTACTTCTGCAAGCGTGGACGCAAGGCTACACCGCGCTACCTCCGCCAACGTATGGCCAAAGCAAGTATTGATTTCTTGTTAGGTTCTGCTAAGGGAGCTTCTCTTCTATGCGAATGGATAGAGGAGACCAATTTCTTTTCCGAAATTTGCCCGAGTCATTGAACAGGAACGTTAGGTGAAGACGGTAGCCTGTAATATAGTTTAGATTAGTATAGACCATGTCGGCATAGCGCCCGGCACGTCCTTTTGTTACCAGACGTTAAATACATCATCATCATCATCATCATCAGATATCCAGCCCAGCCAGCGCTCAGCTTTTCCTATCATCATCATCATCAGATCCAATACAGTAGTATTGCCTCCACACCTTCGCAAGCCCTCCTTCGTTGCGTGTGGGTTCAGAAATGCACAACAGAATTCATGGTGAAATTCCGATTCTGCTTCCAGCGTCCGTAGTTAGTCCTTTTTCAACCCCCAATGTTCGTCTTCAAATTTGCTACCATCATCAGGTAACTCAAAAAGTCATTGATTGCTCGAGCATAGCATGGTGCAATTGCCTTAAGATTAAGAAAGACGAGCATAACACAGAAGAAATCTCGATAGTGGCCGGAAGAGCTCCCATCTCTGCCTGTCCAATCAAGCTTTGGCTTTCACACAATCTGTCTGACAGAACTGCATTGACAACATTGAAGACTCCGCAGTCGCTTTTGTCAGTGGATAGATAAGTACAATACAAAGTTGGAACGTTAATGATAATATCATTAAAAACATTTAGGCTTGTACTTCATTTTTCATTGCCATTCCACGCCTCCGAAGGTTAAGTATGTCAAGGCCGCGCATGGGGTCAACAACGGTAAATAATACGCCTACTTCAGCAAACCGTAGTAGTTGGGCCTAGCCTGCAATCGCCAATACCTTTTACATCATGAAGAAGGCTACGTGTAGTGGGGCAGGTGTGCTGTCTGCCGCATACACTCTTAATTGCGTACGGGGGCCCAAACTTTCACCTGAGTCTCGCCTGTAACACACATACACCCCAAGATCCGAGACCCAAATCTTGACATACCATGAATTTAGCATGCGTGTAAGAAGCTACGTGTAATCAGCTTACTTTACTCTCATGACTGTCCAAGACAAAATGCGATAGCAAAGATGGAAGAACTGGGCGGTATTTTCCCGCTCCCTGTGGCTGGGGGGACATTTCAGAATAGCTTGAGGTGAGTATGGTCATGCTAAAGGAGCGTGAGCCCTAGCACCTTCGCATCTTTCTGACATATTTTTTCTACCTACGCAGATACCTTCTCATCCACGAATCGGGCTCATGCGCTATGCCAGAAAGCGAGTGCGGCATACCGACATGGAATGGAGATCCGAGTCAGCCTACAAATGTCCCTAGGTATTTGTGCGACAATTCCGGTCCCAATTCTCAAGCTCTTAGATTTCTAAAGGCTCTGATGCAGACTGTGGTAAGACTCTTTCTTTTGGTTTTTTCTTTCGTAGGTTAGTAGTTGTTTGTGCTGTGTTATGTACTAGGTATGGAAAGAGAAGAAAGAACGCTGATACAATTTGCAGAAGCAAGACCCAGCAAGCTACTTTGTTGTGTTTACGACTACATATGGAGGCTTGATATTCGCAAAGATAGGGCGCGGTTTATTACTCCTAACTATGTCTCATGTTTTTCAATTGATTGACATTGATTGGTAGGCCTTCCTGCTGGCATCGTCTTGCCCGACTCCTAATTCGTTAGGGCCTCATTTGCATTACCACACTATCCTTAAACATATACGGGCTGTGTTCCATATTAAACAATTGGAGATCAGCTCTCGAGCCGTCATGTACGATTTTGGTCGTCAATACCTTGCTTCCATCTTCAAGCACCGTACGCAGGTTGGGTGCAAAGTCGCTCGGATCCCCGCAGGGAGAAATGAGCAAGTCCATGAGTCAATACTGCATTCGCTTAGCAATGGGGCAGCCGACAGCGTCATCGTGGGTTTCAAGACAGTATTAGTTGACAACGACAGAGAATGTGAGCCTGAAGGATGTTTGCAGACCGTCACGATACCTTCGAATGCATTCCAGACTACCCAGGAGCTTGATTCTGACATCTTGGTGAGTATTCGACTTTGAGAATTAGATCAGGACTCGGGCACAAATCAAAACAATTTAATATCGCTCCTAGCTAACGAAGTCCGACAGAAATTGATATCGGTCCCAGTTTTCAGAGCGCAGTCTAAACGTGATTGTGAGGCTGAAACCAGCACGCTCTACGACATTATGCGCCAGATATCTGCTATTACGAAGCCAGAAGTGGCGCCTGTACTCCCATCCGGAGACACGAACACCCCGCGTTCAATCTCACAGTCGACTGACAGGCAAGACGATGGAGATCAGAAAAGCTTATCACCTGAGTTGAGGTCCATACTTCCGATGCACCTGGAACCTACTCTTCGGCGGAGGTCCCACCTGCGCCTCACGGCAGTCAACAGAAGGACGAAAAGTCTTCAGCGCCGACTTTATGAGCGACAGCGATTTTTAGTCTACCTCGAATCATCTGCAATGGCCAGCAACTGCAGAATCCACCCTTCCACTGAAGGAAATAACAGCAGCAACAACGTCAACAACGCAACCACCGACACCACCATCCCCAAGATCCCCGCCAATCGAATGGGACCAACCCTTTCCTCTAGAGCCCCCGGACAGAGGGTTTAGCTGGGGTGAGGAAAGAAGCGACACAGGGTCCGCAAGCCCACAGGTTCGCTGGCTACCATCTCGTTGGCTCCCCTTCTACCCCTATCCGAAACCGGCTACACCTACACCAATTGTGGTACACAATTATGCTGGCAACACGAAACTAAGAGATGTACTGGGAGCCGGCGTGATCGGAGCGCTAGCTAGCCGTCATATGGACGCAACTTCGAGCTCGGTACCAGGACATGTCGTCGATACTATAGACTCATTACAAACCGTAACGCACAGGAATCTTGGCCAGTACCACGGTCCAGAGGCTACAATCCACAATGCTAGTCCGATGGCATTGGCATACGAAGGTGACCCTTCAGAGTCTTTTGTACCACTTGAGGCTTCTGCGATTGTTGGTTCGGAATCCATCCCTGCCAGGCACCAGAATGAAGAATACGGTGAGATTGCTACTTCGCAACATCACAGGACACCAAATGTTCAAGACAACAGGGAAGACTTTGGTCTGGAACTGGATCTCATTCAAAGCCCGGGGGTAAGGTACGACGAAGACGAGTCTTTGAGTGATTGCGGATCGCTAGAGGTTGATGCTTCTGGGAATGTTGATCCAGAAGCCTCAACATTACCGTGTCATGTGCGCGGCTGTCAGCAGCCCGGGCATCGCTTTGTGGCGACCGGGTTCCCATGCAGTGAGCCAGAGGGTTGCCACCGGCCAGCACCGCAAAAGATTACTCAGGGTTCATCTAATTCAGGCGAGCATATATCCCCTTAGATCAGAAAAAGCCACTTTGTATGACCGACGAGTCACTCTACGTGTCTTGTGGACAGAGGAAACTCTCACTCGAATTGACGCAGCCTGGCATCCTGGGCTTCGAGATAAAAAGCACAATCCGCCTATAGACTTGACATTCCGAAATAGTAAGCGTGAAGTGGAAGTCAACTGAAGGACAATCTTGCATCGGCTCCGAAATTTCCCAATCTCGTTCCGGAATGGTAGATTCACCGACATGGACAGCAACTAAAATCTGAGTCCACGAATTGCCCTTGGCAAAATGATTAGAGATATTGTTATAATACCATTGCCAATTTGAGTGTCATTTGAATCATTGACGGGTTATCTGTTTCAATCATGCATCTGAGCAACTTATAGGCGGGACCAACAGCATCGCCTTGGTCATTCCATGTGTCATTGATTTCAGGAGTACATGTTTGACTGGCCATTTCATCGCTAGTTCCGGAGGTGTACCTGACAATCTCTTGTAAAAAAATTGAAGTGCTATTAAGAAAACATTAAGTAAAGATAAACGCTTAGAAAAATAAGTTCAGGAACTCTGCACACATGCCACAATCCTACGAAATAGGGGTGGCAGCGATATAGTTGCAGCCCTGGTTATCAAAGGGGCTACCGCAGCCAACCTTGGTATCCTTATCGATGAACATAGCTGGCAGGTTGAAGTAGCACGTAGGAACCTTGCCCCAAGCTAAGTTGTTCAAATCAACCTTATCCTTATCATCTCCCCCGTTGAGCGCGCAGTCGATGATGGCGCGGTAGTACGGGTCACGGTTGCCAAGTCCATACGAAGCCATCTTGTCGTAAATCACGGACTCGACCTCAACCCAGTCATTGTCACGGTTGGGGTTGGGGTTGTTGTGCATGATGTAGAAGCAGTACTCCTCGCCATCCCGGAGCGCCATCCACTGACGTCCCGGGGCATATCCGCAGTCCTCGCGCGACTTGACGTTGTCGCGCTTGTCGGCAACGAGGTATAGCTTCGCAGCGCTCATGACGTCGTTGGCGACCTTGGGCTTGATATTGTTGCTGATGGATTGGAGAGCGACAGTGACGGCTTGCTCATCGTCGTCGACTAGGAACCAGCCGCCGTTGTAGAACTTTGTGATCTTGCTCTGGAAGGTGTCCCACTTCGGGGCCGGGAGGGAGTCGTACTCGGCCTGGCTGGTGCCGCCGCCGGTGGCGATGCGGAGGGTATTCTCGAGAGCGCCGGTGGCTTGCTTAAAGGCGTCGGCCAGGGCGGCGGAGATTGAGCCCTGGTCAATCTCGTCGGCGCTATTGGACGCGGCGAGGCCGGAGAAGATGGCGCTGAGCATGCCAAAGCCGCCAGCAATCGCGGTTCCCTGTTGCAGCAATGTGTTAGCAGAATAATTAAGGATAGTGTGAGAGTCTCATCAGAAATCGGTGAACTTACAGCTCCAGGAACTAGACCTCCGATCGCACCACCCATGGAGGCAGCAGCAGAAAGCCATCCAAGGACATCGCCAGGGTCGTCCTGGTTTCCTTGGAAGTCGGTTACCATCTGACCAATCTGCAGTCCGCTGATGAGAGTCTCCTTGGTGAGCTGTCTGTTCAACTCATTGAACTTGGCGTGCATGCCCTTGACTGCCTGGAAGATCCAGTAGGAGTTCTTGCCAATCGGAGTCTTCCCGTATGCGTCGTATTGGGCATCGCATGTCATGTCGTTCAATGGCTTGCACTCGTTTCCGAGAGCTGAACAGCCGGCGGCACCAGACTTGCCCGAGGTGCCACCTGAGACGAAGTCTTCGAGGTTCTTCACCCAAGAGTTCTCGTGTTCTGTTCACAATACCAAGATTAGCATGGAGAATTTTGTCAAAACAGAACCTTATAAACTTGAACTTACCCCACTGAGACTTGATGAAGAGATCAAGAGATGCGCCAGAGTAAGTGTCCTCCCAGAGCTTGTCGGCGCCCTCGGGGGTTGTGAGATCCCATCCTTTGCACATGGCATCCTTGCTGTCAAAGGCGTCCCGCTTGACAGAGACACCAAGCGGCGAGGCATTGGAAGCGGCCACAAAGGCCAAAAGAGTGGCAGAAGTCTTCATTATCGATGATTGATCTGTGGCGTATCAGGCTAAGAAAAGAGGGAAAGCAAGGACTATGGTCCTAAGAAAGAGTGTGATAGTTCTTTGAGGCTTGAGGCTGTCTTGGTCTGTGGGAGTTGTGGATGAGGAGTAGCAACATCTTATTTAACTTGAACCATTTCGACGTGGAAGGGACTTTGTTGTTGAGAACATCATGAGTGCCGGAGTCTCGGGCCCGGTAAGGCTGTAAGCTATAATCAGGATGCCTAGTCAATTAATCTTTGTCGAGATGAATTCTGGGGGCTGATGTCGATCGAATGTTGAAGGATCGAGCTTCTTTGGGAGAGAAAAGGAACTTTGGTTGGAACTTTGGGGTTGTGCCTGGCGAAGGATCCTCAACTTGGATTCTAGCCGCCTAGAATACCCATGTCAAAGTCTAAAATCAAGCCATGGCTACTTTATTGAGGCCGTTGGTAAGGGAGGGCACAGCCTTTGGAAGAGGCCACCAATGCAACCCGTAAGCACCAAGAGGCCCCATAAGCTAATTTCAAAGACGTGAAACATGTCAGCTTGCTCCACCATCGTGGAGGCTATCAGGGAACCCTTTGGGTGTATTCTCAGGCAGTCAGAACAAGGGACTTTGATGTGTTTGCATGGGGCTTTCTGGTTGTTGCCTGCCACTGCCGAGATTTAATCGCAGGGCACAATGGGGTCTGATCGACAGGAACGCTCTCTTGGCGACGGGAGGCGGCAATTGAACAGGCGAGCTTTTATTCCCCGGGGCTCTTTGTGGATCCCAGCACGGCTTTCTTAGTGCTGTTGTCTCGACTCTCCTGACGTCGTGCATGAGAACGCTCCGCAATATTAGGCAGCTCAGAAGAGCGCAACATTCATCGCTGGGCGGGCTATGTAAGCGAAACTGACAGACTTGATGTCGAGAACTCGAGACACGTTGTTGATACACATTTTACGCCATCTGGCCCCCAAAATTTGATTGTGACTGCCACAGTGTGTGCGGTAAAAGAGGTTCAGTGCGACTTAGACGCGGGCGTCAGCAGAGCTAAGGCCAACAATGATGGCTGGAAGGATCCAAGACGCGCGCCTAGCCGTGTCACAGCGAATCAATTCACGAAGTAGGCATGAAGAATTGGGTCGCATACGAGTTGACCAAGTTCTCAATTCTTCGCATTGACGCTCAAGATTGAACCATCTGGCCCCCTTAGCTAGTTTTTTCTTAGGTGAGCATCTCTTGACCCCCATTAGTCCTCCTCCAGCTGACCCCTTTCCTGAGTATGTTATTACCCGGTAGAGGGAGAAGGAGGCAGATAAGACTTGATTTAGACGCCAGCCAAATCAAAGGTTCAGAGCACAACAGGGACTTTTAGGAAGACTTGCGGCGCTTAGAGCGTCTCTTTTGCGCTTTCAATGGAACCTTCAGTCGAATGAGGTATCCGTACGTCGACCCTCAACCAAGTCTTGGGCCAGAACCTCGGACTGGCCCCCTGACAGAATCCATGCATGCTTCTACGCGAGTCATGGACATAACCCATTCGGAATGGTCTGACCATCACGAAACAGGCCAGACTGTCATTTCCACCTGGTCCTAGCTCTGCAAGACTTATTAGGATAGCATTAGGCCCACAAGCCTGTGGTGATTCCATCCACTCTTTAGTACGAATAGACGCTCTTTTCTGCTCACTCACATATGCATATTCCGCTGGCCACCCTGACTAACCGTCACCCCCCTTACCCGGCCGCCGGATCTGAGGAAAGTGGGGCCGATCGCAACGGCTGACTACAGTCTGGGCAATAATAATATGAACATTGAAGCATCAACATCGACCTGAGTAGGGGATAAGGTCCTCTGCTTCTTAAATCATCCTATCAGACGATTCTGATCTGCACAAAAGCAAGTCACAAGTAAGCTTGAAAGCTGGTCATCACGTTTAGAGATGGACGTTTGCGCGCATTCACTGTCAAACAGCATGTATAACCAACTTCAGATAATCTGATCCACAAATATGGCGCTTTCCGCCAGAATTTAATTTTATGCTCCATTTTAGACTATCTACTGATACTCCCCTCCTATGGGCGAAATTTCAAGACCTTGGCCTTCTCCAGCGGCACACTTGAAGCCAGGGGCAATCGGCTGCGCCGCAGTCAACTCGCCACCAGTGCAAGTAGCAAAGTGTGTTTCATCCTCCAAGCAGGTCAAGTAGCCCTCGGTGCAAGAGTCGGAGTCGGGATCAGAGTCGGGATCAGGCGAGGATATGGGTGTAGCGGTGGGCTCAGGTGCAGGCGCATCCGGAGCGGCCGACGTTCCACAGTCGGTGGCGGTGACCGTGACTGTGATGTAAGAGATAAAAAGGGTCGGAACGATGCCGGTAGGGACTCCAGTCTCGGTGAGAGAGGTCATGGGAACTGTAGGAGCTGCTGGGGCTGATGATTCGGCCGGAGCAGTGGGTTCAATGGGGACGGTAGGCTCGACGGGAGTGGTGGGCTCGACAGGAACAGCAGGATCTGCAGGGGTTGCGCTAGGAGCCGGCTCCTCAGGCGAGATGATGGAAGAAGAGGCAATGACGGAGGAGCCAGTTGCGACAGGTGGTAAGAGAGACGAACCTTCGACGACGTCGGAAGTCGGAACAGCCGTAGTAGTGGGTGGTAAGAGAGACGATCCGTCAACAACATCAGAAGCCGGGACAGACGTAGCAACGGGTGGCGAGAGAGGCGAGCCGTCGACAACGCCAGAAGTCGGAAGAGATGTGACAACGGTGCCGGCAGGCACATCACCGCCAGCCGGAGCCTCTACAGGAGTTCCAGCATTGGGGTTACCGTCACAGGCTTGCTTGTAGAGATTGTCGCCCTCGGGACGGTCGAAGTAGAGGCCACGGTTGGGGAAAGCGATGGGAACTTGGGCATTGAGAGCCTCTCCAGTGGTGCAGCCGCCAGCGACTTCTCCAATGTTGGCCATAAAAAGCTCAGGGAACTCTTCACGTTTCGCCAGAGACATACGACGATCAGCAAGGGGTCCACGCTTCTGCTTTGTAGCATCACCACTGCCACCAATGACGGTGATGGGGGCACAGTTCATGTAGTACTCTGGCTGGCCGCCAACTCTTGCGAGCCAGATCCAGGCAAAGACGTAGTCACCGGGCGTGATGCTAGCGGGGATTTTGAAGGGGTACTTATCTTCGTTGGGACCTTCGAGGTTACCCTTTTGGTTGCGGGCTGGGCAACCGCCCTCGATAGAGTGAATTACCATCCACTTGGAATCCTTTGTCGGGTTGGCGTCGGCGCTGAGGGCAAACTGACAGCTGCCGCCTCCATGGACGGCCTGGCCCTTGAAAGTGGCCTCGAAGGTCTCGCCGATGGCGATGACTGTGGGTGCTCCGTCGATGATGTAGCTGGCTCCAGAGGGGATCTTGCATGGGAAGTCATCACCTGTGCTAGAAATGGGGTTAGTAGGACCATCAGCAACAAACTTGAAGGGCTTGGGGTTCTCGAGGACTACGTGTCCAAGGGTTATCGATGCCAGCATCGAGGCAAGAAGGAAAATTTGGTTCATGTTAGAAACCATTTTGGGCTGTTGGCAAGTAACGAAAGAATTGAGGAAGAATAGTGTGCCGAGCAATGAGTGGCTAAGTAGAATGTGAGAAGAAGTCGTATGTGCGAACAAAAAGAACAAAACCGAGGTGTCGAGAGAAAGGCTGTTGGTCAATGTGTATGAGTGAGATGTGATTCAGGAGAGGTGCTCAGCAGATATATGTATTCGCCTAAACCGTCGGACGAGTCTCTGGTCAGGCAACGATCTATTACAATTCAAAGGAAACTTCGAACGTTGAACATGCTCTGTCATTTGTTACACAACGGCATTTTAGTCCTTGATTTCTCCAGCTTTATCCATTCCGTTTGGGACTCTAGACTCGTGTGCACAAAACATCAGCTCTGTGGTCGACGTGGCTATCTTGTGGGGAACAAAGGATGTGGCTTTGTCTAAGGAAAGTTGCTTCGTTAACCACTCTTTGGTCGATGTTTCACCTGCCTTAGTTCAAATGCAACAATCACATGACAAAGGTGTTCCCCAGGTTGGTATAACTTGTACATTGTTTTACGATTGAAAAATGATCAAGCAATATGAAGTCCGAGCAGTGGAAAAAGATGTATGTATTGAGAGGTCACTGGCCAGCAAAACCCGTAGTACACCATTCTAAGCCGCTCTTTGATACATTCATAACTTCATGTCGGCGATATTGGGCAATATTGTTGATCTATTGGAGCACCTAGGGGGCCACCCATTTCAGGGGCCGCCCAAAACTAAACTCGATCGGCGGTAGCATCAATCACATCGAAAATTCCAGGTCATGAGCACCGCATGTGACAAGGCTTTTGCTGAAATGATCTGTAGACTGTGCTATCTGACCTGTACCTGGACAGACGAACGGCCAGCATTAAAACCATAGTAACGCATAAGGCTCATTCTGGATATCGAACAGCCATGAGTATCAAAGATGGATCGCAGGCTCTATTACGAATGAGAGGTCTAAAATTAGTCGTTAAATCCGTGTGAGGGGGCCCGAAATTCTCTTCCAAAACAAGCTTCTAGGCCTGCAAACTGAGCTCTATGCAAAAAGAGCAAAATTGTCACAAGGATGACTTCATGTCCTGGCCTGGGACACAGTAAGAGACGGTAACACACTATGTTCACAGGGTTGACGTAGGTCTCGACGCACAATTGTGCAGAAAGATGTAAGAAAGATCGATGTAGAGGGACTAGTATACCCAGCCTCGTAGGTTCATTGTTGGGGCGGGGATGGAGACATCCTTGGCCAGTTCCAAACAACACAATCGCCACCGCAAGTCAAAAATTATGGCCAATAACACCTCAGTATCACAACTTCCAATGTGACTTTGGGGCCTCAAACCGGGCTGATCGCAGCTTCATTGCCGTCTGGTACCCTTGGCCACACAATACCGTGTGCTTCATTAGTAAGATAGTCTAAGGACCACCTTGCGTAATGTCACGAGATATATGGGTGCGGTTAATGCTGCCCACATTGAGTGGTCCACCTGTTGTGACACGTAACACTCTAACCAAATGAAATGAAAAATGCGACTAGGCTATGTTCTTTCATCCACTCAAGATTACCCATACTGTATTTTGCCAATCATGCTAGGAAAATTGCAGAGGGCGAGAGTCCGCAAAGCCTCTTGAGGATCCTCGCAGTCAAATAAGCCCCAGACCACTTTGAGGTTCGGTTTAAGCATGTATCACAGTGGCTTGCATGAGCTGAAGCCGAATTCTCGGACTTCATGTTGGCTTCGATATGGCGACTGGCTCGGTGAGCGTTAGTGCTACGGTAACACGGAAATCGGACGTTACACGTGGTTACGATCCCTGTTCATCATAATTACCTCATTATGTGATGTATTAATAGAATCCATGAAGATTCAAAGTCATTATCTATTCGGAGTAAGACACTAAAGTTCGCGAAAAGTAAGCACACTTCAATGCCATGGGAATCAGATACGATTTCATGTTTTGACATATCGTGACTATCTGTATTGAGGCTATTTGCCTCGAGTTCTTCCAATTGGCTACATCTTAAGCCTCAAAGATGTTCTATAGTTACGCTAGCGCTTTTAGCTTCCTTTCCAGTAGTGAGCATGTCGTGCCCGTCAAAGACTCAGCTGCCAAGGATTATCAACATAGGCGCAAGGCAGAATCGCGGCGTTGCTCGCAGACATTGAAGCTGCTAGAGACACAACCTGTGCTGCGTCTCGTTGTGGCACGACGGTACTCCCCATGGAACTGTGGCAGTGACAAAACTCCCATTAGTCCCCCGTCTTTCTTCTTCAAGTCATTCTTCTGTTTAACGTTCTTTCACCAACATCTTAATCCATCATCTTGCCCTCTATCGGTTGTCACGCTCGCCGAACTCTACAATCGATTATGGGTATAACGTCTCCTCTGAACAAACTTACCTAAGTAAGTAGTATTCTGATGTCACGGAAGACTCCGCAAGCGTCAACTGTCGAGCAACGAACGTCTCATCATCCGCGTCGGAAGCCCATCACAACGACACGGCCGATAGCCTCATCAGCGATTATGGCCCCGACACGAAGGACGAAATCGCTGCTGTGGAGGGCCATGGTATTAGGAGAAGAGGCTCCGCCAGCGCAATCCAGCAATTTCTTCTCAATATTTTCATCATAATTCCATCAATCTGCTTCATCATTTACGGCTTGATAGCTCTCAGGTACATCAGGTACAATCATCAGCCCATCGACGAGGACCCAGTTCCAGCCCTACGCGTGGCGGCTACGTATAGCCCGACAGTCTTTCCGATCGTATATGCCGCCGTTACTGCCAATTTGCTGAAGGCGGCAGCTGGGTGGAAGATGGAACGCGGTGTCACGGTTCTCAGTCTTGAGTACTGTCGCAGCGCCACACGTGGCGCTGCCGGTTACTGCCGTACGATACCGCTTTCCACAAGCCGATTACCCGTCTTGTACGGTATATATATGACTCTCATACGGATCTTCCACTTAGAGGAATCAAGCCACTTTCTACTATCCCATCGGGTGCGGAATAGCTCCATTTTTGCCAAGGGCGGGGTAGAGCCAATAAGGGCTTCTATATTAATCAAGCTAACCAATAGAGTAAAAGTACCTCTATCACCTATAGATTTTGGTTAGCCACAAGTACCAGCAGTCTCCCTTAATACAAAGAGCTACATTGTAGTCTAAGTAGCCCTTCCGCGTCCTTTTCTTCTATATAAGGCTATTCCTAGATATTATACCTAGGGTCTAGCGTCGGGCCCCTAATGCCCCCCCTATTACTACAGTAGGAACAAAGTGAGTTAGCTCCCCTTGATCCCTTCCTATAGTATTCCTATGGAATAGAAGTATTCCTTTTATCTGTTGCACGTCTAAGTCGTGAATGCTTCCGCCCCCCTACTAATGGTCCAAACTGCTAGATAAGCTGGGCTACAAGCAACTACCGCTTTTAATAATAGGTCTTCACCTTTTACCACCTATCCTACCCCAGAGCTATAGTAAGAAACTATTCACAACTACCACTTCCAGCAGGAGATTCCAAGTAATTAACTACCAGCCTCCTCGTCGAATAGGGTAGCTATATTGATAGTAAGACCTCATCTGGTCACTCATATTAACCCCATTCATCTTATGATTATACTCATCGATTGCCCTAGGGACTGGAAGGTCCTTACGGACGTCTGGGCCAAAGACTTGCCGGGCAGTCTTTTTAGCAGCAGTGTCTCTAGTTGGGCGGCGGCGGCTATAAATAAGTTCCTGGCCGTCCTGGAAGACAGTTAACAGGAAGAGTACGAGGGCATTATCCTTCTAGATGAATTAATTGACCTAATTCCTAGTTAGCTGGGCTGGGCAGGGCTGGGCAGGCTAGTAGCTTACCTCCCCATCTAAAGTAGGGATATAGTGTATTTCCCCCTAGGGGATACCCCGTCCTTCAGTCTCTTTCTCGGCAACTGAGATCTTATCTATCCCACTATCCTTCCGGCAGGTACCAGAAGCTCTAACTTGTTGATTCCGTAGGGTACGAAAGAGACGTATAGACGTAAAGAGGTTATTAAGAAATACGTAGTAGGTTACAGCTAGTAGTAGGGAAACAAGAGTAGTTACTACCTGCTGCGTTGGTGTTAATAGAGCCAGCTTTCCAGCAGCTGTCCCGGCTGGCCTAGCCGACCCCGGGCGGGCTGCGTTGAACAGGCTGGCTGGGCTGGCTGTGCCTGGGGGACTAATGCGTATGGGCCCTTCCCATGTACGTACCACAGCCACCGTATACAGTAGCCAGACTGGGCAAGGATCCAGATCTTATAGCCAGTTGGGGTAGGTTTCGTTGGAATCGTTGTCGTCTCAAGAGATCGACCTATAAATCGGACCATAGCCTCGTCAACTATAAGGTCTAAACCGGGTATATAAAGGAAATCCCCAGTCTCTTGAATATGGGCTAACTATTAGTTAACCTTCCGATATACATCTGGCATTTGATCTTGGGCCTGGCCCCGGCCCCGGCCCCGGCTGCGGCTGGGCTGCCCGCACTGCCCGGGCTGGAATTCCGCAGTATCGAATATCCGTAGTCGTCGGAGCAGTAGTTGAAAACGGTCCCGGGATATGAACTATGTAAATAGGTAGATAGGATCCTCCTTTTACTACTAGACCAGTAGGTTGATAATCTAGGTTCCTTATAGATCCCTATATATAATAGGATCCCTAAGAAGAGATAAATCTCGTCTGCTGAAGTTTTCCTCTACTCATATATCCTAGCTCGTCTAGCCCTAGGGCCCTCTTTAGATAACGGTACTATATTCGTCTATTATGCCTACTGCTCTACGAGGCTCTGCGGAACGTATTGGAGGAATAGTTCAAGCGGGCTTGCCGGCAGCCCCCGTACCTCTTGGGCCCGGGCCGGTACGTTAAAGGGCTAGAAGGAACCCGGAGGGCCGTGCTTAGTAGCCAGAGGTTCGTAGGGCCGGACCGTAGCGGCATTATAGCGCTCGGCCGTACAGTCTGTATTACAGGCAGTAGTAAGGTCTTCTGGAAGGACCTTAACTATTATACAGCTGCGTATAGAAGTAATAGAGGTATTAGAATTACTAGAAGACATCGCAGCATCAATCAAAATGGTAGTAATAGTGGTGATAATAGGTAACAGAGCATAGGGAGAAGTGACGTATCGTCAAGTACCCCTTTAAATGCGGGGTAATAATGGGTAAATAGTGGGTATTTTGGGGCTTGGCAAAAATGGAGCTATTCCGCACCCGATGGGATACATGTCTTCCACTTGCTTCCTCGCTTTGTAATAGCATTTCACAACGCAACATCGATAGTCGATGTGTCCTGATGCGTATTAGAACCTTGCGCGTGATACAGGCTTAGTGGCATGTAGGTATTCCTTCGTTTCAAAAGGCGATTACGCTTATTGCAAGATTCTTTCTAGATCTCCAATCCCCTCCTCGCTAGCTCTGAATTTGTGATGTCTTCTTGGCCGCGAACCAACTCAAACCCCCACCCTTTCGCCGGAGAGATGGATCCGTCAGCGTTACACCAAGCCTTATTCAGACTTCCGGGCTCGAAGATGATCGAGACGCCTTATCTCTCGTATTGAATATTGGTCCCAAAAACACACGTATGGGCACCAGGAGTGCGGGCTTTCTTACAGCTAACAACCCTCCAAACCCCAGCGTCTCCATGAGACTCCAAGCTCGTGCTATGAAGATTCAAGCAAACAAGTAATTACCACGCTCATGGAATTTGGTTTTATCGTTGTGATGGCCAACATCGGAAGAAAAAAGTAGTTCCTTTTCGGATACCAAGGACGGACACCTAGAAACAGCCACCAGCCCAACCTCACTTCCAGCCACCAGACCAGCCACAGTTGCGGCCAGAGTGCGTGCGCATTGTCAAACGAGACACCAGCTAACTTCCTCAAGAATACCTATCTGCTCAGTATAGGTATATGCAATGATTTCGTCATGTGTTAACTCGACTGTGGTCACAGAAACGCAACATATTGCATCGCATCGACTACCAACGCAATGCAGCTATTGCTGGGGGACATGATTGGCACGGATCATAGTTTCCAGAGCTTGTGTGGATATTCCTACCAAAAGCGTTGTAGTAGTAGGCGCCAGTGGTCTCGCGATAGACACGGGAAGGAAACGCATCGCTGATCAACCCCGATGCCGCCGAGGGAAATGCCGATGATCAGAATGAGAGTTTGCCCGTCTTCAACTTGACCTCTAACGGACCCTGCTCCGCTCCTCACCCCTTGCCTGATAGGTATGCAATGCGAATGCTCATCATTGCAATTCTCGGAGAATTTCCTTCCCGCGAAAGCCCATACGGAAACCCTGACACGCGCAAATGCCCAAAACATTGACAGGTCAACTGCTCTAAGTTATGTTGATCCACGATTATTCGCTCTACCCCGCGATCGTCATGAGGAATTCCCACTGAACTATCCATTTCCGACGACGCGGTCCATAGCCGCATCCATTATGACGCCGTACATCTGAAGCTACCCAAGCCTAGCGCAAGACTAGCCAAGACACACCTGTCCGCGCCACCACGCCGGGATTCCTGAGAACTAAGATCAAGCCTTCTTCCGTCGAACGGGCCCCAGCGGATTACACTAATGAGGCTTAACTCACAGGACTCATTCCTCCGATAACATTGGATGTTATTTACTACTAGACGCCATGCCAAGGATGTCCAGCTCAGTCGCTCCTCACCCTCGTCAGTGGCAGAATAGTAGCTCCAAATTTCAGCTTCCCCAGATGATCCGACTCAACGTTTAGCTTTTCGGCACAACCCTTGAGGCGTTGGGTTTCGATGAGTCCAGGCTCATCATGATCTCTGAATGACGTCTTGCATCGGATTCATTAGCTTTGGCTGCTTTAGACGAGAATTCCAGTCGCCGATGGAGAATGAATTCGAGATTCAGCGAATCTCTACGCGACGTTAGTACTAGGACAGCTCAATTTCAGTGTCCCATGACGTTTTTGCTTCTATGGTGAGGGACTGTGCGATTTTCAGATGTTTTTGGATGTCTGAAGGTCAATGAACATTGATCAGCTCAATGTATATATACTATAGGTTCATCATCTCTAAAATCCCTTCTGAATAGCAATTCAATCCACATCAACTCAACCACTTAACCACCCAACAACAAGAACAAACACAATCATGGACAGAGCCAAGCAAGCCGTTTCTAGCTTCATCTCCAAGGATGGTCACCACAAGACCAGCGTCGACGAAGATGTCAACAGGGCCGTTACCGAAGAGCAGGTCCGCCCTCACCGTCACGAGGAGGTGACTACAGCCGTCGACAAGGATGTTCACCAAGATCATCACCACACTACCATTCAACCTGTTCAGCACCAGGAAACTCTGTAAGCAGTCCCATATTTTGTAGTTTGAGTCAATCGCCTAATTATGCATTAGCCCCGAGAAGCACCACCACAACGTCGTTCCCGTCGCACACAAGACCTTCGATCACGGAAACGAGAGAGAGACCAAGGATACTCTTGACCGCGAACACGCCAAGTTCAGAGATACATCCACGACCCACGAGACAACTCACACTTCTACCACTGCCCCCGTCGCCACCGGCGAGAGAATGCACCACCACATTCACGAGCACATCCAGCCCGTTATTCACAAGGAAACCATTCAGCCTCACGTTGTCCACACCACCATTCCCATTCACGAGACACACCACGCGAAGCCCATTCACCACGAGGCTACCACTCTTCCCGTGAAGACTCTTGAAGAGTTCACCAGAGAGAAGGGCAACCTTACCGACGGCCCCCGTCACAACCGCTACGACGAGTTCGAGGGTTGCCCCGACAAGTACCACAAGGACCTCGGAAACACCCACCAGTCAGGCATTGGCCATAGCCATGAGCACAACCACGGTGCCGGAAAGGCAGCCGTCGGCACTGCTGCCGCTGGCGGTGCTGCAGTTGCCGCCCACAAGCACCACGAGCACAAGAACGAGCATGATCGTGGCGTTGACAGCCATCACTACTCCGGTCCTGGAAAGGGCACTGCCGCCGGTACCGCTGCCGCAGGAGGAGCAACCCTGGCTGCCCACAAGCACCACAACAACGAGACTGGCACTCACGGTGTAAACGACCGCGGCCTCGGCCACACTGGTCTTGAGAGCCAGCACGCTGACCAGCACAACACTCACTCCGGGTCCGGCAAGGTTGCTACCGCTGCTGCCGGTGCTGCCGCTGCGGGTGCTGCCACTCACCAGGGCCACAACAGCAACACCACCCACAACACTACCGGTACTCACAACCCTCTCGGATCCCACAGCAATACTGGCACGCACGACACCGACAGCCTGACTGCGGCCCAGACTGCCAACATTCGTGCCAATAACACGAGTGGAACTGGCCTGTCTCACAACCAGACTACTGGCCGTGATAACATCGCCCACAACCAAACTGTAGGTGACAAGTCCACCAGCACTGCTCAGGGTATTATGCACGGCACTCACCCTACCGGATCCCAGACCTCTGGCAGCAACTACATGACTTCCGGAACCCCTACTACTGCAACCCACAGCAGCTCAGGCCTGAACACGTCTGAGGTAAGCCATCTGCCAGTGAACTGAAACCTTCCACCCATCCTTCTACCCACTTACTAATTTTGCTCCCAGCCTCGCTTCGGTTCTACTAGCACCAGCACCAGCCAAAGCGGTGCCGGCAAGGCTTCGACCACCGACCATGCTACCCACGACACTACCGGCAAGAAGATTTCGCTTGTTGACAAGCTGAACCCTTTCAAGGATGCTGATGGTGATGGACACAAGGGCATCATGAGCTAAATGCATAATGACGATACGGAGCGTTTCTTTGAGTTAGGGTAGTTATGAATTAATGGGCTTGATCTGTAATAATACATTGGTAGTTTACACTGAATATCTCTTAGATGCCTACGTCAGGCGCTGTCATCTGGTGTTCTTGTTCTCTCTTGTCCCAATCCCAATTCTTTGCGCCTCTGCTCCATTTTTTGAACACTGACCTTTGTCAGTTTGACGATGCGTCCTCTGGTGACCTTTTTCAGCATAAACTGAATCTTTGGGCCAGGGTTACATCGACTAGAGTGCCCATCGTAAAAGCATATGTCGTCGGCAATACTCCAAATGCGATTCACAAACTCTGCCACTGTTTCCATCTGGTCAACCTTCACTTCCAGCCCAATCTGGCCTCTCTTGTCCCCCATGCCTCTCATCAAGCTGCCCAGGATAATGTAGTTGCAGTGTTTCTTCTCCATGTCGGATGCTCTCTTATCGACGCAGCATCCGTCGTCGAACATGAGGTTCCCAATGACTGTGTTGAGTTGAAGTGGCAGGGTGCTGATTATGTCTTCGCGCTGTTTGTGTAAAACCTCTAAAGAAATCTGTTAGGAAACATTCGGACGGTAGCTGATATATTGAGTAAAGCAGCCATGGGCATTATTACCAAGCAGACCAGGTGGGCCGATGGGGCCAACGTCATCCAATAACACTTTCTGGCCGATCATGCGCCCTTCTTCGCTGAGGGAAGAATATATGATCAATTCCTTGACCATTTGCCTATGCAGCTCAACCTGTCCCAACTCCCACGCTACATAGGACAATGCTGCCCTCTCTCGACCTTCGAATCGATTTGTGACCTTTTGGCAAATTTCCGCCACGTGTAACCAAGCAACAGCCCAAGGCTTCAGGGCTGGAATCATGTCGTACTTATTGGCCATCTGGAAGATCTCATACAGCTCAAAGAGGTCAGGTGTATTCGGGACCAAGGGGAAGTTTGCGTGAATGATGTTGAGTATTATTTCCAAGGCATCGGGGTCGTCTTCGGGGAGATTCACCACCCACGGCCCAAAAGCCGGTTTGGACTCTTTAAAGGGGCCGAAGAGCATCTTCTTCCAAACCTGCGATGACCGTCGCAAGGCGCTGGCGCAGACGTGGAATGACTTCTCGGGCTTGCCTGTTTGCTGTCCCGCCACCAGGGTGAGGTCTCCATCGGGGTCGATTTGGACCTCTTTGATGGCGGGTGGTCCCCCATTAGCATCATCCGCAGCTTGTGAGTCGTCCATCGATGTTTGCAGGAGGTCTTGCGATTTCAAAGGATATGAGGCTGAAAATTGCCTGATACATGAATCTGTACGTCATACTTCGAGGTGGAGGTTGCGACCAGTTGTCGCAGGGCCTTAGGCATTGAGTCAGGAAAGTTGGCAAAGTTGGAAACTTAAGAAACAAGATATCTTCAAGGGTCCAGGGACCATCCGTGCTTTCAGGGTTGCATCGAATGATTACATAAGCGAAGTTGGTCCCGGAATAGCTTCATTGGCCAATCATGGAACTCTCGTGTGGTTTCTTGAAAGAATTGATTTCAGATTTCGATTGATAAGAAAAGCACCCATTAAAAAGACGTTAGTGATGAGTATTCTTGTTCCCATGAGCTCACGAGCGTTGCTGAGTTGAACGGCGTTGATAGTAGACCTAGTGGAAGGGCACTGGGTATGGTTTGGTCTTCAGCAAGAGATAAGTCTCGCAGACTCGGCCGTAATCTTTCCTTACCAACTCCATTTACTTGCAATATTCATTTTTTAAATAGATATGTAAACTGTTGGGGCCGAAGGACCTTTCAATCATTCTAGTCGCTCTCACTTGTTCAACTTGCCAAATTGGAATTTACAGATTGATCGACTTTTTGTTTGAAAACGTTCAAGTTGTAAGAGTCATAGAGTAAACTTGTCACACGACGTACTTCAAGTGCTTTAAATTGCCTAGTGAAGTGGGAAGAGGGCTTAAATCTGTTTCTTGACGTACGGTCCTCTACCTAGGCAAGGTAGTTCACTCGATGATTCAGCGTGAGACAGTTCAGCTGTTGGCAACCTTAACAGCTCCAGACAGCACATTGCGACCTTGAGAAGGCAATCTTTGTATTTCTCACTGAACACAACATGCACCTCTTCAAATTTCTAGTTGGCTCGGCCATGAAAGGTCGCATGCAATCGTACGCCCATCTCACAAGTCTGCTTTTAGGACTGGGAAGAAGTGAGGAAGACAGGAAGGAGCTTGCACTATATGAACTAACAGATACTCCTCGACATGATCTAATCACGAACTTGTTCATCATTTACATCACACATTTGGCTTCCATAGACAGCTCTTGTGCTCCTAAACAACTCATCCAGCCCCCAGTCACGTCAACGCAGCATTTCTGCTCCAGCACGCAATCTCACCAAACCCGCAGCACTCCCTAGTCACGAGCATAGAGAATTACTCAGCAGCCTATATCGGACAGCCGTGCCCAAAGCACTCATCTATCAGTACGTCGGATTGCCAACAATCCTGCGACATGTCGTGACCGGGGGTGGGGCAGGAGTGGAGAGCGCGTGGAGGAGGGGCCGGTCTGTCGTTGGTCCAGCTTCGGCTTCGTCGCCGTATCGGACCGGGCGGGTACCCGCAACTCGCAGGCGCTTCGACGTACGGATGTAGACGACTCGGTAGCGTTATCGGTAATAGCGCAGGCATGAAAGCAAGTTTGGAAGGTCCTGCCGCAAGATTCCCATAGAGAGTTATGAGAGCTTGACGACCAACAAGAAACTCACGCCCGCTGCTAAAATGGTTCTAATTAACCGTCCATCAATGAGAGTTTGAATGCCGCAGCCTTGGATCAGGTTATCCTACTATCGGTAAACCTTGGTCCATGTCGGGACACAGTCGGGTTGCTCTTCGGTTTGGAGGGGAAGTTTCGCGGGGGTGTTGATTGAATGGTCGATGGCGATGCAGCCATCTTGGGGAAGAATCACGCAATGCGGGACTACGAGAGCACGTAATACCCCCCCAGCGCACCCAAAGGAAAGACAGTTCCGATCGAAAATAGCGACTCCGAACACCGGGAGAGGGTTGTATTCTGTAAAATCAAATGGCTCTTATCTTTTGCTAGAGAAAAATGACGAGAGAAAAAGAAAAACGTCTAACAATTCTATTGTGACATTTGGAGTATTCCTCTCCAAGTCTCTCTTCCCCCCTTTTCTCTCTCTCTACCCAAGGCTTGCATTCCGAATTTCTGACTTTACGTCTTTCCTATTCTGCGCCATCTTTGAGAGGAACCGTTGCCCAAGGCGAGACAGTGTGCAGCAAAGATACCAGACACACGTACAGCCAACGTCGAGAAACGCCCGCAGACAGCCACTTTCCATCCCATACCTAACAGGAGGGATACTCACTCACCTTGAACGCCCATTAGACTCTGACCAATAATAAGGGCGAGACTGTGAGAGAAATCAGAACGCCATGGCAGACATCCCGGAGACACAGACCGTTCTCATCCTCCATGCGGCGAAGCAGCCGTACGAGACGGCAGAGGGGTACCAGGTTCCCGAGATCCAAAATGAGCAAGAGGTGATGGTGAAGACGGAACACATCGGTCTCAACCCGATCGACTGGAAAGCACCGTACGTCCCCTCACTGTTTATGCGAAGAAGTCAACAAAACTGACAGAGCTCCTCACCCCAGTGACTTCAACTTTGCAATCCCAACTCTCCCCTACATCTCAGGCCGCGAACTCGTAGGCCGCGTCGTCCGCCGCCCGCAGACATCATCATCAACAGCCTCCCAAACGCAAAGCCAAAGCCGCCTCCGCGAAGGCGACCAAGTCCTCGTCATCTCCACAGACTACCGCGACCTCCGCAAGGCAGCCTACCAGGAGTACGTCGTCACCTCAGACTTCAACGCAGCCCGCATCCCGCCCAACGTCTCCCCGCGCGCCGGCGCGACCCTCGGCGTTGCCTTTGTCGCCGCGGCGCTTTCCCTGGCCGTCTGCATGGGCGTGGATTTCTCCAACGTCCTCGACGGGCCCGATCTGTTGTCGATCCTGCGCTCCGTTCCGCCGGAGAGTCTGCCGCAGGATATCAGGGCAGAGTGTCTCTCGGGCATTGGGAACCATGAGAGGGCCACGGCGGGCGACTGGGTCGTCATCTGGGGCGGGTCGTCAACTTCTGCGAACCTGGCTGTGCAGCTCGCGCGGCTTGCGGGGTTGAAGGTCGTTACCGTGGTAGATAAGTTGCGTCACGGCCTCCGTCTGTCGAATCACACGGTTCTCAGGCCCGATTTGCTCGTCGACAGCCACGACCCTGCCCGCGCCATCGATATCATCCGCGCCAACGTCGGAAAGGACCTGCGCTTCGCACTGGATACCAGCGGTCGGGAGTCTGCCGGCTGGCTTCTCCGCGCGCTGACGCCGTCGCAGGATACAAATGCGCCGCCTAGTCCGCCGGATACGCCTCGCAACTCGGTGCCTACCGTGAAGCATCTCATCGGTCTTACTGGGTTGCCCAAGAAGCAGGCACCAGAGGCGGTCGCGTACCACACCGTACCCATCAAGGTCTTCCACGAGGTACCTGCTGTGGGAGAAGCTCTCGTCACCTGGCTGGAGCGATTGCTCGAGAGCGGCCTGGTCAGCCCTCCCGAAGTCCTCGGCGTAGAAGAAGGGTTCGAGGGCATAAACCGAGGCCTCGACCGTATGAGAAAGGGCGAGATCCGCGGCGGGAGAATAGTCGTCAGTCTCGCGCCAGAGGATGCCGCGGCCGCGCAGGAAGACGTCACGAGGGAGGCGAGCGTGCCCCCCACGCTGGTCGATTCGCCCATGGCGGACGGCGTCGTTGAAGAAGAGCCTCAGCCTTCAGAGACGTCGCAGGCGTCAAGCCCCGAGTTCACTGCTCAGAAGCTTGCCGACACTGGCCTGCGGAGGGGAAGCGCGACATTGTGGCAGGCTGGGCTGGCGGGTGATGTGGTTCCCAGACAGCTTCCCGACGAGCAGATTGCATCAGGTACGAATGCGACGCCGAGGAGAAACTCTCTGTGGCAGCCAAAGTCAGCGGAAATTGCAGTGGAAAACGCTCTCTCATGACGCATATTGGTGGTACAGCATCTGAGCAGTTTCAAATGATGATACAAACGAAAGCGGCCTCAATAGGGGGGGGGGCTTGATTCAAGCCTATATGAAAGGTATTCAACCTTCCGAAGCAGACACTGGATGAGGTAGAGTTGGTAAAAAATAGAGATCGCACATGTTCATTGTTAAAGAGAAGATACTGTGAACTATGACCTTCGGTGAAGCGGACTGAAGTGGCGCCGGATTGGGCGCTAGATACGGCGAAAGCGGGGGCCACCCGGGAACAGCCACCCCTCACCGAGACTGACCTGACACTGGTGCCTGGCTTTCGTGCGTGTCTGCTTGCGTCTCCCCTCATTCCTCCCGACAATCTTCTTTGTCGTCGGTGTGTTTCCGTCAATTAAGCTCATCAGATAAGAGTCTCCCGGCCGCTTGTTGCGTTACCGGACCTCGGCCGGATCTGCGAAATCTGCGTGTCTTTTCTCTGCATCTTTCACTGCAAATGTCTTCTTCTCAGGTCGAGCGCCAGCGCTTACCACTGGAACTCATACTAAACATCATCGAGAGTCTTCTCCCACCGAACGAATCGTCAATCTTGCCTGCGTCCCATAGTGCAACGAAGACCCTGATATCCTTCAGTCGCGTCTCACGCTCAACATATGACTTCAGCATACGTCTTATTCGCAAGCGATGCATGCACATCGACTCGACAAGCCGCCTGAGCCTGCTTCTGCTGAGTCTCTTCTCGCCGTCGCCTAGAAGTCTGCCACGGACCCTATCGCTCAAATGCATTACTTCTCTCTACCTCAGCCCCTTTGGAAAGTCACTCGATGACAAACCGACGGCGATGTGGGTGCGCGAGCTCTTTTGCGAGGTTTGTGACACCCTTAAGCGCCTTATCGTCGACATGCCGTTTGGAACACTTTCCGGGTACGACGACCACCTCGACGTCAGGCCGACTTTGACAGATGGGTTCCAGCGGTTGTCAAAGCTGGAGGAGCTGATATGTCTGCGTGACTATCCAGCTCTGACTTTCATGCAACAAACCTTCACCGTTAACTGCTGGAGCCTGTGGCCCAACCTGAGGCGCGTTGTGTTATTCAACGCACCCATGTCGAGCCACTGGCTTTGGTATGACATTGCCAACACCGCCCAGCTCGAGCAGGTCGTCCTCGCGCGACCGCTCGTTCCGCCGCGGATCAACGTCAAGGACGACTACTATCATATGCTGAACAGCTATGACCACTTGACGCCCCGGAAGATCAAGATTGTGCTTGCCGACGTGGAAAGCGACCTGCCGGAAATAGAGACGACAAGATGGGACGAGTATGATCCCGAGGGACTGCTGTCCATTGAGAAATACGACATCCCAACGTCCTTTTACGGGGACGAAAATGCGACTGATTTGTGCTGCGACTGGGTCAAGATGGCAGCTCTGAATGGGTCGATTTGGGACTGGAAAAGTCACCCAGTCGATAGTCCGCCAGTAGATCTGGTTCAGTAGCAGCTTGATGCGGTGGTCGAGATTGTTTCTGTTGAAAATTATGCTACCCGTGATGTGTTTCTCGAGCATCGGTACAAAGGTCTCACTTTGCCCCCTGGCCATTTTATTTTCACATAGCAAAAGCCATTTCGTCTTGGGATGCGAGTCGACAGCTTGTTGCAAGCTAAACCCAAGCTGCCGTGTCTCGCATGTATTGAAGAGGCAAAGTGCGGGGACCAGGGTCAGGATTTGGGGTTAGCAACATCAATTTCCCCAGAAATTGGGCAATTGGCCCGTGGAGTGTACGACGAGGTTGTCTCTGTTTTCAGCATGGCGTTGCTCTTCTATAGCCGTAATACATACCGCACCAAACAAGCTGAAGAATATCACACTGCTCGCTTTCGGGCGGCACCTCTGAAGACTTACTGCGCCGCGAAATTACGCAACGCGAGCCAGAGGACGTGCTGGATGTTACCGACAAGCAGGCGTGCGTTCGATGTCCATCGGTGCCTTCGGCTCTTTCACGTCAGCTCTCGGTTGAGCCTGTTGGTGTTCACAGCCCGGCAGCTAAAGGTACTTCGCCTTCGGGTCTGGGGGAGTGGACGAGGCGCTGGTTGCTGTATCGTTTGCCTATAGCCCTGTAGCATTGCCATTCATTGCCCCTAATTTCCGTGGAAAAGAGACGGCGGTGTAAGCTGTCCACGAGGGCAGAGATGCGGGGTCGCGAGACAGGCGTTGCCAGGAATCTCAGACACTGGAGAGAACTGAGGGGTACTGGGAGGTATCTGACTAGAGCCGGGCTTCTGTCCGCAGCTTCTGATAGATGGTATTGGGTGCGCTGGGACCGAGTGCTTCCACTTAGTAGTTAGTTGTTGTGCCTTTACGTCGTGATGTTAAGATGCTGGGGAACCGTCTGATGGTTCGGACAGATCGGGGGTTTCTTCTCTGGACGTGCAGCATGGTACCAATATGGAGTACAGACGGCGGACGAATAAGAAAAGGATCGGTGCGATGATGGTCAGCGATTGCGGAAGAGCGGTCCTTTTGGTGAGAAAACTGGAAAGTCGGGTGACGTTGCATTGGAGAGGTTTGCTTCTCCAACCCCCCACGTCGCAGCTGCTAAGCTACTGGGAGAGATGGTGCCTCGGTCCCCAATCAAGTGGCTTGGATGAGCGTTGATCACATTTCTAATGTGGTTGCCTTGCAGGTACGTATGCGATAGAGACGCGAGTTTCTCAGCCGGCGGTTGGCCCAGCGGAACAAGGTAAAATGCGGCGAGATCAGGGCGGACAAGGCTGGATGGGCAGGGCCACGGCGGCGGGCTTCCAGAAGATGTCGTGGAACATGCAGGTGGGCGTGCTGGAGGCGGCGTGGCGCGGGGCACAACGATAACGCACCAAACGCTGCTGTGTCCATCTGTTGGTGAGGTGTCTTGGTAATGGAAGTCAAGTATTGACAGACCGACTAAGGTACCGACCAGGCGTTATGATTGTTGACTGTGCGGCCGGCCAGTCACATCGTGTGATGACTGACAGGAGGAATGGCGGGGAAAGCTAGGTCAGACCTGACTCCAAGTCTTCAAGGTAATCCATCACTCAAGATGGAAGCTCGGGATTGACTTGCGGGCTGGCAGGATGTGATGTGACAGGCCGTAGACCAAAGTCCGCGTCGGAGCAACGGTGGCCGAGAGAGCCGAGCGGGTGGTGCCGGGCCCAAAAGCTGTGGCGCTTGCCAATTGGAAAATAAGTTCCTAGGCAGGAAGATGTCATTGGAGGCAGGTTCGCTCTAGAGGGGTTCTTTCCGAGATCATGGCGCGCTTTCTTCAGCAGCCGTCCAATCAGAGAAAAAGTGACAAGAAAGAAAACACGGCCCGTCTTTGGGAAGTCCCGAATGGAAGGCTTGGAAAAAGAAGGAAGCAATTTGGGGAGGAAAAGGAAGGCGTCGGGGTCAACGCGGTAACGGTGAGTACGGAGTACCTACCTACCTAAGGTGGAGTCCATTGACGGGCTGCAATGACGGCCGCAGCGGCGCGCATAACGAGGCGGCGGTAGGCGCAGCCAGACACCTTCTTTCCGTGAATCCGTACACTTGCCAGATGGGATTTTGCCAAGAGCCATTGGATTCCTCGTTGCTCTTGCCTTCCTGCATTTTGCATCCATTGTTCCCTTCCATTTTCTGTCTGTCATTGGGCAAGAGGTGTACGCATATCTTACCGTTTAACCTCTTCTTCCCGTCTTCTCCATCCCGTCCGTCCATCTTACCTTGGTATCTGCACATTGGCTATGCAATCCCGCTTGCACACCGACTCTCAAACCGCGGCTGGAGGGACCCTCCTTTGACTGACAGAGCAAACAACAGGAGTCATGCCTGCTCATCGCCTCTTTTGAACCAACCACGCACACACACCAGCAACGCAGACATCCTGCAGCCCATCTGCCACCATCCTCGTCGCATTCTCATGCTGTACCTTACGGCAATACAGGCTGCTTCTGCCGCCGCTCTCGCTTCGCTTCTGGAAAACCACATGCACCACTGGCCGTCCTGCGTCCTTTGCCTACGTTCCCCCGACCCCCGATCCCCCGAGTCGGTGGTGAACCCCCGTCCACCTGCTTGGTTTCTCCATTTTACCCCGTTTTTTCACTCTGCCACCCCCCGTCCACCCATTCCAGCAACCTGGTGTGTTCCATCGCAGACCCTCTTTCCCAGTCCACGTCTCCAGTTTCTAGCCTCCTTCTCCAGTTCTCGCCTCATCTCTCTCCTCGTCACTTTCTCCTCCTCACCTTTCGCCTTACGCCAACCTTCTCCTACAGCCTTGCCCTCTGCGGCTGGACATTGTCGACCAAACCCTCTGCCTACCGTCTCCAGCATTTTGGAGAGACAATGTTGGATTCCTGTACCCCTACTGGCCCGGTCTACACAGCGTTATGAGCTTGCGTTTCTTCCACCTCCAGAAAGCATAGGCAAGTTTGGCTTCCGTCCTGCGCATTGTGGTCCTCGGGAAGACGGGTGTAACGCACCACGACCACTACCACGGAACTTTTCACAGTTTTTTGGAGAAACCTGTGCTGACCATTGTCCTTTGTCTAGGAGCCGCAAATTCCCGAGTATCGCGCTCGTTTGCGCATAACCCCGATTTCCTCCCCGTTACCTCGACTGTCCCGAGCCTCCCGATTTCCAAATATGCCCGACAAAAACGTCACGACTATTTCCTATGCCGCCGGCGCATCCCTAGCCGCCATTGCCCTTGTCTACGTATTTGCGCCTACATTCACAATCGACGAGTCCAGCACCTCTTCGTCACGTAGGAAAGGTGTCGTCGGCTTGCGCAATGCGGCCAACGATTGCTTCATCAACTCCACCTTGCAAGCCCTCGCGGGTCTCGGCGAGCTGCGCATGTACCTAATCCGCGAAACTCACCGCCGAAATATTGACGACGAGGGCGTATACTCCCAATTGGTTCAGCCGCCCGGCAAGAGCTACCCGGAATGGAAGATCGAGGGCATGCAACGCGGATTGGTCACACAAGGATTGAAGGACATGCTTGATTCGCTCAACGAAAGGCCCATCTACAAGAAGTCGATCTCTGCCATTGAATTTGTGAGAGTACTCGAGACGGCGTTTCGGCAGCGCATTAGTCGGCAGCAGCAGGACGCCCAGGAATTTCTCCAAATAGTGGCCGAGAGACTCAAGGAAGAGTACCACGCCGGCGAGAGGGCACGTACCCACGCAAGACTGGAAGCCTCACGAGCCACCTCGGTAGGTGCTTCCGTCAATGGCGACGCAGTGCAGGAAAAGCTGGAAAACCTCAACCTGGCCAACGGTAACAGCGAAGAGTCCTCCTCGGCATTGCCTACGCCGACGATACCCAAGATCCAGACCAATGGCATACACGCGCCTTTGGACGAAGACGAAGGCTTCCCCATGGAAGGGAAATATGAATCCCAATCCGAATGCCAGACCTGCGGCCACAAGACGAAGCCAAGAGAGGAGTCCTTCTACATGCTGACTTTGAACGTGCCCCAAGTCAGCTCCACCACTCTTAGTTCGTGCTTTGACGAAATCTTCAAGACGGAGATGATTGAAGACTTCAAGTGCGAGAGATGCCGACTTATCCATGCCGAAGAATCCCTCAAGAACGACCTAGCAAACGCAAAGAACGAAACTGAGAGGACCGCACTCGAGGAGGCAGTGCGCAAGTTGCGCCATGCAATTGACTTTGATCCGGAACATGTTCCTGAGGATGTGCTCCTCCCGAACATTGCCAATGCGCCCAAGCGTAAAATCGCACGGTCGACGCGCCTCACGTCCTTCCCGCGCATCCTTGCCGTCCACCTTTCGCGGTCCATCTACGACCAAACGTCGACCAAAAATTCGGCCAAAGTTGCCTTCCCCGAGCGATTGCCTCTTGGCGGCTTGCGCGATCGTCGCAACTACAAGTTACTAGGTCTCGTCACCCACAAGGGCAGCCATCAAAGTGGACACTACGAATCATTCCGACGCCAGAATACGTATGCGCCTTATTCCAATCAGAATACCTTCCAGCCGTCAGGCATCTACAGCAAGACAGCGAGCCCGGCGGCTACGCCCCAGCCGTCGACACCGCAACTTGACGCAATTGCTCGGGGACACAGCCCCGCCGTATCGACACCCGACCTTCTGACGCCGAGCTCCGAGACGGCTTCCTCTACCCGATCACTATCGTCATCCGACGCTTCACCGAAGGACCGAGCCAGGAAGAGAATTAGTCCGACGTCTGCTCCTCGCGACAGGCAGAGAGAGCCCGACTCGGCTAGCATCCGATCCGTACGATCACTCACTGCATCGGCAAAGACCACTGTTTCGAAGATCTCGCAAAAGGTCAATGGAAACAGCACACCCGGAGGCAGTCCACCGCGCCCCACGCCGATGGCCGTAGTACCTCATCCTCCTGTCCATAAGTCCCGCAAGAAGCAGCCCGCCGATCGCTGGTGGCGCATCAGTGACGAGAAGGTTCGGGAGGCCAAGACGGCCGAGGTTCTCGATCTGCGACGTGAGGTCTACTTGCTATTCTACGAGCTCGAGAGGGATGACAGCCCGTAGAGCGAGGCTGGCAACGTTCCCTCGAAGCCTGGAACGTTGCCGCCTGAGTTCGAGCCGTTCCGGGCCTACACGGCAACCGCCTCGATGAAGCTCACAATGTTGCGGTGAGCCTGGCTCGTATACATTCTTGAGATTAAACGTTTCGAACATAACGCACATATGCTCTTATGCGTACACACAACAACAATTACTTCGAAAAAGAAAGAAAAAGTGCATCGGCTGGCGTAATAGTCTTATTGTTTAGGCATCTGCATGGTGGGCGATCCCGTGAGGAACCCCGATCAGCATTTTTCGTGGTTGTTAGAAGCATTCTTTGCAGAATTGGCTGTTTTCCATGTCAGAGGGGGAAGTAGAAACCTGGTTGCAAGAAAAATGGAAGTACATACATAGTACAAGGGGCAAAGATGATGGACTTTGCGGAGACGAGGTTGGATAAAGCTGGATACAGCGTTGCAAATTATCGTCAGAATTACATATCATTCTATGCCGCTTCCGCTCCTCTGCCTGCCTACCTATCTACAACCCCGTGATGTGATGGAGTTGTCTGACTTCCTTTGCATGCTTTGGCAATACTTTCCGGAGACGTTGTGGTGTGTGAGCCTCCCATGGCAAAGAGTAGACTCTATCTTTACGGAGTACTTACCGTCCCTTCCGAGTGATTGTAGAAAACCTGGCTGTCATATGTCACATTGCGAGAGATGATCCTTAGAGATGCAAGTGGGAACGACGTCAATCCGGGGTCGGATTTTAGCCTGACCGGGCCGGGTGGCAACTTGTTCAACGATCTGCGCTACCGGGACGAATGTAGCACATGGGAAAGTGAAGTATTGCATAGAATATCCACGTCCATGGAGGAAAAAGCATGCTGGATACGCAGCAAAGATAACATGACTCCATTCGATTAATTGTACTCTACGCAGTGTACTTTGACACCGCCGCTAACTCTAGCAAAGGCTCATTTCATCGAGACTGTCCTTCCATTTCCTTCCCGGGTCAAATCATGCGATCCAATCAACCCAGGCCCGCATGACCCCGTTTCTCGAATGCCCGTCCTCATTATTATTTTCCTCTCTCCTCGTCGTGCTTCGTAGCTCATGATGACTTTTGCTGTCCCAAAATCTCCTCCGCGATCTTGGCCTGGTCCGCCTCGTTCAGCGGCGCTTGGCTGCGCACCTTATCCGCCTTCTCGGCATCGTACCGCCACAGACCGCCCGTCTTGTCCGCATCGCCCGTAGCAGGCAGACCAACGGCGGCACCGAGGGACTCGAGCACGGCGTCGCCGGCACCCGCGCGATCGGTAAAGTACCTGCGGTCCCATGAGCGGCCCTCCGTCTTCTCCTTTGCGCGGAGATCGCGCTGCGCCTTTTCAATGGCGCTCTTTTCGCGGCTAACAAGGTCCATGTCACCCTTAGCAATGCCGTCGGCGACGCCCTTCCAGGCGCGGCGGGACTCGAGGGGATGCTGCTTGTCGAGGGGCGCGACGACGAGCTTGGAGATGGGGTGCTGCGCCGCATCGTAGGTGTCGATGAGGGTCTTTGAGGAGTTGTGCTTCGCGGAGCCCTCGTGGATTTCAAAAGACTTTGTCCAAACGCCCGTAATGTTGTAGGCCACATCCTTCTCCTTGCCTGTCGGGTAGACGGAGGCGATGACGCTGTTCTTCTTGCCCGAGAGCCAGCCCTTGCCTGAGTAGTCGATCTTGGAGGTGAAGCCTGTGGATGAGGTGATGAAGGAGGTGCCCTCGAGCTCGATGAAGGGGGCACCGAAGATGAGGCCTTCGATGTGGAGGGCGGGAAGGGTGATGAGGTAGGTCTCCTTCTTGCCGTCTGAGGTTGGGACGGTCAGGACTGCGTGGCCAATCTGCTTGATGTTGATTGTGCTTTTGAAAGTTGCCTTTTGTGCGTTATAGCCCTCGAGGTGGACGCCTGTGGGGAGGTTGGTGATGGAGTAGGCTGTTGCGGGCGGGTGGTGGCTGTCCAGAAAATGATAATCAGCATGCTGAGCCTCGCTTTGGGGTCTGTAATTCTGGGTAGAGGGGGGAATGGCAGCTCTCTTACCTAACCTGCTCGCTGATGAGCTCCGTCGTGCCAGCGTCATCCTCCCACTTTCCGAGGAACAGCTCGCCAAGGAAGGGGTTGAGGGGCTTCTTCTCGTTACCGTACTGCTCGCTGCGAGAGGCGTACTGCTGCTTGAGGGTGCTAATGAACCACTTTGTGACGAGCAGGGCGCGTTTGGCCGGGTCTGCCTCCTTTGCGGGGGCGGCGAAGATGGAGGGGTGCTCGCACCAGTAGGAGGAGAATTCGGTCAGGGAGGTGCTGGAGAGGATGAAGGGCGGGGCCGTCAGGGAAGAGAGGTCGCCGTTGAAGGAGGCGATGGACTGTGAGAGGGCGACGAAAGGCCGTTGTCAGTTGCGACGTTCCTCGTGTCAAGGGATGGGGAGAAGGGTCGGAAGCCGAGGGGGGGGGGGGGGGGGGAGACGAGGCAGAGGAAGGGCATACCTTGAGAAAAGCTCCCCAGCTGCTCTGGTTAGCCTGGGCTTGAGCTGATGTTGGGGTCTGGGCCGCCATTGTCGATTCGGTGGGGGGGGGGGGTTGTTCTGTTAGGTGGTAGGCGTTATGGCAGGCTCGAGGTGGCTTCCGTCAGAGTTGTGAATGGCTTCGAGAATACAAGAGACGAAAGGATAGGAACTCAGAGGGTGTGTTGGTGTGTGGATGTATGTTGTGTCTAAGTTTCTCCTACAAGTTACGGCATGCAGGCGGGGTCTCGAGAAAAAGGGCCCGCGTGTGCTGAGCTGTCTTGGACCTGTCTTTATGGGAAAGTGGGATGTCGTAGTGCCGCAGTGGCTGGCGCCGCTCAGTGACCGCAACCCGCTGAGTTCCAGTTACGGGACCTGCTGCTGTTCAGAAAGCTTTTGGCGGGGCTCCCCAACCAGCCTAACGGGGGTCGGAGCTGCGATTTGCGGTTCTGGGTGTCTGGGTTGGTCCAAGGTAGGGCCAAATGGGAGAAATGTTTCCACTACCGATGAACGACAGGGAACTTTGAAAAAAGAGTTGGGAAATGAAGCTGATCCGCTCGGTTGGTTGACTAGGCGATGGAGACACAGCTGGTGGGAGCTGAAAGTGGTCCGTTTCGTGGGGTGCTTCTTGTTCGATTCTTTATTTCGCTTTGAAGAGTATTCAGTAGGGCCAGTTGCCAAGAATATTGGAAGGAGTCGTGGAAATTAAAAGTTGACCGTTGGAAACGAACAGACCTCAAGGAGCTTTGTCTGTATAATTCCGTGTCCGAGGGACAATGTAATGGCAATGACGGGCTGGCGGGTGGTGTGGGAAGAAGCTGATTGAGTTGACGTCAACTGTCTTGTCGACCACCACTACGTAGTACAAAACCAGTTGGCATCTAGGTAGAACCAACTTGCAGCAATGCGCCGTACTAATTCGAAGAGGCGAAAATGATGGGATGGAGCGTGGCTTAGCTCGCGTCAGTGTGTGTGTGTGTCTGGTGTCGTGCGCGCACACATTGAGACGAGAGACGTCATCATCGTTGACGCCCCTCGCACACTGGACAGTGACACACACACCCGACCTCTTTCCCCGTCCGAAAGGCCGCCGCTGCAGCAGCACGCACCAAGCCGTCCCTGCCTGCACGATGACAGCCGCCCCGATTTGTTTCGTGGGGCAGCTGCGCGCCAGTTGCCCGGGCGGATCCAGCCACACACGTGCTCATCCGAGTAGGTCGGCTCAGCCACACTTTGGGTGGGGCATCCGTCCGGACCTGCCCTATGGAGCTCGGTCCTCGATCGGGCCCGAGTTGCACCCCGCCCGAAACCGAGCTGCCGGTGGAAGTGTCATGTGGATCGCAGCCCGAGAACAACGTCTTGTAAGACGTCTGCAATAAGCAAATAAGAATACTTCATTCGGAAAGAAACGAATCGAATCTGTAGTCAGTTGTTTGCGCCATCCCAAAAAACACCTCCCGAATGTAAACAAATCCTGTCCGCCGTCTCTACGCCTGTGTGTTCCCTGGGTATCATCGCGCTCTCATGTCTACCATGACTATCCTTTGCCGTCTGCTTCCCACTCTTAACAACTCTCTTGCAGCTTCTCAATCTCGTCCGCGTTGATCCCCGAATAGTGTCCCTTCACCTCATCCCCAAGAATCATCCACGGGCTAAGCTTGCACTCCATGGTATGCTCGACCCAAGCCCACGCCAAACACTTGCTCCCCATACCCTCGCACTGCTTCAAACACACTTCCGCGCTCTCCACAGCGTGCACAATCTTCGCTCTCTCATCAATCCTCCCAACATAATCCCGCCCCGTCCGAACCGGCATCCTCCTAAACTCCTCCACCGACGGCGCGCCATAAATCTCCCACAGCTGGCCCCAGAACACCGGACTCCTCTCGTCCGCAAACGCCCGCCCAACCCTCTTCATCTCCGCCGGGTCCGCTACGCCGTGGAACGAAACGAGCGGTGAGCAGAATCGGTCCGCCATCATCTTGCTGATATTCGGCCTCTCTCCGTTGAAGAAGTGGCTATACCGCTCGTCGAGGTACACCCCAATCTTCTGAAACGCCGTCGCGACGAGCTTATCCCCCCACGTTTCCTCGAGCGAGTGCTCCTGCGCCGCGGCGATAACGTCCCGCCGCGAGAGGAGCTGCTTCGCCGCCTCGTGTGAAATCACCACCGCCGAACCGCCGTGCGCGAAGCGGCCCTTGAAGTCGCCGACTGCGTTGCCAATGTACTGCGGCTCGTCCGAGTCCCAGTGCGCGAGGAGGAGGCGAAAGGAAGACTTGACGAGGTAGGTGTCGTCGTCGATGATGACGTACCATTTCTTTTGCGGGAGGTTGTCGTAGATGTATTCGAGGCCCCATATGAACTTATGCTACTGTCAGTGCGAGGTTCCCGTCGTCTTACGTGCGCGAACACGCGGGGCAAACCATGAAATGAAAGAAGATCAATTACCTTGAGCGCATCCAGATCCCACCCGAAACTCTGGCCAATCTCAGTAGCCTTGGCCTCCTCCCCCTTCTGCACGGCATCTTTGAGCGCGAGATACTCGTTGAACTTGGCCGCATCATGATGCGCTCTCATCTCCGGCATCGCCATAACGCCGCCAATGGCGTCGTGAACCTTCACCCCAGCAATCGTCCCATTCTCCCGCGGGGTCCAGTCGCCCACGACCACAAAGGCATCCGCATCCGCTGCCGTCAGATCAAAGGCCTCAAGCTGCGCCGCGAGCCGGTGGCGGGTGCCGTAGCCCGTCTTGATGAGCAATCCGACGTCGGTGCGGTACTCGATTGGGAACTTGGCCGGCTCGTACAGCCAGGCGTCCTTGTCTGTGCCGGGGCCACGCCACCAATTCTTGAAGCTGGCGGTGTTGAAGCGGAAGGCGAGGACGAGGGGGTTGTCGTAGGGGAGGGCGAGGAATAAGAGGGCGTTGCCGACGAGGAAGGCGAGGAAGAGGAGGAAGAGGAGGACGAGGAGGCGTCTTATGCGTGGTGAGGGGAGGAACATGGTTGCTGGATGTGATTGGCGGTTGAAATGTTCAAAGTGAGGGGAAGGTGATGGTGTGGTTGTCATGAGATGGTGGCTCTCACGCACCGGCGATTGGGTGGTGGTGGTTGGCGATGCAAGTCAGAGTCGCATATGCAGAGCCACGGGAAGGAAGGAGAGTGAGAGAGTCGGAGATCCTTCAATGGGAATTGGGCGTGATGTCGCAGGGCACACGGGATCTTGATCGAGAGGGAGGAACGCTTGCTAAGGGAGCGGACGAGTGACGTAAGCTATGCCTCTGCGTTGCGGTTGAGCGAGAAGCAGCAGTCGTCAGCAGAATGAGGCTGATGTGACGATGAGGTGGGTCGTCGTCGTCGTCTTGAAGATACTGCTTGAAGTCGTCAGTGGGTGGATAGTATGAAGCTATCGTGATAGATGTAGATGCGACATTGTAAAGGTGAGGTGCAACAAAACCTCTAGAGACGTCGTTGAAGGAGTGAGAAACTAGGTTGCCACGCCAGAAACATCATTGGGCTTGGTGGCTGCAGGACAAGGCCGCTTAAAGAATGAGACCGGACGACTGAGACGGCTAAGAAAAAAAGACAACACTCGAAAATCAAAAAGGCCAAGCGCAAAGCAGACTCATGCGCGCCAAGGTGTGATTGCCCCCATCCAAAATCCCCCTCATCTGTGGCATCTGTGGCCTGAATAAGCCGCGCCACCGGCAGAGAGCGTTGCGTAATAGCTCATTGGCTGGGTACCTGGCCGAGCCAAGAAGATACCAAGAGCACGCCGCGATGGACTCACTAGCAAAATAAAATGAGTGCCGTTTTGCCGTGCTGCGTGATTTTGTCTTGGGATTTCTTGGTGCCGTGGGTGGGTGGCCCTGGACGCCCAGCAAAGCAAATTCGGCACAGCCCCAGCCGAAGGGAGGACACCAAAGGGTCACACCATGAAGCGGATAATTTTCAAGAGAGTTGCGCGTCTCATCTCCATGTCTGGTCGAAACACGCGAACCCCCTTCCAAGACTCTCTTCAGAATTGGGGGAAAAAAAAAGTGATCTGATAGATAAAGACGACGTACGCACTTCTTTTCTTGTTCCCCTCCCCCTCATCCCGATATCAACCAACAGAGATAACCCCTCCACAAATGCCCCTGTTTTTGTTTTACGCCGTCGCGCTTGGTTCGTCATGTTGAACCCTGCTCAATGGCATCCTGGTTGCTAGGTGTTCCCAACGCCCAAATAGTCCCAAGGTTTGGTTCCACAGCCCCCCAAACTCCCGTTTTCGGGATGACCCAGTTACATCGGCACGATCGGACATTTCCCCGGCTGGGAGACTGCTCCACGCCGCCGATCCCTATCTTCGGGCCAGCCCGAGCTGTCACTTTTCCCTCTGCAACGTCAGCATGTGGTCAGTTATGAGCAGTTGTGTCATTAAGTTATGTGTCTTCTCATTGTCAGGTACATCTCTGTCATCCCATCAAAACTTGACAGTATCAAAGCTGCTCTTCTCTCTGATCGCTTTGCCGAACTTGAAAAAGGCCCAGGGGACTGGCAGTAGCCCTAGAGCGATGAACCCCAGCAAGCTGCTTGCCCACCCGATGCCTAGATTCGTGTACACTGAGGAGAATAATGTCAGCACTTTCCACAAGTCTAAGAGGGGGGGGGGGGGGGGGTTTGTATGCCTACTCTGAACGATGAAGAGCGGGAAAGCACCTGCCAGCAGGTACCTGGCTAGACTATTCGCACTCGCGGCGCTGGCGATGGTCGTCCCTTGGTACACGTCGACGAGGTACTGTATCGTACTGACAAAGAGACAAATATTCCCCCATGCGAATGGCACAATTGCGAGGACGGGGCTGGCCCACGAGATATCATCTCTAGCAGTCCAGCCGAACCAGAAGAGCCCCAGCGGCAACCCGATACTTCCGAACATGGCCGGGTACAGCCTGTACTCTGGCGGTGTCCGATGGGCCGGATACCTTTTGGTCTTCGGCATATAGATGACCTTGTTGCAAAAGATGACCGTCAATGCTCCTAGGACGCATCCCACTGCGATGGAGATGAAGACCAGGCCCTGCTGCTCAATGCCGAAGCCGTACACGGTGCTGAACACGTATGGCAGCGCTGCGAAGAAGGAGAAGAGTGTCGCGAACTCACACGCCACGTACAAGCAGATGAAAGAGACGATGGGCTCGGTAAACATCATCCGTACGGGGCGTGTGAGTGCCGTCGTCGCGAATATCTTGATGCGCTCGCCTGTTGGTGGTAGCGAGTCTAGAGGAAGGCCCAGTTGCGCCCTGCGTCGACGCTGGAGAACGGGGTGGTAGGTCTCTTTGCTGAAGAAGCTAGATATCATGGCGGTGATGATGAAGAAGAGTAGCGTCCACTGCGTCCATCTCCAGCCCTTGCGGTTCACGACGAAGGCTCCGATCACGGGACTATCGCACTGTCAGTAGCCGCGGATGACTCAAAGAATGACGCAGACATACCCGAGTCCTGGGCCAAGAAACGGCATCAGGATGTACGTGGTCGAGGGCAGCGCACGTTCCGAGAGTCTGTACGTCTCGTTGATGGTTCCTGCCCCGATGGCCAAGCTGGGGGAGAGACAAAACCCTGCGAGGAATCGCAAGACGCAGATTCCGGCGAAGCTATGGCAGAAACCCACACCGAGAGTGAAGAGGCCACCCAGCGGAAGGCTGATCAGATAGACCGGGTGCCGGCCTACCGTCTCTGATAATGGACCGCCGACGACGGGACCTAGACCCAGAGCGAAGACGTACATAGACAAAGGCACAATGGCCTGCGTCATGGTCACGCCGAATTCTTCTACGAGCTGGACACGAGCGGGACTGATGATGGAAGTACCCAAGCTTCTGTCGGGCTGTCAGTCCGCTGCCCCTTCTAGGATTCGAAAGGGGCGGACAACTTACGCTGTGAAAGCAGCAAGGGACAGCATGACAACTTGTCTTATCTTGTACTTGCGTGCCCAATTCATGGGATTATGCGGGTCTGTTTCCCAATCCCATTTCGATTTATGTTTCTCATGATGATTGCCTGACGGGCGTCGTGTACACTCATCGCCGCCGCCTGATGGTGGTTCTTGTTTCTCGGGGTCCTGCTGGGGGTGGCCTTGGTCGGATGCAGGCGTTTGTATCTCCTGCGAGGAGCGAGGGGTTGTTTGTGATGCCATCGACGGAGTTTCTGCCAGTGAAAGACCAAAGTTACAGCGACAGAGTTAGAGCTTGAAGGATCGCAAGCCCAAGCCAAACCCTCCGTGCGGTTGCGAGGAGACAGTCTCTTGAGGCCGAGGCGAGCGGTTTGAATAAGAAAGTTGACGTCAACCGATGATTGATCGAGCAACGAAGAGTCAAGCGCATACCGCAATTCGAGGGCCTGCAAGAGCTTGAATAGCGCGGTCGATGGTTTCACGGCACAGAGAAGATCCCCTCTAGGCCCGTCCGGGCAAGCCATCTGACGACATCGGTCTGCTTTGTCTCGCACTAAGATGCGGCTGCTAGATTCCCGTAGATACAACAACCGCGAAATGCGATAAGAATTCGTTAATGCGACACCGGATTAGAAGCCGTCTGAGGTCCCGGCATCATCGAACAACGATCGGCCGTTGATGGTCCCGACATTAGAGATTTAGTGGTGTTATCCAGTGTGAGGAGTGCTGCAGGACGTCCGGAGGATGCGATTGTTGCACATCGTTCATCGTAGAGCTTGTGAAAACGTTTCCGTTCAGATGCATGACTGATCAGATGATAGCAATTCCCCTGGCAATAGGAATGATGAAGAATGAAACAATCGTTGAATTTGAGGCACGTCGGGCAAATGAACACCGAGCATCTCCTTCCAGAAGGAACGGTAGGGCCGCAGGGGTTCTCACCGCGGACAGCTACAGGGGCGGTCCCCTAAACCGGCAACCCGGGGATTTTCCTCAGCAGCTTGCGCTGCGCCATCCCTGCAGAAGCTCCCGTTCCGTCTCAAAAATTCGTGCCGAGCATTTTCCCAAAGCTCACTTCAACATCGCGCGATGCGAGTACACCACAACCGTTGTCGATCATGTCCTCGACCGAAACCACAGCTTCGACAGCACCGATAGCAACGCCGGCAGCAGCGCCGGTAGTAGCTCCGACAGCGGCTCCGACAGCAGCATCATCCGGTCCGGCCTCGATCCTCAGCCTTGATGCCCTCTTCAACAACCCCCTCTTCGCCGGCGGCATCGGCCTCGCAAGTCTAGGCGCAGTCGCAGCCTTCGGCCGCAAAGGCGTCGTCGTCGCAGCCGGAGCTGCCCGCCGTCGTCTCCTCGTCAACGTCGAGATCAGCAAGCAAGACCCGGCCTACCCATGGATTCTCGCGTGGCTGTCGCAGCCGCGCGAGCAGGCCGGCTTCATCGCCTCGCGCATCACCCGCATCCACAACCTTTCCGTCTCGACGACAACGACGACGCAGCGAGGCGCGAATAGCCCGACGAATGCGCACTTCTTCCTGCAGCCTGGCTATGGGCGACATATCGTCCAGCACAAGAATGCGTTCATCGCAATCAATCGCGAGAAACACAATACTGCCAACATGAACACGGGCGAGCCGCACGAGATTGTGCAGTTGACGACGCTGTGGGCGCACCGTCACGTCTTTGAGGACATCTTTGGCGAGGCGCATGCGCTTGCAGCCAAGGCGAACGAGGGCAAGACGGTCGTGTACTCTGCGAGGGGCATGGAATGGGCGCCTCTCGGCGATCCTCGGAAGAAGCGACCTCTCGGCTCGGTTATACTAGACGAGGGCGTGAAGGAGGGAATCGTGGACGATGTGAAGGACTTCCTGGGGCGCCAGCAATGGTATGTCGACCGGGGAATTCCCTACCGTCGCGGGTACCTGCTATTCGGACCCCCTGGCAGCGGCAAGAGTTCCTTCATTCAGTCTCTTGCTGGTGAGCTGGACTTTAGTGTGGCCATGGTCAATCTCAGCGAGATGGGTATGACGGACGATAAGCTGGCGTACCTCTTGACGAAGCTGCCACGCAGGAGTATCCTGTTATTGGAGGACGCGGACTCTGCGTTCGTCAACCGCAGGCAGCGCGATGCCGATGGCTACAGCGGCGCCAGTGTGACCTTCTCTGGTCTGTTGAACGCGCTCGACGGTTTGGCAGCTGGCGAGGAGCGCATAGCGTTCTTGACAACGAACCATATCGAGCGTCTTGATCCGGCACTGATCCGGCCTGGACGTGTGGACATGATGATGCGCATTGGCGAGGCGACCAAACACCAGGCTGGTCTGATGTGGGATCGCTTCTATGGTGACGTGGACACAGACGGTGCTGGTCGGGAACGTTTCTTGCAGAGGCTGGAGGATCTGGGGCTCTTTGGCAACGGGACCGGGGAGACGGCGAACCGTTTCACGAGTACAGCTGCGATCCAGGGCTTGTTCTTGTTCAACAAGAATGACATGCAGAGCGCGATTGATATGGCCGAGGGCCTTATTCCGCGCAAGTTTGAGGCTGAGGATGCGATCCCCGAGGGAGCCATCAAGACGAAGGCCTGAAGATGTCTTTCGTGATATCAGAGGCACGTTGAAGGATGTAAAATTTTGTAACACAATGTATAAATCATCTAGACAAAATCTGAAATGATACCCATGCCCAACAATCGGCCTTGATACATATAGAAACCACGGGGACTTTCCGCGAAGAGATTCGAGCGCAATCACATTGATCACCTATCGACGTCTCCCTTTCTTTCGCTCCTCTCTTTCGTGTCTAATCAATTGGCTCCCAAGGCTCCTTCCGTCGCAACGGCTTGTGGGCCAACACGTGCGTCCGAACTGTCGGACAGAACCTAGCGCCGTCAGTGAGTCAGCCCGTAAGCCGGTACATTATCGACAACCTAATTTTCCCCATCCTCTTGGGCTCTGCTCCACCTCACCTTTTAACTCTTCGCCGTAATTGCTACCTAGACAGATATCTTGCCTTACTTGGTACCTTAGTTCGTCAATCAGTACGCGTATCCTTGCACATCCCCGAGGTGGGAGATCTCCAGGCACATACGGCACCAACCGACCGAACAAGCGACCCCGCAGCCAGGATCTCGCTTCTAGGCGCATCCTATCTCATTCTGGCGCTAGGCACCAACCTTGAGGCAACATATCAATCTCTCTCGTCGTCTCACGATTTTCATCAATTTCAACGACTCCTCAGTGCCTCAACACCACATGTGCATCACGATGTCGCGGCAAAGCAACCTCTTCGACTTCTCTTTCTCTAAGAACGATGGAGGAGTACAGAAGAAGCCTCGCCCGCAAAACCAGCAGCCCTCCCCGCAGTCAGCATCAGCACCAGGCCACTCATCCTCGTCAAAACCCGCCCAGAAACCAACAGACCGCTCAAGTCCATCCCTCGCTGCCGTCGCAGCAGAAACCCGCTCCGCGCTTCCCCAGATTCTCCCCCACCTCCCCAATATCAACGCTTCCAAATCAGAAGACGTGCACCTGGACTACCTCCCGCCCCTTAAAACCTCAGCCTGCCCAGGACACGCCCCGCGAGCGAAAATCAAAATCGTTAACGAGGACTCGCTCAACGCTGCAATCGAACTCGCGAGGCGACGGCCTGATGGCGGACGTGTAGCGGTGCTCAACATGGCGTCTGACATCCATGCCGGCGGCGGGTGGTTGAAGGGCGCTATCGCGCAGGAGGAGGCCATGTGTTATCGCTCGTCGCTGTACCTCAGTTTGCATAATAGGTATTATCCCTTCAAGCGCCGTGGGGGACTTTACACGCCTGACGTTGTTGTCATCCGGGGTGATATGGCGAGCGGTCATACGCTTCTTGTTCCGCGGGTCGCGTATGACGATTTACCTGTTGTCAGTGTTCTCAGTATTGCGGCGATACGGAGGCCAGATGTTGTGAAGCGGAAAATATCTACGCCTACGGGGGACGAGGACGTGTATGAGTTCGCAAAGGAGACTGATCGCACGCTCACGATGGCGAAGATGAGACTTTGTCTGAGGATGTCGGCAAGTCGGGGTCACAGTCTGCTTGTGCTGGGCGCATTGGGGTGCGGTGCATTCAGGAACCCTCCTGAAGAGATCGTCAAGTGTTGGCTGGAGGTTTTGGGGGAGGCCGAGTTTGGTGGTGGGTGGTGGAAAGAGGTTTGGTTTGCGGTTTACGATCGGAAGAATGAGGGGAATTTTGAGGTGTTTGACGATGCGCTGGGCGGCGTTGAGATTTAATGCATCTAAAAGCGAAAATTACTTACAACACCACCACCACGCTCCCATCAAAGACAGAACATCGTTGAACATCAGAGGGTATGAGAGGTCATCTTCTGCGGGGCACATGTCGATTCCCTCGAAATCTCACACAAGACCTGTGGTGAATGCGAAGAAAGACGGAATATAGGTGAGGGAATAATCCCGAAAGAGAAATGTCTACAGACACACGTCCAAATAACCCTTTTTAAACGCCCAAAACAGCCGGAAGCTTCACGTAAATATGTGGTGGAACTCCGAATCACCCAGAAACCCCCTGCCGTGCCATGGCGGTGCGGTGCGCCGAACCGGCCCCCGCCCACCCGTTAATTCACCAGAAGTCCGTCCGGGGCTGGCGGCCGCTCGGATCAGAAAAAATGCAAGTCGAACTCGGAAGCAGGTCGAACAAGCAAGCAAGTCCAAAAGGCACGACGTTGCGCGTACCCTGTGTACTAGCAAGAAGATCTCGCGCGGTCCGACGTCACTCTCGTGTACTTATACGTCTCTCGTGTTATTGAGTACCATTCCAATGCGTCGAGGTTGCGGGGTGTAAGTGACGATAGCTCGGTCGGGGCATCGAGGGCTTGTCCCCACGATAGTCGTGGTTGTCCAAGGCTCGAAATTGCAGGCGCTATTTCATGGGTTGTTAGCCTCGCCAGAAGTTCATCAGGCGTGAAGAAAGTATAGGTCTTGACTTGAGAAACAATCCCAGTGAAGTTAGAAAAGGGGGATAAGTAGAAAGACTGAGGGAAACTTACCTGGAAGTTCAGAGTGAGATGATGATTATGCCGCTGGATCCACTGAAAGACTACAATTACGGCGGGGGGGGCGGGGGGGGGGGGAGCGACAAGGAGAGCGATGAGGGCAATGACGGCTTCAGTTGAGAAGGTCATCGTCAAGAGAGCAATCGGATGTAGTTGTAAATGTGAAAAGTAAGCATGTTACTTTAAGAAAGCAGCTGTAGAACGAAAATCACCGACTATGACATTATTTGGACATGCGCAACGGGAGAGGTTGACCTCCGCGCTTGCGTGCGCCCAAATCAGCCACATCCTAACGTCAACACGAAACGGAAAGTACAGTACAAGATGTGGCTGAAAATGGCGCGCGGAGACCCAGTGTCTGTAACGGGCCAGCAAGTCCATGACAATATGACACCCAGCAGCTGCGGCATTCTAGCATTCAGCACAGCGCTAGGCGACTTTGGGTATCATCGCTATTCTTCTTATTTCCCTTTCCCTCCTTCCTCTCCTTCCTTCCTAGAATTGGAGGTGCTTTTCGGAGAGGGAAATTCAAAGGCGGCGAGGTGTCGGATGCAACTTGCTGCCGGGTGTTGTTGGTCTTTCCCAGTCGACACCAAATCCCACGCCCCCCTTTTGGAACCCTGGAAGTCGGCCGAGATGCTGAGTTACCCCAACGTGCTCGCACGAATGTAAGTACTTGGGTACATGCATCTCTGACCCTTTTGGAGGCTTGTTCGGCCAACCATTTGTGATTCCGGTGAAGTCGGATTGAAAGGGGGCCAATGGCCTTTGGCAATGACACTAATACCGCCAGGCTGTTCGGGGAAGCTCTCAATTGCTCTGCATCAAGAGCGAGTGGAACTCAGGAGTGCTTGGGGGCTTTCGTTTCACGCAGCAGTTAATACCTGACCTTGCACCCATCCTCCCCACCCTGGGTTCCCGGCTTAATACCTCCATTCTCCAACTTCCCGAATCCTGTTAGCGTTACCTAGTGGTCAAGGCCACGCCCACGTTGGGAGGCGTGGCCGACTACATCTTTGATTCATGTTGGAGATCATGGACTGTTTTTTTTATTGATATTTGAGGTATCATGATAGCTACAGAACAGGAACAGAAGGATACCATGGCATCACATTCGTATTGGGTTAGATGAGAACTTACTAAGATCGAGCAGGTTTGGGACAGAGGGGGGAAAACAAATGTGATGTGTAAATCGCATACAAGACAGCAGGTATTACATAGCCCAATCATGACTGCCATTTGCAGAAGATCCTCCAATCCTCCTCTTCTTCGCAAGGTCGCATTCCAAAAAGTCCACATATCCGAGCACGGCGTTCCCCGTGACAATTGATTGTTTCGGTGCCAAAGAGCACTACAAGCACGCAAGGCCAGAGCAAGGTCCCGTTGCGAATTCAGAGTGGGAAGAAACCTGAAAGTAAGGATAATGGATTGAGATGGTCCCTCGACAGACTGCAGTACGAAAGGTCTCATATTTCATGCTACGTAAGATATATATATACATATACATACAGTTCGCATGGCTGCTCTCAGGCGGGTACAGAGACGTTGCCATCACAGTTGTACCTTTATGAAAGTGTGGGAATCCTAGGTTTTTTCGGCCCTCGATCCGTCCCGTCGGTGCGGGGTGCCCCGAAGGGGTGATCGCTGACCCCCGGGCCAGAAGAGGGTGAACACGTGACCGTCTAGTCGGAAGCTTAATACCGCGCATCTACACATTGCGGAGTTCTTCTTACTGATGTCATCGGTCTGAATGATCTCTGCGATATAATCTTCAGGGTCAGGATTGCTAGCTGACTGGCCGTTAGCATATTGCGTCTCATGCTAATTTCCTTGACTTGAGAGGCGAGTCCGAAGCCGGGGGAGAGGCGGCTTACTTGGGAGGCCAGGGTCGAGGTCATTCGTGGGCCGCTTCCATTGAAAGATGGCAAAAAGAGTCGGCGGAAGGGCGACAATGAGTGCAACTGTAGCAATGATGGCTTCTGTTGATAGGGACATATTGACAGCCAGTTCAAAGAAGATTCTGGATTCCGAGGTTGCGACTTAGAGCCGGGTGGGGACGAATGAGAACGCTTTATGGTCGATCGTGCTTGGAAGAAGAAGAATTTGTGAGCAGGGAGGAGAAGAGGATATGGATCAGCCCGGTTGTGATGACCTCGGGAGGTTTTGCGGGGTTTAAGAAGGGATGCTTCGAGTTGTCAAGTGTTGCTCTGGGTTGTGTCGTGGCTTGAGCTCAGCTCCGTTGCTTGGAAATGCTGACCCGCGGGTCCGTCCAGCCAGTCTCTCAGTCTTGTTCCAGACGCCCCGACCGAGAATGGGATTTTTTTTCTTGTTCGCAATATAAAGTAGGTAATGTAATGTCAGGGCGGGAGCGCAGGGAAGGGGGTTCATGGGCTACTGGTGCTGGACTGGAACCATGTAAGGCGACTTGCAAGGTGAGGTAGGGCCAGGAAGAGGTAGCCAGAAACGACTTCGATGTCGGTCCGGAAGACCAATCACAGCGCTCTCCGCCTTCATGTGACGCAAACCTCGAAAAACCTGGACCCGCCCGACACCAATGTCCTGCGCCACGGCAGTTGGGGGCGCCAGAACAAACAAACCTAATTTTTGTTGGGCTAAGTCGGCTCTGTAATTATGACCTGGACTGGTATCTGACGTGGCTCCAGGGCGATGAGAAATGAAGGAGCACGGCTTGCACAACCGGCTGCACTGATACTGGCTCCCTCCGCCATCCACCTCCCACCTTAGCTCTCCTTCACGTACAGAGTACAGGTATCTTACTTCGTCTTCTCGCGCATCCCTGGGACTTTCCGTTCCGTGCTCAGCATGTCAGCTTCCATCTTGTCAACCAAAACTATGCATCACTAAGAAACATTCAGCCTGTACCTAAGCTAAGGTACCTTGGATAAATACATAAAGCGCTTCAAGGATTGAAATTTCCAGGCTCGACGTACTTGGAGTCGTGCCGGGGGGCATTTGAACTATATTGAGACTTTACGGAGAAGAAAAGCTGGGAGGTGATAATAATGATATGCACACGGTGAACAATGGAACCCTTTACTGATCAACAGCTCGTAACGTTCGACAAGGTCGCGATTTCTGCGGCAGATACTAGGATGTATTTACGCTATAACTCCGTGTGGGTTGGGGGGGATGGCAGAATGGACGTGGACTTCATACACTCAAATGACCCTATCAAGTAACACCCAGACACTCAAAATGCCTTTCAAACATATCTCCTTGTGGAGATTTGTGAAATAAACTGTTTTAACCAAACATTGGACCTAACCAGCCGATCCACGTCCGTCCTATCGAGGTGGGGTGCGCCGAAAGGCCGGCCCCACTTCGCATTATGAGTGCACCGGAGCCATGAGTTCGCGGCTACATGTAGCCCCTCCGCACGCGTTATTGGTGATGCAAGCAAGCTTCAGCGAATAAAGACCTTGCAGATTTCTTAAGTGCCATCAAGTAGACCTCGAGTTATCCGACGTTACTCTTGTGTAGTTGTAGGTCTCGTGCGTTATTGTAAACCATTCCAGTCCGTTCCGGTTAAGATTGCGGGGTGTAAGTGAAGAGAGGTTCGGTGTGGGCATCGTCTGGTCTCCGTGGTGGTCAGGTTTGACCCAGGGCGGAAACCACTGGCGCTGTAATGCAGTATGAGTCAGCGAACCATGAGGTTAATGACCTTGTCTCCATGGAAGAGTTGGCGAATCCGAGAAGATGAAGGAACTATTACCTGGAAGCTCAGCATGCTACTGATTTTGACGTGTCCATTGCAATACTTTGAGTACCAGGGGGGGGGGGGGGGAAGAGCGATGAAGACAGCAATAATAACGATGACACCCTCCGTTGAAATGCCCATTGTCAAGATCAGCTAGCAAAATTGACTGTTGAGATAGAGATAGCACTTATATGCTGGACCTCGAGGTAAAGACAGAGCGTGCAGATATGAGAGCGAGAGAATGATCGGAAAAGTAGTTTGGGCAAGGTCGTTCGGTTTTTATTACGATCCAGAGCAAGAGTCTCGACGCTTTCTCAACGCTACAGTTGGACGTCCACAAAAACTGGAGGTCTCAGTGACGAGGCGCTATGGCCATGTAGTTCGCAGGTTAGTTTTAGCATTTTACGTCCGTAACGCTCCCACATAACCGTCGTTGTTTTGTCCTGCAGCTCCCCCATGCTTACAGGGCAGGCCAACCACATCCCCGAGGCAGAGAGGCATTCCATGCAAAACCAGAGGGCAGAGCAGACGAGGCAAGAATCGCTTAACCCCTAGAGACATGTCGGTACGTACTCCGCAAGGTGGCACCTAAGCTACGTGAAGAGGCCAGGGTCCAATATGTCGAGTGCACGTGTGCGTAAGACGGGGGGATGTTCGACAGTGCCCCAGCTCGACAGGACGGCAGGCATTGCCTGGGTCACTAGGACATCGAGAGTCCGAACTGGGAGTCTTGAAGCATCATAATGTAGTTACTTTCATACATGGAGACATTTGACAATCAGATCGGACTTTTAGGTGCTGGTAAATACATGCAAGTGCTTTCAGGCATAGGCAGACTGCTCTCCCTCTCCTCTGCGCTCCCTCTTGTATGATTGATCTCACTTCGCACTTCATCCGCACCTTTTGGGCGTGTTCTTCAATCGATTCAATGTGAAGCTACTGGATCCTTGCAGGTGTTTAAGTCTCGATGATCTTTCCAATGAAAACGCGATAATTAGCTGCCGACTTCCGCTTCCTACTGGCGTACATCAAACCTCGACACCGCCCAATGCATTATCAAATACCTCAAAATCGACCTCACTTCATCTCAGATTCACTCTTTCATGTGCTTTCTCACTTCCATCTTTTTGATACCCAATTTCTCGCATAAAGCTGATGTTGTACATTGAGGCTGTTCTGAGGATGAAGCCAGTGCGAAGATGAGGCAGGTCAGAGCAACGGCTTCAGAAAGGAGTCCATGTGTACTGGGAAATTCTGGCTGCTTTGCTTCTACCTCCTGTAGCGTAGAAGCTTGAATGCGATGTAGTCATCATTTCATACATGGAAAAGTAGGGTGCTTCATGGAAAGTGCCTTCCACAATAGTTTAACTACAGTACAGTGGCAGCAGAGATCGCTTATGGAGGGAATCGGGAGTGTACAATGGCTGGCTAGATCACTCGCAAGAACCTAGGTAGCTTGCAAGGTGTACTAAGATGAGAGTGACGCAGGCTTAAGAGGACCATGGCTTGAGGAGACGGAGGCCGATAGAAACTGACGACGCCAGATGACTCGGTATAATACCGTATGAGTGTATCAGTACTCATTGCGTGCCAGGTAGCTACCTCAATACTAAGGCGGGTCATGGGGGTTCCTTTCTACTATGAGCTGGTGTGGCGCTGGAGGGGGTAAGACTACGGGAACTAGATGCATTTCATCTCGCTCAGTTACAGTCGCCTGCCGCCGTGCCAAACTGCAGAAGCCATGGTCAATGGGAGTCCCGTCGTTTGAGCTAAGTGATGAGAGAAGACCGCGTAGTTCTCATTCATTGGCCAAAGCCCAAGAAGTTGTTGCATCTCAGAGTTCATGGGCTTAAGATCGAACTAAACATAACAGCAGCTACTTCCTCTTACGGCCACGTTTTGGAATAGATAGAACTGTTCGAAGATTTATCGAGCATGATTTGGTCCTAGAAAAATTGCGCTCTGTTCTGTTAGTCACCTCGGTTGAGGCACCTAGGTAAAGTAGTTATCGCATAGGGTGAACTAAACTAGAAAATGGCCGGAAGACTGTCGAGGAAAGAAATTCTCTACCTCAATCCAACACAACACTTGACTACGGATATTATGGTGAAGTGATTGAACGACAGGGCTTGTTTAGTGGATTGGAGCAAGGAGAATTGGGTGTGGCCCACCGATTTCCCCGAATCAGGCAGTCGCTTGAACAGATTCGATTTTAAATCATCGCATATAATTACAGTAATACTCCCATGCTGCTTCATATTCATTGGCCATAACCTGTGAATCTCAAAATGACCTTCGCGCATGCCAATGATCAACAAAATGTTGTCTCCTCAGGTATGGATGTGCTTGGTCATTTAAGATGTGAAAACATTAAGTATGTCGAGGAAGCTTGCCGTATGAGGTATTGCTGCTGTTACGGTGCGTCCGAGAGACTTGATAGCAGTTGTCATATAAATCGAGTTTCGGATTGTAGGACCAGCTTTTGAACTTTTCCCTACTCAGGAATTTCTTCAACCCGACATTCATTTGTAACGTCGACTAAAGTCATGTTTCTATCCACGTTCATCAATAGGCAATAACTTGCCTTGCTGTACAACATATCCAGATGCTTGTAACTCCCACCAAGAGTTGTCCCAACTATCCTCACAATCTCCATCAGGATATCAACCGGCCCGACATGCATAGCAGACCACTGGTTCGTTGCTGAACCGAGCGATATCAGATCTGCTAGTGAGCATCCTACATCAAACACCTTCTCCAATATGCCGACGCCATTGGCTTCAAAGGCCTTGGTTGGTAGCAGCCGTGAAATGAGCACTACGTCGCGGGCAACTGCGGTGGGATAGCTCAGTGACATGCTGTCCTCACTATCCGTGGTAGATAACAGGGTCTTGGACACGCAAAGTTTCCACACGATGACCTTGAGCCACTGTCGTGAAATTAATAGATCGGCCTGTTGCATCTCTGAATATTTTGATACGCTTGGAATTGCGTACTTCAAGACCGTCTGTAGTTTGGAAAGATGTTCTGGATCTGTTGCCTCTGAAGACGATGCCGCTGATGGCGTAGAAGAGTTCCATGTCGCTATGAAATCAGTATCAAAGTGCCGGAAAAGGGAGATGAGATCGAGGAATCCGGGAAGAATCGCGGCATCTGAGCTCAACGGATCGACGATGGGAAGACCCAGTGTGCTCTGCAGTGTCAACGGCCTATGCCGCTGTAGCGCATACGCCCTCTCCGTGATGAATAGCACCCAAAACATATGTCGAGCGTACGTCGCCAGGACCTGATCGGTGATGTCGTTGTATGTGGCTTCCTCGTGTAGTCGTAGCGTCTGAAGAATAGTGATAGACTCTCTGAGATAGAACCATGCCGCATTATCGTTATCCATACAGAAGAAGGCCGAGAATAGGAAGAAGGAGGTTTGCGCGTGAAGTAAGGACTGGTGCTCGGCGAGATTGCATTGCCGCCTAGCTCGAAGGGTTTCTGAAATGAGGAACTCGGGTGTCGGAAGGATAGGGGCGGATAGATCGGGTGGCATCTGCGATGATGGGTCTGGCGGTTGTAATATCTCTGGTGAGAGGGAGATGACCGCAGAGCAGGCTGTCATGAGCCCGTATTTCTCGGGTGAGGTTGAAAGGTCGCGTATGCATTCTTCGACTTGTTGACGATGCAAGATAGGTGTAAGTGGGTATTTGTGTCTGAAGAAGGCATCGAGGCACCACTCTATGATATCGGTTGATACTAGAGGTGAGGGCCGAAAGCTGTCGTCTCTCAGCGTCGCCGTCTGAATCGGTGATGGTGGCGTGACTGGTGATACGGGTGTCTGAGTCTCTCCAGCTTCTGCTGAGTCTCTTTTTGATGTGTAAGAGGTAGGCTTCTGCCTTTGAATCGATTTCCGTGCATGCCGTGGGCCTTTCGGTCCTGTCTTCTTCGGCGCTGCTACGTATGTGCACTCCAATATTGCCTCCTGACAGTTGGTGCAGGGCCAGCATCCATCGCAGCGGATCTTGCGCGAGTGACAAGGGTCACAGGCTTGTCGAACCTTGGGTGGTCTTTTAGAGTAGCGAATATTGGTTTCCTGGGACATGATGCATATTAATAGTAGGGAAATCGTGAAGAGGCGAAGATCAGAAGAAGCGTCATGCAGGATGAATGAAGGCTGGGGTAGGGGGTTACTTCGCGTTGCGGGCAGAAGTTCTCCAGATTTAAGGCAAGACTCCGCACTCTCCGCACATGGTTATGGGGGCATTTTTTGAACTAACCCAAGTAAGGGACTTGCATTGCTAGCGTGGTGTCTCTTCCCCATCCTTTGGGAAAATTTAGGCTAAATTTTGAGAACTCGAAAACCCGTTCGGTTTGTATGGAGATATGGTCTTTGAAACCCAGACAAACATTACACCCTTGACCCCTCCTGCGCCTATCATAACGAATACCCTACGAGGTGGACTTCTTGACGGCAACTCCATCTATCACAACGTAATCGCTAAACTTCCTTGGTGGGATGCCCTGGGCGTACATGTGGTCAATGTCCTGGTAGGTTCTGTTCTTCGTCTCAGGCTGGAAGAAGAAGAGAAGTCCGAGAACGAACACCTCAGCGCCAACGAAGAGGAACATGATCTTGCCGCCCCAGTTCAGCTGATCGGGGTTGATGAAGAACGGGAACACCGATGACAGCAAAAGAGCTGTGAGTTGCTGGCATACCAAGCTGAAGGCGATGGTCTTGGGCCTGGTGGCTTGCGAGGCAGTCTCCTGAGCAACAGCCCAGCCGAAGCAACCTACGGTTGCGGTGTACAACATTGACCATGTGATCATGAAGGCGAGAAGAGCCGTGTTTGCGGAGTAGTTGGCGGTTCCAGCAAGAGATGTTCCACCGATGATGATAGACCAGCAGCACAGCAATACTCCGCCGCCAACTAGGGACTTTCTGCGGGGGAGGACGTCGGAAACTGTGACTGCAACGCAGTTCGAGAGGAATTGGAGTGTGGAGGAGATCGCAGTGAGTCCGAAAGGGTCGGACTGGCCGATGAGCTCGAAGTAGTAGGTTTGGTAAGTGTCTAGAGTTGATTTGTTAGCATTCTGTGTCTGAAACACGTCGTTGTTGTGAGATACTTACTCGCAAAGTAACCGCCAGAGAAGTTCTGGGACTGCAATCCAAGAACAGCAACCAGCGTTCGGAAGCGGTGCTCCTTGGAGAAAATCGCTCTCCAGCTTGTCTGCTTAGCCATGTTCGCCTCTCCTGCCGCAAGCTCGAGCTCAGACTTGATGAAGTTGAGTCTCTCCTCGACATCGACGTTCTTTCCGTAGAGCTTGAAGATTGCCTTGCGGGCGTCGTCATCTCTGCCCATCTTTACGTACCACACCGGGGACTCGGGCAGCCACGGCAAGACAATCATGAACAGCGCCGGGACAAGGAAGGTCATGGCGAACGCTAGGCGGTAACTCCATTGACCTTCAATCTTGGAGGATCCCCATGCAGTGATGGAAGAGAGGAAAAATCCGAGAACGATGATGACGTTGGTCAACGAGCTGAGGGAGCTTCGAAGGGCCGGAGGAGCGTTTTCGGTAACGTAGAGGGGAGGCGTGACGGTTGAAAGGCCAACTGAGAAACCGAGCAGCAGCTTGGAGACGAAGAGAACTGGCAAGCTTGGGGCGAAGACCAAGGCAAACGAGGAGGAGAGGGACAGAATAACGGCTGTCCAGAGAACGGCTCTGCGACCAACGGTGTCGGCGAACTGGCCTGTGAGGAAGGCTCCGAAGACCTGGCCGATGGTGCTGGCTGCGTTCCACAGAGATTGCCAAAGGGCAGGGATGACATATTGGTCTCCCACCTGATAGTAATCTCCGTAAGCCTTGCGGAACTCAGGGAAGGCAATGGCGGCGCCTGAAAGTCCAGAGTCGTAACCCCATCCGAAGACGAGGTACATGATGTAGAGTGCCCAGAAGACATATCGCTTGTCTTGCTTGAGGTTTGCCCAAAGACGCTGGTATTGTTGCTTTGGGGTCAGGTCTTGATTCTCGGTTGCCCTTGTGACGGCTTCATCCGCAATGGCGAGTTTTTCGATGTGGTCGTGGGCAACGGCACTTGTCGCCTCTGCTGATTTGGCGTCCATTGTGAAAGAGGACAAGATGAGAATATCAAGTTGAAGGTATTAGGAATAAGGAGATGATTCTAGATAGTCTGTATGAAACCACCTCCAGGAAACAGGGAGGCGTACCCTGAAGACTTTATACAAATTTCATTAGGAGGTTACAGCGAGCCATGGGCTCGGTTCCGAATACTTTGTACATCTGCATCGGACGACGCCAGTGGCAGCAGTCCCCACGGGGAATACGGCATGGGGAAATTTAAGCGCTAGGAAGCAGAACAAGACCTCGGGTTCGCCATCTGGCTGGGCTAGTCTGCTCACATTCGCATGTCTCGCTGGAATTGTTAGTCTGGTGGATCATCGATGTTTGATGGCATCGGTTGAAATGGTTGAATTTCGATTGGTTGTTGAGCCTCTTGGTGAAGAACTAGCAACTCACTAATAACACAGGACTTGAGCCACGAGCCACGGCAATAAGCCATGAAAGGTGCTTGCACCCGCTTCCCGAGGGATGGATGTTTTCACGCAAGAAACTGCGATTGTCCCATTTTCACGCCACTCATGGTCCATCGGAGAGAATATCGAGAGACTGAATGATCAGATTTGTAAGTTCATTGGCTCTTAGTCTTGGCACACTCGTTGGAATCATCGCCAAAGCTTCACTAACGGAAGTTCGGACACTGATGAGTGATAAGCCTGAAGACCGAGGTGCTCTCGTAACCTCGACACCTAGAGTAATGTCCAAAATTGCGGTTCAGCAATGACTTCTAGAACGTCAGGCAATTCTTCTATCAAACACATGCATTCCCGTAGAGCAGACCATCGACGAAGTACGATCATCTCTATCTCGAGTTGACGTGGGCCCTACCAACCTGTCGGAAAGCGTACCTCGGTTGCACGGATTAATATTGCATACTGGACCCTCAAGGTATCCTCGAGTGCGGATGTATCAACTCACTTGGGGAATTATGACAAGAATTACTTCCGAAAAGAAACCTGCCTGCCGAAGACAACTTGCACAATAAATGCAGCAAGCACAATTCCTGGCCTCGGCCGAGGCATTCTTCGCCCGCCGAAGACTTCAATGTTGGGTCCGGCACGGCGGGGCTTATGCATTTGGTCACAAGACTTGATAAAATCAGTTGATACTGCTTACTCTTAACCCAGAATCCAGTTTCAGCTCGCAGCTCCACATCTGCATCTCGAGTTCTTGACCCTGCAGTTCTGGCATAGAGTGTACAGCATCAGATTTTGGCTGTCATTTTTTGCTGTTACAAAAGCTGAGTCGGATTACGAACTGTTGTAACCTATAGAGCCTTTTAAGTGATATTAAGCTTTCTCAGGGTGGTTTTGGCATCAGATGAATCCCATACCCCAACGATGCTGACATGGACACTTACAAGAAGTGTAAGTGATGATACATACTAATAAAGTCGATTGACAAGAGTACATGTAATCTACAAAATGGAACGAAAGGGTTAATATGACATGATGCATTCGAGAAAACATGTCCCAGAAATTCCAGAATCAATATCGAGTGTTATCCAAGTGTGGCGTGAGACGTGTTTTTGGCGCTGTGACTCGACGGAGCTCCTCAGTCATCAGCCACTCATCCGCTTTCGAAGTCCCGAGAATTTCAGCGTTCGTCAGCCCCCAAAGTCCCACGTGCATGTTATCGTTTTCGTCCAACCCAGCAACTTTTGCCTTCCCCATGTTTCCGTACTTCTCCGCGTCTCTCCCTGGTATCCACATGCAGGTAGTCTGCTCAACGTTGTCTAATGGTTTCGAGACCTAGAGAACGGCCACATAATACTACTACTAAAGCTTTCCAGTGCCACCACTCCACCCGGCGATTGATCGTGCCAACGTGGATCGATCCGTGCTAGTGGCGTGGAAGCTTGCAGTCCACAGAACGATCTAGGTATGGCCGACCTCGGTTTTCGCAGTGGGGGATGACTGCTGCCCAGGACTAGGTAGTAGCTTCCCCACGACGGGACGGGCGAATCATAATTCAACCATGGCAATTCAGCCGACTCCAACGCGTCACGCAGGTGAGACAGATGAGGCTGCTATTAGTGCGAAAGATTCTGGCACCAACCCCCAATCATCACCGAGACTTGTTGATCTGGGGTAGGTAGCTGCGGGGGTTGAGTTTCAATGAGCCAACTTCAAATGCTGGGACTCTGAAGATTGAACATAAGAAGCGAACAAGCTTGACCTCTTAAAGCGACCGTCCATTGCAAGCTCATGACTGTCCTTACTCTCGAATCGACTCACATTCTACTTTTTACACCACCAATACTTACCCGGTCTTGTCTTCTTCATCATAGCCACTATGGCATCATCAGGTTCTCCAGACAGACAATGGTGGAAAGAAGCTGTCGTCTACCAGATCTACCCTGCGAGTTTTCTCGATTCCAACAATGACGGACTTGGTGATGTTCCAGGCATTGTCTCGAAGCTGGACTACATCAAGTCCGTTGGCGCCACAGCCATCTGGCTTTCTCCAATCTTCAAGAGCCCTCAAAATGACATGGGCTACGACATATCCGACTATCGCGACATCCACAGACCATACGGCACAGTTGCGGACGCAGAGAACTTGATCAAGGGCTGCCATGAGAGAGGCATCAAGATTCTTTTGGATCTCGTTGTCAACCATACCAGCGACGAGCATGAGTGGTTCATAGAGTCTCGCTCATCAAAGTCATCGCCCAAGAGGGATTGGTATTTCTGGCGAGACCCCAAGATCGACTCGAGTGGCAACCGTCAACCACCCAACAACTGGGCCTCCATTTTTGGCGGTAGTGCCTGGACATGGGACGAGCAAACGGGCCAATACTACCTCTCGCTCTTCTTGCCCTCACAACCAGACCTCAACTGGACCAATGAGGATATGCGTCTGGCTACTTACTCTGATATGGAGTTCTGGCTGGAAAGAGGCACTGATGGCTTCCGGATCGACTCGATGAACCTCATGTCGAAACACCCCGACCTGCCTGATGCACCCGTAACACGGCCCGACTCGGAGTTTCAGCCCGGTGACTTGTACTATGCCAGCGGTCCTCGGATGCACGAGTACATCCGGGAGATGCGCGAGAAGGTGTTCGACAAGTACAACTGCATGACTGTCGGTGAGCTGGGCTTTACCAAAGATGAGAATAGCGTTGCCGAGTACGTCGCCAAAGACAGACATGAGCTCAACATGGTCTTCACTGGAGACATTGTGGACATGGACTTTGGCGAGAACCACAAGTATGAGCACGGCGATTTCCGTCTCTCGAAACTCAGAACCATCACCAACCTCTGGCAAAAAGCAATGCTGAAGTGCGACGGCTGGAACGCGGTCTACTTTGACAACCACGATTCTGGCCGCTCGGTCTCACGTTACGCATCCGACTTGCCCCAGTACAGGAAAGAAGCCGCCAAAATGCTAGCCATCTATATGGGCACTCTGAGCGGCACACTATTCCTGCTTCAGGGACAAGAGATTGGAATGGCGAATATCCCAGAGTCTTGGACGATTGAGGACTATGCCGACATCGAAGGCCAGAACTACTACAACAGCGTGCTTCAAAAGAGGGGCAAAGACGCAGACATGTCGGATGTTTTGGCGGAGATGAGACTCAAAGCGAGAGACAACGGGCGACTGCCCATGCAGTGGAGCGCAGAAACACATGGGGGTTTCACGAAGGGCTCAAAACCGTGGATGCGTGTCAACGACGACTATGGCGAGTGGAATGTTGAGCGACAAGAGAAGGATGAGGATAGTGTGCTGGCGTTTTGGAGGCGAGTCTTGAGCCTCCGGCAGCAGGAGAAGGACGTTTTTGTTTATGGCACATTCTCTGAGGTTACGGATCTTGAAGAGAGCGAGGAAGTGTTTGCGTTTACCATGACAAGTCACGAAGAGAAGAAGGTACTTGTTCTCTTGAACTTTTCAGACAAGCAACAAAAGTTGGAGCTGCAGGGTTTTGGTGGATGGAAGCAGCTACTTGGCACCAATGCCGAGAGCATCGGAGGGGGGAGCATCACACTTCAACCGTACGAAGGCGTTATTTACTCTAACTGGTAGCTGCCATCTCAAAAAAAAGTCCTTCTTGAATCAATCCTCTTGCCAAGTACATAAACTATGCATTAAGTAGGTAGGTGAAGCAATGATATAAACTAAGGATGCATCGCTTTTGATGTAGTCAATATTTACATGATGGTAGCTGCGTATGTAACGGAGCAGAATTCGAAGCTGCAGTTTCTCGTAACGCCATGTCGAGCTGTTCAAGTGCATTAATCTCTAAACCCATAGGGCAGAGATATTAGCAGCGATAAGTCTGTTCATGGTGGAATTGATGTTGTTCACAGGTGGTTGCCATCCCAGTCTCAGAGGAAGCCTCTCATGCTCGACCCAATACCGAACCAGAGTCAAGTTGGCGTTTCCGTAGTCTCCAAAGGCTGACAGAAGCAAGGCATACTGAAGTAGCGAGCCGGTTCTCGCAAAGGTGCCGTTAAACTCTGGGTTATTTGCCTCACCCCATTCGAAGCGGGCTTTGATTTCTCTGGCAGCAGCAGCGAACTGCAACTGGGTTTTCTTAGCTTTGCAGAGACGGTACCTCCATCAAGCGTTGGGAAACTTACGTCGGTGATCTCAATGTCCCCCCAAGAAGCCAATGCGCGGCCCCAAGCAGCTTGACTAAAGCTGTTGCTGTCGCCAAAGTACTTGTCGTCGCGAGTTATGCTTCCATCGTGCTCAATGACCTGCGGAATGTGCTGATCGATGTCGTTGAGATGGAAAGTCGAGCTATTTCCCGTTGTCGATGTCGTTAGTGCGGGAATGCCGACTGCTAACATAGTGTTGTGCTCCATGTTGTAGCCCAGTGCCGTGGCTTCTCCAAGAACTTCCAGGACAATGCTGCTGTCAGGCCCATCCCAGTACACTCGTTACAACGATTGTCACACTATGCCTATGAAACAATATGGTCTTACACAAGCATGACTAAGTTTGCCAAGGATATGCCAGTATAAAGGGTCTTCCACTCACTATATAGATAGTCGGGATATTCCCATAGCCACTCGTTCTTCATACTCATCAATACATCCCATTGACCCCCTACCTGATAATCGCTGCCCAACAGCTGCGACCGTCGCGCGGCAGCAGCCCGTGATTAGCGAGAGTGTTGATGCCGGGGCATGGCGAGCGCAAGTCTCCCGGTCCGGGAGGTTGCCAGGGAAATTCCTCCTCTGTCAGAAAGGCCGAGACGCCGACTGCGACTATGATCCCAAAGAACGCGACACGAGGTATGGCCATTGTAACGAATGTGTTTTTGGGATGACAGAGTCTCTCAGAAAATCTTCACAGAAAATCAAGTGCCAATGACAAGAATATTTATCTGAACCAGTAGCTGCCGACAGGATAGCCTTTGCCCGCTGATTAACGAAAAAAAGGTCTCGTATGATTGGGCATGAACGCGAAATCCATCCTACACCCCTTACAGAACAAATTACAACGTCGTGATTCCAAGGTTCCTGTATCCAGCCGTCAGAGTTTATTTACTAACTGGGTTGTAAGACCCGGGGAATATGAGGCCGCCACACGGCAATTCATCTCCTGCCTAAGGGGGTAAACCAGGCGGGGTCTTAACACCGTTGCTAAGAATGAGGCGATTCAATCGGCACCTCAGTGCCGCGCGCACTGCGTCTTACATATATGGGCTTGTGGTGAAAGGCAGAAATTACTCCTCTTTAACCCTATGTCCCCGTGCGAATACCAAGAGTCTGGAAGAGCCTGGGTAATAGCATATGGGCGTGTCGCGTCACAATCGTGTGATACCAACGGCGTCTAGATCTCGATCGGAGGACCCCCACATCATCCCGGTGTGGCGGACGGGACGGGACGGCAACGCGAGCCAATTTAGCACACATCAAATTCAAAATATCGTCTTCGAAGGCATTTGACTGCGTAGATAGGTGACAGAATCCATGCATGCTCCTATGCGAGTCATGGACATAACCCATTCGGAATGGTCTGACCATCACGAAACAGGCCAGACTGTCATTTCCACCTGGTCCTAGCTCTGCAAGACTTATTAGGATAGCATTAGGCCCACAAGCCTGTGGTGATTCCATCCAATCTTTAGTACGAATAGACGCTCTTTTCTGCTCACTCATATATGCATATTCCGCTGGCCACCCTGACTAACCGTCAATAGGCACCTTCAACGCCGTCAGCATGCTCGACACTCGTTCTGACGAGGCACATCAAACAGAGTTTCTGGGTTACGTCCAGCTTACTTGGGATGAACCCAGGATAATTTCCGAACATGATCCCTGTCACAATCTGCTCCGCTTGGTCCAATTCTTAGGTAAGGCACGTTGCGACTCTCTGAAGCTGGCCGGTTCAGCGAGAGAACTCAACGATGTCTGAATGTTCTGTGGGCTCTCACCCGATATTTGGTGTTGCTTACGGTAGCAGGAAGAATTTCTACAACAGGAGAAACTTGATCAGTCCATGTGCTTTTTCCTTGTTGTTCCGACTTGTTTATACATGGAGCGTCAAAGATATGGTCATGTACCCGCTCAGCCTTTGAAATCAGCCGCGTGATGGGAAGTCATAGGTACAACAAGGTAGCTAGTGTCACAGAAACAGGCTGAACTAGGACTAACTATATCGACTTGCTAACTTAGATCGGGAAGATGCAACCATTTCGGTCAGAGCCGCGACAAGCAATTGATCAAAACCAACGTGTTGGAAAATCATCCATCAAGGTTTGGTTATTTTACGAGTAATCAGTACATACGTCCATGTAGCCCGTAGAATAATATATGAATGGGCCTTGACTTAGTAAGGTACCGTTTACCGCGCGATGTTTGTCCAGATATTTTTAGTCTCCGATGATCTTTAACCCACAATACAGGAACCATGATCATCGCGTGTGACCTCGAAGTTGGTTGTTCGCATGATTCCCATACCTTTCATCAACTCCTCGTCCGAGTCTTGAGCAAAAGATGCATTGGAACGAACTTCGGTCTTGGCATGTCTGGTGTTGATGCCTCTCAGACTAATGTCACCGTTGGCAGCTGAAGACGCTCCTTCGTGGCCATCACCCGTCCTAATCCATCCTTGCTGACTAGTGTGGTACTTTTGATTGTAATAGCCTTGGTCTTTGGAAGACTTCAGCTGAGGCATCCATCGTCGGATGAGAGGCCATAGCGCGGGTGCTGATGCTGTAGTGATGGCTAGGTTACACTCAATGGAGGAAACGCAAAAGCCAAGGGAGAAGTTCGCATCTAGACTCTTGTCGGTGAAGTTCTTGGCAAGGAAGTAGAGACGAATGACGCTCACGCCGGTGACGCTGCCAGGAAAACAAGGTTAGCAAATTGAGGGCGCGGAAATTGAAACGATAAAAGGTTACAGACATAATACCGAGCATGAAGACAATCATGAGCCCGATCTTCCTCTTCTTCTGCATCTTGAGGCCCAGGAAGATGTAGAATGGCAGACCAACAGTGACAAGGTCTGTTAGAATAGTCAAACACGCCGTGGATATTCCGAAAGAGAATTGTTGGATACAACTCCCTGCCAAGGTCGGTTTCCAGTTCTTCTCAATGGGCATGCATTGGAAGATGACAGTAACAAAGGTAGCGATCATGAGCGCAAGGTTGAATGCAGCTGTTCCCCAGACGATGTATCTCACTACATCTTTGAAACCGGAAAAGCGAAGCAGGAAAATGAGGACAGACTGTTTGACCAGTGCAAGAATCGGGTTGTAGACGGCGCCGACAATGTAGATCCAGATCATGCCAGTCGTTGGGTTCATGGGCAGAGGAACGTCCCAGTAGTGAATATCGATGTAGAGCTCCTTCATACCTAGATATATGGTCCATGGTGAGTTGCCATTACGAACTCTAGTGACTTTGATCTGCAATAAGATCGGACTTACATATAACAGATCCGATTGCTAGGGAGATAGAGAGAGCCATCGCGGCACACAAGCAGGCGTCATCTTATGACCAGACACGATGATCAATTTGAAATGAGAGGAGAAAGTTTCCACGCATTTGACATACCCCAGCCGAGAGTTTTCGTATCGACTCTGATATAGAGCCGCGAAATTGTTGTAATGAGTGCAAGAGTAGGGCAGGCAATCTCAATGGCAAAGCCAAGATTCTGTAGCCAACTGGTGGGAGGTCCTGTCATCTTGGCTCGAAGACTGATTCACCTGACGTGAGGAAGGTCAGGAAGACATATAATGAGAAGACAATGATCAGCGAAATCGAGCATCAGTCGGGAGTGAATGAGTGTCACGATATTAAAGTGTGATACACACTGAGCTAATTCTCATTTATGGAAGTGACGGCCAGGAGACATGCCACATACTCCGTCCAGCCAACATCTCAACTTGAGGAAAAACTTTAGTTCCTCGTTCATCAGTATTGTTACGGCACATATGATCCCTGTGGCTAAAATACCTCGCTTCAATACCCTGGATCCATGTCACTTGTATAACCGAAGAAGAAAGATGAAGAAGTGGTGTTCAAGACTTCGGAGACGAGGATCCTATGCAGAACCTTCCCGAGGCACCTACCCAGATTGTACCTGGGCATACCGTACCGGTGGCATGACCTTCTGGACGATCATTTACGAGCTGTTCGGCATGCGGCAAAAGCCACGTTTCTGAAGTTCATATTGATGCAGGCACACCCGATCTGCTGGGGCCATTACTGTGCCCCCAAGATGATGGAGCATTCACAACCACAGCTGCCCTGCACTCCTGCTGCAGGATATGAGAATATTTTCCAGCCTATCTCAACAGAATCCTTGAGATAAAAGATGCAAGATAACCAACGGCTCGAGAGAGAATGATCCACAGTGGTGTATGGGTCAATCGATGGCAACCTAGCAAGACGTCTAGCCTTCAAATTGGCAAGGTTCATCGGCCGAGTCCTTGAAAGCTAAAAGAACCCCGGTCTATCATTTCAATGGCTCCATGATGAACCAACGCGCGGGATTCCTTTGCTATGGCTTTTGACAACAAAAGCCGCTCTGTCAGCTTTGAACTTGTCTCTGCTATGCTAAGGTATGGCGTGAAACTCCAAGCATGGTCGAGTTCTGAGGGTGAAAGAGTGAACAGTACTTACCTCATTTCTTCGATGAGTCGAAGAAGAGATTCAGCTCCGCTTGGGAAGTCTCTTACTTCTCATGCCATATTGCTATTTCATTTTCTTAGAAAAAACCCCTCCGACCATCGAAAGCCGTTGGTTGTTGGTGAGTCGACGTCTGGTTACCCACCCCCCTTGTAACTGTATGGAGAACAGTATATATCCTCGCTACTAGCGCCACCAGAGCCGAGAGAAAGTGGTACGTGTCTCCGCCTATTTCCATGTTGCCGCCCGTCGCTGTCAGATGTTCAACGTGTGTTGGTGAGCGTTGTTTGTGCAAAAGTTTCTTGTCGGAAGACAAGGCAAATATGCAAGCCGGAGGCGTAGGATAGATAACAATTTCCGATGGCTGATTCCTTCAGCGGCATTTTCCAACCCATGCCTCACACATGCTGGCCCGACGTTTTCATGGCACATTTCAATGAGGTTGTCGTAGTCGCACTGTTGGCATCTTGGGAATGGAGTCTCCAAGATTTGCTCAATCCTGGATCAGTAACGAGAGTCGTTCGCACACGAGAGCCACCCAGAAGGCGGTGCCAAGTGCTTCAAGGACCAGAAGCCGGTGATCAAAACATGAGTGTTATGCGATGCATCACCTATGATATCCATGATCCCCGTGCCATGCTGCTGCGCACGCATTAGCACTCCACCACTGGCCGGGACCCTGGGTCATTTATGGAGCTGTCTGAAGTTCTGGACGGTGGAAGGACGTTCTTAGGTGGTATCCCCCATTCAAGTAACCCTTTTCCGGACAACCTCCCCGACGAGAAGCTAACTTGATCAGAAAGCTCATGATCGACCGTCCCAGCAATGCTAGTGGCGCATCCCGATCGAATTTGAAGGTACGCTTGACCATGCTATGCACGTCTTGAAAATGCCATCCAAATATTGGTCTTTGTGGATCGTGCGCTGACAACCTGATCGGTAAGAGATTGCGAAAACCGGGCCAGGCCTTCCGAGTAACTAGACCTGGAGCCGGCACGTATAAGGATATTGAGAGTCCGCAGAATACGCCCAACAACCTTAATCCTTGATCATCGTGCTTGTTGGTACTTTCGACTACTTCTGTGTTCGCTCAACCTTCAACTGGTGAGATCAACAGCACGCCATCCGCCATCATTTTGCGACCGTCTGCCTTGCTCACAGCTTTGTCGCTTGATGACTTGGTCTTGAGCCAGACAACCCAAGGTGGTGACGCCAATGGTAGTCCTGGTATGTGAATCAACCTTATCTCGCTTCTTTACACTCATACACGTACATCTGCAAACCCCCTAATCTTGGATGTTGCTGACCGTGTTTCTAACTAGCTGTCACCACCGAGACCATTGCTCCCGCTGTTGAGGCAGTGGCATTTGATGCGGCCTCATCAGGGATCGAGTACTTCGACTTTGGATCTTCTCAGCTTACAGCAAACGTGATCGCAAACTTGACCAAGTACAACCTTACTGGCACTACTGCGTTCAACTTTGGCGATAATGAAGCTGCCGTCGAGAAGCGTGCTACGCGTTCATGCAAGGTTTTCCCCGGTGACCACGTATGGCCGTCAGACTTGACATGGTTCTTGCTCGATCTGCTTTTAGGGGGTGCGTTGGTTGACGGGGTTCCTGCTGCCGCGCCATGCTACAAGGACTGGCCCCAATACGACGCAGTCAAGTGCGATGAGATCACGGCAGCATGGACAACTCCTCAATACCAGTAAGCCCGTTGTATTTTTCTAAGTTATTGCGAACTCGCTGATAACATCGAAGAATGTCTGAGCCAACTGGCTTAGACTCCCCGATCTTCGAGGGGGTCAGCTGCGTCCCTCCAAGCATCGCTCGCACCGGCGCCAACTGTACTCAGGGAGCAACCCTTCGTATGTTGTCAAGGTTACAAATGTAGCCCAGATCCAGCTTGCAGTCAACTTTGCTCGCAATCTCAACATTCGCTTGATCGTCAAGAACAAGGGGCATGACTTCAACGGAAAGTCCTCCGGTGCTGGCGCGCTTTCAATCTGGACTCATGCTCTGCAAAGTGTCCAGTACCTCGGAGCCGAATATCATCATCGCATCTCTGGATACACTGGCTCGGCCTTCAAGATTGGCTCCGGAACCCAGGCTCTAAAGCTCTACGAGGCAGCTGATGAGCTCGGGCTACACGTTGTTGGTGGTATTGCTCGTGTAAGTTCCCCGCTGCCACTTCCTGTCCACGCAAATCTCTCTAATGCTGCGGATAGACCGTTGGTATCGGTGGCGGGTATACTGCCGGGGGTGGTCATTCCCCACTGATGTCCAAGTATGGTGTCGCCGCCGACCAAGTCCTCTCAATGGAGGTTGTTCTACCTAACAGCCGTTTTGTTTCAGTTGATGAGAAGAACTACCCCGATCTCTTCTTTGCTCTTCGTGGAGGCGGTGGCAGCACATGGGGCATCGTCACTTCGCTGGTCATCCGAGCCTACCCCAAGACACCCATCACCACACTCACTTACAGCTTCGCCACCGGCAACAATGTTTCCACGGAGACCTTCTGGTCTGGTGTGGATGCCGTGTTTGCCCAATTCCCTGCTTATGCCGACGCTGGTATGTACAGCTACTGGTCTATCATGTGCGCTCCAGCAACAACTTGCAGCTTCTCCATGGCACCTCAATGGGGAAATGACATGGACACAGCTGAGTTGACTGCCGTCTCGGCGCCGCTCTTCTCCAATCTCTCTGCTTTGCATATCCCCGTGACCGATACAAAGTACACCAAGTTTGATGGCGTTCTCAACACTGTCATAAACACTTGGCCTGCAGAATCCGAAGCTGTCGGCGCGTGGAACTTTCACACTGCCTCCCGCCTTTTCCCGCGCTCCAACTGGGAAGATGATAGCAAGCTAGCTGCACAGACCAATGCATTGCGTAAAAGCGTTGAGACTGCTGGCATGATGCTTGGATATAACTTCAAGACCGCTGTTAACCCTTCCGTCAACCAAACCAACGCAGTCAACCCTGCCTTCCGCGAGACTTTAATGCACGCCATGCTGGGAGCCGTGTGGGGTCAGGAGGCTACCCCCGAGGAGATTGCTGCCGCAAAGAAGAACTTAGTGGAGATGTTGCAGCCATGGCGAAAAGCCAGTCCCGGCGCCGGAGCATACCTCAATGAGGCAGATATCAACGAGCCGAACTGGCAGCAGGCCTTTTATGGTAGCAACTACGACTACTTGTATTCGCTTAAGCAGAAGTATGATCCTTGGGGGCTGTTATATGCGACGACGGCTGTAGGTTCCGAGGACTGGCACATCACGGATCAGCTTGAGTACTACCCGACTCAGAACGGGCGGCTTTGTCCGAAGTAGGATAGATCACTGTTAGTTGTCTAGAATAATCATTTTCAACCATGACAAGCTCCCCAATTTGAACCCTTCAGTTTGGCTAACGCCAGCTCTTTCAACGGGATCTTGTGTTTTTGGAGAGCTCAAAGCCACTCTCCAGTGGTGACAGCGGCAGCATGCTAATGTTTGGAACGGCAGGTAATCAGGGACAACACGAGTTCCATCACAGATCTGGAATGGTTGTAAGATATTGATATGAATGCAATGTTGAAAAGTTCGTTTGAATGTCATATTACAGTCTATGTCAGGGGAACCCTCCCAATCTCAAAGCGCTTCTAACTCAATGGGCTAGGTCTTGGAAGATCTACAGCAGAAGACAGCCGCTGGAGTAAGGGGAGGGTACGAGACCGGATTAGAAAACAGTTCCCTTTGTTTGTTTTCCCTTCTCCTCCTCCACAGTCTTGACGTTGATGTTGCGCCAGATAAGCAAGGACAGAAGCACCAGAGGAATGAAAGCGCAACCAGCGATGACCATCTTGCGCTGAACATCAGCATAGGACTCAATAATTGCCGTGCGGATGGGGCTACCCATAGGGTACGAGAGCTGCGTTTCGATACTGGCGTAGATGCTGGCGGTAAGGTCCTTGCTACCCTCGGGGAGATTTGTATAGATGTTCTTCTTGAGAACGTTGTTCCAGATACCGCCAGCGATTGCCAAGCCGATGGCAGCACCGATGGAGCCGAAGAGGCCGTGCAATGCGAGCGCGATGGCGATCTGCTGGTGGGTGACGGACGACATAATGGCGATTTGGGAGCAGATACTGAAAATGCCACTAGCAACGCCATTGAAGATCTGGCACATGACAAGGTAGCCAACGGTGGTTGACGGGGTGCGGAAGTGAACGAGCAGGGCAGTGCCGAGGACGCAGATAGGCACGCCGGAGAGGGCGATGTACTTGAAGCGGCCAGTGTATCGTATTGCACTAAAGCTTGGTTAGAAGAAGCTCTGGTATCTCGACACAGAATAACTTACACTCCGATGAAGGGAGAAATGATAGCGGAGGTCAAACTGAAGGCGTTGAGGATGTAGCCAGAGCTGGTGATGTCTTGATTGTGCGCGACTTGCAAGTAAGACTGGTAGTATGAGTCCCAGCAGCTGAACACAGTCGTTAGTATAGGATCAATACGGCGAGACCGCATCATGGGGAGATCAACTTACTAGATGGAGGCGAACATGATACCGTAAACCAAGCAAGCGCCCAGAATGGTTCTATCCTTCAGAAAGTGGTACGGGAACAGAGAGACCTTGGCAAAGTTTCTCTCCCACAGAGCGAAAAGAGCCAAGCCGATAACGCCGAAGACGATTAGGCAGATGATGGTTGGGCTCTTCCACTGATGGGTGGCGTTGGAAACGAGGGAAAATGGCAGCAGAAGCATAGACCACCCGGCCATCACCAAGATCAAGCCGACAACTAGGTTCGTTAGTATGTCAAGTTTTATGAAGTAACTTGCGTCTTCGAAAAGGGGGATTACATACCGTCAAATTCGATGAAGTAGTGCTTGGTAGATTCCCAGGTAGACCGGGTCTTCTGCTTGGGTGGGATCAAGCCAGTCTTCTTTGCTTTGACCTCGCTGAAGAAGAAGATCACGGCGACGGGAACACTGAAACCGATCAAGATGATGGCGAAGGCACCGAATGCCCAGCGGAAGTTGACCTTGTCGTAAAACAGCTGCGCAATCTCAGGACCAGCAAAGGTTGTGGCGATCGTCGGCGTGCCATTCAGGGCAATCATAGTCATACGATTCCTCAGGGACGTCATGTCAGAGAGAACAATCGTAATAATGTAGATGAGTCCGAGATGGCCGACCCAGAAGATCGTTTGCGCTGCTGCATACGTCTCAACGTTCTGGCAGGTGGCCTTCATGATCATGCCGATGGTGACAAGGAAAACCATGCCAGCGAAGCCCTCCGCACGACCACGGATATCGATGATTTTAGCGATAGTAAGCGTAGAGACACCGCCGAGAATCGTGGATACTATGCTAGTCGTAGCAAGAAGCCCGTGTTGGCCGAACGCGGAGGTAACATAGGGCGTCAAGTTGCTCTGAACAGACTGCAGTAGGCCGTCCGTGAAGGAAACGAGGTACAAGCTGCGTAGAACCAATTAGGTCTCGGTCTCATGAAGTTATTTGCGGAGGTTGGAAACTTTGGCAGGGGGAACGAGACGCAAGCAAAAGGACTTACAGGGCAAACACAACCCAGAGCATCTTCCAAGACCACACTGAGGTGATAGCCTCCACCTTCTTGACACCATCTTGCTTGTGTTCAGGACCCTCCTCGTAATCAAGCTTCAAAGGCTCGGCGTGAATATCAACCGAATTCTGTGCGGTGCTCTTCTCGATATCGTTATCGGCGGAAACATGGTTCTGCTCAGACACCTGAGGCGTTGTCGAAGCGTTGGCGGCCATGCTGGTTTCGACGAGATCAATGACAGGCGTGTACTGCAAAGGTGGGCACGCACTTTGGATACACAAAGGGCACCTGAGCCAAGAGAACAACGATCGAAAAGGAAGGCGTGGAGAGCAAGAATCAAACAAGACCGCACGTCGAGCGGATGGATTTGAAAAGATTTATATTATCGCGTACCTGCAATGTCTGACCCATCGCTGATCCTATATCCGGACCCACGTCGCAGAGAGATCATCACCAACACACCTATTCGGGGATCCAGAGCAACCAGAGATGAACGTAATATGATTCGTCCAAAGGATCTATTGTCCGTAATGGAGTAAGGGATGAGACGGGACAGTTGCTTTTAGCGTCAATGTCCGGCGGAGCGGGAATCGCTGTTGCAGCCGGCGACCCGGCACCGCCACTGGTGACCGGCCGCAGAGTGACGTCTGTCGTACCCGGTTCTCAGGTAGCCGCGGAGGTCGAGTCCGCTCACTGGCTCGGTGTCTTCGGGGCCCCCATGTTTTTCTCAGCGGGCCCCCGATGTCGTTGCGGTTGCTGGACAGTTATCAGATGATCTGACAAGGTATTTGGTGGAGAAGTGCGTCCACTGAAGTTCCTCTTTTAGTTGACGTCGAGTCAGGGGCATCCCAGTTTACGAGGAAAAATTCTCATCGGTTCCCTCGCAAGCCGAGCTTCCTGGTGCTCGCTGTACGAGGAAAGCATCAGGAAAATCCGTCATTTCCCTTCTTTCCCAAGCTGGTGGGATCTTGTTGGCTTCTGGAACATTGCCAGTACAGATAATCCGACATGAAGATTACTTTGGAAAGACCCTAGCTTTGAGGTCCTAGACTTGGCTCGATGCGGATCCTTTGAGTCCTGCTTATTCTTGGTCTTTGCGAAGTCTTCAGTTGTTGGCAACTCCTTCCCTCCCGGCGCTAAGCCACTCGCTTCAGCCAGGTTAATTACCGACTGCAAGTAATCCATTGTCGGTTCCGGACTCCGGTGCTAACAATAGCCTCTTCTTGCCGGGCTAAAAGACTTCAGTCTATCCATTCTAGAGGCCGCCGTTGGATGAATTTTGACATACAATAAGTCCTTGATCGCAACCACTTTTAGAAAGTAGCATCGCATGTTTATTCACGGCAAGCTTTCAATCGTCCACAACTCTTGATTCATAGTGCCGCCACGTTGTGTTTCTGCAGATGATTTGTCAGTGATGAGTTTTCGATTTGATGCCACCATGTGTGTAGGGTGAAAAGCCGAGAGGGCAGCACTGTAGCCGGACCTGTAACATCAAATCTTGGTCGGAACATCGGCGCTGCAGACAGTCCTTGATTTAATTCCCTCACGAAGTTAGTACTCCACTGGAACTTTGGCTCCAACTTCCAAGTTCCAAGAAGAACTTCGCTCAACTTGCCGCCACTTTAGGCTGACACTACCTCATGCAAGATGTCTCCAGCAAAGAATGGGGCATTTGACTCGTGGCAATTATTCCCGATCATCCGCGACGGGAACCGTCAAGCGATAAGCCAAGCCGCGTTCGATAACCTCTAGACAGTGGAAATCGGATCCTCGTGATTTTTGACCATTCAGCCTTTTCCATCCGTGTTGTTCTGGCTCGTTTCATACATATTCACACTCCCTTCACCTCCTCTTGACTGTATGTGCGCTATGGGATTGCCCGTAAAGCCACATCGCATAGAAGCTTAGTCGTAGCGTAGACCTTAGCTTGTTGATAGTCTGGAAAGTTGTCTTCAAACAAGTTCACAATATTTCTGATTAGCCGAGCGTCATGCTGCACTTCTGGTGCATGCCTGTAGTAGGCGATATGAAGGAATAGAGAATCCAGGTTCCACGCGACCAAAGGCAACAGACATCTGAGCACCTCAGAGAAATGTCCAGTCAGCCTTCCAATCACCAGCATAAGAGCGTTAAAAATGGCCACTTACGATCTCTGCAGAGCACTTCTATCGAGAGAGCTCACAACTGCCACCAGTTTCCTAGTAGCGGAAGCGCAACTTGAAACAACGAGGAGTGCTTGATTACGAAAGTCTGCGTTGTCGAAGAACATTTTATGCGAAAAGATTGAAGAGCGAATGGCGATTTCGACCTGATAGAAGGTACAAAATATAGCAGACAACCATGGCGCATGCTTCTTGTCGAGGTCATTGGGTATCAGAAGTGGCTCGACGAGTGCCGGCAAATTACTTCTCCACTGTAAGGGCTCTTCCAAGAGCTGACGGCTGATTTCCGCGTATGCTTCCTGTGACATCGACGAGGAGTCAGGCGAGCGGAGTGTCGCGTATGCCTTGCTCTGAAACTTGGCCAGAATGACCTGTTCCCTGAGGCAATTAACCGATATGCCATCTCGAAGATGAATAGTTCCCTGCCCATCATATGGTTCTTGCTCCAGAAGATCTAGACCAAAGTTTGAAGATAGGAGAGGTGGCTTCTCGAGCCATAGGGAGAGGTTCTGGTCCAGTATGTAAGCGTATGAAAGTAGGCGCCTTTTGTGCGTTGTTGTTTCGTCTGGAGTGGCAGTCATTTTGTGAAATCCGGCTAGAAACATCATCTGAGAGGCAATGGCTAAAATCATAGCTGCTGTAGGTAACCTCGAAGTAGACGCGAATATTAAGGTCTGCGAGTGTCAGTGAACCTTGTATGTACATGTAGTCTCGGATGAGAACATAGATCAGTGACGACGCACCATTAGGAGTAGGGTGCCGATTGCGATCGAGTCCGGCAGCTCTGTCATGATTGCTGGTAACATATCCAGCGCGTTATGCAAGCAGTAATCCGACCAATCGATCTTGTCTCTGCCATTGATTCGCAACGCATAAGCACATACGATATTGACGGCGGCGCACACACTTGGCAGAGGTGAAATCACTTCGTATTCGTAGTCACGGAAGGCTGCAATGAGTTCACCCAACTGGAACATGCTCCAGACGCCGGGTGATGCTGAGATGAAACCTAAGAGCTCCGGCGTTAGCTCCGGCGTTAGCTCCATGCGCGAGAGAGATCTTTGAGTGACATTCTCACTTTCGAGGCAAGCATGTCTCATATTCTGCGGGACAACTGTCTGGGACAGTGAGATCGTTAAGTTAGACTTGCGCATTTGCTCTAAAGCTTCCCGGGATGCAATACTAAAGCTGTGATCACCTAGAATGCGGTCAACGCATTTGATGTTCAGAGTCGAGAAGACCTGACAGGAGCCTTTAATTCTTATGAGTTAATTGATAAAGAAGTCGTGGAATGTGTATTATCTCATTAATATTTACCCTGGTACGTGAAATTAATGACCGATTCCCATTGATCCGGTAGCGTGTGATGTCCACCTGGGCTTCGTAGCACGAGTTGATACAGAACATCTGGACGAGAAGCTTCAAGGCCAGGATTGCTGTACAGAGATAGAGTACCTGAAGGGATAGGTATATGCCGGTAAGATAATATCGGGGCCAAGGAAGGAATTGAGAGAACGCTTTCCACCATGCTTTCGACTCGTTCCAATGCCTGTGTAAGATCATGGCGAGATCTATGCGCGGGCACAAAAACTTCCCCCTCGCCTGATTTTTCTTGGCATCTACTGTTAATACAATAGGTGGGCTACCACCAATATCCTTAATAGCTGAAAACCCTTTACCTCTCTCCTCCGGCGCCCTCCCGCGATGGCCTTATAGCCTCCGGCCGGCTCTGGACTGTTGCTAGCCTCCTCGGCCGGCCTTGACCGAGGCTCTGGACCCCCTCCGGAGTCGTCTCTAACCTTAAGGGCTAAACGCTGCCGCGGTACCGAGGCCTAGCCACCCCGGCCTAGCCTCGTAAGAAGCCAGCCTGACGCCCTTATAATATGTTACGGCCAGCTAGTCGTAGGGGTAGTTTGCAGAAGTTGAGGCTGCGGAACTGGTAACAGTAATCGTAGTCGTGGAATAGTTTCAAGGAAACTATGTCTGTCAATCGTAAGGGTAGGTAAGGCTTCGGTGATCAATCGTAGTCTTGTCAAGGTAGTAGCTGAAAGCGGATGTTAATCCTGATACGAAGTTAATTGCTGAAGAGCTATGGAAAGTCTGTCCGAGAGTCCGGCTCGAGTCCATCCTATATACAAGTCCTGGTCCTGAACATATCCCTTGTCAATGATCAGTTCCTCTGATCGGGTGAGCGCTCATCGTTCGGCATGAGCGCTCATTGTTCGGCATGAGCGCTCATGGCCCCACCATGGTCGCTCATGGCTTATCTTATCATCACGTGACTTGTACCATAGTTCTTCCGTTCCGTGAGAGGGTGCCTAGTGTCCCTTATCTCCTGCATATGTGGTGTATTATAACCGCCGCGAGCCTGCGGGGCAGGCCCTGTTCTTGGTCATGCATGTTGGGTTGTAACATAATAATCCCCTTAACGGCTAAGGGGCCCTCAATTATAACTAGGACAGCTGCTAGAGCTATCCTTATAGCTCTTAATAAAGAGGCTAAGCATTATAAAGCCTGAAAGGACGTCTTTATAGTTATTATTTATTTATGAATAACTAGTTAATATAATCTCTTATTTTAAGGGGCCTAGGAAGTAGTGTTACAACCCAACATGCATAACAAGGCCAGGGGGCCCGCCCCACAGGCCTGCGGCGGCTATCTACCTGATATACGCAGAGAATCCGGGAACTCAGGTGACTCCTCATGGAACGGAAGAACTATGGAACAAGTCACGTGACGATAAGGAAAGTGAGCACACGATAAGGTGATCATAGTGATCACCCAAAGTGAGCACATATTCTCTTTTTTTACCTCGAAAGGTACCCACTATTAGTAATTGTTAAGGTTATAGATGGCTACGGCCCACTGCACTATCATCTCTCAACATCAGCCTATACGAGCTAAGTTCCACGACCATAGCGGTCTCCCTAGATATAGGGCTATCGATCACGGCTCACGGGGACGCCGGTATATCTCGGCGGTCGGGATAAGTCCGGAAGCCGACTGTAAAGGTTAGAGTGGTTGAGTAGGTCAACCACCAGGACAATTCTAAGCTCAAAGATGAGATTAATAAGCTTTCGGATCTTATCCAGGACCTCCTACGTCAGGACGCCAAGAGGGAACAGTTTTTAAAAGACTATTTAATAAAAATCGAATCCTTGGAGAGAGAGCTTCAGGAGGAGAAACAGCGTTTAAACCGGCATTAACGTAGTCTAGCAAGGTCTATACACGCTATTGGCATAGGGCCTAGAGAGACTGACCTGAGTTCCCAGGGGCATCCCTCGTACACAACCCAGAACCAGCCGCCCCTAGTACGTTTATATGCGGCGGCGGCGAGCCAGCTACTGTCCAGAAGATAGGATGAACTAACGCTAGCTAAATAAGCCGCAAAACAAGCTATAAACCGGGCGGCTTTAAAGGATCTATGCGTCTTTACGCATCTATCGCCTAAAAGCCCGCTTCGGAACGAGAAAGCTTACGATATATATATCTTCGTTCGGGAAAGGCTAAGTCCCCAAGCCCGAGAAGCCCTTAAAAGGATCGATTATATTAAGATAGGATTAGTACTCCTACCTTTGTTAATGGATGGCGCAAAAATCCTGCTAGAGAAACAAGAATAGATCGCTGCCCTTCTCTAAGTATAAGCGATTAAGTAATGCAATATCTAGATCCGAGCCTATAACTATCGCAAACGTCCCTTATACCAGGTATTATCTAGTAACCAATACTAAGCTGGAAATCACGACCGAGGAGCTCCTTAAAGAGATCTAGGTCTCGACAAAACTCAAGCCTGAAAAAGCACACTTCTCCAGGAAGGACGAAGTCAAAAGGCTAGGCACGGTAATAGCCTAGTTTAAGGCGGAAGCCGTAAGGTAATTACCAAGACGCCTCCGTTTAATAAGGGCCAGCGTTTTTATAAACCTATAGTTCCCGAAGGAAAAGAGGTCTCCTTAATATCTCCGCTACGGCGGTTTTCATAGCGAACGAACGTGCACCAGAAGGAAGAGATGCCTTAAGTGCAGCTCTCCTTCCCACACAACTGATCAACACCGGGCACCCTGCGGCGGCACTAAGGGTCACGATAGCTGCGACTACCCCTTTAAATGCCCGTCGTATAACGGGCCTTACGCCGGCTTCGATACGACTTGCCCTATCTAACCCAAAGTGGTAAAGGGGGTAATCCAGAGGAGGGATAAGGCTTAGCTACAGGCCATCCGAGCTAAGGGAGAAAGATTATAGAGAAATACGACCTAGTTGTCGCATCGACATTCCCATAAAGAAGAATAAGCAATAGACTATACTGTTACAACCCAACATGCATAACAAGGCCAGGGGGCCCGCCCCACAGGCCTGCGGCGGCTATCTACCTGATATACGCAGAGAATCCGGGAACTCAGGTGACTCCTCGTGGAACGGAAGAACTATGGAACAAGTCACGTGACGATAAGGAAAGTGAGCACACGATAAGGTGATTACAGTGATCACCCAAAGTGAGCACACGATAAGGTGATCACAGTGATCACCCAAAGTGAGCGCTCACCAGTATCCACTTAGTGATCACCAACGAACATGGTGACCAGGCAACAAAGGATATGTTCAGGATCAGGACTTGTATATAGGATGGACTCGAGCCGGGCTCTAGGACAGACTTCCCATAGCTTCTTCAGCAATTAACTTCGTATCAGGATTAACATCCGCTTTCAGCTACTACCTTGACAAGACTACGATTGATCACCGAAGCCTTACCTACCCTTACGATTGACAGACATAGTTTCCTTGAAACTATTCCACGACTACGATTACTGTTACCAGTTCCGCAGCCTCAACTTCTGCAAACTACCCCTACGACTAGCTGGCCGTAACATATACCCCGGCGAATAAAATATAAAAGAAGAATATAGCCCTCTTGTTACGACCCAACATGAAGACCAGGGCGTGCCCCGCTGACGCCTAGCGGCTACGGCGCATCATATATGCAGGACGGGACGGAACATTGGGGAAACCCCAGGAACGGAAGAACTATGGTACAAGTCACGTGATGATAAGAGATATGATAAGGGATAAGGATATGTTGGATATGCGACATATCCAACCGAGTCAAGGATATGTTGGATATGCGACATATCCAACCGAGTCAAGGATATGTTGGATATTCGACATATCCAACCGAGTCAAGGATATGTTGGATATTCGGCATATCCAACATATCCAGACAAAGTGGACTGTACAGCACTGTTCAGTTAGGATCGAACTTGTATATAAGGATGGACTCGAGCTGGGCTCTAGGACAGACTTTCCATAGCTTCTTCAGCAATTAACTTCGTATCAGGATTAACATCCGCTTTCAGCTACTACCTTGACAAGACTACGATTGATCACCGAAGCCTTACCTACCCTTACGATTGACAGACATAGCTTCCCTGAAGCTATCCCCGACTACGATTACTGTTACCAGTTCCGCAGCCTCAACTTCTGCAAACTACCCCTACGACTAGCTGGCCGTAACACCTCTAAAACCCTATAAATCATATAAGCAAATATAGGTAGGCGGGTATCCGCCTATAAAACAGTACTAAACCTAACTAGCTTACATAGCCTAAATTAATATATTTTTAATATAAGAGCCGTTTATCCGTTCGGAGGAGAGGAGGCTCACAAGACACCACCCAGGTTTTAAGACTTTCACCCTAATAGATAACTAGACCGAAGACCGTCCTAGGGTACTTACCTACCTCCGCAGAGGAACTAGGGTACGAGGTATATAAATACGGCCTCTACCCGGTCTATCTACAGACCTGCTCTTCTTACGACTCCTCTTAAGAACGAAGGAGGTCCTCATAGTTATCAACGTATACAACGCCCCTCGTGGCTCTCTACGATCTAGCCAGGCTCTCAGGAACATCCTAGCGGCCTGGCAACCAAAACCTAATGATCGAGTACTGATTGCGGGAGATTTTAATTTATACCATTAGACGTGGCAGCCCGAGGCCACGAGTTCCCCGGACGCTGAAAACCTAGTAGAATGGGCAGAAGCCGCCAGCCTTGTCCTAATGTCACCTATAGGTGAACCTACGCACAAAGGCGGCAACACCCTAGATTTATGCTAGACGTCCAGCAACCTCCATGGGGCTTCCACCAGCATAGAAACGTCACTACACACGACATCAGACCACGAATCTCTGCTTACCCGGGTCCCCTTGGCCCTGATCGATTCACCTAGCCAGACCCCGGGAAGGTTTCGGCTCGACACGATGGACGAGGAGCTTTTCCTCGGCATCATTAAACACAACTTACAACCCATACGCCGCACTACAAACAACATCCAAGACCCATAGTCTTTAGATCTCCTAGTATAACAGCTTACGGACTGTCTTATTAAAGCACTCACGGCTTCCACAAAGCGCACGCTCGGGAAAGGTATAGGGAGACCATACTAGAGCAAAAGCTGCATACATAAACACCGAGCCTATACGAGTAAGCAAGCGATATTAATAAGACTCCGCGCAGCCGGAATGAACTACTAATAGGAAGAAGAGGAGGTCAAAGCTCTAAAACAGGACTTCCTCTACGAGTTTAAACGCTCTAAGGATGCC